TACTGCCGTAGTGATTGATAACCTGCGATAATCAACAAACGGGCACTCAAACGGAAACCTACGTCCGGAAAAGCCCAACCCGGTGGGCAGGCACCGGCGGTGCATACTAGGAAAAGACCATTTCCGCAGCGAACCAAGACTCCAGCCTCTTGCCCACCGGGCATGAATGTTTCAGCAAGGCACGGGCCGATCGTCATGCCAATCTCGTCGAATGCTACTCAATCCGACTCTTCAAGTAAAAGCCGCGGCAACATATGGTGGATCTCGCCAGTGGGGAAGGGAAAGCAAGGACTCTATTGTCTGTGTGCCGTGTTCGTGTGGGGATGGGCGAAGCGCTCGGGCAGGCAAGCCGGGCTGAGACAAAAGCGGAATACAATGGAGATCACGGCCGCGGTCTGGCCAAAGCTCCAAGAGAAGGGGGAATACATCGAGAACAAGGGGGCAGCGGGCATTTGGAAATTATCTGACGCAGCTATGCGGAGCCGCACGTACAGTTTATTTCTGTAAGGCACAGTGCACGGTGTTTGCCGCGGTGGTATGTGCCTGGAGCTCCACTGCTGGTTGTCAATCGGCAACCGGGGCCGGCCTCGGGTCCGGTTCAACAACAACGGCAGCGGTGCAGCAGCCGGCGGCCGTTGCGGGCGCCCGTATGTCCGGCTCAAAGATCCAGCGGCGAGGTTAGCATTGCGGCGCTACGCATGTAGATTGGGACCATACCTGCTGAGACAGACAGTAGTCGACGAAAACTTTCTTGAATCGGCGGGCCAACCAATTGCGCAGCCGCTTATGCGCCGCTTGCCGTTGGCCAGGTTACTATACTTGTCCCCGCTTACACACCCCCATGCAGCCCGCCTATCTGCCAGAACTCGCACCTGCAGGTGCTTCAACCTGGTCCTTGTCACCCCAAGCCGCAAGCCCCCCTTGCTGCGGAAGCGTCGTGCCGACGGGAGCTTGACCGCATGCGACCTAGACCTGTCGATTCTTCCCACGGGCTGCTGAAGGAGCTGGGCAGAGAAGCCAATTCACTGAGCTGACTGGTCGGGCGCGCTGGACGACCGCAAGGTCCGCGGCGGCAGGATCATGCTGCTGGGGTGCTGACTGCTGCGGCGCGAGCAGGCCGGTGTATGGGCTACGTCAGTTTGCAGATTGACGCGTTTCATTGGCCGCGCTCAGCTCTTGCGGCGGTGAGGGCGGTGCGCGTGGAGGTGCAAGTGACGGCCGGAGTGCGGCGTGGTCGAGGGGTGGGCCTTGTGTGTGAGAGATCGGCTGGAGGGTGCGCGGCACTTGCCTCGCCTTTGGGATCTGAGTGGTTGGGCGCGGCATTGCGGTCATCTCGCGTCCAATGCTTGGCCGGGATGGGGAGATGGCGAGAGGCACGTTCGCGCATGTTTCGCACGCGCATGAAGGAGCATGGAGTTAAGGACTGGACGCTTAGCTACGCGCACCGAGGCTGAGGATTCGGCGGGTGGCAATGTCGCGTACAGAGGGCGTGAGTGGCAGCAGAGCCCCGCCTCTGCACCAAGCGAGCGTGATGCGACAGGGTCTGCGGGTGATGCGAGCGGGTGGAAGGTGGAAGCTGAGCTCCGGTGAGATGAAATGGGCGCCGGCAGCGCGGGTCGGTCCCTGAAGCAGTCAGAGGCGAACAGTGACAGAGAGGAGGGGCACGGCGAGGGGCAAAGTCACCGGCAGCCTGGACGCAGGAATCGCGAGGCATCCAGTGAGGAGAGAGGGCGCTCCAGGCACTCCTGGGCCCCGGAGAATTGCGAAGGCGACGATGACGGTGGGTGCCGGGGACGATGTCGAATTCGGGGCGCGTGGCCATGCGGCAGTCAGCGTGTTTGCAGCAAATATTGGGTTGGACACGGATGGTGGGCAGCGCGCATCGCGGGCAATGCGGGGCACCAGGAGAGTAAAGATTCCGATTCGACTTTCGGGATCTTGGTTAAGCAGCGATTGGCGAGCGCTGGAGCTGGGCGGTGATCGGTCACATCGACCATCCATCATCGCGCAGCGGGAACTGCGGGCGGCGCCCGTGGGTGCAGCTTGACGCTCCAACGGCGATGTTTGGAAACGCAGCGCGTCGAGCGGGCGTGCGCAGCCGGACCGGCTTAGCGGCGGGTGGATGGCGCGGCGGCGGCGGGAGGAAGCTGGCTAGCCCGCGCTCATCGACGACGTGCCGGCTACCGCGTGCTCCACCTACTCCACGTCGTCGGCGGCGGCCACATCTCCGTCCACACCTCTCCTTTCTTGGGCCGCGAGACGGCCGACGTGCCCCTGAACGGACGCAGGCCCTGGCTCGCGCGCTGCATTTGGCAGTGGCACGTGGGTGCGAAAGATTGCCATGCCTGCAGGCTGGGAAAGGAGCGCGTACGACTCGATGTTGGGGGCCGGAAGAAGTATTGTATTTGGATTGCCCATCGCGACTCGAGATTTGAGGCTGATGGTGGGTCCGCACAGCTACCGCGCCGAGTCTGGACCGCTGCGATCGCCGGCCTGTCGCGAGCTGAGAGCATCCACCGCTTCGGGTCGGCGAGCTGGCGTTCGTCTATGTTGCGCAGCGCGCACGCGGAGCCCTGCGCCTCGACATTGGCGAGTCAGGCCGCAACCTCGCTTTTGACGACAGCTCGTTCTCTCGATTTGCTGCCCGACGACGATTGCCGTCTGGGGTGCGCGCGGCTTTCGGGCGTGTGTCCACATCCCAGCCCACGTCCTATTTCGAGTCGTCCGTGCGCCGGTGACGGCAGAGAAACATGCACTACGAGCCCGCATTTCATCTCACGTGTCCGCTTCCAGGTGTTGACAATAATATCGAAACGGCGCACGGGCGCCGCGGTCCTCATGCGCGCGGGCACTGCGAACACCACCACGACGTCCTGGAGAAATGCAGGTTGCAGCGCAGGCTGCCGGCGGCGAGGCGAATCGGGCGCGGCTGAAGGAGGAGGGTGGTGAAACCTTTCAGGATCAAGGATGTTGACCGCAGAAGACGTCGCAGGACGCCACCGTTTCCAAAGGATTGCAGGCGCAGAATCGTCGCCAACTCGGGCATGCGCCATTTCGTTCTGTCATTTTCCCAAGAGCCTCACCCGCCACCGAGGGTCCTGCTCGACCAGGCCCCCGGCTCATCGGCAGGTCGGGTGGTCTCGCGCGTCCGAGGCTACTGCAGGTCCGGCGAGGACGTGTAGCAGATCGTCTAGAGATTGTTGATGCCGATGAGATTGGGCCCGGGGTCGAGGGATCGTAAGGCGGTGATCTGCTGGATGGACGTTGTTCGGGGAAGCGGCACGCAGTCGCCTCGCGTTTGGCGAGGCTGCGAGACCGGAGCCAAGGCGTGTCAACCTTCGAATCTGGCAACCATCTGAAACCGCGCATCTACCCCAGATTGCGCAAGCGGAGCTGGACGTTCACGGCGGCGCTGCCAACACTCGCAGCGTGCAGCGCGGCACACCGAGGTCCCGGCGGGCGGTTTCAGCGGCTGGCGGCCAGCGTGGTGAGATCGGAGTCGCGCGGCCCCTGGAGCGGGCGGTTTGCATTGCCTGAAGGAGCGGGCGCGCTGCAGCGTGCGCACCGATCGTGCGCTGCGGACCCGAGGCGGCGGGTCGACGTTGACTCGCCAGTCCCATGCGCGGCGCGCGCTGAGCGCTGCCGCAACAGTCGGCCTGGCTGCTGGGATGATCCCGGGCGGCGATGGCCACGGCGGGGGGGCGCCTGCGCGGCGCGCGCGAATCAGCGCGCGACCCGGCGTCTCGGGACGGCGCGTGGGAGTCGCGGAAAGTGGCTGCGCTGCGACCCGGCAGTGCGGCTGGTCAGAAGCGGCCTTCGCGGGCGCGGGCTGCTCTGAGATACGGTGCTGACGGCGCGGAGCGGCCTGGGAGCGGGCGCGCCTGGTCGCACTCGTTGACGTCGCGCTGCTGTCCCTGTCGCTCCCCTGCCGCATCCCTGGCCAGGATCGCGAGCTGAGCGTCCTGGTGATGCGCTCGCGGCCATTTGTCAGAGGCGTGGCTTGTCCAGCGCAAAGCAATTCTTCGCCAGCGCCAGTCCGGCGGCGCGGGACTCCAAAAGGTTGCGGACGCTCCCTCCCGCACCGAGGCTCGCGGGTGCCGCGCGATCCAAATTTAACAGGCGCGTCGCACAGATGCGTGGCCGGGGGTGTTCTGGCGGCCGGGTCGCATCGCAGCGCCTCGCAAGATCTCCCAGAGCGTCCCAGGCCCCCGGCGCCGCGTTATCACCATAGCTGTGAGCGGGCGTTGAGGCTGCGCTAACCTCTGCCCCCATGCACGACCCTCCACCTCTCCCGGCCTGAGACCGCCCATGCCCCTCGCCTGCAATAAGCAAGCCTCGCAAGCCCCATGGGCGCCCGTCCACGACGCCCGGCCCGCAGCGACGGCGGCCGGCGCTGGCTCCCGCCTCGCCCCCCTCCCCATGCCCGCCCGCGCATGCCCGTGGCACGCGGCCGGGGGCTCCCAGCGCGGCGGCTTAGCTGCCGGGCGCGCCTTGCCAAACTCCCATCTTTCATCACTCGCTGCTCCTGATGCGCCCGCCGGGTCTCGATCACAAACCACCCCCCCGTCCAAGGCACCTCTCCCGGGCCCACCACCGCATCGTCATCTCGTCCATCCTTGCTCAATCTCCAAACCCGCCGTGTATAAACCCTCCTTCACGCTGCAACCGCCCCGCCGGGTTCCAGTGTTCGATTAAGGTTGTGCCGCCACCTCGCCAGATGACCGTCCTCCTCCTCGAGTAGTAGCACCACCGAGCCCGCCTGTCCAACCAGCGCCTACTTGTACTCGCCTATACCCGCCTCTCTTCTCTCTCTTCCTTGTTTCAACCATCCAACAGTCGCACAGCAGCGCCTCTGGTATCATCTTGTCTCCCTCGAGTCGCACTCCTCCAGAATGACAGCCGTGATGGCACCCCAGCACAGCGGTTCATGGCAACGGCACATGGCGAGCATGAGCATGTCCGCTTCCTACGACTCCCAGTCCCGCCTGCACACTTCGCCCATGGCCAACATGCCCTCGTCGCAGGCCTACACCACCACCTCGGCCCAGCTCGACCACCAGCTGCCCTTCTTCCAGACCTGCGGCCCCCAGACCTCTGTGCCCGCCTACTCGACCTCGTTCGCCTACGAGCCGCTGGACTTCAACCAAAACTTCTACCAGCAGAACCCCCAGTCCTTCCCGCCCTCGTCCTTCCCGTCTGGCCTGCCGCAGACCAGCTATCCGCTGGACGGCAGAGGCCAGCCCATCAAGCCCGAGATGGGCTCGCCCGTCGAGCCCTACCAGCAGATGGGTGACCTGAACCTGAGCGGAGACGACTACCGCGTGGCCAGCTCCGGCGAGTCGGACAACGGCGGCGCCGGCGTCAATTTCAACACCGACGTCGACACCCTCATGAGAGCCATCCAAGCCAAGCAGAAGACCCCCGAGGAGCGCCTCCCCGCCCCCAAGGAGGTGAGTTGAGACGTCCACAAGCAGAGGCCGCCTTCAAGCTGATCCCTCCCCAAAGCAGCCCCCGAAGAAGTCCTCGGAGAAGGGTAAGAAGAGATATGAGTGCGACATGCCCGGCTGCAACAAGAGCTTCTACCAGAAGACCCATTTGGATATCCACCGGCGAGCACACACTGGCTTCAAGCCTTTCGTAGGCCCCCCGCACTCCCAAGACTTGAAGCCGGCCAGCACTGACCAGCGGCACAGGTCTGCAAGGAGCCGTCCTGCGGACAGAGATTCTCCCAGCTTGGCAACCTCAAGGTACGCTCTACCCAGCAGCCAGCACACTGAGCGGGCTCTAACGGGGCACAGACTCACGAGCGCCGCCACACGGGCGAGAGGCCGTACAACTGCGACATCTGCGGCAAGACTTTTGCCCAGCGCGGCAATGTGCGAGCTCACAAGATTGTCCACCAGCACGTCAAGCCCTTCACCTGCAAGCTCGAGGGCTGTGGCAAGCAATTCACGCAACTTGGAAACCTCAAGGTAAGCCAGAAACCGACGGCAGGATCTGCAGAGACTGACGCAGGGACCAGTCGCACCAGAACAAGTTCCACGCGCCCATGCTTCGCTACTTGACGGCCAAATTTGCACAAATCCGCGAGACAGACACAGTTCCTCCTCAGGACAGGGAGCTGTTCGAGTATTTTGCTTCTCTGTACAAGAACTCGAACAAGGGAATCAAGGGCCGAGGCAAAGACCGACGCATCTCCACCATCCCCTCCGCATCTTCTGGCAACAGCACCACTCCCCCGGCAGGAAGTGCGTCGTCTTCCTCGTCGACAACACCGGTCGCGTCGACAGCACCGCCATCTGCCTTGTCCACGCCCGTCAGCAGCACGGCCCCCATCGGATCGTATGGCGCTAGCAGCGCAGCCGTTGGGATGACGAGCCCGTACAGCACCGTTTCAACAGCCAGCGGGCGCTCTTACACCAGCGCTAGCACGGGAGCGGGAATCCCGCCGCCTGGGTCGGCGCGCTACAGCCACAGTGTCAGCAGCCGGAGTCCGTCGCTGAGCAGCGTCGACTCGGAGATGCATGGTCAGCAGCTCCACCAGCAGCACAGCCCTTACTCAGGCTACGGCGCCGCGGCGCCCGCGACAAACTACGGCCTACCCCCGCCGCAGCCCCACCACCAACAGCACGCACAAATCTCCCAACCGCATGTGCAGCTACCACCGCCTGGTCCGTACTTGCAACAGCAGCAGCAACAGCAGCAGCAACAACAACACCATCACCATCAGCAAGCACCCCATGGCTATAGCAATTTGATGTACTAGACGGTTGCGCTCTCCATCTAAAAACATCTTTCACGGCCGCACTATGGAATGAGCATGGCGAATTGGAAATGTCTTTGTTTTCAAACGAAACATATACGTCTGAGGAAATGAGCTTCGGCTCGCGCACATATACAGAAGCGTGCGCGGGAATCTGAAGCATCTCAAGCATGTGTCATGGCAATCTACTGCAACTATTACAGTAGTCAATGTCCACTTTCCCCTGTTCGGGGCTTGCAGGGTCAGCCATGTGTCCCTTTGGCCCAATATTGTCTTACGATGTTCATATTTCTATACGTCATCTCCTTGTTTCTTTTGTCAACGGTGGCCAGCTCTCTTTTTCATGTCACTTGTTCTGTAATTTCTCCTTTCGGTTCTCGTGGGGGCGTTGACTACGGCGGTTGGCTGTTTTCTTACCAGTTCGGCGTTAGCGCGCTCTGTATTCTGGGTCTGATTACCCGCTTGCCTGCTTTTGGCTTTTCTTTACCACCTTCATCTTTCGGACCTCACCTATTGTATGACTATTCCCTACGACAATGTTGCTTTCCGGTTTTTCTCTGTTTCTTTTGTTGTCCTTCTGTTTCTGTTTTCGGTGCGTTGCTCGAACGCGGATACCCCCCTATGCTTCATACTTGGTCCTACAAGTCCTCTTGCCCGCAAACTACAGTATCATTAGCCCATCCAGATCTCAAGTCAAATTGGGAAAGGGCTTTCAGGCCTCTCTCCTCTCCTCACCCATTCATGTATCACGTTCCACGACGCTTCTGCCGAGCAGGACCACCAGTCCTACACGAAGCCGAAAGACGAAAAAGTTGTCGAAACCACCTAGTTTTAGCTATGTCTCATTGTTTCCAAATTTCGTCTTTTCTGTTCCCTACCAGCATCGATTGTCCGCTCCTTTTTCCCTCTACAACAGTGGCTTTTAGATTACAAAGCGAGCTCACGCTCAACCGCCAGCACCATTAGCTCCATATGGCCTTAGCGTCACAGCATGTCGTCCCAGAACGACAACTATTAGCCATCTTACCGAGACAAATATATATCGATCAAGGGATCTTCTATGTCCAATTCTTCTACTCAAGCTTTGAACAATGTGTGTGTCTGCGTGTCGTGTGTCTTGCTTCTTCACAAGAAGCCCCCCTCCTCCCCTGTGTTCCTGCGCCGTCTCCACGGCACTACTCTCTGGGGGAGTCTTTGCTTTTCCGCGCCACGAGCTGCACCGCGAATACCGATGACCAAGGTCAAGAGCAGCAGCCGTTCCGAGGGGGCGTCTACAGATTCTGTATCACCCCTGCCGCTTCCCTGCGGTTCCCTGCTGTTGATTGCTGCGCCTCCCCTCCATCCGCCTCACTCCTCGCCTTATGGTCCACCACCGTCGCCGCCGCCACCACCACAACCCACCACCATCATGTGAAGATCATCATCTTCCCTCACGTCGGGCCCCCAACGGCCAGTGCAACGGGAAAGCAGCCGCCGTTGGCATGCGTTTCGACACGTGTCTGTTAGAGTGCATTAATGATCTGTCACTTCAGGTCTGGACGTCTACGCCGCTTCGCGTGGCGGCCCAAAACAAAATGAAAAATAGAAGCGATCAGCCAGCCCACAAGGTAACCTTCGGTGCCCTTGATGGCCCCTTCGGTTTCTGTGACAGTCAGGGTGGTGGAGCACAAAAGAAAAATAAAGGGTTCGGCGGCTCGGGAAGGAGGCAGTTGGGAGAATGCAGCCCGACGGATCAACGCCCCTTGGTTCCATCGCATGTAATTAATGTGCAGCTTTATGGTTCTATACTTGACAATGCACGGCACTGTGACGGAGCTATAACGATTGAAGAGAGAAGGACAATCAGTAACAATTGCGTACGCACTGTGGAGCAACGCCCATGAGCCTTGCATCATAAGAGTGAGCAGTAGCTTTACCGTGATAGAGGCAGTGGTGTGTGCCACATGTGTCCGACCCCCTTTCTAAGTATATCATACGTTACATTAGGCAAAGAGCCACCGTTGCCTCGCTCACATGGCTTGGTTGCCTTCCCGTCGTTTCTGATTCTCATCCTCTCCTTCCCAAACCCCTCCCGTCACTCATTGAGAAAGAGAGGACAGATAATAGCGAGAATGGAGATCAGCCCATCGACGGCGATGCTGTCGTCTCCAAAGAAAGTAGGGCCCCAAACGCCCTCGGAGTGGAGGGTGGCAAAAAGTGAAAGGCAATCTCGGGACCCGTAGGGCCGGGCCGAGCGAGGCGAGCCTCAAAGCCTTGCTAAGAGGAATCGCATGACGTCTCTACGCGTGCATGAAAGTCCCCATGCGCCGTATCTTCAGCTTTGAGCCTTCTTCGGAGTTGAGGCGCAAAAGGCTCCAGCCTTGTCTGTCAGGGCTGGTAGCCTGAAGAAGTGTGTAGCCCATACCATCGACTGCGCCAAAACGATGCCAAACAAGACAGTTTTGATTATAAATGGCCCATTAGATCACATTGAGCTTTATTGACTCTAAATACGTAAGTCGTTGATCAATAGAAGACTCTAGAGAAGTTGAAAAACTCAAGTGTATGTTGCCACCCACAAGGCTCAGTTAGCCCCACTCACACGTCGCGTAAAGTCAGGCAACAGCGAAGAAACAGCAGGGGTCGCGCTTCGCTGGCTTCGACAGGAACAAACACAGAGGAGGCTGAACAAGGAAGGTGGTAAAAAGCATTAGCTGGTTACGACGATCGCGTGCTTTCCCCGGCATATACGAAGTTCTTCAGCGGGGAAAGGGAGAAACATGTGGTTCCTGGAAGCGCGCGCGATCATGTCCCGGCTCCACCAACACAGCCCAACAACAGTGAGGCTGAGAGAGAGAGAGAGCGGAGCCGCAGGCGTCGGCGGGGCGTCGTGGGGCAGAGTGGTAAAAACCGGTGAGCTGAGCACATGACGGCGGGGAGAAGGGGGACAAGTCAGTCACAGTCGCACCGAACCAGTCTTTGCTCCCTTCCATAGCTGGGGCCTCCCATCCTCCTCATCCTCCTCTTCCTCCTCCTTCCCTTCTCCACACAGCAGCCAGCCGTGTACGTACCTACTCTTGCGAGCACGAGGTCGGGGCTTGCTGCACGGCGTCTGCCACGCGGACTCCGCCACGAGGACCGATGCGAAACCGGGAAGAGAGGGAGGAGGTGCGGAGAGACAGCAGACGCCAACACTCAACGTCAACGCCCAAGTTTCACACTTCCCATGTCGTGCAGGGCGCGTGGGAGAAGGACTGGAAAGAAATACTGAGGGGAGGCTGATTGGGTAGGCTTCGACTTGTAATGAACGCCGCCTCTCTCTCCTACATACGCCTCACTATCCTCCCTCTCGAGAGAAGGAGAGAAGATCTTGACGACGTGGCCGAATAGCTGTGGCTCGGACCGGGAGCATCCCACTTTGACCGGTTGGTGTGTGTATGTATGCTGAGATGCATATTCGCCTTTGTCCGACCGAAATCCATGTCAGTGAGGTTTGCCACATCACAGCACAGCCTTCCTCCCCCCCTCCTTCCAGGGCGGGGTCTCTCATCATAGTGGGGTCGTCCCGGAGGAAAAGTCCAGGATCCCTCCGCTTCTCCGAGCTATGATCAGGCCCTCTCTTTCTCCTGGGGGGTGACTCACCGTAGATTATTCCCGAGATTACTGCTGGAGAGGCATTTGGTGTAATTGTTGCCGGCGGCGAGCTGCTCATTGCAAGCAAACACCATGCTCCCTCGAGTGTGTGTTCCAGCTGTGGTGCACACATTCCACGGAAGCTATGTATGCATGGATCCACTTGCGCGTCTCGCTCCCATCATTATTCTGGGGTAATACTTGGGCAGCCAGCGGTCAACGCTTAATCTCGGGAACCCGATGGCCGCCGTCAGCTCAGGCATGATGGTCAGCGTGTGTCTATAAACGGCGCATCACACTTACGCTATGACGGCCGGCTATCAAAAAAGCGTACACTTCTACATTATCCATGATGCACCACGCAAGTAAGCGGTCAGCGTCAATCTAACAGAATTCCCGCCAGAAAATGAACCTGACCGAGGTCGGAAAACGGTAGCCAGCTCACCGCTATCCCCTCCAGAGCCTTGGTACAGAGACGTGTCTCCCCGTGTACTACGGGTCTCTATGAGCACTTCGGGACCAGGAAATTGGCCCGAATTTCGGCCCAGCCCGAGCTCCGAAGATCAAGAACCGGGCCCAGCAATACGTATGCTCGCTGGCAGCAGTGGCAACAGCCCTGCCCATGGCTCAATGCGCTAGAAACGCCTGTCCGGCGCCTCACTCCCGACGAGGTGGTTCGATTCCACCATGCACGCGGGGCTGAGAGAGAAATCGAACGCGTTTCTGTGGACATGTGGCGACGAGGCAGCGCGGTACGCGCGCGTCGTTGGCACCTGGGATCTGCCTGCTTGACGACCGAGTGCCTGGTCCCTGTATGGCATTGAAGGTCCCAGGGCACAGCAATGCCCGTACCCACTTTTTCGAGAATGCCACGATCCCGGCTTCTGGCGGCGGCTGTACTATGTACTGTTGTCTGCTGGCTCAAGGGGTGGGGTGGTACTCTCGTTCTGCAGGATACGTCGTCGTCTGCAAAGCTCGACCCAGTCTGAAACATCCGGATGCCTGGAAAGGACATGATGGGCTGCAGGCTGCAGCAAACAGGGCCGTCAGGCCACCAGAGCAGCATGCAGTGCGGTTGATGTGCGAGCTGCTGTGCACGCCGAACCGTGATGCATGACACCGAGAGCTTCGCGGGCACGGCAGCAGCAGCGCTGCACGCGCAAGACGACAACCGGTCGTTAGGGCGCTGGATCCGGCCCGGCGGTTGCAGATGTCGCTTTCGTATTGCACGGCAGCCAAAGGGGGACGGTGACACAGCACGCTTACCGCGCACCCCGCTCGGAGCGCCAAAGACCCAGTATCCAGGTTTGGGGATGGAGATAGCAGCCAATACCGGGCGTAAACGGGTAAATGGGACCTGGCCAAGTCCCCCACAGGCTGTCCAGGTGTCACCACAGGCTTTTCCCATGCAGCTCTCCAGCGCCAGCGGCATCACAAAAAGCGGGCAGAGCATGGTGCTGACTGTAGCGAAGGGGTCTGGCCGGTGGTGGGTCGTCGTCCTGCCTTGCTCGCTGCGTAGCGTCGCGGCTAGCTCTTCCAACGCCCATTCTGTCGGATTTGGCGTTGGCGCCCTCGGCTTCTTTTTCTGCGACGCGTGCTCACTGACGGGCAGCGAGAGAGGCTTGCCGCAGGCCGACGATAGCGCTCGTCCTGAGCCAGTCGTGTGCGCTGGCCGTGTCATGCGGAACCTCAGCACCGGGACTGCAGATTAAGTTTTCCTGGGCAGATCGTATAGCTTGGGCTTCCCTGTCGAATCTGGCGCAGTTGCACTGGCGCCGGGCCAATGGCGGGCCAGCGTGGCGCCAAGCGGTGAGTTCTTCATCCGCGTGTACCAGCTCTTTCCGGAGGACGGCCTTGGGGGTCAAAAGGCAGGCATCGCGCGCGCCCGAATTCTTTGTCCGTTTGTCGCATCTCAATCAAAGCCTCATGTGCATGTCGCTCCGACTGATGTCAGTCCCACGGAGCAACCTCCTGGATGAGTTAGTGACGGGCACATCGTGACTTCACAGCCCCGGCACAGCGGCTAACGGCATGCGGCGAACGGACGACAGGCCCGGCGGGAGGAACATCGAGAAGGCAACTACCTTGTGGTACGGCATGAAAGGCAGGCCGCCAAGGTTGCCAGGTTGCTGCGAAGACGGTGCGTACGCACATCATTTCTGGCGGAAATGGAGGAGGAAGGGTGCCGTCGCGGGCAAGCCTCACTGCGCGCCCTGCCACCGTCACTGGCAGCACCTAGCCTCGACGATCGCTGCGGAACATGGAGTCGCCTCATCTTTGAAGTCTTGCTGCTTGCGGTGGCGGGGACGATCGCACGGCGGAAGGATAGTCCGTAGCACAGAAGTGGCGGCGGCGAGACGGAAGCGAGTGAGCAGACATGGGGGCGGGAGCTGTGGGAGAGCGGAGGGCGGAGGTTCGGGTTACGCCCGGTGTGACAAGGCCGAGCCCGATCGCCGATACCGAGCTATTGTACCTAATATTGCGCACTGGGTTCCTCCTGGCCATGACAGGTGTTGGTGAGCAGCGCGCGAAAGAGGACGAAGTGCGTGGGGATGCCCTGCATTTGCAGGACGCGACAGTTAAGAAGCAGCGGGGCAGAGAGGCCCCACGGACAGCTGTTGCGCTCTCCAGATGCCAGGCAGCCAGACGCGCCCCTTATCTTATCTAGATCTGGCAAGTGCGTCGTCATCTCCCTGCCGGCGCCGAGTGCGCAGCGAGCTCTCCGCCAGATCATTCGTGGAGCTCCATGTCCACCACGCCAGCGAGCGCCGTTGTCGCAGACTAGAAAAGGGGAGCTCTTGGCTCGCGGCGGAGACGGCTTGGACAGCTCATCAATGCTTCATTTCTCTCCGACTTCGCCGTGGGTTGTTACGTCACGTGGAGCCAGCTGCGCAGCTCAGGCCCAGCTGCTTATTTGGACGTGGGAAATCAGGCACCGGTGCAGGGCGGCAGCGGCGCGGCGGAGGCGCCCGCCTGGAGCCCCGCGACGGCTGGCGACGACTCGCGGCGCAGGGTCTCTTTAACAGAATCATGCGATTTGCACAAGAGAACCTGCCCATCCGACAATGGTGGTCAGCCCATCCGAGAGCCCACGGAATGATGGCTGCCGCGAGCCCGTGCTAAGCCTGTAATAGCGTTAGCCCGTGTGTGCCTGAGCCAATCACCGCAGGGCCACGCAGGGTCTCGTCGCGCTCGCAGCAAGCTTGAAAAAAACGGCCTCCTGCAATGTTCAGATGTGGGAGTCTGGTTTAATTCGGCCGTCTAATCATCTCCACCGCCCGAGCCTTCCGGTCTCGCTTCTCCACCTACAAAACGCCGCCTCCTGCCGCCCAGCCTCAACAAGCCTGTCCTTATCTGATCGCGCATTCGCCGTCCTGGCTCTCAAGGAACCGCCATCAAGCTCCGCGCCCTAAGCCCCTTTCACCGTTGCGCTGCGCCATTGCGAAGCCCAACCACCACCACCGCAACTCTCAAACACCGGCGCGACGTCGCCACCACTCTGAGCCATGGACGTCGTGCTCGAAGCTTTCGACACCTACCTGTTCGACTACATCTACGCCTTCGCCGCGCCCTCACCCGCCGCGAACCTGGGAAAGGCCGCCGCCGTCGCCAATGCCTCATACGCCGCCATCCCGGAGATGCCCTCGCTCGCCAATGCGTGGAAATTCGAGCCTGCGAGCCAGTATCTCTCGTTTCCGCCCACTGAGTACGCGTGGATGAGCAGCTTGGCGCGCGACAACATGTACCGCCAGGCCGTTTCGCTATTCCTCATCACCTGGTACGCGCCCTGCCCCAATTGAATGCGCCGAGTCGCAGCGCTGATAGAATTTATGCAGGATCTTCGGCCTGGTCGTCTACTTCTTGTGCGCGACCTTCTCCTACGTCTTCGTCTTCGACAAGGCCACTTTCGCCCACCCGAAATACCTCAAGAACCAGATCTCGCTCGAGATCGCCCAGACAATGCGCGCCATGCCCATCATGAGCATCTTCACCACTCCTTTCTTCGTCGCCGAGGTTCGTGGCTTCAGCAAGATGTACGATGCTACTTCGGACGGCCCTGGAACCTGGTACGACATCATCCAGTTCCCATTCTTCATCATCTTCACCGACTTCTGCATCTACTGGATCCACCGCTGGCTTCACCACCCCAAGGTCTACAAGCACCTCCACAAGCCGCACCACAAGTGGATCATGCCCTCTCCGTTCGCGAGCCACGCCTTCCACCCGCTCGACGGCTTCGCCCAGTCTCTGCCCTACCACGTCTTCCCCTTCATCTTCCCGCTCCAGAAGTTCGCCTACGTCGCGCTCTTCGCCTTCGTCAACATCTGGACCGTCATGATCCACGATGGTGAATACATTGCCGAGAGCCCCGTCATCAACGGCGCGGCTTGCCACACGATGCACCAGTAAGTTTACCCCCCCTCTTGCAACCAAGCGACGTGCCTGACCAATTATCCACAGCCTGTACTTCAACTACAACTACGGCCAGTACACCACCCTCTGGGACCGTCTCGGCGGATCGTACCGCAAGCCCAACGACGAGCTGTTCCGCAAAGAGCTCAAGATGGCACAGTCGGAGTGGGAGAAGCAGAGCAAGGAGATGGAGCGCATCGTCAAGGAAGTCGAGGGCGAGGACGATCGCACTTACGACCCGGACCCGGCCGTGTCCAAGAAGCAACAGTAAGCGGGCTCCGCCGCACCCCGGCTCGAAACGGGCGTCTTGGCGAGCGCAAAGTCACAATGCGCCCTCGCCGCCGCCTGCTGAGCCGGGCCCAATACCGCTTTCCCTTTCTACGTTTGCCACGCGCCCACCGCCCCAGATTCTGCATCGACAATTATACCTTGTAATTTTTACGACTTTTCCATGGGGGGTTCACGACTTATGACATTTCTGCTGAGAATTTTGGTTTTGAGTCGGCTCTCAAACGCGCGCGGGCAGAGTCATGGGGAAAGCAATTTCGAGAGCTTTTCCGCCGAGTAGTCTGCTTGGCGGATGTGGCTCACGGAGAGGATCACATCATTTCTGATGCGAGCTCCTCTCCCAATGTACCTTACCTTTCTGCTTCCTATCCACAGCCATTGACTTGGTCCGGGGATAGGAGAGGAAGATGCATGCAAACGAATGGTGCTCACAAAGTATCATTCGTGAAGCCGAGTCCAGGCATGGACCGCGGCTTCTTATTTCCGGTTTGGCTAAACCATTAGGGAACAGGATAAAAGGGAAAAAGGTCAGCGATGGGGCAGAGAGCATAGTCTTGTGCTCCCCTCCATGTCAGCTGCTAATTGTCACAATTAACAACACAATTGGGAAAAAAACAGAAGCAAAAAAATACAAAAAAACAACCGTCCACCTCCTTCCCCACCGTCTTATCATTCTTCTTATGAGAAGATGTGGTTTGGGTAGTCGATGCAAAAAGAGAAAAGAAAGTGGCGGTTCCATCCCTTTCCCTCACACACAATACCTCGACTTCGGTTCGTTTCTAATTCATGCCGCCACCACTTTTTTGTACCATTCCTCCAGGCGAACGGATGTATATAATTATTACTTAATTCCTCCTTTTAATACCCTGGCGATCAATGCATGGAACGAGAAGACAATTGTTTGACACATCACTTCTATCTTCAGAATAATTGCGTGACTTCCTTTCGTTTATTTTCATGGATGTGAAATTTTGTTAGACCTATACAAATGCCTCATAGCAACAGCGGTGTGCTGTTCGTCCCACCTACCCACCCACCCACACACCCACACAACATCATCGACATCGACATCATCATCATCATCATCACAAATCCTTTTTTGCCCCCCATTGCCCCCCGGCGGGGGCTCGACCACCCTCCTTCCTTTCTTCCTCTTCCCTTTGCTTCCCCGCAACAGAAGAACCAAACAAAAGCCCCCCCCTCGCCAAGGAAACTAGCCGACCGCGGTACCGCGGTACCGGAACCGTCTGAAACCCATCCATCTGCTCTTCTCGCGTATCTCGTCTTTTGGTATATGGAAGAGAACAAAAAAAGAAAGCTTCAAGACTGTCTGCCTCGGAGCTCTCCCACTGCCCAAATTTAATTCGCCAGCAGCTCGTCTTTCCCAAAGGGAGAAGAAAAAAAACAAACAAAGAAAAGGCCGGGGGTTGATGGCCGCCAAAGAAAACGCCCATACGCGCATGCTCTTCTTCTACCTCCCCTCACCTTCCGCTTCCCCCTACTCTTCCGAGCGGCGCGCGCGTAGTGAAACGGATTCCAAAGCAGAGGCAAGTAATTGAGGTCTCATAATCCCATTAAAAGCCCAAATTCCCCTAATGAAGTCCCAAAAACCCTTATTTTTCTCCTTGTCCTGGTGCGAAGGAAAAAAGAAAAAAAAAACGCTTTCTCCCACGAGGTATCAAACCCTAGCAAAGAACACCACGCTGTGCTGTGCATCCGAGAAGCGGAAGATGATATAGAAGCGAGAAGATACATGGACAGCATTATCTCCTTCCATGGCCCATCTGAAAGGGCAACGACCCTTGCGCTCGCATTGCCATATTCTTGAATGGTCAAAAGTTGAGCGTCTCGGGAGGGAGTCTAAGACAATGTGTGTGCTGAAAACGGGGGAGGGCCGTGGTCAGCGGGTACGGTTGGAGTTGTACCATTGCTGACTCGTATCGTAGTAGTTGTGGTTCTGGGGGGTGCTGTAGTTTCCGTTCACCGAATGCCTAGGCCTAGAAGCCATTGGAGGGCCTAGTGAACTCGGTGGACGATTAGCACTCTGTTCATGACGGTAATGTGAAGGGGTCACCGGAGCCGGCGGGTGGGAAGGGTACGCATTATGACCCATGGAAGGCGGACGGAAACGGTCTGGAAGACTATTGGGCGTACTGTAGGCGCTGTTCGTTCTCTTCGCTGGACGAGGTGGTTCGTCATCATCGCTCAAAGTCAAGTCAATGACCATCTCTTGCTTGCGCTTCCCACGGTTGCTGCCCGGGACGGCCGAAGCCGTCGACGGCTCGCGAGACGAAACTGGCGGTGTGTTGACATTGTGCAGCGGCGTCATAGACTCCTCCTTCTTCATGACTGGTGGAGCGATCTCCACGAGGTCATCATCGCTATCGTCCGCCTGAGCCTTGATTCCGTTAAGCTCGCTCTTGGGCGTCGCGTGCTCGGCTTTCATCTTATCCGCGGTACCTGGCGACCAGGTGCCGTCCGGATAGATCCTGGCTTGATCAGTTGACGACGATGTCTTGGCAAGGATATCTTGCATGTATCTGAGGCTGATCAGTGATGATCCAATCTCGTATCGAACGGAGCCAAATACCTGTCCACCGCGAGCGCCTCGTAGCTGATCGTCTTGCTGCAGATCGGGCAGATCCACGTAGGCGCTTGTTCCTGCAACTGCAGAAACGAGGTGGCATCGAAGCATTCATTGTGCGAACAAACAGTGGAGCGGCACGGCACCGATATACGGATGCCGGCAACGGGATCTCTGAGTGAGACAACTTGAGACTCAATCACAATATCCGGATCCTGGGCCCGTGCCCGCACTGCAAATATATGTCAGGACAGGTTAGTTTGAAACTGGGGATGAAACGTACTTTCGTCCATGACCTTATCCTTGCTGAAAACGCGGTTGATGCGTCCTGCGAGTTCGGCAACCGAGTGCTTCCGGACGAGGTAGACGACCATGTGGAACTTCTGTACGCGGTCAATGATAACATAACGTTAGGGAGAGGGGATGAATGGGAAAGCCTGTCTTGATGGCAATGCTTCGTGCCTGAGATAGATTTACCCTTTCACTACTTGCCTTCTGCGTCAACGCGTATGTGATCTGGACGTTGTTGTTGTAGCCCGGGAGCTTGCGTATGAAATCCGTAATGTCTGCTGGCCGTGTGGAGCCGGGCTTGTTCTTGAGACCCTTGAAGTTTGACCTGACCTCATCGCCGTTGATCCTCACCTCCAACTGGTGTGGGAAAGCAATATCCGCGGCTGCGTAGGGGGCGAGAACCGGATCGGCGGCGGAGAACAACATGGCGCGCATGGAGCTACTCGACTTCATCCTATCCACAACATCTGCCGGCAGCTGGACCGAGATTGTTGTGCTAGTCCGGTTATTGGGCAGGACTTCAGCCCCTAGATTAGTATCAGAGGGCGTTGAGCAAACATTGGAAGCATGCAGCCTCACCTTGGAGCTCAACTGTTGGAGCCAAGGCCTCCTCTACATCGTAGAATGGGCTCTGTTTGAACGAGAAGCGGGCTGTGTACTGCTCAGTATGCTCCACGGGTGAATTGTCCTAGTGTACGTACGCTGGTAACGAGGGCGCGACGGAAGGTTCATGGCTGGTGCCGGGCGATAATTGTTTTGCATGGTTGCCGGGTTGATGGGTGATACGGAGTCGGGGTAGTCGGGCAGCTGGGGTGGATGAGGCGTGGCGGGGGGTGTTGCGCCGTGGTTGGCGATGCGATAGCGAAGTCGAGCGACACCGTTCGCGTCGCCACGGTGGACGAGAGTATTCAGGTCTGCATAGCAGATAAACGAGTCAGCGCGATTCGCATGTGCAAAGGCTCGGCTGTGGTGGAGGGAAGATCTCACGCTGAATGATGCGTTCCTGTAGCACGGCCTTGACGCCGGAGACGGGCAGCTCTTCTGACCTGCATATTTCCTTCAAGTCATTGTTTATCAGGTTCTTGAGGCGTGGGTGGAGGGAGTTGGCTTGCAACTGGAGCGACTGTCCAGAGGCCATGGCGGCGCAGCGCGGCGCGGGCAAGGTACGAGGGTGGAGGGGAAGCGAGAAGGCGAAGTACAGTCGAGGCTACGGACCGAGACGCGGTCGTGGTGCGGAGGCAGCACAGGCGAGGGGTCTGGGGTTGCGCGGACGCGGAAGGAAGAGGAGAGGTCGGGGCATGCTGAGGCGCGCGAGCTGGTGTTGAAGGGCAGACGTCGTAGTTGCCCGTTCGGTTCACTGGTTCACGTCCGGCCGCCTTCCGCGTCTGGTCGCGCCTTTCGCGGCCTCGCAGCTCTGCAGCAGAAATCTACACTATTCTCCGACTCCATCGCGCACTGCGCTCTCAGCCTACGCGCCGTCGAACGCGCAGCTTGTTTCGCGGCACGGGTACTTGCGGCCGGCGGCTCGGAGGCCAACGCGGGCACCGCAAGCCAGGGCGCCAAGCCTGATGTAAAATCTGGCCGCGCCGCCCTCACCGCCCGGCGCAGCCTACCGGAATCACTCCGCCTGCCGCCACCAAAAATTCCCAGCACAGACGAGCATCAAGCCCTCAACTCTACACCTCCGCGCTCGCACAATTTCTCACCCACCCTCCTACTTTCGCACGACACACACCATCCACAATGGCCAAGGGCGCGCGCTCCAGCGTTCGCAAGACGAACAACCAGAACCTCAAGGCCAGAGTCTTCGGCCCCGTCGAGACCGCCCGCACCGAGCGCCTGTCGCAGAAGCTGCTCGAGCTCGCTCAGCAGCCCCAACCCCCGAAGAATGAGATGGAGGTCGAGAAGGACGGTGAGCGCACTCGAAGCCTCCGCCATCTTCCGCAGCTCCCCACTGACACTCCCACAGAGCCCGAGAACAACGCCGCGCAAGAGAAGGCTCCGGCCGCTCAGGCAGAAGGTTCGTCGAAGTGCTTCACTTGGCCCATTCCGCCCTCGCTCCTAGCCAGCACCAACCCCACCAAGCAGCACATGGCTGAGGAGGAGGTCTTCTACCACTTCTTGGGCCTCTCGGGGGACATCACGGGCTTCACCACGGAAGGCGATCTGGGTTTGCACTTTTGACAACCTTGAACATCGCTGCTAACGCACTTGATTTGTGCAGCTATGGACGTCGACGGCGCGAAACCTTCCATGTCTAGCCTGAAGAAGAAGACCGGTCGGGTCCAGAAGAAGAGGCGCGGCAAGGCCACCTCCACCATTACGTTCAACAATCTGCGCAAAGGGAAGGCCGCGGGGAAGAAGGGTGGAAAGCGGTAATGTTTTTTTGCAAGGATTGTGGCACACGATACCCCATCGACGGACACAGCATTTTCAACGGAGTTTGCTACGGGCCTACGGCGTTCAGGTTTCTGGTAATTTCTCGCATGCTCCATGCACTACGGAGCTGGACCAGGGTCGAAATAGAAATATCTTGTCTTTCCAACAGCCTCGTACGCGTGGTAACTTATCGTACCGTGTCTTCCATGTCACTTTGACTTTCTTTCTCTTGGCCACCGCCACCGTACACCTGGCCACTTGCTATTTGCAGCCTTCGACTTCGTTTGCTGTCTTATGCCAGGCTATTCATACAAACAACTGTTACATTTAAATTCCACAACAGCCCACCTATGTGATCCATAAGGCATCATGCCCCACTCCACCACCATGGGAGACTATCCAGAACGACCCACGAACGAAAATCCAACACCCCGGCCTAATGGCATCCACATGTACCGCCGCTACTATCAGGACCCAGCTGCCGCCCCGCCAACCGCCCCTCTCCCGACTAGGCCGACCACTACTACGGGCGGGAGAATCTCAAGAATCATTGTATGTCCACAGCTCTGCTACCAAAATCACGTCTCCGCAGCCTTTCTCTCAGGGCCTTTTTTTTGTTTTTCTTCGTTTACAAACAAATCTCCGAAACCAAGTCATGAGCAGTTGAAGCTATCGTCCAGACAACAATTTTGAATTAAAGTTTAACAAACACGTCCGGACGATAGCTTCAACCGCCCATATACATGCCCCCGAAATCTCCAAGCCCTCCGTACTCACAAACCCTAACCACTAGGAAATAATCGACGTCACCGACCTCCCCAACGGCGTCCACCACGAGCAGCCGCCGCTCATCGCGCCTGCCCAGCCTTCCCGTGAGAATAGCAGCAGCAGCAACGGCAGCGCAAGAACAAACGGCAGCTCTGTTACGAGCGCACCCACATACGACGACGACGACGACGACGATGGCAGCCTCAGCGGTTCCGTGCGTCGTCCCGTGACATCGTCACCAGCTCTCGTCGTCGTCGTCGAAGAGGAAGTGCACAGAATAACGACAGCAGAGGCGACGAGTGGCACCGACCAGCCAAACGATTATGGTACTGCGGTGCGGGCGCCTTCCATCGCGCGCAATTCGCGATTTTCCAGAGACGATGAGGGAGAAGAAGAAGAAGAGGAGGAGGAGGAGGAAGGAGAAGGGGGAGGGGGAGAGGAGGGTTTGCGTGCAAGGAGGCGCGGCGGAGAGGGGGGAGAGCTAGAGGATGTCTGATGCTGGGTAGATGGTGATGATGACCGGCAATCGGGGAGAGCAGAAGCAAGGGTTTAGGGGAGTATACATGAAAATCGGGATGGTACTTTGTACTTAGATGTTTTGGCTTCTCTTGTTTGGCTTCTACGGTTACCATGGTATGGTAATGATAGGCCTGGCATAGATGTATCACTGGTTTCATTTCCCGTCGAACAACGACCCTGCAGTGAGCTACAGAAGATTGGATAATTTTTGTCCCACCAAAGGGCCTTTGACTTTTAGCTTTATCAAAGCGATGTTAGGATATAGATGCCAACGCCAAAAAATGAAAGAACAAGATCCAAGACATTGACTTCAACTACTGTCTTATGCGCAGCGACTAGCCAACCAACCCAGGTCCACCCACTGCGGTCCGCCGCCAACAATCTCCTTTTTTTTCATCTATCCTTCCCTTACGTCACAATGGAGGGCATCCAACCACTCAGTCCGTCGCCGAAGAAAGACTTCACACACTTACAAGACCCTACAACTCCCTGGAAAAGAGCAAGCAAGAGCTTGAGAAGAGGAAAAATCACATTAAGGCTTCGAATTTTACACGAAAGAATGATGATGCCTCTTTCTCCATTGAGCACGTGAGAAGTAAGAGAAGAGAGAAAACAGCAGAAGAACAGGAAAAAACCATTCAAGCCATGCCACCGTAATGATGATGATTTCCACGCGCATTCAAGCTGAAGCTCACGAAAAGGAAATCAAAGAGGACTGCCATCCTTCACGCGAAGAAACGGCAAAGCCCTCTTTTGTTTTTTGCTTCCCCGTGCAGTCGCTTCCAGCCCAGAAAGTGAGGAGGATTAAACCCCTTTAGCACCCACCCTCCATTCCCCCCAAAACTAAAACCGCACAACCAGTTCTCATAAAACTCCGTATGTTTGTCCGCGTAGTGTCCGTTCAAACCAAAAGCCCCGATGTTTATCATGATGATGAAGACGTGTCGGAGAGAGGAAATTTGTCTATCAAAATTCGACCTGTACTGAAACAGACGCCCAACAATCAGCATCAGACTATTTCCATGCAACATCAGCGGGATGCCATGGGAGTGCCCGCGCTCGAGACCGGTCCTGTCGAGGGCCTGACGCTTGCGTTGCCCCGGTCGTCGAAGTCGGCGAACTGAGGGTAATCCTGTGTTTCCTCCCTGAGCTTGTTGACGCAGGTTTCCTCGATGAGGTTGGCGTCCTGGTACAAGATACTCGTGTCCTCGTTGTACGTGCGGCAGTTGTTACACAAAAGAGCCATGTCTTGCCTGAACTGCCGTGTGTGCTGGTACTCTTTCTTGTTGATCTTCTTCTTGATCTGATCCATGCAAACCGGCTTGGTGATGATCTGGTAGTAATCGGGGTACTCGTAGCGGTCTGGCAGTTGAATGAAGGGGTCGATAATGCCGCGTGGTGCAAGATCTTCGCCAGGGGCGGGGCCTTCTTCCAGATCGTTGAGAGTCTCAAACACGTTGTTCAGGATCTTTTGCAGTGCCGACCGGTCATCTGCGCTGAGTGTCTCGGTGTTCTTGGCCCCACGGCCCCGCTTCCGAGGGGCAGGAGTTGTTTCACCATCCAAAGATGCCTCGTCCGCTTTCCGCTTCTCAGCCTTCGGTTTCCGACCGCGCTTCTTCGGCTGCGGCTCTTCTGAGCTCTCGCGAGACACAGCTGGAGACTCTACCACTTCGAACTCGCGAGCAGGGCGCTTCTCCTGTTTGCCAACGCGCCGTGCCTTGGCAGCTTCTTTGCGGGCAATGGCTGCCTCGATCGTGTCGTCGTCGTTGTCGACAGCCTCGAGCCATTGCTCTTCTGTGAGACCATCGTCGTATTTGACAGCTCTCCTTTCACGAGCACCGCGACCGTATGTTTCCTCAACCTCTTCAACAATGGCCGTATCGTCATTGACGTAGATGTCTGGCAATTCCTGCTCAGAGAACAGGCGAGGAAGTCTCTTGTCAGGGCCATACTGGTCGTCCCTGGCTCGCCTTTCATCGATTTCACGGAACGTGATCAGCTCGTCGTCAGAACGCATCATGATCATGTTGAGGTCCTCGTCATCCATCTCAGCTTGCTCGAGGTTCTCGGCAGCTTCGGCAGATTCAAGCATAATTCTCAGCATAGCGTCACGTTCTTCGTTGGTGGACTTGTTATCGAATTTACCGGCCTGAATGACCTTGCCGTCCATGTCCAGCTTGAAGTTGGCACGCTCCAAGATCTTCTCTTCAACAGAGTTGGAACTGATCAAACGGAGGATGCGGACCTCGTTCTTCTGACCGATACGATGGGCACGATCTTGAGCCTGCAAATCCTGGTGAGGATTCCAGTCAGAATCGTAGATGATGACGGTATCGGCGGACTGAAGGTTCAGTCCAAGACCACCAGCACGGGTGGAGAGCAGGAAGCAGAAGTACGGAGAGTTGGGAGCGTTGAAAAGCTTCAAGAGGTCCGAACGATCGTCAGCCTTTGTTGAACCGTCCAGACGGAGGTATTGAAGTCCTCTCAGCCGCAGGAAGTCTTCCATGATGTTCATGATCTGTGTCATCTGGAAGAACATCAAGACTCTGTGGCCCGTTGCTTGGAACTTGGGTAATATCCTGTCGAGCAGCTCGAATTTACCGGCGGTACGCCAAAGGAGATCGTTGGTGCCTCTGCCAGGGTTGATTTGGTCTTCAACCTCTTCGAAGACAAAAGGATGGTTACAGAGCTTGCGCAGTTGCATGAGCATATTGCTCAGACCACGCATGCCGGTCTTGCCGCCCTTGCCGTCGCTGACCATGAGCCTGTTGTGGTTGACAAGCTGCTTGTACAGTTTGGCCTGAAGCGCAGAGAAGGTACACTTGATGACGCGCTCTTGCTTGTCGGGAAGGTCCTTCTCCACGTCCTTCTTGAGACGGCGCAGCAGGAAGGGCCGAAGCACCTTGTGAAGACGGCGAATGACAAGCAACTGCTCTTCTTCGCTGAGCTCCATCTTGTCTTGACCGCCAGTATTCGCGAACGGTGTGTTGAACCACTCATCGAAAGACTTGACGGACTTGAAGATGTTGGGAAGAACGAAGTTGAGCAGCGCCCAAAGCTCAGGAAGGTTGTTCTGGAGCGGAGTACCGGTAAGAATGAGACGGTAGCGCGTGGTGTAGTACTGAGTGATGGTACTGCTGAGCTTCGAGTTGGAGTTCTTCATACGATGACCTTCATCAACAATCATGTGCAGCCACTTGATCTTGCTGAGAATCGGGCGGTCCTTGATGATGAACTCGTAAGTCGTAAGCAGAACCTGGAATTGTCCCCAGCGGATCTGCTGCTGCTGCTGTTTACGCTGCTGAGGAGGACCCTTGTAGACGATGCGCTGCACACTCGGTGCCCACTTCTCGAATTCGCTGTTCCAGTTCGTGAGAGTACTCAGCGGAACAATGACAAGGTAGGGACCGGGCTGTTGCTTTTTCTCGATCAAATAGGTGATCAAACTGATGGTCTGGATGGTCTTGCCAAGACCCATCTCATCGGCCAGAATACCGTTCAGGTTGTTGTTGTACAGCGAAATCATCCACTGCAGACCCTTGAGCTGATACTCTTTCAGCTTGCCACCAACCAGGTTGGTAGACTGCTCGACGACCTCTTCCTTGATACGGTGGGCAACCTCATAGTAGTCGACCTTGTTCGACTTCCTGTTCGGGTCATCCTCGTCGAGGTCGCTGTCGTCGTCCTCGGAATCGGAATCGGGAGCATCTCCGCCCCACCTGTCGGTAGCACTCCGCTGTTGAGCCTTGACGGAAGCAGCCAACTGGTTGAGGAAACCATCGGTTTGTTTGAGCAGGTGAGAAATACGAGTATCTTTTGCTTGACCAAGGAGCTTCAGGTAAGTCTCCTCGTCGTTCGCCTTCAGGGCCTGGAGACGCTGCTTTGCCGTACGCTCCACGCGCTTCTGTTCTTCCTTTTCGATGTTCTGGTGAGTCGACATCATGGCGCGACCGAGCCTCTGCATACGCATGCGCTGGTTTTGCGCCGCCTTCTGGATTTCTTCTCCACGGGCGAGCACGGCCTTGAGCTGGTCAGTCTGCTTCTTCTTCTCCTTGGTCTCCCGGGCATCCCGTTGTTGCTTCTCGAGCTTCTCGGTGATGCGAGCTTCACGGATGGACTGCTTCTTGAGACGGCGGTACATGGCCCGGTTGGCTGTCATGGCCAGGTTGTCCGCATACAGCATTTGCCGTCCAATCTCCTGCCTGAGCGCACGTTGCTTGGGCAAAAGACACAGCTTTTTGTACTCGATCAAAGCCTTCAGCTTCAAGTTCTTCGCATGCTCATCTGTAGGGGTATCCGATTTGCTTGTATCCCAAATGCCGACATTTGCTGGCAATGACTCGAGCTCCGCCTTCCTAGCCTGAATCCGGTTGTAAAGGACGATTTCGCGTTCCTCGCGGACCTTGTCAACGTCGACACCGGTGGGCATAATGCTGGGAAGAATGGACCGGCGTTCACGGTTATTGTGCTCGGCGTACGTAATAGACTTCGGGAACATTGAGAATGGGTCGGTCGTCGTCTTGAATCCCTTGTGAGCATTGGACTCTTCCTTGTTGGCGTCAGCGGCGGCAGCCTGAGCATTATCTAACACTTGACCAGCGGCAGCGACACGCTCAGCGGGAGTTGGCGACTTGGTTGCTTGTTTGGAAGGAAATAGAGCCTGCTGCATCTCAGGTGTGATGGTCATGTTGCGGGAAAGACGCTTGAATGCAGCGATTTGCGCCCGCAGTGTCAAGACCTGCGTTTGGGTGAATGCGGGATGCGCGTTCGGAGTAGCGGGCTTTTCGGTGCCAGCAGTTTGCTGCGTGCCAGTGTTTGCGCTAGAATCGTTGTTTGAAGGCAGTGTAGGTGTCCCGGCTTGGCCGTTGGCGGAGGGAGTCGAAGACGCCTGTGCACCGTTCGTGGTAGCAGCATGAGCAGTGCCATTCTGTTGTTGTTGTGCCTGCTGCTGCTGTTGCAACTGCTGTTGCTTCTGCTGCTGCTCCATCATGTACCGCTGGCGCTGCTTCTGCAGGTTCGTTTGCTGCGAGACGGCAGCGAGCAAATTACGCGCCTTGATGAATTCGGGATCGGATTCGGAAACATTCTGCGCCTTCATTTGTTGATATTTCTGCGGGGTGGGTTAGCACGCATGTGCTGCTTCGGGAGATGGAAAACCATGCTGGAGCGACAATGCGTACCATATACGTTGCCTGAACCTGCTCCTTGGTGAGGCCTGCAGGCAGGGAGGGTATGACACCTTGGCCAGGGCCAGGGGTGCCGTTGACCGGCTGTACAGAAGCCATGGTGGAGGAAATCGCGTGTCTTCAAAAGGCCGACACCGTGTGTTGATCGCAGTGGACGCGCCGGCGAACGAGGCCGGAGCCGAGGGGGACGCGAAGATGAGAGTAGAGCGGCAGAGGTGACCAGGCGTTGAGTGCTGCCTCAGAGCATCCTCGTGCGGTGTGCAAATGCGCCTTGTGGATGCGCGTCGCGATGCGGCCGGCGGAGGAGGGCCGGGGAACAGGGCGGCCGTCGCTCACGTCGCGGTGTGCAAATTGGAGGGAGGCGAAAATGAGCGTGGTGCGGTCGTGCAATGGCGCGGCGCGCGAGCGTGCAGGGGAAGCGGCACGCGTCGCTGAGGGTCGTGGTGATGCGGCGGGGAAAGCTTCGGGGGTGCTGCGATGGGCGGTTCTCGTCAAGCCGTCGATGCTCACAGAGGTTGAGCGCGAGGCAGACCGTTCAGCGAGAGGGCGCTGCTGCCAAGTTCCGACCGGGCTAGCGCGTTGCGTCACGTGAAAATCCTAACGGCGGGAAAGCGCATCGGTACCGACTGTTTTCTCACTCAGTTCCGTCACCCTTCACCAAGAAGTGATTTTGTGCTGCGGCGGGCCTGCTCTGCTGACGTCTTTGACTGCCGCCTCCACGGTCTGTAAGTTGATGAGCAGATCATGTGACTTTCGGAGCCCCCCGGCTAAGACCCGCATGGGATGTCTATTGGCCCTGGCGCGTCACGCCTGAAGCAGCCAATTCGGCAGTCAAACAGCGGGTCCAGCCGCCTTTGAGCCTCGAAAGTGCTTCTAGATTTCGTCAGGTACAGGAGTGCTGCAGCCCTTAACCTGCCAAGGAGCGCCGCAACCATAGAGGATGCAACTTTTCGGAATGGCTTTTCCCAATATCTTCGGCGAATAGCCACAACCGCGACAACAGACCCGGCTATTCGGCTTGACATGTTCGTCAGAATGCATCTACGGTAGCATCCTTGCGATGTGCTCCTCCACGGGAAGTAGAACGGGCATGTGCACAGACGAGTTCAAACGTCGAGCCGCAGCAGATCCAAATAGACGAAGGCTTGAATTCTACATGGGTCATCGTGCCGACCCACCGCAATAGCTTGATCCAATTACCCCCACGTAGGTGCTAAAAGAAACGATCCCCCGCAATTATCTTCGATAGCAACGGCACCCCGCTTACGTAGGTAGTTGAAGCTATCATCCGGACGGAGATGTATATTTAATAATTCGACATCTGCATCCGGATGGTAACTTCAACTACCTACGTAACGAGCTTAGATGCATGTGGAAATTAGTTCCGATGGCCCAGATCTTTCGGCACTTACTGAGCCCTCAGATTATCACTGAAGTCGGGGCGCTTTTGAAATTCTTTATAATTCATGGAGACGCTACTGGCCGCCGCTAACTAGGCTCGAAACTTCCGTGCATAAAAACTCCCTGTCATCGTGACCCCCATTAGGCAGGAAATGTCCTGGGGCCTACTGTGAACAGCGGAGTATAGGAAGCCATTTCGTCTCCGCTTAGGGAGACCGTCCTGCAGCCTCAACTGTCCATGTTTAAATCACTCAAAAAGACCCAAATTGCTCCCTTGAAATGTGCCCGTCTATCCCAACCCTTCCTGACTCCGCGCCTTGAACTTTCCCCCGCTGCGCTCGCAGTAAGAAACCGACCAGTCGTAGTCCCAGTGAAGCTGTTAGTACTGGGACACCTCCGATGAACTCAAGCCGCTCTTCTTCATCGGCGGCGGAGGTGGCGGAGGCTTCTTCGCACGAGAGGGTGGTGGCGGCGGCGGTCCCTTCCGTCCACTCGCCGGAGAAGTGGCCTCAGCGGCCCAGCTAGCAGATCGGATGGGCGCCGGAGAAACGGACCTGTCTCTACCGTAAGATCTTCCAGGACTGTGACTGCGGTCATCATCGTCGTAGTCGTCGCCGCCGCGGCTGCGCACCGGCCTCAAGTTGTTGCGACTAGCGGTAATGGAGGATGAGTCCGTAGGAACACGAGAAAGTCGAGGCATGCCTCCCGGGGAGTCGTCGCCACGACGGGAAGGTCCCTCGAATGTGCCGGTGGTGTTGGTGCGGCTGATAGACGGACGCTTGGGAGAGTCTTCGGCGTAGTCACGGCGAGGAGAGACACCGCGAGCACCAAGCTTGGGAATGGTAAGCTTGGGCTCGGGCATGGGCGGTTCCTCTTCCTCCTGGTAGCGGTCGTAAGAATGGGCCGTGTTGGAGCGAGACCTGGGGCCACGGCGGCTGGTTCCAGAAGATCCAGCTGAGCTGTGTAACATTAGCATGTCTCTTAAGACGGGCCAGGCACCGCCGCAAAGTAAGCGCGGCTTTGCATTCCACTTACCGAGCAGGCCAGTCCCGCTTCAACTGCATAAGAACCTCCCGGCACTTGTCATGATAAGCCAACTCGGCTTCCAAGAATGCAGTCAAATCTTCGACGTTGTCCCTTTCGGCCTCCTTGACCTCCTCCATGCGGCGGTAGACGTCCTCGCTAGCCTCCTCGTATTTAGCCTTTTGGGAGCGGAGCTCCTCCTCAACACGGAAATCCTCCTTCTTGGCCTTCTGCATCTTCACCAGGGCAGTATCGTAGGCAAGGCGACGCTGCTCCAACTTCTTGCGGGCCGCATTGTATTCCTTCATCTGGGCAAGGTTGCGTTCGAGGGACTCCAGCCAGCTGGTGGTGGAATCGGCAAGGAGCGTCTCCTGCGCGCGCGCCATTCTCTCGTGGGAGCGGCCCATCGCTTCAACAGAGTCAGCTCGTCATCGGAATTGCGATCGGGTGAGGTGAGCACGTACTCGACAAACAAGCTCCATACTCGGAGTCAGGATCAAAGTCCTCGCCGTGGCTGATCATGGTGGCACCCAAGAAGCCCACAGGCGTGTATTTCTCCTTGTCCCCCGCATCGTTGCGCTTGGACAGCCATTTGACGTAGGCGCTCATAGACCTGTGCAAGTTGTCCATTCCTGGATGACGCAAATTAGCCAGAACCTCTCAACGGTCGCGTGCCGCATCCACATACCGTCAGAACGAACGGTCATCTCCTGCTCGAGCGCCTTGAAGTCGTCGGACGCGTTGGTCCGGACTTCGCCTCCCATGCGCTCCCCCGCCCATTGCTTGAAGCGGTCCAGTTTCTTGTTGACAATCATGTTGAGTTTCCGTGTGGTGTGTTCGTCGTCCGCGGGGGCGTGTTGAGGAAAAAGGAGCGGGACGAAGATCACACGTGTTAGCGGCGGGTAATTAGGCGCTGTGCTGGCTGAATCGTGGTGCCCTGGGCACTTTCGCGGTGTGTGGAGGGGCGCTGGCTAGTATCGCATGCGAGGTTTCAGGTGGAAATGGCTGGGAAAAGAGACGGCGGAGAGAAGGTAAGGGCGGGTAGCGAGCGTGTGCAAGGGCTGCAACTGAAGAGAAGAGGCGAGAAGGTCACGACCGGAACGCTGCGGCATGGGCTGCTGTCCCCATATAAGGAACCTTGGGGAAGGCGAGACCTGATGCCACAAGGAACCCTCGCCGCCGTGCCGATCTTGTGCAGGGGCCTGGTCGTCAACGCGGGAACCGCGCGGCCAGCACGAGCTGCCCCATCAAAATCGTGGCTGAGCCGCGCCCAGAAGTGCGATTCGCGCCTGCCCCTCGTTCGAGCCCATTTCGCCAAAGGGGGGGCTCCGCGTCCGGCGCGTCGATGATACGCCACGCTTCGTGCCAATCGAAAATCTGAAACAGGCCCGGGGCAGGTTGGCCTGAGGGCGCCATCGTCTCGCTTTCCAGCTCTGGTCACGATCTCCTATTTTTGGACGTCATATCGAACGCATTCATTTTGATGAGACTCGAAGATCTGCCTCTTGAGCTTTTGATGAAGCTGCGTGGCTCTGCACCGTAGCACTCCCCGGACAACCCCCCGCACCCGACTGCGGGACTGGAATATCGCTGTAGAAAGCTCGCATGCACCATGTTTTTTATTTCCCGGTACATAATGGGTACTATTCGCCCCGAGGAAACCCGAACCCGCAGCAAAGAACACCCGAACCCATGCGTCACCCGTGAATCTACTCCTTCGTCTTCTGCGTACCACGGAGCAGACCGGTTCTCCTGGCAGCAATAAGACCGGCCTTTTGACCCTGTGCGGCGTAGCGGGAGATGGTCGAGGCCTTACCGATGTGCTGGTGGTTACCACCACCGTGAGGCTGTAGAAAATGATATCAGCACCGCATCTTCGCCCCGCACTCTCCAGAATACTTACGTGATCGACGGGGTTCATGGCAACACCACGAGTCTTGGGCCAAGAGTTGCGCTTGACGGCGAACTTGTGCTTAGCACGGGAAGCCTCTGTTGACAAAATTAGCCTCCGCGTCCCCTCAGTCATGGCAATTGCTGCACGTACTCAGGAGGGGCTTGTCCGTCCTTCCACCACCAGCGACGATACCGACCATACCACGGACGGAGCTGGAGACGACCTTCTTGGCGCCCGAGGGGAGCTTGACACGGGTCTTGCCCTCGTCGGGGTTGTGGCCAATGACGGTGACGTAGTTGCCGGAGGTCCTGCCGAGCGCACCGCGGTCGCCAACCTTCTCCTCGACGTTGGTGACGACGGTACCCTCAGGAACGGAGCCGAGGGGAAGGACGTTGCCGATGGTCAAGCTGGCGTTCTTGCCGGCGTAGATGAACTGGCCGGTGTACATGCCCTCGTTGGCAATGAAGGTCTCGGTGTGGAGCTTGAAGCGGTAGGGGTCGCGGAAAACGACCTTGGCGAGAGGAGCACCACGGCCGGGGTCGTGGATGATGTCCTTCACAACACCGCGGACGTAGCCATGGCGCTCAGCGAAGTCGTTGGTCCTGAACTTGGCGGGGGCCTTGTTCAGACGGGTGTTGGCCGTGAAGATGGAACCACGACTTTTATCATGTTAGCGAATCGGTTCCGGAAAGCTCTCGAGCGTTTGCGCGTACCCCTTCCTCTGGTTCCTGATAACGCGACCCTACGAACTGTCAGCTCGAATTCCTCCGCAGCGGTGCGTGGTGAAGCAGGTGCAATTTCGCCGGCTCTGCCTGGAGACGCTGTGCGGCTGTGACTTTGGCGCAAGCCCATTGTCGTCTGCTCGCGGCGAGCTCCATTCGAGGCAGGCGTTGCATGCGTGCGTGCGGTGTTTCGGGCGGAATTGTACTGACCATGGTTGCTGCTGTTGTTGTCGTGCAGGTGGTGTCCGGTCGGTCGTCCTCTGCGGTTGAGATTGATTTCGATTGTGGGCTTTTCGCGAAGGTCGCGGCGCACGGTCCACCAAAGGCCCGCGCTAGCCCGACTCGGCTAATGAAAATGCAATGAGCGACTGGCTGCACCTCAACCTCCCGTCTCGCCCTCACCACCAAGCTTTCATCAGCAATCGCGCATCAACGCCGCGCACATTCAGGTGCGTGCACCTGCACATCGCATAGATTTGGTGCGCATCGAAACATCTGCTTGCATATCCCGTGATCACTGGGCGTTGGACAGGCTCTCTGTTCGCTCGAAGACAGCGTCGCTTCAAAATGGCTTTTATCGCGGCATCGCTCAAGAGATGGGAGACATCCGAGGTGGGATGCGTCTCCTGTGTTGCTAGTCTGTCCGAGCGCACATCCGTTGTGGGCAATGAGCACATGCCATGGCAAAACTACAAGAGCGCGACAGTCACCGAGTCGCCAAGTCACCACAAAACTCCCACATCCCCCCCCCTTCCTGCAGCATCCCAGGTCCGAAACCATCACATCTCTATATTTCTCGCATCTTCACATTTCTCAGGCATGTCGGGAATCCCTCTCTTTCTCTAGTTTCATATACTTCGTCCTACCCATCGGTTTCAGATGGTAAACAGCCAAGTTCATCTCCTATTCCGTTGTTTTCAAGCGGTTTCTCACCCTGAAACGATGTGGTTGTGAAAGAGCAGGTTGCAGAAGTATTTTCCCCGGGCGCATGCCATTCACGGTCGCAAGACTTTTTGCCGAGGGCCTTTGCCGGCAGGCTCGCGGAGCGCAACTATCACACACTCTCACATACAAGAGCTTGGAACCCCGGACTCGGCTTGTGCATCTCGCATAGAGAGCGCAAATGCGACAACTATTGTGGAGAGCGTTTTGGCCGATGTAGGTTGCTGTTGCGAGTGCTCACTGATTGTGCCAGATCGGAAGGCGTCCCGGAAAGGTTGCAAATAGAGTGCCAACACCATCCCATCCACTCACAATAACCATTAGCAACGATGCGGCAGCCCTCATCGTTAGCAGCAACTCAGTATAGGTTGTCTTCTCTTCCATAGACGCGCAGTCGCACTCCCCATCGCACGGCGGATGATAAGAACGTCAGCATCCAGACGTCATTGCATAATTTCTACATTCATGTCCGGGCTACTGCTACCGCTGCCCACAGAACGAGCTTCTCTGCTTCAAGGCCGGGCCGAGCAGGACGCTGACCTTTGTAACCGCTTATGGCCTCAGTCCCGGAACCGTTCCTGTCACACTTGCGTGTAAGCGAGCGACACGGCCATCACCAGAATTATGACAACAACCGCGCTCCACTCGGAATGTCGAGCTGTTCGGTGTTGTTGGTTGTACAGCAGGTTCTTGCAGGATTCGCGTGTCTGTGGCGGCTTCCTAGAGGTTGGACGTTGATACCCGAAGGCGCAACAGAGCTTTGGACACGAGGAGAACAGATGGACTCATCGGTTTCGTTGAAAGGAGCGAGAGCGGCGAGTTTGTAGACGGCGAATGCGAATGCAACTTTTCCCGGCCTCGAGACATAGCGCGTGAAATATGCCAAAATAGAGCCCAAGTCTGGGACACATGACGTGCACTGGGCCCAAGAGACGCCCAAGCCAATCATGTAATCTTATCGTTGCCAGTGCTTCATTCTCGCCGTGGTGCTCCAGCCGGCCGCGCACTTCGCATCCACAACCCGCCGCTGACCCACCGCGTCCTCATCCAACTTCGACCACAGCGTTCGACCCCCACAACATGAGCGACTCCGAGCTCTCCTCGGTGTTGTCGTCGCCTCCCGCCAGCGACGACGAGGCAAAGGCCATTGGGCCCATGGACAAGTTCCTGCAGAAGTCGTCGGCCAAGAAGAAGATGGCCGCCGCAACCACCGCGCAACCTCCGCCGAGTCCGCCCGTCAAGAGGAAGCGCTCCCCCTCTCCACCGCACGAGGAGGTCCTGGCCGACAATCCTATCATACCTGTGAGTTGGTGGCGCGACATGACACGTATTGACGCGACGAACGCGTCGCATTTGCCCTGCACGCTGTGCTAATGCGCATGCTACATCATAGGTCATCGTCACGTTCCGGGCGCGCCTGTCCGATGCCTTCCCGCCCAAGTGCCCTCACCTTGGTCCTCAGGATATCGAGAAGGGGATTGTTGATTCTGCCCCGTCGCCGCAAGTCGAAAGCCTGTTGTGTGCGCTCCTTGGATTCGCTCTCAACCGCAAGAAACCCGTCGAGTACGTCCTCCGCCGCCCACACCTTGTCGCGCACCTACCGCATCCCGCGTCCAGAACAAACCAAGCTTTAATACTTGAGCAAAGCTAATAAGTATGCAGGAAGGGTCATTATGGCCGCGCTCTCGAGGAAACAATGTCGACCTACAAGTCCGAGTGGCCGTACTCCTGGGGCGGAATAAACCCTCTGTCTGGCAGCCGTTCTTTCAACGATATGAGCCCCCAGGACCGGGTGAGCGGCTCTACGTTCGCTGTTTTGAGCATTTTGCTGACCCTTTTTTTGCAGTTGTCCGTCCTGCAAGCCATCATCCACTGGTGCCTCCACGGTTCGGATGTTATCAAGGCAATCATCAAAGAGAACTATAAGCAAAGCCGCCATGACGACGACCTGAACCAGCCGCTTTCTGTGCAGCCCTGGGGCGTGGATGGCGATAAGCGTCGCTACTGGCTCATCGAGGGGAAGGACGACACTCCATTCCGCTTATACCGCGAGAGCAACCCGTATCACAAGAAGGTTCAGTTCCGTAGCGTAGCAGGCTCTATTGAAGAGCTGCGGGAAGTCGCCCTCAAGCTGGCAAAGGATGGTACCCAGGCGTCGCGCAGGCTCGGCGAGAGGATCAACGCCGCCATCCCTCGCTTCGAAGCTACTGAGGATGTAAGCTTTGTCCTTGGCATCACGAATCCACCAAATCCGTTCCCGCAAGCAGTTACTAACAACCCCTCTATAGAAGCGCAAGCGGCGTGAGTATCGCATGCAACGCAAGGCACAGTTTGCTCGTCCTGAGCCTGGCTTCTCGCTGTACGAGGGCCGCACTCGTGGCAAGCGCATGAAGTACACTTTCTCCGACGAGGAAGATGAGACTTCCGACGCACTCTCCACTCGTCGCTCCACGCGCCGTGGCACTCCGTCGGACAACAAGCCGATTGTGACTTCCAGTGGCCGTCAAGTTCGCTCTCGCATGGGCGGCCTCTACGGCGAAACTCTTCTTAGCGGCCAGAACACGGAACTAGACTCCCCTGGTACCGCGGACTATGAGCGATCTGACGCCTCCGAGGGCATGGGCGGCCGCGCCACTCGCGCCGGTCGCGGCAGGCACGGGGTCCCCCAGCGCAGCAGCAAGCACATCGACGGCTACAACAGCATCGATGAGATGGACGATGAAGAAGAAGTGGACGAATGGGACGGAGGTGATGATGATGACGATGAGGACTTGGGACTCAACGACGACGATGAGGAATCCCTTGCCGATGACGAGTCGGATAGCGACAACTACGTCAAGCCCAAGGGTAGTCTCGTGGTCACTCTGCGGATCCGCCCCGATCGCCTCGCCGCTGCGAGCAGCCCCCCTCCGCAGCCGAGCAGCCCGCCCGCTACCACCGAAGAGGTTGAGGACAAGATGGAGATCGACAGCGGCGTTAACGCCAACACCCAGGCAACTGCTCAAACTTCTGCTTCCTCTATTGATACGCCCGCTCCGTCCGTGGAATCCAAGGCCCAGCCCGCTGCACAGACTGCGGATTCTGTGTCCAAGCCCACATCTGGAGATAAGGTGGCTGCCGAGCCGATCGCAAAGCTTCCTTCACCCCCTGCTAGTATCAATCTGAAGTCGGAGCAACCAGAGGTCAATGGCAGGCAGGGAATCCCGAGCACGATGTCCGCAGAAACTGCTCCGATTCACTATCCTGTGCAGCAGCTTCAGTACCTTGCACAGACTGATCACAGCCTCCAGCCACCCAGTTTCCGGGTCCAGGATGCAGCCATGACCGATCTCCCTCCTACGCACACGTCGCAATGAAAGGAGCTGATGTGATGAAGACTTTTCATTTTTTCAATGGGTGTAAGATCGGAATGATGCGGACGTATCGTGTATGATATACGATACGATACCCTCTCGTGTTTTTTGTTCTTTGTGTTTCTGACTTTACCTTGCTTTTGCTCCACGGAGACATAAAGTCTTGGGAAGCTTATGGCGTTTGTATTGGGTTTAATGGATTGCGATATTCGATTCACGATGCTGACAGGGAGGCCATACCAATATCCAGGGGTTGATAGACTTTCACAGCGCTGCTACTGATGCCGGGGTTTAAGCCTAGATGGGATGGGACGATATACCATCTTAGGCACGATGCATTACTTTATGTAGGATAGGCGCGTACATCAGAGATAACAATGACATTGTTCTAGAGACAGCGTCCCAAATGTTGTGTATGAAGAATACTTGTGTACTACAGAGGGGCATTGCATCCGAAAGCCAGCGTCAACTTATTTCTCGCTCATACCATGAGCAGTCGAAGCCATCGTCCGGATGAGAGAATTAAATTTTCTACAGACACGTCCGAACGATAGCTTCAACTGCCCACAAATAATATTTTATTGAAAAGAAAAAGAAAAGTTGAGGTATGGTTACCTTAAGCTCATGTAAGGAGTGTGGAGTCATGTACAGAGTATGCAAGGGCCAATCCTTTGCAGCCCACCACATTGGTGCGAACACACCTATGCCGATGTGACATTCGCTTTACATTCTAAGATACTTTACGCGCACATAAAAAATGTACTTACAGACACAAAATGACCCTATTCCACATTCATGAGGGCTGAAAAATAAGGCGCTCATAGCCGCTTCAACAGCTATTCCAAAGTCATTCGTTTCTATACATCGGAATAGCAAGGTAAAGGTCTTGGGTCTTTATTAAAGTCGTTTCCCCTCAATCTCCGCCATAGATGTTTTCAACACAGCAAATACTCTCCATCTTTTTGCCCACCATACTCCAAACGCCATGCTTTCGCAAAAAACAACCAACGGCGGCACCAACCGCCCTTACCTCCTCTTGCCACCCTTCTTCCCACCCCCAAACCCGCCTCTCCCTTCCCCAGTAATGCTCGCGACATCCCTCTTGCTCAACCGCAGCGTGCCGCCGCTAAATCTGCCGACACCGGGCCCGCCGACGCCGCGCTCCCTCTTCTTGCCGGCATCCTTGGCCTTGTCCTTGCGCTCCTTCTCGAGGATGATGCCGTTCTCGCGGGCCTCGCGGCGGCGGGTGGCCTCCTTGGCGGCGGCCTTGGCCTTGATGCCCTTGCGGTGCGACATGGGCATGTTCTTCTGCTCGAGGATGGACGACTTGGAGCCGAGGGCCTGGATGCGCAGGTCGGTGGCTTTGTGGCGGTTCTTGCCTGTGGGGCCGGCGAGCAGGTTGTCTGGCGACGAGGCGTCGAGGAGGTGCGATTCTTTGAGTAGGCGTTGCAGCGCGAGGTCGTTCTTGAGGTTCATGGCGTCGGCGTCATCGTCGCTGTCGTCTTTTTTGTTGGAGGTGGCGGGTTTCTTGGAGGGCTGGGTCGGTGGTTTTGAGGACTGGTGGTGCGCAGCGCGTTTAGCTAGAGTCCATCATATGGAAGCAGAAGGTTGTGAGAAGGCACGTACCATAAATGCCTTCAATTCCGCTTTGCTCAACCGCTCTGAGCGCGTGGGGCCGGTAACCTCGACAACTTCGACGGTCTTGCTAGGCTCCTCGTCGTCCTCCGATATCCCTTCCCAATCGCCATCTTCCTCGCTCTCGTCCTCTTCTTCCTTTTCCTCAGGTTCGGGCGACTTCTCCTTCTTCGTCACGCCGGCCAGCGGCTTGAACTTTGCCTCGAAAGCGCGCCGAAACGCATCGCGCATGTCCTCCGAATCAGATTCCTCAGGCTCCTCCTTCTTGGCAGGACGTTTGCTAACAGGCGCAGCCGCCTTCGCCTCGACGCGCTTTCGCTTTCCGAGCGCAACAGCCATCGTTCGCCGTATGTATTGGTTCGTGGTGAGAAAAATGGCAGTGCAAGTATTCGCGAGTAACTTTTCCGTGAGCTGTGTTGCGCGCGCACGGCGGTGGCGCGCGGCAGAAAAGTTGCCCGCAGCAGCACCTCCGCGGCGCGGGGCTTAACCTGCCCCACCACGACTTTCAATTCTCACCACGACCAAATCTCAGGAAGGAATCATGACGCGTTTCCGCCCCTGCATCGACCTCCATGCCGGCTCCGTCAAGCAGATTGTCGGCGGCACGCTGACGACTACCGACTCGGACCTCAAGACCAACCACGTCTCGGAGCTGCCGGCCGGCCACTTCGCGACGCTATACAAGGACAATGGCCTCACCGGCGCGCACGTCATCATGCTCGGCCCGGGCAATGATGAGGCCGCGACGGAGGCCGTGAAGGCGTGGCCGAATGGCCTGCAGGTCGGCGGCGGCATCACCGATGCGAACGCGGCGATGTGGGTGGAGAGGGGCGCGGAGAAGGTGGGTGCGGATCGGATGTGATATCGGAGACAGAATGGAGGAGAAAAAGAGGGGATGGATTTAGGGCTGGGCTGACGCGAGAGAATAGTAGGTGATCATCACGTCGTACCTCTTCCCGTCAGGCAAGTTCTCGCTCGAGCGCCTGCAAGCCGTGCTGAAGGCGCTGGGCGGCGACAAGGAGAAGCTGGTCATCGACCTCAGCTGCAGGAGGCGAGGCGAGACCTGGTTCGTCGCCATGAACAAGTGGCAGACCATCACCGATATGGAGCTCAACCAGGGTAAGTGCTACGGTTGCGACTGAGCATGTCGAAGCTGACGGATGCCTGGCAGAGTCGATATCCCTCCTTGAGCCTTACTGCTCCGAATTCCTCATCCACGCCGCCGATAATGAGGGTCTCCAGCAGGGTATCGACCACGAGCTCGTGAAGAAGCTGGCCGCGTGGTGCAGCATCCCAGTGACGTATGCCGGCGGCGGCAGGAGCTTGGAAGACTTGGACACGGTCAAGGAGCTTAGCAATGGCAAGGTTGATTTGACCATTGGAAGTGCACTTGATATTTTTGGTGGTAGTGCGGTGAAGTTTGAGGACTGTATTGCGTGGAATTCCAAGCAGTAGAAGAGTCATCGGGGCATCCAGATAGAAAATGTCAAAAGGAAAAACTAGATCAAGAGAAGACAAAAGTAAAAGAATCGCAAATAGGGTGACGGTAAACTTACTTCCATAAAGCTCTCATAATGCTGCTCCCTCTCTCACATATGATTGACTGCGTTCACGACTGCACAACGTTCTTAGTCATTTCAGGTGAAGTGTGAAAGGTAGGAACCTCCTCCCCAAAACTAGAGCACTGCCCGCGCCTTCCTCTGCGGCAAGCTCTTACCTTCTAAACCTTAGCGAGATCGCCACAACTTTCACACACTCTTCAACACATACAGAGAACTTCATCCCCTCTCATTCGATCATCCACCATGGAGGCAGCCGAACACGGGCCGCCTGGCCAACCACACCCGCGTCCAGACAGCGGTGAGACAAGTGAGCCATCTACGAAGCCACCACCGCGCAAGGAGCCGCCCAGACCGCCCGATCAGCCAATTTCGCGCCGCAAGGCAAAAGCCGAAACCCGACGCCGTCTATAACGCTGGTTTTGAATGACGGCGTTTGCTTCCCGCAGAAAGTCCGCCTCCCACGACTCCAACGACCAACAACCTTCAGAGCAACCATCCACCCACCCAGGCATTTCACCCTGCACCACCGTAAGCTGTCCCTCCGTATACTGTCTCACCCCGCTGCTGCTGGTGCTTATAAGCCGGTGCCGTGTTCCTCATCCAAAGGCTGGCTCAAGATTGCGCTACGGGGAAAGATTGTTGATATAAATGGCCAGATGGTGCGTACGGAGCCATACAGAAGGAAGGAAATCTCTGGGCCGTCTGAAGTACCAACAAAACCCTATACGCGGCCTCCTACGCTTAGTGATGCTATCGGTGTACAATTGGTGCTGGGTTTAGCAAAGAGCAGCCTATTTTAAGGGACGCTCTCGCCGGATCCGACAGAACTACCTGCACTGGCTACGAGAACTGGCTAGCCATTGACCGGGTCCGTGTCTTCTCGAACATCAAACGACATCAAGCGGATCTCCTCGAGTACATGAGGAGAAAGTTCGGACATCTAACTCCCATCGACTCTTGGCCTGAAGACAACGACCCAATGATAAGTATCCCGGATTTCGTTCATGGTTCAGACGCACATCTCCAGAAAGGATATAAAATTACCTATTCGAGGATGGCCCGGTCCTCTTCAACGAATGGATCGTTCTTATGGAATGGGATTTTCAAGGCTGGGTCGCCTACGAATGCAGTGGAGGTTGCGGAACTGTGGCGGTGTCGGTGAAGGCAGAAGATGTGACGGATCAGCCAGAAAGGTGGCCGATGACGAACCCCCGGTGGAAGCCAATTGCCGAAGAGCTTCGTACGGACAAAGAGGGTAGGTTTCGACAGCCGTCCAGAGCTATGTTGATGCACCTGAATCGCTGCACATACCGGTGGCAAGTGCCTCAATACTTTCCAACCGCAACAAAAAGAGCCACGGTATTCATATCCGTCGGCCCCGAGGGATGATCGTCTTTCCGAGCGAGGAGGAGCGGTTACTCAGCGCCAGTTTAAAGTTCTTTTTTTTTTACTTTTCTACAAAGGATAGTTTTTTAAGCAGTAAGAAGCAGTTACTTGACGATATCAAAGTTTTTTTTTATCTGGACTGTGTTTGACCAAGCCGGGTTGTAACTTTACAGGGGGTTATCGCAGCCGACGGCTAGTACGAAGAATAGTAAGGCCCCAGATGTAGCTATGCTTAACTCTTACTCAGAAAAAGAACATGTGTGGGTAGCTGAAGCTATCGTCCGGACGTGAATGCATAATTATCAATTCTGCATTTACATCCGGGTGATAGCTTCAACTACCTATGACATGAGCAAAAAAAAAAAACAAATCCACTGGACTGGCAAACATGTTGAAGATATTCTTAAGGTATTCGGCTCATCTTAATATCTTCTTTTAATAGAGACTTTACTAACTGTATTCAGTAGATTTCCACAGGTGTTCGTTCTTTGTATGAAGCTGTTCAGACTAGCACCCCCATGCGAAAAGAATATGTTGGCCGCGTCTCTGAGCCTCTGTTGGCCGGCTACTAGCAAATACCCCAGTCAAAGAGCAGTCGTAATTTCCAGCAACGATCTGAGAGGAACGGAAACGAGAATGAAACCCTTCGAAGAGCGGCTGAGCGTTGGCAGCCGAACGTCATCCGCAGAATTAGTCCGCCATATGCGGATGCGCTCGATGAAGCGAACGATTTCCCAGGCTTGCTCGAGAACAACCTCCGTCAGTACGATTCGAAAAAAAAAAAAAAAAACTCCCGGAGCTCCCGCAGATCTTCCAACCATTGGTGCCTCATGCAGAGGCGGTCATCAAGGGATATCCCCTGCCCCGCATGTTGATCAACTACGAACTGAAAGACGTCGATAAGACGGCTAAGTACTGCAATACTGTCAGTCTGAAGTACCTCTTATCGTCTTATCGATCTCAGAGCTCAGAGGTGGATTTGCGCGACGACTCGCTTGACAAGCGCGCTGAAGAAGATAAGGCCTACACAGAGGAAGTAGGGTCACCGGGAGGGATTTTCAAGGGCCTCTTTTGTCTTTGCATAGCGAGGGATTACTCCGGCACATAACTTTCTTTCTTGGGAATTCTCCTTGCCCGAGGCACGGTGAGAGAGGGCCCTGAGCCCATAGTTTTCTTTCCTGTAGTCAGGACGTAGCCTTAGTCTACATGATGCGATATTGATCACTACACATGACCATAAAGATACGTCACTCTGTGTACACCACCCGCGACCCCAATCATGATGGAACTTAGCCGTGGACACCTTCGTCCGGAACTGCGTTCGCCATTCATATCTAACGATAAAAGACTTTGTTCTGCAAAAGATACCCCCTCACGCCATCGATTGCGCTGCTATGGTTGATTGGACTCTTTCTTGTCGGAAGACTCTCGGCCAATAACAAGGCCGTATTCGCCGGCAATGACCGACCTGGTAGGGCCATCCGGCTGCTCGGACTTCGTGGGCGCGGGCGAGGGCGCAAGAGCCCTTGGTGGGCTTGAAGACCAAGGAATTGGAATAGGTGAGGATGATGGAGTCGGAGAGATTGGAGGCAAAGCCTTACGCTCCCAAGGCAACCTATCGTCTTCTTCGACCTCGACTGGAGCTCTGCCAACGCCAGGCTCATCGGCCCCAGTACCGCCAGCTTCACCAGCCTCACCGGCCTCCTCTGCTCTCTTGGCAGCCTTGCGAGCTTGACGCTGTGCCGTGGTGAGGTTTCCAGACTTCCTCTTGCGCTTTGGCATGGTGCGGGTGTCTTCCTCACCCTCTGGGACTGGGACCGAAAACTTCATAGCGGCGGCATTGCGTATGCGTGTATGCTTCTCGAAGTGCGGACGCTTGCGCTTCTTCTGTAACTTCACTATATTAGCGGGGTTCTAGGACATTTCTATTCGAAAATTGTCCGAGATGTGGTTGAATCCCGCCCAATACCTTCGAAAGAGCATGGGTTAGGAAAATGAAAAGTGATTGCAGTGCATGTCTTGGAGATGTCTTGGCGGAGAAGGTTTCTGTGAGGCAAAGTGATTTGAAGAAAGATAAACACTTACGCTGCTGACCTCCGTGGCGACACTGTCCTGCCCCGCCACCGCTGTCTGCTCCTCGGGATCCATTCTCGCAAACACGAAGCAATGAAGAAAAAAGAGGTCTCGAAACGACAAAAACAAAAAACGTTCGGCTGCTTTGCTGAGAGACGTGGATCGATCGTACGCGCGGGTGAGAGAGCAAGACGGAGTTGTAAAGTTCAGCAGTCCTGCAGGGTTAATAAGGGTCGCGGGCTAGCGCATATTCGGGAGGGTAGGCACGATGGTCGACAGTTGCGGTTTCCACACAACCAGAACACTAAAATTCAGCAGTGGGGAGCAGTTACTTAGCACCATTTTTAAAATTCTTTTGCTTTTCTACAAAGCACGGTTTTTATTTTTCGCAGCGAGAAGCAGTTGCTGAACAAAAGAATGAGGACCGCCTTTTTTGGGGGTACTCTTGCGTTCAGAAACTTCACCAACCCGGGGAAGATTTTGAGCTGTCTGGCCAGTCAGGTTGACTCTAATACCATGTCGGTGCTAAAGTTGACGCCCTTTTCGTCACTGGCCAGCCTTTCTGTTACTTGTGAGTGAGCTCCTAGGCTGAGTGAAGCCTCAACAACAATCTCTTTGGAAGGATCGGCCTGTGAGATCCTCCCTCCAAACCACTAGTCAATTTTGAGCCTCATTATTATCCGGGCGTGTTTGTAGAATTTTTAATTCGACATTCTCGTCCGTACGATAGCTTCAACTACCCACATATGTTATTATTTTTATAAGAAAGAGATGTGGCATCGTTACGCCTGGGGCCTTACTTACTGTTCTTCACACTAGCCTTCGGCGACCGCGCCTGATCAGCGAAAAGAAGCCGTGAAAACTAATTCGTTATAGTCTCTTTCGTGGACCCGTAAGGGGTTCCTGAGACAAGAACCGTGCCAATTCGCGCAATGTAGCTTAGATGATCGCCGGAGCCAGCATTGACATTGGGATGAACGTGAAACTCATCTATGACAACCAAGCTGAATCTCTTGCTAGCTGTGTTCACTGGTTGGGAGACGTAATGGTTGTAACAGTTATCTGTGGTTATGATGCCGCAACGACAGAGATAATCAACTGAGTTGTCTTGAAGGCGAGTTTTGGCTTTGTAGATGTCTCCGAAAGCTATTCCGTGGTCATTGGTAGGGTGCGCCATTAACAGTCGCAGACCTCCTTTTTTCTTGTCAATGTCAACGAAGTTCTCAACTTGCTTGAGCCATTGCCCAATGTTAGACGATTGGACAAAGAAAAGGAAAGGGTAGGTTCCGCATCTGCGAAAGAAAAGTTCTTTCCAATCCTCTGCACAGCTTTCGCCGGTACAGGAACATTCAAAGCCAGGTCTGGTATCTTCGCTCGGGCACTTGCTATCGGTTGATCCTTTGGGGAGGTGGCGACCATCATGAGCCTCTCGACTGGCAGTAATGTCCTCATAATTTAGACGTAGCTGATTCCACATCACCCACGGTCCCCAAGGCCTCCGCCATCTTGCTAACGCCCATCTTGTCGCCAATGATCGCACGTGTTGGATGTTTTCAGAGAATTGTGTTCAAGACCCGCCAAACAGCAAACAGCTGATGCTGGTAGAGCGGTTGCTTGAAGCCTGTTATCCTAGGCAAACTGGCAAGCCTTGCGGGACTCTTGCGGTCAGCATTGAGCCAATTTTTCTGGCCTGGGCGTAGGATAAACTTGAGGAACAATTCAATGTTACGTGGCCAGCCAGTCCTTGTATCGGTGTTACCTTCGCTGTTCATACAACCCTGACTTTGAATTCTGGTCAGCGGCTGGTGTTAAAGGAACATATTCTTGTGCTAAGGGTATTGGAGACGTAATGCAGTTCTCTAGTACCCGCTCTCTACATGTATGTAGACAGATTGTAGCATGAAAATGGGTTGAGAAGTAGCATCCATTCATCAAACGATCGATAATCCATACCTCATTGACCCATAATTTCCATAGCACAACCCGCTTCAATCAAAGTAAACACCCGCGGTACCCGCTCAACTAGCAGCAAGAAGCAATACAGAGGTAATCCAACAAAGGCAATATAGTCAAGGTAGAACGAACCAAATATTGCAAACGAAAGAACAAGGCGTCACAACCTCAGTAACAAGAGAAATAAAAGCAGAAGCTAGCGGAACGACAGTCTAGAGCCCATTGTGGCTCTGCTCTTTCTCATGGACCTGGACAGCAGCACTTGAAAAGAACCCAAGCGATCGAACAAGTAAGCCATGCCATATACACAGGGTATCCATGTAGCGAGATCAAGGACTACCATCGCGGCGCACGAGAAGGACTTCAAAAATCAAAGGACGGGAAACGACCGAGCAGCACAGCAACCAATTATTTCATATTCGCGGCTGGAAAAAAAAGTAGAATAAGGAATCAGACATCGAAAACATCAATCGCTCATCAAAAATAGTACAGACCAGACGCATGCATGAGCCGGATTTAAAAAGAGGGAGCAAGTAAGACAAGAAAGGGAGGAATGGAAAAAAAAGAAAAAACCAGACTCCCCGAAACAATCTCGCCCCAGTGGAAGACGGATTTGTACGCCGAGCCCAAGATCGAAAAAAACAGAGTCCCCCCAAGTTTGCTCCCCTTTTTGTGTCAGCCCCGAGACCATGCGCCTGTGTCTATACCCTGAAACAAAAATCCCAATTCCAGTTCCCAGTTTCCCCCCCAAAAGCAAACGCTCCCAGTAATGACCGACAGTGAAAATCATCAAAATCGACATGAACTACCATAAAAGCCGAGAAAAGAAAAGGCTACCTAATAAACAAGAACTAGGAAACACAGCCTAATAAGAAATAGACTTCAAGCCCTTGGTCACCAAAGACCAAAGTGGCAAGAAGGGGCAAGAAGAAGGTGAGCGGGACTCAAGAAATTACCCAACTGCGCTGAGGCGAAGAAGAGTACTTTTGATGTCCAACTGAATGGGAGGGTGAGAAGTGTGGTCGAACCGATCAGACCAAAAGTTGCGCCTAAGCCAAATTGCTCCGGTATTTGCCTCGACCTCCAGAGTAGTGCTGGAGTTAGTCGTGGTGTGAGTAGTGTGGGGGGTATCATTTCGTGGTCGTAACGGTCGTGAATCGGAGCGAGGCTTGTTCATATCATGACCCTCGTTCCGCTCTCATCCGATGTTGCGAAAGCCTACCGGAATATACGCGAAAGTGGCGTGTATTTTCAACGGCAATGACATTTGCAGTGTGAAGAGACGAGCTGGCATTGCAGTCGCTCAGAGCAGGGTGGTGTGGCTTCGGCCGAAGCCAGGCTTAGACCTTTTGGTCGGGCTCTCGAGCAGCGGCTGGCGAGAGCCGATCTTCTGAAAGCCCTGGAGGATGTCAAAGCCCAAGCCAGGCTCCTCGCCGTCATCAGAGTAAAGGTCGATGCCAAAAAGGTCGTCGGCCTTTGATGCGCCAGGAGTCTTGAGGGGGCTGGGAGCTGCTGACGTCCTTCCAGCGAAGAAGTCAGACAGACTCTTCTTGTGTGACGGCGGCTTGAGCCATTGCTTCGATGACTCGGGCGTCGCGATGTTGGCGCGCGAGCCCGTAATGTCAGCGAGGATGCTTGAAGAGGTCATAGCACGGGCACTGGAAGGTCGCTTGATGGATCGCTTCTCAGGCGAACCGCGCGACGAACGAGGTTGCTGCAGGGGGCTGTCATTGAACACGTCAAAGTTCTCGTTGAAGTGGTCTTCCAGGAGGTTGAAATTCTCCTCATCAGGCAGTTGGAAAGCGGGGCTCCAGGGGTTCACATCAGCAAGCAAACCAAGCGTCTTGTCCGGAGACCCAATGAGCTCGCGGACACGGTTGCGGTGGGCACGAAGGTTTGTGTTGGGCGAGATGGATGCGGGAGGCTTAGCAGGCTTCTTGAAGACAATGGCAGGAGTGAGCGGCGCCGTCAGCTCAACGCTTGTCTTGTCGAAGGGACGGAAGGGTGACGACGACGGGTACTCGTTGCCAGACGGCTTCAGGAGAGGACGGTTCTTCGTGGGACTGTCGTACGATGACCCACGTATCCGCGCGATTTCTTCCTCGGCGCGACCGCGCTTGTGCGCTGGCCGGTCAAGATCCGCTTCCGATGTGGGAATGGTGCCCAGGGCGTGGTGACCCTTCACGGCCGACGACTCGATGGACGAGTAGTACCCGCTGTCGCCAAGAGTGGAGAACTTGCGCTTCCGACCGCCGGAACGGCTCGTGGACGACAAGCGTGGTGCGCGCGGAGGGGTCCCCTCGTGCTGCGACCGAGACACCGGTGGCGGGGGCGAAGAGTGGATCTCAGCCGGGGGCGGCGGTGAAGAACGCAGGGCGTGCGACGAAGGCGGCGGCATATCGTTTTCATTGCCAGCGTCCTGTCCGTCGTGAATCCCCGGGTCCGAGGCAGGGATAGTTGCATCAGATGACAGCTCAGTCTCATCGGGGAATTTGCTCGAGTCGATGCTCTCGCCAATAGGAGTCGACTGGAGCGGGAACGCTGACACTGCGGGTTGCCGCGACGACGGTGCTGTTGACGGTCTCAGAATATCGCTGTGATAAGACTGCAGGAAGCTAGGGTCGCCCGGGTTCGTCATGCGACGGGGTTTCTCCTTCATGAACTGGCGCTCGAGGCCGGGCTCGATGGCCCAGTAGTTGCCCTTGCCAGGGTCGTCCTTGGGGCGCTCCTGCTTGATGAAGGCTTTGTTGAGGCTGAGGTTGTGCCGGATGCTGTTTTGCCAGCCAGTCTCGCCGGCGCGGTAATAACTGAATGTCTCAGATATCCACTTGTAGATCTGCGCCAGAGTGAGACGCCTCTGCGGCGCGCGCAAGATTGCCATGCCAATGAGGGTGGCGTAGCTGTACGCCGGCTTGGTGCCGTCGTCGTCGATAGGCGGCATCTCGCTGGGTGCTGGGAGAGGCTTCTGGTCGTCATCCTGGGGCTTCGACGACTTTTTTGCGTTGCGGTCGCGCAGAGGTGCGGCGTCCATGAGCTGGCGCTTTGCCTGGTTCTTCTGGTAGACAGGGTCCGAGTATTGGGGGAAGCCGGTCCCGTAGATGGCGCCGTAGTCGTTCTCCTTGTCGGTAGCGCCGGCCGAGTGGAAGGTGGTGAAGAGGGCGTTCTGCGACTTGGAGGCGCGGAGAAGTGGTTGGGATGCCTTCCTCTTGAGAGGTGAGTCGGTGGTGAAGTCATTGTGGCGAGGAGGAGGGATGGAGATGGAGTTAATGTTGCTCTCAGCCAGAGCGTGCGGGGCCGGCGAGCTGGACTGCGCCGGGGATTTGCGCGGCGAATGTGCGCTGCCCTCGCCGTGGGAAGGGTTGAGGAGGGTGTGGTGGCTTGACGAGACGTCGGTAACGGGACCTAGGGCGGAGAGGAGGGCGGCTTCGGCTTCGGCGACTTCATGATGGTCGAACGAGGTGACGGGGTCCTGGAAAATCTGCAACGGCGGCTGCTGGCGACGCGTCGCAGCCATGGTGGGCGAGCGGGCGGGTGAAAATTCGGTCGTGGCCAGCTCAGCAGAGCAGATGACGCGTGGAAACGCGAGAAAACTCGTTGACTTGAGGGCGGTGGTGGGGTTGTCGAGGCTGAGTGCGCTGGGGTCGAGGGTTTAATTGCGGCACGGATTGCGGCGGGACGGCGGTGGTGGAGGTGGAGATATCTGTTGCGCAGCGCGCGGCGGTTGAAAGGCGTCCTCGGCGGCGATCTGGGCGTCGTGCGGCTGTGGTGAGCACGGTGAATTCTTCAGAGAAGAAAGGGAGCCTGGTCTCACGAGCTGCGCGGCCGCTGGAGATCTCGCTTGGGGGGACGGCGCCAAGACGCTCGGGCGGGCGATGAACTCACAGTCAAGAAGCACGGCTTAAGCTCGGCGGCGGTGCAAGGGATGCAGAGGGCGCGAGGGCGACGGCAACGGCGCAAAACGAGGAAATTGGAGTGCGATCGGAGACAGCGCGCACGGTAGAGGGGGAAGGAATTCTGGATTACTGCAGCGGGTGATGCAGCGCGGGCGTCGACTCTTAGGGCGGCTGTCGCAGCGCTCTGATAACCTTGGATGGCCCCAGCCCAACCGTGTCCCCACTCGCTCTCGCCCGCATGCCAGCTGCCAGCTGTTCGCCATAGATGAGACGCTAACACGCCATTGGCTAGCCTATGACGCGCTGCAAGGGCGGCATGCCCGTCAGGCCATAGGCCGACTTAAGGCACCCTCGTAATAGCACACCCGGCGCCAACTAACCGCATCGACGATTATTGGCCCCCGGCGCGTTGGCGCGAAAGCTGCGCGAAGGTTGCGCGTGGCGGGCGGTTAATGCATGGATGATGAAACCGCCGTGGCTCTCCCCCGCATCGCGATCCGTACGAGCACCCCCGTTGCAGCGCACCGTACAGATGTGCCGGCGCGTCGCGTCCGCGCGGCGGGCAGCTATCAAACTCTTGCGCATCCGTGGAGCCGCCGCAGATCCGCCCGACTCGACAGCTGATCCCCACCAGAGCGCCTCGAAGCATCCATGCGCGCTGTTGGCAGCGCCAAAGATAGAAAGCGGCATTGTCACGATAGATGAAAAAGGAACGAAAGGGGAAAAAGCGTTCGGCGAGGGCGTTGCTGACCGTCAGCCTTGCGATCCCTGCCGGCTGCCTCCGAACAGCTGGGGGCTGAGCATGCCCAAACGGGTAACCGTGCTCAGTCATGAGGACTGCTCGAGGAAGCTGCGGATGCCGGTGCGAGTCAGGTATTCCATGTGCCGCGTGAGGTGTGCCAAGGGGATCCAGTCCAGCCTTTGAGACGGTTGCGAGAGCGTGCTCGCAAACATGGGTCCCGCTTCACGCGGCGGTTCCGCTTTTTTTCCTTGATCCTCCCCTCTTGTCCGGTTGGGAAGCCGCGCCGGTCAAGCCTCATCCGCGCCGCTGGATCCTCAGTTGGTACTGTGCGGCACAGCACCTAGCGCGCTCCGGCGTTCGGTGGCAGTGCGATTTACGTAGTGGAGCAAGGACCTACTACTCTTCTCCGCGTCGGCCGGATCTCCAGCACGGCCCACTCTCCGCTGGACATCACGTTTGGTATGCCATGTGGCCGCGCACTTCGGACGGTCACCAGGTACCACGGAAAGTCGGATACCCGCAACTTGTCAACCAGAAAGTGACAGAAACTCGCCCCACCGTTTGATACTGGAGCTAAACCGGCCCATCGGAACTTTCTCCCAACATGACCTCCTCATTGAGACACTGTGTCTACGAGGCCGATTGGCTTGGGATAAAGGAGTGGATACTTCTTTCCAGGGACTTTTGTTGAAGACCTTTGCCCACGTATTCATGCACACTAATGATCCAATCGCTTTCACGTTGCAATTCCAAGTAGCGGACCAACGTTGTACTGATTGCCTTGTTGAGGTTGTATTCCAAAATTGTCTCTATAGCCACGTTCTGCACAACTGTCTACACACCTCGAGGCTCGCACGCCAATAGACACAGGCGCACAATGCCTTTCTCAAGCGACGTTGGACGCCGTTGACGCAGCTGCACGGCCCCGACTGGCGCCACAGAGTCCATGCACAGAAGAGCGACATGCAGAAGCGCCGGCGGGCCACTGCAGCGGTCAATGCAAGGAGCGCGAATCACTCACGCGTCGCGCGACGGCACTTCCACACCCCGACGGCAAAACCTCACGGCATGCCTGATCCGCGTTTGACATCATCTCCAGTGCGCAACTCTAAAGCTAAACGGTGCATACGAACTCCCCGTCCCTCTATACAGTCAATGCGCCTTTCTTCTAGAACACCTCCTTTTCCTACACCGAGATCCCTATAAGAAGAGCCCCGATTCCCGAGCCCCAGATCTCGGACGATCTTGGTCAGATCTCTGCCTCTGATCTCGATCGCGAGACTACTCGACGCGACTCGACGCGCACCCTTCGGCCATTCATGCGCTGGCATTCGGCCTCTTTCTCTTCACGCCATGAGAGCCACACATGGTCGGGCATATCTGCAAATCCGAAATCACCCGCGCAGTGCTCTGGGACCCTTCTATTCGCCGGCCAACTAATGCATGGCCACGTCTCCGATGCAGGGACGAAAAAGTTAATCAAACATCTACGGCCCATCGCAAGCCGCAGCAGCCGCATGAACCAAAGTGATTAAGCCTACTTCGTCAATTGCTAGCGCCGCCAGATAGTGAAGAAAAAAAAAGAGACCATTCAGATCTAGACACTATCAGCTCCTCGGCGCCACTTCAGCTCCGCCACACCATGTGCCACTTCAGCTCCACCAAAAAAGGGCCGGGCCAAAGCACACGGCAGAGCAGTAGGTACTACCGGTACCTGCGCACTGACAACAACCTTACCGCATAGCGTTCCAAGATTTCCTTCTCTTTGGGTTCTTTGCCTTTCCCCCAGTAAAAGTCTCTCTTCCTAACTACGTATGGATGGTGTTTATCCGGAGCCGGCCGGCCAAACATGTCAAGGGTAAAAAAAAAAAAGTGTTCCATCGGGTACCTAGGCCGTCCGCCTCACTGCTCGCAACCCAACCACCTCACAAAAAAAACCCAAACGCCCACAGGGTCCCGTAAGTCTGGTCCCCATCGCCGCCGCCGCCGCCGTCGACGACGCCGCCTTGCCTTACCGCCCGCTCTGCCGGGTCATTCAGGAACAAGTAAGACACACACCAAAAAGAACCAGCGGTGAAGCCCCGCTAGGATTTTGCCCGAACAGGAAAGAAGACAGACCACATGAGCAAGGAACACCAATCAGACGCACAGGAGCAGAAGTAACCGGAGATGACGAACTACACAGTGCTTCCCTACCCCCCCCAGCAATCTCGATCGATGAAGTGAACTGCCTTGGAAGTAAACGCCTCGCCTCACCCGTTTGCTTGCTCCCCGGTTTTCGTGAGGCGGTATAGGGTTCTCACCAACTACTACGTAGCCGTTCTTGGGACCGCTCTCAGGGTCTGGCCGTTAGAAAGCCGAAACGCCAAAATCTAGAACCAGACCCTGTGGCTTTCCTTCTTCATTGCCCTTGCCTCGTAGTCACCAACACCAACTCCCCTCATCCCTACTAGCGCCAGTGAAGCCGTACGACCTTTCCTGCCCGTCCGCAGACCGACAAAATGACATCGCCACACTTTCGTCCTCCCGCGCGAAGCGAGCAGGAAGGAAGGAAGGGAAGGCGGCGGCGGAAGGATCAGGTCAGTCACCCAGTCCTTCGGGATTTTTTCTACACAGTAGCGAGAAGGAAGTTCAATAGTCTCTCTCCAAAAGCCACACACACACGCATATACCCTCGGCCTCTGACGTACGTAAGCGGCGCGTGATGTAGTAGAACTAGATTGTCCGCGTGTCTTTTTCGATCCCGTCATCTCTGAGCCTCTCTCTTGTTTCTTGCATCGGCGTTTTGACAGCGAAGCAAGAGCGGGCCTACTACTCGCGCACGGAACGACGAAGGGGAGGGTAAGTAAGACAACACTTTGGAAAGTCGAGAGGTAGGTCCGTTTAGACGGTCCTTTTCTGGGCGGCCGTATGTGTACCACGTGTGATGCTCAGTCTTCTTCCGTTTCAACATCTATCGAGCAAGGAGTGCATCGGAGATCTTCTTGTGTGACCACGCGTCATCATGTCCGTGACGGCGGCCTAACGATGGTGAAGAGGGAAGCTGCGAAGTGTGAAGTCAGTCGAAGGTCGAGTAAGAATGCATATGAAGAGGTTTATATCACAGCAGACGTAGCTGTGTCAAAATATCGAATCATCATAGTCGTATTATCGACTTTATGTGCAAAGTATGTAAGCATCATGCAATCTAATGTTTTAGATAACTCCTGTGTCTATCCCAAAAAGTAAGGTTTCCCCCTTCTGCAAGAAATCAAATTCAGTCCCTGTGGCAGGCCAACCCTTGGCCTACCCCTTTTTGCTGCGGATATAAAAGCTGTTCAAAGAAGAAAGCCGGCGCCCGGGCGGCATCATGTCTTTTTTTTACCCAGAAATCGCGTCCCGCTTTAAACAACGCCAGCAATGCCTCGTTGCTTGCCGACCCTCTTCATGCTTTCGTAGCCGCAGAGCGAGCTTTTTTTGCATTATCGTCATCGAAAAAGCCCGACGGAGGCCTTCCGTAACCTCTACTTCATCATCTTTCTTCCCCTGGGTTATTAGAAGGCAGCAAAGGAATAGTACGCTTAGACGGCACCGGCCGAAATCATCTTGTTCCGGAGGTGCTTCTTGTACTCGCCGATGGAACCGTCCCACCTGTGGACGGTCTTGTTCTCGCAGACCATGATGTCCTTGGCAATCTTGTCGAGCAGCCTGTATAATATATTAGCGACTTGTTGGTACGTGTGGAAGTTGTTTTGTGCTTACCTGAAGTCGTGGGAAACGACGACGACACCACCGCTGAAAGCGTTGATAGCATCTGCCAAACTGTCGATGGTAGGGATATCGAGACCGTTGGTAGGCTCGTCGAGCAGAAGCATGTTGGGACCCTCGATGGCAAGCAGAGCGAAGACGATTCTGCTCTTCTGACCCTCGGAAAGAGTACCCATGAGGGCAGTCTGGGCCTCACCAGTAAGACCGTAGCGACCCAGCTGCTGTCTCCAGTACTGGTAGTCCTGGGAGATGCTGCTGAACTTGTCACGGACGAAGTCGAGAGCGGACTTGGTCAGATCGAGCTGCTCAGCGGAGTGCTGGCTGTACATGCCGAGCTTCAAGTGGGTGTGACGCGAGACAGAACCGGTGGTGGGGGAAAGCGCGCCAGTGAAGATACGGAGCAGAGTAGACTTGCCAACACCGTTAGGGCCGACCAGGGCGGTACGGGAGTCCATGTCGACACCGAAGTCAAGGTTCTCGTAGAGGTTGTCCTCGGGGTTGCCCGAGTAGGAGAAGGTGACGTCGTCGAGCGACAGGACGGGGGGAGGAAGCTTCTCAACATCGGCGAAGCGGAAAGTGAAGACACGGTCCTCGACGACGGGCTGGATGAAACCATCGGCCTCCATCTTGTCGAGAATCTTCTGCCTGGACTTGGCCTGCCTGACCAAGTTGGCGTAGGTACCGGCGGAAGCAATGAACTTCTTGATGTGCTTGATTTCCTCCTGCTGCTTATCGTAGGCCTTCTTCTGGTTGGTCTCGTTCTCGGTCCTGGTCTTGATGTACGAGTCGTAGTTACCACCGTAGTACTGGAGGGTCTTGAGGCGCATGTCGATCATGGTCGTGCAGACACCGTTCAAGAAATCCATGGAGTGGGAGACGAGCATAAGGGTACGGTCCCACTTCTTGAGGTACTCCTCCAGCCACACGCAGGCCTCGAGATCCAAGTGAGCAGTGGGGTCGTCGAGCAAGAGCAGCGAGGGCTTGACGAAGAGGGCCTTGCCCAGGGCGACACGCATTCTCCAACCACCGGACATATCCTTGGTCTTCTTCTGGATGGTCTTCTTGTTGAAGCCGAGACCGGTCAGAATCAGGGAGGCGCGGGTCTGGAAGGTGCTGGGGTCCATCTCATCCATACGCTACCAATTGTCAGCACAGGCGTCAAGTCTCAGGGCTGCAGATACTCACCTCGTACAGCTCCTCCAGCACGGGGTCCTCGGGGCCCTTCTGCTCGAGGATCTCCTCGGCCTGCTTCTCCATGCGGGCCAGGGCGGCCTGGGCCTCACCGACGACCCAGTCAAGGGCGCCAATGTCGGTCTTGGGAGCACCCTCGTTGAGCAGGTAGATGTCGATGTGCTCGGGGAAGGGGAACTCGCGGGCAGCGATGGACTTCAGCAGGGTGGACTTTCCGCAGCCGTTCTCACCCAGCAGGCCGTAGCGGCGGCCATAGTTGACCTCGATGGTGGTGTCGTTGAACAGCACCTTACCGTGGAAGACCAGCGAGGCGGAGGTGATCTTGACGTCGCGGCTCGACTCCAGCGAGGCCAGCACGCCGGTGGTGACGCGGTCGGAGATGCCCTCGGCGTCCTTCTGCAGGCTGAGCTGCTCGATCTTCTTCTGGGTCTCGTCGACCTCGTCGCCCGACACGTTCTCAGAGACGGGGGCGGACTCGCCGGCCTTGGCGGCTTCCCTCTCGGCCTTGCGCTCCTTGAGCGACTTCTTGGGGGCCTTGCCATCAGCAGCGCGCTTGGCGTCGCGGGCAGCCTTGGAAGCGGAGACCATTTTGACGGTGTGGGGTGGAAAAGAAGGTGTTGATGGCCGGGGGTTGGGTATCAGCGGTAAGATTTTTCGTCGTCGGGGGAGGACGTCAGTAGCGGGGCACCGGGGCGGGCGGCGCTATCGAGGGCGATAAAGGACCGTCGTAGGGCTGCGCTCTGCGGCGTCTGGCTCGAGACGCGAAAGCGACAACTTTTGCGATGAAGCTGAAGGAAAAGGGCCGTGAAACAGGGTCAGCGGCCGGGAACACGCAGGTGCAGTGAGAGGAGTGGAGGTGCAAGTCAAAGGGCGAGCAGCGGGGGCCTTGGGCTCTTTTTTCCAACCTGCCGTCACTGTGGCGAAGAGGGCTGGGAACGGCCAGCTTCCCGCCAGCCAATCGGCGAAACGCTGATCCACCCAGCCCTTGGCCGCCCTCGATTCCGCTGTTGCATCCCAAACACACTCATTGGCCCAAATGCTCACCATGGCGCCGACGTGGACCGCCATTCTGAGGCTGACTGTGCATATGAACGCGTTACTTTCCAGCTCTGCAGGCCTAGGCCACCTTGGCTGCGTTTTACGATGCGAAGCTGCAAAAAACAACTGGAGGCGTGAGAGGACAGATAACAGAAACATATTCTCTTGAAGACGATACTTGAAGTTGATACTGGAGAAATTAGGTGCTGGTCAGCATAGAAGAGGCTGGGCTCTCCTTTCACCGAATCTTCCAATATTTTCTGCATCGCCATACAGCTCTTCTGCCGACATGAACGGTTTTGCGCAGGCTGATTATTTCATCTCAGACCCTTCCGCCAAAGCGCAGAGGCATCAAGCTGAAGAACGAGATAGACTGAAGAGCTTGAGAGATGGGAGAAGTTGAGAGTATGAAGTAAGAGATTGAGAGACGGAAGCAAGAGGTTGAGTTTGGAGCAAGAGTTTGAAAAGCGACAAGTGGAGTATGTCGATGTGCATTACATCACCAACGATGGACTGGATAATCTCAACCAATGCAAGCTTCTCATGACATCTAATTGACCAAATCACAGTATCGGACCAACTCCGCCCCAAAACACTCCGCCCCTCACTCCACAAAGTTTCAGCGCTTATACTTCTCCCACCTAATCGGTAACTGCTACATCACCCTAAGGCCCCACCTTGAATATAAACTTCTGCACCTCCGCCCTATCAAACCTCTTGTACGCTCCAGGCGCCGAGACCAACGGTACCATCCGCTCCGTCAGGCACTCAACCAGCCTCTCATTCTCCTTCAACACCTCCAACGCCTGCGGGAAGATCGAGCGCACCGGGCACCTCCCCATAACCAGCTGAATATTCTTATCGTACCCCTCCGCGCCCGTAAAGCCAACCCCACCCTTCCCATTATGCACACCAACCGAACTCACGACGCCAAACGGCCTGACGACCTCGAACGCGGTGCGCAGCGCGGGCTCCAGGCCGACCAGCTCGAGCGCGGCGTCGGCGCCGCGGCCGTCGGTCGCGTCCTTGATGGCCCGGGCGACGTTGGTCTCGCGGAAGTTGAGCGGCGTGGCGTTGACGAGCGTCGCGGCCCGCGCCAGGCGCGCCGACACGCTGTCGACGGCGAAGATGCGCGCCGAGGCGCCCAGCATGTGCCGCAGCGACACCAGCGCGCAGAGCCCCACGGGTCCGCAGCCGATGACGACGGCCGTCGCTGCGTGCGGCAGGTGCTCCGGGATGCGCGAGGCGGCGTTGAAGGCGGCGAAGTACTGTAATATCAAGGGGGCTTCGTGTTAGTCTGGGTGGAGGAGGGATGGGAGGGTCAGTGAGGAAGGAGTGGACGTACGCCGGTCTGGAGGGAGGAGGTTAGCATTGATTGATTTGAGAGAGGATTGGCCGTAGGATAGCGAGGTGGGGCTTACCGGGAAGATGTCAGCCATAAGGATCAGGTTCTGGTCCTTGATGCCTTCGGGTGCCTTAAAGATGGTCGAATCGGCAAGGGGAATGCGAACTATTATGTGACCGGTCAGCGTCGATATCAGCAATGGTTTACTGACAGAGGTCCTGGCTTATTCCTGAGGACGGGATAATTGGAGAAGAAGCCCTTACCAAACTCAGCCTGAGCTCCAGGCAGACCTGGAGTGCCGAAGCATTGTGACTTCACGCAACGAGAGGAGAGCTCAAGCTTGCAGTAGAAGCACTCGCCGCTGTTCGAAACCCTGTCAGCAAGGCTATCGTAGAAGTCCGGGGTGCGCGATGATCACAATATTGAGGTGCTCCGCGCAAGAGACATTCAGACGGTTCTTCAGGGGGAAATGCGTGGCGGACTTCATAACTGTCATGTAGCAAAGACACTATCGAACGCTCATTTGACAAGCCGAGCAGCTCACCGAATGGAGCTTCGGCATAGTTACGGAGGCAAATCACTCACCAGCTGATAGTGAAGGGACAGACAATCCTGTCTCCAACCTGGAAGTTCTGCACGCCCTCACCAATTTCACAAATGACACCGGTAAGCTCGTGGCCAATGATAAAATCAGGGTTGTCGCCAGCAGGCTCGAGGCCGCGGTAGTAGTGGAGATCACTATCAGGATTTCATCAGACGATTGTCACGAAGGTGCAGATATGCTTCAAGAACACGCTTGAGAAAAGAAACCCAGCGAGCACAGAAAGGAAAACCAAGGTGGAAGGCGGAGGGGAAATTCGAGGACGTGTGTCACCCAAGTCATTCAGATAGACTTGAACGACTATTGGGAATGGGCCATATCCCCATAAGGAACCAAGCAGCTAGACAAAAGCAGTATCCCACATCGCAACACTTTCTCACAACCAATCCTCAAGCACGACGTATAGTCCAAAAACCGAGATAAGACGAGAAAAGAAAAATCTTAGAGAAGGAAAAAAAGATCCAACTCACCTTCCGCACAGTCCCGCATACCGCACCTTGACGACGACGCTCCCCTTATCAGCCCTCGGAATCGGCCTCCTTTCCACCACGACGCCCACCTCCACGCCTCTGAAGACGACGGCGTTCATCATTGGTGTCCTCGACATCCTTGCTCTTTAATCCCTCTTGAACTTGTTGGCCCTATAGTGCTGAGTAAACGGTCCACTTAAGCGAGCTACAACGGTATAGCGGTAGTGATACTTAGCAGGAAATGTGTAAAAGTGGGATTGAATCCGCCGCCCGCGGCCGGTGTCGGAAAACGCGGGACATCTCGGACCGAAGCGGGCAAAGTGGATACTCATTTTACCCCAGATTGTAGGGGCAGGTCAAGCGACGGTTTGTTTAGAAGATGCAATTGAATGTGAGACATGCACGGTCCACGAAATCTAAAGAACAGGTGATTCGTGAACGGGAATAAGTTGAGCCTACCTTTCGACGTCCACCTCTCTACAAGGAGAGAAATCACCACAAGACGACTAAAAACTATACGTACAATTGCTTCTTGAAAAGTTCCAGGGAGTTGAGCAGACAAGTTTCCTTCCTTTTACCTCTTCCAGGCAACAAACGCCGAGTCCCATGAAATGCTTCAAACCCCCATAACACCACCCAAATGCGTGTCTAACCCTCAATCATACAAATCCACCTCGCCTTACTGCGCAGCCTCCACCTTCTCCCCTCCCTCAATGCTCTCAATCGCCTCCAACCCCTCCAACCCCTCAACACCCTCATCGACGACCTTCTCCCCCCTCTCCCTCCTCTTCTCCTCAACCTCCCTCAAGGCCTTCTCCTTCGCTCGCGCCCTCGCCTCTCCCTTGATGACCGCCAGCAGCCTCAGCGCTCCATTCGGCGTCATGCCCTCGATCCTCCTGGCCTGGCCTACGCTCTCCGGCCTTGCCAGCTTCAGCATCGCCTTCTCCTCGAAGCTCAGCCCATGAATGCTCTCGTAGTCTAGGTCCGGCGGCAAGCGGAGATTCTCGTCCTTGAGGAAGATGCGCATCTCAGCCATCTGCTGCTCGACGTACGGCGCGTAGACGCCCTCGATCTCGACGCGCTCGCGCACCTTGGGGTCGAACTGCGCGATCTGCGGCACCACGCTCTCCAGCGTCGCCGTCGTCACGCCGGCCAGGCGCAGTAGGTCGAACGGCGTGCGCTTCGACGTGTCTTCCCTGACCCGGAAGCCGCGCGCGAGCCAGTATGCCGAGCCGCCCGACTGCGCCTGCAGCAGGCCGATCAGCTCCGCCATCGCGCCAGACGTTTGCTCGAAGGCGCGCCAGCGCCGGTCCGACACGACGCCCGCAGCGCGGCCCTTGGCCGTGAGCCGCGTGTCGGCATTGTCGGCGCGCGCGCTCATGCGGAACTCGCTGCGCGACGTGAACATGCGGTACGGCTCGGTGACGCCCTTGGTGATGAGGTCGTCGATCATGATGCCGATGTAGCCATCGGCGCGTGTGAGCGTGAAGGGCTCCTTGCCCTGCGCTGCGAGGCCGGCGTTAATGCCTGCGATGACGCCCTGGCCTGCGGCCTCTTCGTAGCCCGTGGTTCCGTTGATCTGGCCGGCCAGGAAGAGGCCCTTGATGTTCTTGGTCTCCAGTGTTGAGCGGAGGTTGCGCGGGTCCACGTAGTCGTATTCAACGCCGTAGCCGGGTTGCAGCATAGTGACGTTTTCCAAGCCCTTGATTGTCCGCAGCATAGCAGCTTGGGCATCTGCCGGCACCGTCATGGATATACCGTTGGGATATATCACGTCCGTGTCGAAGCCTTCCGGTTCCAGCCAGATGATATGTCTATCCTTGTGCCCGAACCGCAAGATCTTCGACTCCAACGAGGGGCAGTATCGCGGTCCCTTCACCGTCTCCCGAATGTGAATGCTCTTATCCAAGTTCGCTCGGATGATTGCATGGGCTGCGTCGTTCGTATGCGTGCTGTGACAAAAGAGCTGGTCTTCGACCTGCACCCTGTCGTTCAGGTAGCTGAAGGGCATCGGCGGCTCGTCGCCCGGCTGCTCTTCCAGTTCCGAGAAATTGATCGTCTTGCGGTCCAACCGTGGCGGCGTGCCCGTCTTCAACCGTCCTAACTTGAAGCCGGCTTCCCGTAACGACTTACTGAGACCGAAAGTCGCAGCCTCGCCCATTCTTCCGGAAGGATACGCCTCGAGACCTAGTCACCCGTCAGTTCAACCCTTCTTCACCCCGGCGGCCAGTGTCTACCCACCAATGTGAATCTCGCCCCCCAAAAACGTCCCCGTCGTGATGACCACACACCCCGCATCAAACACCCTCCCATCCTCCAACCTAACCCCCTTCATCCTCCCAAACGCACCAGTGTTCCCCTCCTCCCCCTCCTCCCCTCTCTCCACCACAATATCCGCAACACTCCCCTCCACCACCCCCAACTTCTCCCCGTACCCAAGCACCTCCTCCTTCATGTACCTGCGATACAAGCTGCGGTCGATCTGCGCGCGGGGCCCCCAGACGGCGGGACCTTTTTTCTTGTTCAGCACGCGGAACTGCACGCCGGCGCGGTCGACAACGCGCCCCACGACGCCGTCCAGCGCGTCGATTTCGCGCAGCATCGTGCCCTTGCCGATGCCGCCGAACGACGGGTTGCACGAGCACACTCCCAGGTTGTCGACCGACGGCGTCACCAGCGCCGTGCGCGCGCCCGACCGCGCCGCCGCCGTCGCCGCTTCCGTGCCCGCGTGGCCGCCGCCGATGACGATGACGTCGTAGGTTGGGTTGCTGTGTGTGGTGACGAGAGAGTGGTATGGTTAGCTAGCCCATTCGGTAGAAATATCCCATTGGCTTCGATTGGGTGCGAAAAGTGAGGTAGGACATTGTAAGGGAACGAGGAATTGGTGTCGCGAATGCCGCGCGGGAACAATTAAAAAAACGTACCCAGTCTCGCTGGAGATGGTGGCGAATGTTCTGGAGAGCGTGCTCCGCCGGATGAGCGGCGTCGCGACCCTCAAGCGAGGGGCGCAAGCCCAACGCGCCCGGAGAGCGATCGACATTATCGTCGTGGCGGAGGCTTTTGATGTGAAGACTTGCCGGAGTCGCGATTTCGGGATTGGCAATGGGGAAACATTTGGGGCCGGGAGAACTGCGGCCGAGCGCCGATAAGAATTCTAATCAAGCTTATCCATTGGTCGGTATCGATATTGTCCCATTGGCTCTCTGCTTTAACTGAGCTCAGCTCACCTACATTTCGACGAGATGAAAGAAAATGCTCGTTTTGATCAATGTCGGGGCGTTATTAACATATATGGGCAGTAGAAGCTGTTGTGCTGATGAGAATGCATAATTATTGATGCTGCATTTACATCTAGAAGATAGCATCAACTACCTATGCTGTGAGTAAAAAAGCAATTTCACACTACCCTTCAGCTGCGACACCTCTATGTAGGCCTCAAAAATCCTGCGATCCTGGGGCGTTGCATGCGAGTGTGTTCGAGCTACCAGAGCCTTTCCTCGCCGTCAAGATGCCGCTATAAAATTTCTCATCCATGAATTAGTGAGATGCATCATCATCTTTCACGTCGTTCCTCAAAAAAATAGGCACCGCAAGAAACCCATAGAAAAAAACAGCAGCAGCCAAAAAGCCACGAAGGAAAGAAGAAGCGATATTGGTGCTGCGGCTATCCCCACCCGACCTTTCTACTACGTTATGATTGAAAAAACTAATAGTCTCTTTGTACTCTGCGAAGAGCGTAATACTCTGATGATGATGATGACTATGACGACGATACAAAAGGAAAATTTTTTGTTTGGAGAAACGATAGCAGCAGCAGCAGGAGCGGCGGCGGCGGCGGTGACGGCGGCGAGAGAGCAGCGCAAAACCGAGCAAGCAAAAAAGCAAACTCTCCACGAGACAAAAGAAGCAGGAAAAAAAGACTAGAAAAAGATCTTCGAACCCTTCCTCATTCCGCGTAGTACAACTTTCTTTCACCGCAAATCATTCTGCTGATCCCCAACGTGCAAAGACCCGCAAAATGATAATCTCATCCACCCATCAATCAATCAATCGGAAAAAAAGAGAACCCTTTTTGCTGACCCCTTCGTTCCATAAAAAATGATAGAAAGGACCCAAGATAAAAAGGAACAACAAGAACAATGATAAACCGCAGAGCACCATGCACCCACGTTACCATCCCTCTTCTCTCAACAAGCAATTACAAAAGTGATCGACCCCCTTCCCCGCAATTACCAGTCTCCTTCCACGCAGCTACTATATCATCGTCATCAGGGATTCACATCACCGCTTCCATCCGCAATCGCTAGGCGCTGCTTCAGAGTCTTCGCCTTCTTGCTCACACCCTTACCCTTCCTCTTAACAGGCACCTCGCTGACCGGCGTGGCAGCACCAGAGGGCTTCGCGCTTCCATCGTCAAAGTTGCCCTCGCCTGTGTGCATTGAATCGTCAGTCGTCATATCCCATGTAAAGAAATCGAATCCAAGCGAAAACTCACCTTCATGGTACATGTCATCCAAGTTCACCTCCGCCTTCTTCTTCACCGGCGCCTTCCTCTTCCTGCCCGCCGGCGCGTTGGCCTCGGCAGCCGCCAGCTCCGCCTCCTTGCGCTCGATCATCTCGGCCTGATCGTCGTCGGCGAGCCACATGGCGATGTCCTTGGTGCGGTTCTCGCGCGAGCGCGTGTTGAAGTCGACCTGGGCGCCGGCGCCGCCCGAGATGACGACGCGCTGCACCTCTTCCTTCTGGAGCGCGCGCTTGCGGATGCGTTCCTCGATGGTGCCGCGCGTGATCAGACGGTACACCGTCACCTGCTTCGTCTGGCCGAGACGGTGAGCGCGGTCCATGGCTTGCGAGTCGATCGTCGGGTTCCAGTCCGAGTCGTAGAAGATGACCGTGTCAGCCGACGTCAAGTTGATTCCGAGACCACCGGCACGGGTGGAGAGGAGGAAGACGAAAATCTCAGGCCGGGTCTGGAAGTCGGCGACCGTATCACGACGATCTTCCAGCTTTGTCGAACCGTCCAGGCGACAGTACTTGTAGTTGCGGTAGGTCAGGTACTCCTCCATCAAGTCGATCATGCGAGTCATCTGGAAGTACAGCAGTACACGGTGGCCTTCTTCCTTCAGCTTCCTAAGGAGCTTGTCGAGCATCGCAAGCTTGCCGGAGTCCGTGACGAAACGCCTCATCGACGGGACCGTGATATGCGTGTATTTCGATCTGGTGTTGGCCGGGGGAGGGAGCAAGCCCGTGACGGGGAAGTTGGTAGGGTCGGTCTTCGACTCCAGAAGTGCCTCCTCAGCCCTTCCACTGATGCCAGACAAGGCTGTCCTGATGCTAGGGTTGAACATGGTCTTTTGCTGCTCAAGCATGAGATCCTGACCAGAGTAGTAGAGATTGATAGGCGGCGCGGACGCTCCGGGCTTGGATGCAAGTTCGATGATACTAAGCCCCGTGTCGTCATAAGCATCCTTCGAGACGTTCAACAACTTCGACATGACACCCTCGTTGGTGATCTCTGCAAGAGGCATACGGTCGTTCCGTTCGACAATGTTGAAGAGGGCATGCGCGGGTGTGTAACTCGGGCCATCTTCATCGTCGTAAGCAACCTTGAACCGTCCAAGGTGACGCTGCTTCTTCGTGATGTCGATAGCCCGCTGGAAGACGTCTTGCCACGCTGCAGAAGCCGCCTCTTCAGGTGAGGTATCCACAAATCTAAGGAACGAAAAGGCACCGTTGGTACGACAGCTCTCGAGAGAGTTCTCCGGCGTCCAGACATTCATCAGACGTCCCAAGTACTTTCCTCTCCAACCTGCTTGGGCATTGCCGGGGCCTGCAACATCCAGGCGTCCACTTCCGCAGCCGATGATCCGTGGGACCTGATATTCGATGAGGTTACGGCTAGAGTACGCAACTTCCACATTGTAGCCCTCACGCATGAATGATGCTGTTTCAGCAAACGTAGAGAATGCAAAAGGTGAGTGCGTCTCAGCACGCTCGAAGAGATCTGGGTGGTTGCAGACCTTCCTGAACTGCATCACCAAATTCATCAGGGTGGCAGTATCCTGATCATCACCCACTGCCGCCCTTTCGATAAGGTCCATGATGCTGATCTTGTTGCGCAGGTTCGTGTAGTAGGCGCGCTGTCGGTACGTCAGATCGCAGAAGACATCCTCCTCTATCTTGTCGCCAAGTTCCTTTTGGACGTGCTTCTTGATACGACGCAGCATGAAAGGCTTCAGGATCATGTGGAGACGCTTCAGTTGATCCTCGTTGAGCTTGGTGTTACTCTGGGCGTGACTTTCGATATCCTTGGAGAACCAGTCACTGAACTCGTCGTGGGAATCGAACAAACTGGGCATGATGAAATGCAACAAGGCCCACAGCTCCTGCATGTTGTTCTGGATAGGGGTACCCGTCAGCAGCAGACGGTTACGACAGTGGAAACCAAGCAAACTCTTCCACCTAGAACTTTGCGAGGACTTGATGGCTTGAGCTTCATCGAGAATCATGTACTGCCAACGGATCTTTTGGAAGTACTGCGCATCCTGAACGACCAGCTGGTAGGAAGTGACCAGGACATGGAAAGGCGACTCTTTCCTGTAAGTGATATGTTTTCGATCCCAGAACTTACGGAGGACCTTTCGGTCCTTGGCGTTACCCCAATAAGGCAACACTTTGAGATCCGGAACGAATTTGGTGATCTCCTGTTGCCAGTTGTGCAGAGTGGATGCAGGTGCAATGACCAGGAAAGGGCCCCAGATGTTGTGAACTTCGGCAAGATACGCCATGACCGAGATCGACTGCACTGTCTTGCCGAGACCCATCTCGTCTGCCAAGATGCCGTTGATACCTTGCTCGTACAGGTTGACCAGCCAGTTGAGACCCTTGAGCTGGTATTCCTTCAACTGACAAGACAACATCTTGGGCTGGGGAATGTCCATGCTCTGCAAACTTGTCGGGTTCTGGAAGTTCATTTCTTCGTTGTCGTCGAACTGAGACTGTGCACTCTCAGTGCCTTGGTTGAATGCTCTTGCGCGATCTTGCGCCTCCTTGACGGCATTTTGAGCGTTCGCCATAGCAGCCGCGTGAAGTGCGCTCTCGTCTTCTGCATCGAAATCCAGTTGATCGAAGTTGGTGACCTTGGTGCCGACATCAGCGTTGCTTTCGGGCAGCTTGACAGTGTGAGCGTTTGGATCGCCGGGCTTGACGGTCTCCTTCGAGACGTCGACATCGTCAGTAGACCGCTCGACCTCATCAGTCTTGACCTTCTTCCCAATGAAATGGGAATACAGTTCAGTCTGTGAGATCAAGAAGTTCAACTTCCTCTTCTGCCTGTTGGCTTCGCGTTCCGCTTCGGCCTTCTTGGCGTTCTCAAGCTCCTGTCTCTCAGCCATCTTCCGCTGGTCACGTTCATCCCTTTCGTTCCTCTTCCAGAACGACAACATTTCCCTCATGCTCCTCTTTGCGCGGGCCTGAACGTCCTTCATACTCTTGTTCGTCCTGAGCTGCCATCTGCGAGCCTCCTTGGAGGCAAGCTGAGCAGTCTTCCGCAGGTTGGACTGCTTCGTCGCCAAGGAGTTATCCTTGATACGAACAACCTTTGTAATATCCTTACGCGCAAGGTCCTTCCAGATTGCGTCATACAGCTTGTGGTATTCCTTGGACTCGAACGGAGCGAAGATCATAGGGATGCTCGCAGGCGGGCTGGATTCCTCTGTGAAGCTGCGCTCCCTCTTCAAAGCCTCCAACCGCAATTCCTCCTTGGGAGCGATTGCTGGGAGCTCATCACCACGGTCCAGGGCCAGTTGAGCAGCAGCGGCGGCATCCTTCTCTGCTTGCTTCTGCTCCTTGCTCTTCCTCGGCCGGGCACCGGCTCTGCCCTTGGCCTTCCTGCCATCCTTGGAAGTGTCCTCGGACATCTGGAACGTCGTCATCGTGCCACCCTCCATGTTAGGTGCGTGAGGAGTTACCTCGCGAATATCGGCACTAGGCGTGCCTCCCTGCAACAAGCGGTTGGTGTTCTTGGCCTTCAGCTCGGCCTTCTCCGCTTCGTGGAACCACTTTCTTGCCTCTTCCTCGTCCGTGGCATTCTCAGCCTTGGCCAGCGCCTCGTCACGCTTCTGGAACTCATTCTGGAGAGTCTTTTCACGCCTCCGCTTCCGCTGCATGTCCTTCTTGCGCTCCTTCTCGTCCGCGATCTCACGAGCCTGGACTTCTTGCCAGGCTTCTCCCTCATGTTGCGCAAAGTAGTGGATCTTGGCACTCGCGGCGTGGGTTGCGAAGGAGTCTTGCAGTCTCTTGACTTGAGCTGTTCGTCGACGCTGGAAAGGGTTAGTAGGCTATTAGGTGCTGACAACTGCGGACTGACCTTGCGCGTAGCAGCCTCTTTGCTCTCGATCTCGAGGTGCTTTCTCTTGCGACGTTGCTTGTAATCCTCCAAGAACATCTCCTGGCCGGGCAGCTCGACGTCGCTGATATCCATGTTTTCTATCTTCGCATACTCTGCATCCACCACCTTCGGGTCAACCTCCTCAATGCTCCCCGCAATGGGGCGTAGAGGCTCCGACATGCCATTGACGAATGGACGCTCAGGGCTGCGATTGAGCGGATGCAGCCTCACATCAGTCGGGGGCGGCAAAGGAGCAGCGTGCTCGTCTTTGATACCGGGATATGACCTAGGTGCTTGAGGTGTTGAGGCTGAGTAGGATGGAGTTGCCGGGGCGGGTGCTGGATCGGAGCCGGACATGATGCTCGATAAAGACATGGGATCGGCACGAGCAGGAGTCTAGCAAAGTCAGTCAGGTCTTAGCAGCGTTGCGGGCGGGTTTTGTTACCTCTGCAGAGGGTCGCCTGGGGGTGGCGACCGGTGGGCCGGACATTATGCTACGATTGTGGTCGTGGTAGAGCTTCGGCGATGAGGGCGAGTGAGGAGGGCGGTCGAGTTGATGCCCGGGGTGCGAGGCTTGAGGTGGCGGGTGGGCCAGCGGCGGAGGAAAGGTCGCGGCTACGGGCGAGCGATATGGGCCGCGCGAGTCGGGATAGTTGTAGGGCTCTCGAGACTGGCAGGGTCAGCGACATGTGCATTTCTTCGAGCTTGGCGCCCGCATCATCGTCAGCGGCGGCTGCAATTGCATACCTGGGCGGGATAGTGGCCGTTGTATCGCGGGTCGGTCCTGGCGGCCGCCGGGTAGGCGTGGTCTGACGTGGGATCGTAGTATTTGGTCGTGGGCGGCGGGTCTCGCGGGTACAGCGCGGACGCGATGGGAGGGAGGGCGCCTTGGGCGGGTGGTGAGGCCGGTTGGTTGTAGGACGGAGGGCCAGGCAAGGGCGCAGGCGTCGACGGGTTGGAAGAGCGCGCTCGCTCGGGCGGGAAGGGCGTGTGGGTTGGTGAATGGGCGGCGTGGGCTGCTTGGTGGTCCCCTGGCATCGTGTCTCGTCTCTGCTGCTCCTCGCCATCACCCAACCTATGCATCGTCACGGGCAGCATGTTGCTCGCTCTCGTCACGCGTCTGTTGCAGCGTCGAGGCTGCGGGCCATCCAAAAGCGCCGGGGGCGGCTCTTACGGCTTGGCGGGCGACGTCGAGCTGGAGACGCGAAGCGCTTCGCGGCGCAGACGACGGCGATGCAGCACGGATGGTGGTGGTTGTGCGCAGGCGAGCTGCGATGGCGGCTGCGCAGGCGTGGCGTGGAGAGCTCTGCGGCCTGGCGGGCTCGCGGGCCAGCTAAGGCACGCCTAGTGCAGCAACGGTGACGCTCGCATACAAAGACCCCGTGGGCTGGGGCAGCGATCCGTTGGAGATGCGCGTGCGCAGGCCGGGGTGATGGAGAGCGGGTTGACGCTGCGGGCGCAGACAGAGGAGATGGCACGACGAGCAAGGAAGGGATGGGGGGATGGGTTGGGTAGGCGGACGGCCAGTATTCTGGCCGCAGGTCATCCCCGAGGCCTGTGGCTGCTGCACGCTCTCTGGTGTGGTGCTTCGCACGTCAACTCCGTGCGGCGTGCGGCTAAGAACACCACCCTCAGGAACGGCACAACACGCGGTGCAGCCGGGCGGCCCCGCGGGCCAATGGCCGCAGCTGCGATGCGTCGCCGCAATCCTGGCCGACGCCACGCTGTCTTACAACACGGCTTGCCCTGCGCGGAGCCCCCCTCAGAGCTGAGGTTCTAGGTCGTCCACTGGAGCTAGGCGATCTTGTCTCTGCAGGCGGCGGCATTGTTGCGCGCAAGCCGCCCGGATCTGCGGCTAAGTCGAATTCTATAGTTCTGCCGACATTTACCCGGCGATGATGGATTTTTTGGTCCGCGTCGCATTCCAACACCATCCCAGTTGCGACGAAACCACCACACACCATGGCTGCCGTGTACAAGTCGATTGCAAAGGCCGCGGGGAAGGATGAGGAGGCTGGCGGCAAGCAGAAAATCAGGAACAAGGTCCTGATCCTGAGTTCTCGCGGTGTTACTTTCCGGTACGCGCCTCCGCCTTCTGCGCACGACAATGTCTAACGATTGAGCAGTCACCGCCACCTCATGAACGACCTCCACTCCCTCATTCCGCACAGCCGGAAAGACGCGAAGCTCGACACCAAGACGAAGCTGTATCAGCTGAATGAAATCGCCGAGCTGTACAACTGCAACAACATCTTTTTCTTCGAGGCCCGCAAGGGCAAGGATCTGTACGCATGGCTGAGCAAGCCCCCGAACGGCCCGACGGTCAAATTCCACTTGCAGAACTGTATGCTGCCCAGTTGCTCTCTCTACTCTACTCTAGATGCTGATTTCTGCTCCAGTGCACACTATGGAGGAGCTGCACTTCACCGGCAACTGCCTGAAGGGATCTCGCCCCATCCTTTCCTTCGACGCCAACTTCGACAAGCAGGCGCACTTCAAGGTCATCAAGGAGCTCCTTCTCCACACCTTCAGCGTTCCCAAGGGCGCCCGCAAGACCAAGCCCTTCGTCGACCACGTCATGTCCTTTACCATCGCCGACGGCAAGATCTGGATCAGATGCTACCAGATCACTGAGACGGAGGCCGGGAAGAAGAAGTCGGGAGAGGAGGAGGAGGACATGGAGGTGGACGAGGCGCCCAAGAAGGGCAAGGGTGACACGAATGTGTCGCTGGTCGAGATCGGGCCTCGTTTTGTCATGACGCCCATCATCATCCAGGAGTCGAGTTTCGGCGGTCCCATCATCTACGAAAACAAGGAATTCGTCTCGCCCAACCAGGTCAGACGGGAGGTGCGGGTTGCTAGGGCGGCGAAGCACAACTTCCGTGCGGAGACCAAGCTCGACCACAAGTTCAAGCGCGGAGATCTCGGCCTCAGCACGGGCGGAAAGAAGAAGGAAGCGGACCCTCTGGATGACAAGACCCTTTTCGCATAGTAGTCGTCTTTATTTGCGCATTTTGTTCGGCGTTTGGAGCATCGAGAAGGGATACGGATATCCACGGAAAAAAGGGATCAGCTGGCTAGCAGTATTTTCTCAAGTAGCGGAGGCGCTGAACGACGTTCAGGCACAAATGGGATGCGCGGCCGGTGCATTGCCGGTCGTTCACCTCCTTCTTTCATCCTGCGCTGCAGGCGATTCGCAAAGTCTGGTGTCACGCCTCCTGCAAGGATTACGTTCTGCACGCCCCTGAGTAGGAGCAGCGGCTCCAGAACGACCTGGGAAGCAACCGGGTTCTTTTGTCCATCGACGAAGCATAACTCGAGTTCCCGCAGTTCCCCCGCACATCTCAGGGCCTCGACCAAACGGCGGACCTGTTCCCTGAGTCCTGCATACAGCCCACTGCCACCGCAATTGTATTTGATCATCCCCGTGTAGCTGTCGACGAGCTCTACGTGTATCAGGTATTTCCGGATGCGCTGCAGGTTTTGCTGGGAGAAATGATCGAGAAAAGAGTACGAAGCGTTCGGAGTTAGGCCGTTGGCGAGCAGCCACCTAAAGCGAAAGTCGATCCGGTTGTAGCTGATCTCGATAACGAAGATGTTCTGGCCGTATAGAAGGTCAAGGCACTCTTCGGAAATCTGGCGGTTCACGGCCAGGAGAGAGATGCAGCCGCGCAGCCATATGAGCCCGTGGTCGTGCTTGTAGGGGACACGGGTAGTGCAAGGTAACAGATACCCGTAGATCTGGACGCGCAGCTCTGCGGGCAAACGCAGGAACGGAGAAGTGGTGGTCATGCTGGGGGTTCACGAGCGCTTGCAGGTCTGTATCGGGAGGGACGCTGCATGACAGAAAAGCGAGAACGGACATCTGGGATGATGGAGCTGGGGGGTTGCAGCCAATGGTGGCATGATGATTGGGGCTCGTCGATCAGGTCGTCATTGCCGAGCTGTCGCGCCCGCGCTTTATCATCGCGCCTTCCCCCCCTCTCTTCCAACAATCACCACTCCCGCTCGCAAACCATGATAGCCCAGACAACGCCCGGCAGCGCGCCGGTTGTCCAGGCCTACATGACCGGCGATGCTTCATTCGATAGCCCCAACGCAGGGGTCTTCACCATCTAGTTCCCTTCGATCTTCCCGAGACTCCGTCATTTGCGAGTGACTGAGTCTCCCGCCACCTTTAGATAAACTGCACAGCACCGAACCACAGAGATACAGACCGCGCCCAACATAAAGAAGAATACCTCAATTCATCGTCCATCATGCTGCTCGAATTCCTCGCCACCGAGCTGGTTGCTCAAGTCTACTTCCATCTAACTTCTGTAAACGACGTCCTCGCTCTTTCAGCTACCTGCCACCGTTTCCGCGGCATCTACCTCTCCTCGCGCAAGATCCCCATCCTCGAACACGCCGCAGAAGAGCAATACGGGCCGCTACTCGACGTCACGCAGCTGCTCACGCACAACAGCAGCCAGCCCGCGCACCTCATCCGCACCGTGCCGCTCTCCATCGCCTTCATCAAGCAAATCGTGCACGTCGGCCGCGTGGCAGAGCGCTGGGCCGACCTGTACCCGTTCAAAAAGTGGAAGTACAACTTCGAGAACCGGCGGCTGCTGAGCGAGGCGGAGCGGCGGCGGGTGCGGCGGGCGCTGTACCGGCTGTGGCTGTACGCGCGCGCCTTCTACAACCGGGCGCACCCGCGCGAGACGCGCATGAGCCGGCCGGTGCTGCTGGAGCGCGCCGCGCTGCTGCACAACTGGAGCACGTGGGAGCTGGCCGAGATGGCCGACGTGCACGCCGTGCTGCGCGACGTCGTCCACGGCAATGTGTGCCCCAGCAATGGCACCATCGCCCGCCGCTTCAAGAAGCGCTTCCCCGACAAGGACCAGAACCAGCTGCTCTTCAACATCCACCTCAACTACCCCCCGCCCGTCACAAATCCCTTCAGCTCCCCCTTCCACTCCAGCCCCAATGCTTTGTCAAACTACTACCAGCACGTCGGCCCGCATGATAACCGTCTGCACTACTCGAAGTACACGGCGACGGCGTATCACGAACCTGGCGCTGAGGGTTGGGGTGATGACATACCACATTACTATGTGGTCGAGGACATGATGAAGCTCGACCCGGAACAGATCCTATGGCTGAAGGACAACGCGCCGCTCAAAGGTCAGGTGGAGATGTTTGTGAGGGGTATAGGAGATTGGTTCGAGAACAACGGCGAGACGTGGAGCCAGACGTTGCAGTGGGTCCTGAATGAGCGAGGAGAGGATGTCGATGAGGTTTTGAACGGAATCGCAGAGTGTGAGTTTGGGATCGCGGTGGTTGAGGAATGAGTAGATGTCGTGATACACTGTAAGCGGCTTAAGATCTGATCTGAGCCCTCTGTACCCCATGAAGGACACTGCAGTCTCCGTATGTAGACAGCCGAAGCGTATATCTGGACGTAGATGCAAGTCGAGAGTTGTAAAAGTGCGTACAAACTACAGATCCGATTATCTATGAGCATAGTGCTATGTCTTGAAATTTCAGAATGGTCAGATCCTTTTGTCACATGAGTGGGCAGGTGAAACTATCGTCCGGATGTATATGTCGTATTAACAATTGTACATAATCGTCCGGACGATAGCTTCAACTACCCATGGCATGAGAGAAAAAAGAAGTTCACACTGGCCTCGGCTAGAAGTACGACTTGCCAGACTCCGATGTACAAGCGGCGCTAACCATGTAGAGTAGGTATGTACCGCAGCTCGCGTTATACAGTTGCGTACACATAAGCGTAAACTTGTCGGGCCGCCGGAACTAGAAATATCCATGCGGTGAGTATAGGCTCCTCGGTTAGGCCAGACCGAGGATGCTCATCCTATCAGGTCGGTTCACTAAACATTACAACAAAATCGAGGAGTTGAAGCTCTTATCTAGATGCATTTGTTTGCATTTCGATCGTGCATTCATGTCCGGACGGACGCTCCAACTACCCCTCTATTGCAATACTAATGGAACCAACCTCGGCCATCACTGTCAGAAACAGATGACGTTGTGTCCTACCCCTGCCCCTCTTCTACAAGTACCGGCGCGGGGTACTAGAATGGAGCTCGGAAGCTGGCGTATCCGCGGGAAATGCGGGGTGCAGATCACAAGGCATAAGTACACCAAGTCGCTCGATGATTCTCTTGCTAGACACTGGCGTACACTTGTCTTCTCTGGACGCTTTTTCAAATCATGAGAGCTCTAAGGTCGTACGGACAGAATGATATTCGTGTTGAAGATGTGGGCGAGGTTACCCACCACGGCGAAGACGAAGTCATCGTAGATGTGGAGTGGTGTGGCATCTGCGGCAGCGATTTGCATCTTTGGCATCTGGGTAGGTACATTTTCTACATCTCGACATCTTTCTAGTTTCAAAAGTCTATTTCCTATCTTCTTTCAATGATGCATACACCCATTTGGACTTGTGCCTAAGGCGAAAGCCATCCAACAACAAACCCCTCCCATCCCTTTCCTACACCAAAACTATAACCCCGTTATCCACTTCCTTCCACTCCCTCCTTCACTTACTTACCTCGTCCCTACAGGCCCCCAAACCATGCTCAAACTCCCACCCGACCACACCGCCACAACCCCCCTAATCATGGGCCACGAAATCGCCGGCCGCATCATCACCTCGAACAACAACTACCCCGCCCTCCCCCCCGGCACCCCCGTCCTCATCGACCCCCGCCTCATCTGCTCCACCTGCCCGCAATGCACCGCCTTCTCCTCCTCCGCCGCCCCTGACGAGGACGAGGACGATAGCGACAACGAACCGCAAAGCCAAGGCTGCGCCGCCGGCCTCTCCTTCGTCGGCTTCAGCACCGCCGTCAAAGGCGGCGGTTTCGCGTCGCGCGTCGCGGTCAAAGCGAATGCCGTGCACGTGTTGCCGGAATGGAAGGGGAAGGGGAAGGACGGGGAGAAGAAGAAAGACTTGCTGGCGGACGCGGCGCTGGTCGAGCCGTTGGCTGTGGCGTGGCATGCGGTGAAGAGGGCGGGGGTGCTGGAGGTGCCGGGGTGGGTTGGTGGGGAGAGCGGGGGGAAGGGGGAGAGGAGCAAGAAGGGGAAGAAGAAAAAGGCAGCGAAGGATGTGGCCGTGTTGATTGTTGGTGGGGGACCGGTTGGGGTGGCGGTGGCGTATGTGTTGAGGGCGTGGGGGGTGGGGACGGTGGTGGTGAGCGAGCCGGTGGCGGGGAGGAGGGAGCATGTTAGGGGGTTGGTGGATGTGGTTGTTGATCCGGTGGCGGAGAGTGTGGTGGAGAAGTGTAAGGAGGTTACGGGCGGGCGCGGGGTGGATGTGGTGTTTGAGTGTGCTGGGAGTCCGAGGGTGGTTGGGGATGTGTTTGGGAGCTTGGCGTGGAGGGGGGTGGTTGTGGTTGTGTCGTTGTGGGTGGGTGAGGTGAGTATTCTGTTTTTCTGGGTGTGCGAGATGACGGTGTTGCGAGCGGATGTTGGAGACTAACAGAGTTTTATTAACAGATACCCGTGCCATTCCCGCCGCTGATGTACAAGGAGAGTACACTCACCTCGTCTTGTGCGTACAACGAGAAAGATTTTGCAGAAGTGGTTAAAGCATTCGCAGAAGGTAAATTCATCGACCGAACTTGGCAAATATTCATGAGCTCACATCCTTGACAGACAGATTTGAGGGTGTGGATCGCATGATAACGGCACGTATATCTTTGGAGGATGTTGTACAGAAAGGTTTTGAGGAGCTTCAAAAGCCAGACAATACCCATTTGAAAATTCTGGTCACCCCAAAACCCCTCAAAATTACGTAAAACGACTGGGAGCTTGGCAATCTGTTTGCATTAAAGAAAACAGCGAAGGAAAGCAGGTGTATGGCCTCGTTCAGGAGTTGAGGCCGGGAAGAAGTTCCATGTAAAAGACAGTAATAGAAAGCCTTAGCGGATTGGCTTCGCTCGCACAAAAAGTCCTGGCTTCTCCCAAAGAATATAGCACTCTTGATCCGCCCATGAATCACTCTGCGGACAGAGTTCCAAGTCAAAGTTCCACAAAACCTTCGCTAAAATGATACGCATTTCATGATACGCAAGACTGTTGAGTTAGTCAGAATTGTGTCCTGTAGTAGAGTTTGAGAGAACTCACTTCTTGCCCAGACAGTTCCGTGGTCCAACACTAAATGGCTGCATTGCGTCTTTCTTATCACTGTCATATCCGGTCCCCGGAAGCCAGCGCTCAGGAACGAAGGAATTCGGATCCTTGAAGTTGAGCGGTGAGTGGAATGCAGCGAATTGAGTAACGCCAACACGCGTCTGTCCACATTGGCATTGTTAGTGTCCGGCAATACTAAAGATTCAAGTAAGTCCTACCTTTGGCGGGATCCATTGCCCACAGATTTGGTTTCCGCCGTCGGCAACCTCTCGGAACAAGGCGCTAGGAACCGGTGGGTAGCATCTCAAGCCTTCTTCGAAACAAGCGGAAAGGTATGGCATGCGCGGCAAGTTCTCAAGCGAGAGGTCATCCTCGGAAAGACTTCGAATCTCTTTGACGAGCCTTTCCATCTTGTCTGGGTTTTTGAGCAGATGGTACGTGAGTCCTGGAGCATCGCATGTCAGCTGGCTCAAATTTCACGCGATTTCGGCTTACTGACCACTCAAAAGCGTTGCCGTCGTCTCCGTCCCAGCGAGCATGAAAGTAGCCGCGTTGGAGTGCATTTCTCCGGTGCTTAGCTGTCCCGTCCCGTTCTTCAGGACCAAATTCCAGATATCAGGTTTGTCCGTGCCCTTCTCCAGCCGGCGGTCCACGCGATCGGCCGAATATTGAAAATGCTCTATCCGCTTCTTCATAAGCGAGTGTGGCATGATCAGCTTCTGGATGATCTTTCCAAGCAATGGGAATTCCAGCCCAATACGCATGAACTGAGCAGCCTTGATGCTTTTGAAGATGGCTTTCACCCATGGCGTGTAACCCGATTGCTCGAGAAGACCCAAAGGTTCTCCGAAAGCCAGGTCTCCCATGATGTCGAATGTGGTACAGTTGTAGAGCATCACCATGTCGAGCTCGGTACTCGGCTGCGAATTTACCTCCTTGTGGATGTTCATGATGAGCTTGTCGACGTATTTTTGAATGAGCGGCTCCTGAAGTTTCAGAGCCTTGTCACTGAATGCATTCGAGAAGATTTTGCGAATACTGCCGTGGTCGCGAGCATCAGGGACAGTGATGATGGTGTGTTCACCGTTGACTGCTTTCATGTACAAGCGCGTGTCCTTTGGGTTTTCCGGCCGTTTAGCTGTGCGGTGTCCGTAAATGTCTTTCCATGCTTGCGCACTGATGTAACTGAGTCTGTCTGGGCCGACGCGGACAACTTCTCCGTACTTTTCGTGAACCTGTTGGGTCCAGGGGACGATTCTGCCTTGGCAGGAGATGATGTAATATGTAAAGGTAGTTGCCGCTGCGATTTTGGGGCCCGGATCTGAAATTCACATGTTAGCTATTTATCATGACTACTGGTCTGGTGTTGAACTATACATTTCCGCAAGGGGTGAAAGTAAATGTTGTAGATGATGGTGGCGCTAATCTTGAATACAAGCTTTGATAGTTATTAGCCTCAAGTCTGTGTGCCGGACAGTTGCATACATACCAGGGAAAATGCGCAGCCCAGCAATATCAACAATTTAGTCGAAGAAGACCCATCCTGTATGACTTTCCAAAGTTTCGATTGATTTGATTGGTCCATGATAAAGAAGCACTGGACAAGCCAGCCAAGAGTCGGATCCAAAGCTTGAGGTCCGATGCTAATTCAGAACAGGATATTTGGACTCCTCAACTCCATCCTTAAATAAGGGAAAAACAGAAGGGAGACAAGCAGGGGTTGAAGCTGGTCCGCGTTGTGCGGGGTTCGGTCCTTCCGATCCCGACTGACGATCGTGCATAACTATCGGGTACCAAGTGAGTGAAGCCTCGCCCGAGCATAAGCGGGCCTAGTGCATCTGAACCTAGTACGGACGAATACTTACGGCGAACAAATCCGAGCCGACTGCAACCCGCACCCACCGCACTGTGGGCCGTGAGGCTGCATCGGCCGCAACACCATCGGTGATGAAGCAGCATAATCCGGCCACTCTCGGAATTATGCTTATTGGACCTTCATCCAGCCACTCCTCGGCAGTAAGTAGTTGCTGACAGTGGCCACTAAGATCGCCAGGAGATGAGACGCTTCAGTGCCCATAGATTGTTTCAAATACATCAAGAGATTGTGAAATATACTGGTTGTTCGCAATTACACAACATCACATTTCCAAATTCCTTTTTTGGGACCTGACTACGATGAGATGTGGCAGACTTCCAGATCAGCTATATGGGGATGCACTAACAGTTAAAACTACGTAGTGCGTTGAACAATACCGTGAAAAGACCTTTTCAACCGCGCAAGCATTCCACGATATCTCATTTTGTCCACGATCTGTAGCAGCTCGGCAGCTTCGTGGGGATCAAAGATTGCCTTAATAGCTTCATCCACTCTCTGCATTTCCTGGCGACTGTCCCATGTCCCGCCTTTCCACACCCGAGCTTTGACATCAGCCTTTGCTTGCAGTAACAGTTTTACCTCCTCGAAATGCTGTGCCGAACCAGTCCTACCTCTGGCCCTATACAGAGATTTCAATCTTTGCTGCCAAATAGTGTAGTCACCAAATTTGAAATTTGGTGACGCTCCATGTAGTAAGAAGCTTTGGAGTAAATGTAGTCTTTGGTCCCGTTGAGCATCATCGAAATGCCCGTTTACTATCCGATCAAACGCGGAGGAAGTTCCCAATTTAACGTTGGGATTTGCACCGGCTCGGAGTAGTCGATCCACGAGTTCGACTGGGGGTAGTCCCTGGGATTGAACAATTCGGTCGTGTCCAGAAGTGCTTGAGAGCCCACTCCAAGAGTAACTATCAAGGAATGTACCCCATACGCTCTTGTCAGGCCCAGCTACCGCATTTGGATCTGCTTGGTTTTCAAGAAGCACAGCTAGCGTTTCGTCAGTGTTTATGAAGCCATGTTTTGGGCTCCTCATCGGACATAAAGCGTGGAGAAGTAGCGGATACTTGAATCGTCCGGCGACTAGTTCGGGGGATATTTTCAGACTGATGTACTTTGAAAGGCCTCTTTGGGCACAAAGCTCGATCAATGAAATGGAATCATAGTTTTCCAAGAGTTTCTGGTGCAGAATTTGAGTTGAGTCATGAACTTCTGTGCTGAGGCTGGAAGGAGTTTCCGGTGGGAAAATAATACCCAATGTCGTGTTGAGTTCATCCAAAACGTCTTCCTGTGCTGCCTTTGTGGATGTCTCGGCTCTGTATGCGTACCAAAGCAGATCGTCGACGAACTCGAGTAGTTCGTCTGCAGAGTGGTCTCCTGGCTCACCCGGGGGCAGCATCTTGATACAAGCTAACAAGCAGTGGCACAAAGTAGCCGCAGGACTAAATTCGCTGCCGGATTTCTCTGCTTTGTTCGCTTGACGAATGAGCTTTTCTGCAATCTCCGGCTTTTCAAAATAATCCCGTACAGTCCGGTGGAGAAACTCCACTTTCAGGCTTGCTGCTTTTCTGGAATGTAAAGAGTTTGTCGGTACCTCCAACAGTCCGCTTGATCGAGCTTCGAGTCGTACTCTCATGTCGTTTTTCTTCTCAGATATCAGGCGCCTTGTGTCCCTTGACAGCTCATACTCGTGCACTTTCCACTCTTGCCGGGTGTGGACCTTAGCTCTGAGTGCAGCGCCTTCATCTGTCTCCAATTCATCCAAGAAATAGTAAAGGATTAAGGGAAGGGGTTCACTCGCAGCCATAGCAACCAGAAAAGTCCTGCTCATTTGGGTTTGGTAGATTGGATGCACGGAATCAAGCATATGCGAGAAAAGGTCTTCCAGATCCGATGGGAGAAACCTGAGCCTCTGCTGGAGGATTTGAATGCTGTCAGCGTGGGTCAATCCTTTCAAGAGAGACTTGACTACAAGATAGACCCAAAGAAAAACTCCTTGAGCTCTTTCGGTGATCTGCTGGACCAGCTCTTGGTATGCACTATTTCTTGAACGCTCTTGAATAAAACGTTCATGTCGTTCGAGATAGTCGCGGACGTAGATTTGGATGTCGCTGTGTGTCAACTCGTGGAGATGTAGTGCTCGGTCCTTGAGATCAAACGCTGTTTTGAACTCCGTTAAAGGTCTGCTTGATATGCAGAACTTAATATTGGGTGATCTCGCCAGTTTTTGGATGACTGCGATCAAGTCGCTTGGATCGCCGTTGTACTCGTCCAAGCCATCGATGAAGAAGCAGAATTTGGAATTGATGTGTTCGTCTTCGAAGAGGTCGAACATCTGCATCAGCTCAGATTGAGTCCAAGGCTCCTGTTCTTTGGGACGTGACCAAGGGTCTCGCACAGCGTAAGTCCATTTTATTTCAATGACTTTGCTGATAATGTCTGGGCACTTCCTGAGCACTTCGAAAAGAAGAGACCGAAGAAGACCTTCCTGAGACTTCTGCAATTCTGTTCCAGATCTCCAGAAGAAATAACTTGCCACAACAGGGGGGTCGCCCCCTGACCAGGCTTGCAGTTCGGCCTGGACCTGCGTATGGTTGCAGAGATATTTCATGAGGGTTGACTTTCCGGATCCAGCTTTTCCCCCCAGCCAATAAGTTGACTGTGCAGATCCAGAGCTGCGGAGCCACTTCATGAAATGAACCTTTAGACGTCCGTGGGTTTGATTTTCGGTTCCTAGTTCCGACTCAAAGATCCAATCGAAAGTACGGTGGTGATTTCTAGGAATCTGTTCATGCCGATATTTCATTTGTGGGAAAAGTAGGCTTTGTAGGACTTTCTGCTCAATGGCCATGCTTCTTCCGGTGGTAAGGATATGCACTAGATCACTGTGTAGTTGTGTAAAGTCATCCTTACTGACCCCGGAGTCGCGAATATGATCCAGTTTCGATGTGACTTCAGCGATCTGGCTGGTGCGCTGAGCATCCAACTGTTTGTTGGACTCTTCCATCTCCCGAATTGTTGTCTGAACATTGGATTGCGCGTTCCTGTTAAGACGATATTAGATGCCAATTTCTTAAGGAAATGAATTGGTCTGTCCTGACGTGGGAATATCATGGGCCAACATGATCGACAGTGACACATTAATGAGAGAGCGTGTTTGTCTATATTGGGTGCAGTTTGAGGCAAAGTAATTAACTCACTTTAGAATCTGGACCAGCCGAAGACCAATCGTGCTCTTGAATGTCTCCAGCCTGTTTTGGATGTCGAGTATGGCCTTCTCCTTGCCAATCGCTTTCACAGCTGCAACAAGGCCTTTCCATCGTTTGCCCCCTTCTTTGACCCTTAGTTCGCTCAGTACATCCTGCAAACGCTTGCATTCAGCAGCGCACTCCTCTGCGAGGCTCTGTAGGCGCTTCTCTTCCCAGCTGGTCAACTGGTCTCCTGGAATAGGTTTTTGGAGTTCATCGCAAATTCCTTGCAGGTCCTCAGTAAGAGCTTTGAACTGTTCGTGCTCAATGATCAAGCCCTGAGCTGATTGGAAGATCTCATGGCTGCCTTTGGCAACTTTTGTTGCGAACGCAACGAACTGAACAACGGTGCCCGCGAGGCTGAGTGCAGCAAGGCTCTCCATCTTTCCCTAGACAATGTGACATGGATTTGGTCAACGGTTTCTATGGGCAGAACAGACTAAAAATCGAGCATGAGAGGGAATAGACTGTGATTTGCCGAAGAAAGAGGCTGAGAAGACAGCAGGCAGGCAGTGCGGAGGTGTCTGACGTGTCCACCGATTCATCACGTGCAGTGCTCCTATCTCTGTTCACATACTCACACACTTACTCTCAAGCAGGCTTAATCCAATAGAGATACGAAATAACACAGTAATTTACTTACAATTCAATCACCTGTAGACAGCAACATGTTTCATCCCGTGACCGTTGATACATCTTCAGGTTGAACAGACCCAGCTATTGACTTATCGATTGTGAAGCCGCATCTGCTGTGTCACCTCATGCAGCGAATCAACTTTCTTAACGCTTCTCATCGCCACAGTCATTCCAGAGACGTTGAGGAACCAACAGAGCACGTCTCAAACGCACGCTTCACACCCACAATAAGCTCATCCAACGCCTCCATTGCTGTCAGCAACGAGTTCAGCGCAACGACATACCGCCTGAAATCGCTCTGGTAAATCTTATCCTTGCTCAGCGGCTTCAATACTGGTAGTTCGCAATTTGTTAACACCCGATTTTCAGATTCCTTATTGGAAATCGACTACAATGATATGTGATAGATTTCTTGGTGAGCTATATGAGGATGTATGAAAAGTTGAAAGTATGTAGTTCTTTGATCACCGTAAAAAGATTAAACTGTTGGCTTTGTTTCCATTCTTCAAATTCCACTTGGTTAGTTTTCCGGAACCCATGAAATTTCCACCAAATTTCCAGTCAGGGTTCGAACAGCTGCCGAATCCATTTATCGTCCGGATCTTCACCTATTAGCCAATCTGTCATAGATGGAGTCAGAGCTGATATTGTAACTTTTGTGTAATAGAATGAAGATTTCCATACCTCTTTTATCCAACAAGCTCACCGCTGTTGTTAAATAAGAAACTGCATCATCGTCGAGGCGACCCTGTTCTTTCACAACACCGATATCTTCCCTAATCTTTTGAAATGGGAGAAACTCTTGGAGGATGAAACGGAAGTGGTAGATCATGATTCCTACTGAGTTCTCCCATTCTTCGGTCATAGATCTTACAATACAGCAGACCTTTTCCTCCGCATCCTACATTAAAACAACTTGCCGTTAGCAAAGGCGTAAATTTCTGGGGCTTAGTTTAGGAGCTTACGGTCTGCTTTTGACACCTCATAAATCCCACCGCTTCCCCGTGGACAAACCCGAGGTGCCACAGGATAACAAAATAGGCCAAGAAAATCTCGTACCAGGGCTTATCCTTAGGGGTTCTCCAAAAGATGGCATTCTTTAACTCCTTTAACAGAGCTTGCTCATCACTCTCCATCATTTCCAGTAACACGACATCTATCTGGTGATAGAGCGCTGGTGGGAGTGGTCTAGTACCGCAGTAACCATCCGAGGCGTTTTCGATCTCCTGCGTATCTAGAGTTTCGGCACCAACTATGCTGCCCCAGCCCTGACTAAAAACTGCGGTAGATCGAATACGCAACGCCAGTGTTATCATCTTACTGTCGTATTTCCATGCGTATCTATACGCCTCTTCAAATGTTCTTCGGGCGAGGGTATCTGTGGTGCTCTGCAAGATCTGCTCCTCTACTACTTGGCGATTGCTCTCGACCATCTCAAGAATGGTCTCTGCAAGTTCGTTTACCTCTGCACATGCAAAGGGGGGGAGTTCAACAGTGGTAACTTGTCCACCGACTTGCCATTGCTCCACTGTTATATCACCGGGACATGGGTCGAACGCGGTGCATAGTACTGTGAAGCTCGCAATGGCTGCTTGGATGTTCCCAGGGAGGCTCCATCGTATCTGGATTGGCCTTGTCTCTAACACTTCGTTCCAGGAGTAATTTCGAAAGGAGGCTCTTTGTTGGCCAAACTTAGCATTCCCTAACGCTACTGATTTAGTTTACAAGGTCTTACACCGATTGATAGATCTATTCAGGGGTTTTCGTAGAAACTAAAGAATAAAGGGCTTACCATGGCGCACAAGAGTGAGGTCAAGAATATCTGATCGTGAACACGGTTGAAGGAGGCGGTTAATTGTTTCATCGTGGCGGCATTTCCGGCAGGGCGTGCTCTCGTCACACTTTACACGATGTGTCAGCCGATTTTGGAGAACCTACTTTTGGGAGCACATACTTTGAGCCTGAACATGTGGCATCTGATGCACGCCCCGATCTTTCTGGCACGTTTCACTTGTTCACGGGCCTCCTCGGCCTGTGGCTTACGTATGCATTTTGCTGCCAATTCCCTGCTCCTCCAGTCCTGGGATGTCGGCGCCGGGAGCGGATTTGAAATTGCACTGTTCGCGTGCGCTACTGAGGAAGCTGACACTTCCGGACCATTATCGGCAACCATAAGGTAGGTAGCCGGATTGTTGTTGCTTTGCCAAAATGTGGCGGATGCTGATCCCGGTTCTCGGACAGATCTTTGCTCGTAGGAGGGAGGAGAGCCTATCTCGGAACCTGCAGTCATTGGACCAGGAACAGACATTAAGTCGTAAAGGCTGTTCTCATCGCTGCTCCCAATTCCGAACCATGATCCATCCATGTTCTCGGTGGATATCATCCAGTCTGAAGTGTTCTCCTCGGGTATGACACCCAAGTCGGCGTCCTCGGTTCCCGGTGATGGTTGGTTTGCTTCAGACGTGTGATTGGGCGTGCCAGATATGGTAAGGTAGTCGTCAATGTTGAAATCAAGACTCTGTTGGAGGGGGGAAATATTCTGCGCCTGTGGGGTGGGAAGTTGGGTATTGCTCGAGATGGCTGCCACCACTTGAGATAGTGAATTCGAGCCTGGCGCATCATTCATGACGGAGTTTCTGGTTGGAATGGCAGCGCTTGCAGTTGTTGAGTCATTGAAATTGGATGTGTGCAGCTGACCGGTGATGTCCATACTATTTCCCCCCTCTCTATAGTCTCTTTCAGTAGATGTTTCACCAGCCGCGATACCCGGGATCCGAGTTTTGATAGCAGCTTCGAGTACATATTGTCCCTTATCGCAGCAGACTGGTTGAGATTGATCCCAAATGGCCAGCTTTTGCATGAGAGTATCTGCTGATGGTCTTCTTTCGGGGTCTGCGTCGAGCATTCGAATGCACGCTTCTGCGTGCACTCTGCAGTAACACCTCGCCTCCAGGCAGTGGTATGTTGCGGGTGGATTCTCCTTAATATCTTGGAGGTACTTTTGAATCCTCCCGGAATTGGCTTGGAAAGACGAATCCTCGTTCACCTCGCGAATGTCAGCCAAATCATTCCGTTGGACCGGGGAGAGGTATGTGCAAAGCATTTCCGAAAAAACACAGCCTAAGGAGAACACATCGGCCTTTAAGCCACGCGTCGTATCCTTTGCATGGACCTCGGGTGCTGCATAAATCTTGGTGCAAGATGTTGGGGAATCTGTTTCGGCGTCCGATGCGGAAGGATATGATCGAGCGATTCCAAAATCGGCTAGGTAAACTTTGAACCGCGTTGGATGACGCATGGTGCTTTTGAACATGTCTCGGACCAGTATATTAGCAGGTTTGATGTCCATATGTTTGGTTACATGTCCTTCTTGTCGGTGAAGGTAAGAAAGCGTGCTTGTAAGGCAGTGGAAAAAGCACACCAAGCTTCTCATGGCCTCTCTGACGAACATCACGCTTTCTTCCTGTTGGCTTTCAGAGTGGGCTTCGTTGTCGGCTGACAAATCTTGGATTTCGTCCATGAAACTCTGTAGATTGTATTGCGCGACCGGATAGAGAAGAATGTGGAGATCATTGCACGATTGCACTACGTATGTTCCAATTGTTCGAATGATGTGTGTATGACGAAGCCGTTGTAGGTGAGCAATCTCCTGTGCCATTTTCTCTCTGTTTTGCGGTCTGCGACACTTGATGGTTTTTCGAGCAAGGCGTATCCGTTGACAGGTTACGGCATCCACTCTTGCAGTGCCAGCTTGTCCAAGAAACTCAACGTCAACGAATGGAAGCTGCTCTCGACGACTGAACTCCGCATGTTGACCCCGTCCAGACCAGTTCTGCTCATAGAATGCCCCGGGAATCAGGTTGTTGCGACGCAGGTAGGACTGCCACGGACTAGCCCCTGTTGCATTCGCGAAAATTGTTGAAAAGCCACCAATAGAAAAAACAGAGCCGGAAGTCTGTGCAGTTTGGAAACTTGCTTCGGATGGTGGCGCAGTCGGAGTACCTGTCCTAGGGCTGTCTGAAGGACGTTGTGGTTCATCTGTAACGGGAGAATCCGCGGCGTCGCAAAATGGTGGAGAGTTCTGCCACTCGTGTAGTTTTCTTATGCACTCTTCGAAAGTCATTTCCGTTTGTTCAACGTCATTGGATCGGTCCCCCGACATGCCCGGGAGATTCCCGGTCGAATGGAAGCCTGGCTGTGCAAGTATGGTCGACATAACACCCGAACACTTGAATGGTTTGTGTCGGAAGCGCTGAGGCCGCTCCGGATACCATTATGCGTTGTCGCCGATGACGATGAAATCGAAGCTGGATGGAAAGCTGTTGGAGCGATGGAAGAAGCAAGCGAGGTGGTTGAAAGAGCGCGAGCAACGCGTTGTGTTATTAACCCGCTCAGCAGCGAGGCTGTGTGTTGCCTAGAGCTGCCAAGCACCTATGCATGGAGAATGAGGCTTTGCATGTCTTACTTTTTAATGTGGTTCGTGTAGCCATACACCTGAGTACTGATTAGATTGGTTCAAACTAACTCAGCCTATCTGCAAGGTCGGAAAACGCGTACTTGGCAAACCCCACCTTCAGTCTTGTGCAGCGCTGTTGCGAAATTGAAAAAAAAAAGAATTAGTGGTTCTTGGCATAGTGTTGAGCAAAAATTATTTTGAGAGGCCTCTTTGGATACATAGCTTAATCAGTGAAACGGACCTTGCAAGCCAACTTCTTCCGAACAAGTAACGCAAAATCGGATTTCTTTTCTTTCCTCTACGCTCTCCAGGAAGCAGACGACACCTCCCGCCATCGCAATCACTCACTCCAACGCCGTCGAAAAACCAACCGAATACGTCTCCCCAACCGCCCCCTTCACCCCGACAACCAACTCATCCAACGCCTCCATCATCCCCAGCAACGAATTCAGCGCAACACAATACCTCCTAAACTCGCTCTGACAAACCCTCTCCCTACTCACCGGCTCCAACTCAACCCGCTGCATCCTCTCCACCATCCGCTCCGCCATCCGCGGCTTCAGGACAGCCGGCAGCGCATCCCCCGTCTTCAGCGTCTGCCCCACCAAATTCAGCACCGCCACCACCTCCCCCACCACCACGCCGTCATCATCCAGCACGCCGCTCGCAGCAGCAAACTGCTGCCGAAACGCCGGCGGCAGGCTCGCCGTGTACGCGTGCAGCTGCGCGAGCGTGACGGCGAACACGCCGTGCGCGCGCACGACGGCCATCAGCGTGGCCGAATCGAAGACGCTGGACGAGAACTCGAAGCGGAGCAGCTGGATCGGTTCGACGAGGGCGCTGAGCGTCTCGAAGGTGTCGATGGTGGCGGCGGTGACGGTTTCGGAAACCGAAGTGACGGATTTGCCCTGCACGGCGTGGCGCCAGGCGAGGACGGAGAGGGCGAGGATGTCTTGGTTCGCGCGGAGGGAGGCGGAGAGCGTCTTGGTGATGTGGCGGGCGGCCGAGGGCGGGCGCGGGAGGAGCGTGACGATGGCGGCGGCGAAGAAGCCGATGACGACGAGGAGGATGCGGCGCCAGAAGATTTCGTAGCCGACGCCTGGGTTGCCGTAGGAGGGGATGTGGCTGGAGAGGGGGGTGGTTAGTCGTTGCTGCGAGTTGTTGTTTGTGCGGAGGGTATGTATACTTACGTGTCGTCCCAACTGTACCCGACTACCAGAAACATGGTGGCGGATACCAGCATCACGCCTGGAAGGAGCACCGATGGGGCGTAAAGACGGAACCACATGATGCAAATGATCACGGGAGCCATGATTGCAGCCATTCCGTACGGATTTCCAGGCCCGTTGCCCGCTCCGATGTACCAGCAAACCAGACCGACGACGCCACCTGTTACCGTTCCGGCGATGCGGATGATGAAGGAGTACGTGAAGTCGGACATGAACATGGTGAGGGCGGTCTATGAAGTAGTCAGCACTCCAATCCCGGAGATTCTTATAGTAAGTCTTGCCTGCGCCATGATCAGTCCCCAGAGCCCCTTTTCTCTGTAGTAGAACCCGGCACTGCTTTGTATAACCGCCGGCAATGCCAGAGCAATCGAAACAACCAGCATGCGAAGCGCGTACATGCCTTCCGCATTGCCAAACCACTTCGTCAACGCCAGGAGAAACCGCCCAACAGCACCTCTCCTCTTCCGCCCATGATGCCGCCTCAGCGTCGCCAAAAGCTGCTCGGCATCCAACGTATCATCACCCGCATCATCTGGCACCTTCTTCTCATCCTCAGGACCGTCGCCGCTGCTAGCGTCAGACGACTCCGCCGCCTGCAGAGTCTCCTCGTCTTTACTAAACACCCACGCCGCCGCATGCCTGATCTTGGTCGGAAACCACAAGCGTGGCGTCGGCCGCTCCTCCTCGATCTGCACCACCCTCTCCAGCATCCCCTTCAGCGCGCCGCCAAACCGGCACAAGCGCTCCTCGAACACGAACGTCGCGAGCAGCGCCTTCGCGTGATCCGCAGAGACGATCGCCTTCTTATCACCCGCGTCCAGCCGCGCTCCATGCTCGTCGAACCGCTGGTCGTACCTCGCGAGAATCCGCTCCGTGTTCAGCTTCGAAAACGCGTCGAGCTCCCGCTCCAGCGCCGCGATGGTGGCACGGTGGCGCTGGCGCACGGAAGCGTACTCCTCGGCGGAGAGGCGGCCGAACCAGCGCCGCTTGTTGGCGAGCTCGACGCCCTCGATGATTGCGCTGACGGTGTCGGCGATGGCGGAGAGGAGCGGTTGCGAGGACGTTTGGAAGGTGTCCAAGTGACCACCCCACAGCGGCTGATCGACGACGACGGCGGCCTGATCACCACCCGCAGTCTCGACACGGGAGAGCAGTTGCACGATCGGCACGCTTCCGGGGAGGCTGCTGCTGCTGCTGCTCGAAAGGGGCCTCGAAGCCGCATCCGTAGACGCAGCAGGAGCACCACCATCCGCAGCCGCGGCGGACGCAGACTGCGTCGTCGCTAGATTCAGCATCCCCATAAACGCAGCGAGGACGTCCTCCAGCGGCTTCCTCAGCGACTCGACGTCCTCCGCCTTCCAGCAGCCGAACGAGAAATCCAGCGGGAGGAACGCCAAGTTCGCCTGCAGCGCCTTGAACGCGACCAGCATGTCCCGCCTACTCCTCACCACCCGCGCCTCATTCACGCACACTTGGTCGTGGAACGCCAGGAACGCCGCATACGCCCCCACGAACTCGCCCACCGGCCTGACCACCTCGCCCACCTGCCGCAAGCAAATGTGCGACGTCGACTCCGGGAAGAAGAGCAGGTTGCAGACGACGTTGATGCCGATGGCCGTCGCGGCCGGCTTGATCAGGACCTGCGGAATCGCGCCCTGGAACGACGGCAGCAGCGGCGCGATGGTCAGGAAGATGTCGCTGACGATGATGGCGAAGAGCGTGATCAGCGCCAGCTTCGGTGCGGCGGCTTTGAGGCGGGCCATCAGGTAGATGAACAGGCCCAGCATGCAGAAGTACGTCGCTACCACCCGCGCGTCCAGCATGGCGCCGTCGAAGATCAGCTGCTGCGCGTAGGCCGATTGGCCGGAGGAGGCGGAGGGGTTGGATATGTTCTTCTGCGCGGCTGCTGCTACGGACTGGGAGAGTGCGGCGAGCTGGGCGGCGGTGTCGGCGGCGGGACGGGTGGCCAGCGCCGCTTTCATGGTTATCACGCCCCAGGCCCAGCCGAGCGCCATGCCGAGGATGGCGGAGACGCCGCCGAGGACGGACATGAGGACGACGCCGGTGGAGGGGAGGATGAAGAGGAGGATTCTGCGGGGGGATCAGCTGAGAGCATGGCAGAAGAGAAGGAAGATGGCACTACTCACGGTGCAAAGAATAGTGCTTGGCCATAGCTGTTTAGAACGGGGTCGATGAAGATCAGGATCGTGCCTATCCAGACGGCGACAGAAGACTTGAACAGTGCTTTGAGATCCGGGCCATTGAAGTGGTCGAGCCAGCTGGGTAACTTTTTTCTCTTCCGCTGCTTGATCTGTCCGGGGTCCGCATTGCGAGGGGTGAGGAAAGGGTTGTCGAGCGGTTCTGGTTGAGGACTTGCTGTTGCTGCTGCTTTTCCAGTGTCGAGCTGCGCTACTACGTCGTCGACGTCGCGATGCGGCATTTGAGGAGATCTGCAATTGATAGTACAACGAGTGTGGTTCGGAAGTCAATGATAGTCAGAAGATCAAGGGAGCGAATGGAGTTTGACTAGGAACAGGGGAGGTGATAGGTCGACATAATACATTTTTAGTGTCGGAAGCGGAAGCTTGAAGATGGTGTATCTTGCACAACTGTGAGCTAAATGTTTTATGCGGCGAGAGGCGGCGTCGTGAACAGCCGAAGCCGATCATTTAATATTCGCCACGCTACCGGAAAGCGTACAACCGATGCACTCCGCGTCACCATGCATAAATCCAGAGACTTCAACCATGATCCGACAGGCTAAGCTTGACAATATTCACACAACCTCGGATAAGCTTTGCGGAGTCGATACATTGCATGGGTCGTTTATGGAAGCTCTCGTGATGTATGTATGTACTTTGTTACCAGTTCGGTACTCCACGAGCCGGCGGCGGTGGCCCCACATCAGCACAAACTGAACACTTCCCGAAATATCCTAGCAAATAATGGCGGGGTCCTTGCGTAGCCTCTTTTTATTATAGTTCGACAAGTCCGAATGACAGATACGGCTTGGCAAATCATGGTAGCGCAAGAAACATTTGATATCCAGACCGAAGTCTGTCAGGGGGTACAGGATGCTCTAAGCCTATGCTTAACAGTAGCGACTAACGCCGGCAAAAGAAAATCCTCTCGCATCGGTATAAATGCGGAGAAGAGGAGAGAAATAGGAGCTCCCAAATGCATATCGCAGCATTTCTCTTTCAGCCCCCTCCCAAAAACAAAGACAAAGCCAACAAAAACACCGCTCTTCTTTTTCCCAGGTCCGTACTTTAGATTGTGAATTAAAAAAGAATTAGACGGTTCCGGCAATGCTCAACTCGCGAATCTCCTGCAACACCTCCTCGACGCGCTGATCCAGCTGGCCGCTGGCGTATTGATCGCGCACGTCGGCGTCGAGGTACTGCTGGACCTGGGCCATGCGCGAGTAGGCCTCGGCGCAGAAGCGCAGCTGGATCTTGACGAGCGCCTCGAACGAGGGGTCGAGGTAGGGCACGCGCAGGTCGATGAGTTGCGGGATCTCGTTGGTCAGCTGCTCGTTGAGCTGGTCGTACGCCGCCTTGGCCAGCTGCTCGTCCTTTTCGGCGCGCGGCAGCTTCGTGGGGTCCTTGTCGGGCTTGTCCGTCAGCTTGCGCACTTTGGCGCGCATGGCGTCGTAGTCCGTTTGCTTGTGGCCGCGCTTCTTGATACCTAGCGGGGTTGTTAGAGAGGTGTTGCTAGGAGAGAGGGTGGGCTGGACGTACATTCGTTGATCTCGGGGAAGTAGGCACAGAATCGCGAAATGGGCTCCAGCACCGTGGTCCTGCGATGATGTCAGTGGTGACCAGGGTTGGGCACAGTGCTCGGGAATGCGTACCGGTACGGACCGTCCAGCGCCTTGATAGTTTCGGCGTCCAGGTCGGCGACGGCATCCTTGTAGCTTCTGCTCACGCCGTCCTTGGCTCCAGCGTCTCCGTAGAAAGCATCAATCGTCTCGGCAATACGCATTTGCGAGGCCGTCATAGCTGTATTTCCCCGTCAGCTGAGCTGCCACAGTTGTGTTACGACCGGTCCACCAACCTCGTAGAGAGTCGAGATAGCCCTTCGCTTCCTTCTGCAGCTTGTTCGCGGCCGTCTCCATGGTGCGGTAGCGGCGCAGCTCGGTTTCGAAATCGCGGTCGTTGGTGCGTTCGACATGGCCAGTCTTCATCATAACCTGGGTCGTCGCCCGGTTGACGCCCTTCTTGAAGCCTGAAAGCACGTCAGCTCGTCCGCCGAGTAGCAGCCTTGGAGATATAAGCGCGTACCTGACCACGACATGTTTGCGGCCTAGAGGGGGTGGTGTTGGGCGGCGTATTGAGGGGCTGAATTGGGCGCTTAAGTGGATGTTCCGGAATCGCGCAGCAGCGGGCGGGCGTGGCGGTAGAATATACTGCGGCGGTGGAGGAGAGGGAGGTAAAGCGGCGACAGGACGCGCAGCAGTGATGTTGGTGATGTGGCTGTGTGGGAGGAGCGAGTATGGCTTGCGCAACTTGGGCTGGCGGCGCTGCCGGACGGCCGTCTTGGCGTGATGACGCCTGCGCTGCCGATCCTCCAAGCCTCCGAGCCGCCCGAAGCCAAAGTCCCAAAGAAACATCCACACCGCGCCTCATGTCCTCCTCTCTCGTGCCGCGTCGCCTCCCGCGCTGCCTAAGCACACCGTCATGCCCTCGTAGCGCCCGCCGCCTCCTGTCGTCGAACAGCAAGATCTCGCGCCCGGAGATCATCTTCTCGGGCATCCAGCCCACCGGCATCCCGCACCTGGGCAACTATCTGGGTGCGCTGCAGCGATGGGTCAAGCTGCAAAATGAAGCCGCCCCGAGCACCAATCTAGTCTTCTCCGTCGTCGACCTGCACGCCATCACCCTCCGCCAGGACCCCAAGCAATTGCGGCTGTGGCGCAAGGAGATGCTCGCCAGCCTGCTCGCCGTCGGCCTGGATCCGAAACGTTCCATCATCTTCAACCAGTCTGATGTATGCGCGCGTTAACCATGCCGGAACCCCAGGATGAGTGAATGGGTTGTTGATTCAACAACTTTGTGTAGGTCCCCGCCCATTCGGAGCTGATGTGGATTCTCAGCTGCCAGGCCTCGATGGGCTACCTGTCGCGCATGACGCAGTGGAAGGTATCTCTCTATTCTTACCCCTCCTTCCGCTGCTGTACTCACCTCTCACTCCTCCTCCCGCAGAGCAAATCCACCACCGAAAAAGAACCCAAGCTCGGCCTCTTCTCCTACCCGGTCCTGCAAGCCGCCGACATCCTCGTCCACCGCGCCACCCACGTCCCCGTCGGCGAGGACCAGGCCCAACACCTGGAATTCGCGCGCGAGTGCGCGGGCTCCTTCAACCACGCCATCGGCCGCACCGTGCTCGTGCCGCCCGACACGATCCTCTCGCCCGCCCGCCGCGTCATGAGCCTCACCAACCCCACCAAGAAAATGTCCAAGAGCGACGCCAACCCCAAGTCCCGCATCCTCATCACCGACGACCGCGACGCCATCGCTGCTAAGCTGCGCACCGCCGTCACGGACAGCGTCGACGGCGTCTCGTATGAGCCCGAGACTCGCCCTGGCGTGTCGAATTTGGTTGAGATCATGTTCCATATGGGCGGGGAGCCGGCGCCTGGCGCGCCGCAGAATTGTGATGAGTTGGCCAAGGAGTGCGAGGGGTTGAGTATGCGCGCGCTCAAGGAGCGGGTGACGGACGTGGTGGATGCGGGGTTGGCGCCCGTCCGCGAAAGGTATTACGAGCTAATGCAGGACGAGTCGGCGCTAGATGAGATTAAAGAGGAGGGCGCAAAGAAGGCGAGAGAGAGCGCAGAGAGGACGATGAGGATGGTGCGGGATGCCATAGGGTTCTGATGTTCTGATGCGGGTTAAGGATACCAAAAAGAGAAAAAGGATGTGCTCGTAGGTGCGTGTGTGATACCGTATTAATGCTATTGACAAATGGTCTTGTTTTTTTTTCCCTTTTGCATAATTCGTCGCATGCAAGTCACTTTTTTGGTCATGTGGTTGGTTTACAAATTATAGATTATTTTACTACTACGTGTACGGTTTAGCCTGGATCTTCATCATCAGGCTATCATTCCTTCGTCCCTCCTCCCAAGCTTCTTCTCCAGACCTAATCGTAGCGCGGATATGGGTTCGTTTACTGGTTCTTGCAGATGTCCGAAGCGACCTTGGCGGCCTCTGTTGTTGTTGATCATCTCGTCAGCATGCTGATCATCTGGCTTGACACCCCCTTGGAAAGAGCTTCCTGGGTTTTGTTTGCGGAGGGTGGAAGGGGGAAAGACGTACTGATGGCATCCTCGGAAGAGCAGTTGTCGAGAACGCACGAGGTGGCGGCGGTCCGGACGTCGTCCTTCTTGGAGCAGATGCACTTCACGTCGTCGGCGGCGCAGCCAACCTGCTTGGCGGCGTCATCGGCGCAGGGCTTCTGTAGGGAGGGAAAGAGATATGGTTAGCAGAGGAGTTTTGGGGACGAAAGGAGGAGGAAGGGGCTCCTTACGGCGCAAGCGGGGATGTCGGCCTGGGTGTAGGCGGCGGCAGAGGAGACCATGACGGTCATAGCGATGGCAGTGAGGAACTTCATTGTGATTGAGGTGGGGAGTTTGGTTTGTTGTTGAGGTTTGAAGCGAGTGTGGTTGAGAGTTGGTTGGTTGATGATGGGGACTGGAGGACTTGGGGAGAGGCTTTATATATGTCCAAGCGGTGTCCTGGTGTCCTGTACCAGGTTGCACAGCACCATCGAGGACAAGGGACAAGCACAGCTGGTGGGTCGGCGGCGATGAATCATGGCCGAAGGATTTCGTGGGTAGGTGCGTTCCTTCGAGAAATAAGCATCCGCGTTCTTGTCTCCACAACCGGTCTCCACACCGATGCCTTCTTCGGGAAGTGGGAGGTCTGAGCGGCCCGTACCGGTGGCTGCGGGCATGGGTTGTTTACGTAGGGCTTAGTGTGCAGCTTACTATTTGTTGAGGCAACGAGTGGGAAGCACTGGAGTAAGGGTCTCTGAGACCGGGTGCCGCAGTGCTTCGTGGTGAGCCCCTTGCTTTGTCACGGTAAACAGTGGACTCATTGATGAAGAGAGAGCATTTTGGAACTCGAGGAGGTTGAGAAAGGCTGGGAAACAGTGTTTCTGGAACTCTCTCTCCTCCTCCCCCTTCGATCTCTTCCCTTTCCGATCTCTCTCTGCCTGGCCTTCTCCACAAAGTCCTGAAACACTAGGAAATCAAAAGTAGGGACGCCTGACCGTTGATAATCGCCCTCCAGCACTCGATCAAGATAGGGGAGGTGTGTCCGCTGACCGCTGACGACGCGTTGGCGGATTTGCGCGCACATTAACTGTTTGTAGGCCGACGGGTGCTTTCCCCCGAAGCAGGATGAGGCTCGGTCGTCAATGGTCTGTGGGCGCCAGGGGTCTGAACAAGGCAGAGGCGCAGTGGGGCTGCAGAAGCTTATTCCGACAGGCGTGCAATGTTGACCGATCCGGTTATCGATTGGCGTCGCGCGACTCATGGGTCCCATCTACAGGGGCACATCTGTGCGCCTTGCGCGGGGACGTTCAACGTTGGCCCAGCGGGGAACAAGGGGACACGCCTCCGAGATTTCAGGCGGTGATGGGATGATGAGGGGTTCTTCTGCGGTTTGTGCAGGCCAGTTGTGGCGAGAGAGGTGCTGCGATTGCCTGTTTTGGGTTGGTGTGGTGGCCGAACGGCTGGTGGTAGGCTTGCGTGTCTGTCCTTGCCCGAGTTTTTTTCGGGGATTTGACATGGGCCTAGCGGTGAACTCGGTGGTGCTGGCAAGATTTCTGAGCTCTGTGCCAGTGGAAATTTCCATTGGCGGGGTAGAGCTCATCGGAAGATACCAGAGACTCCATCGAAGACCCCCTATGACCTCATTGATTATAGACTCAAGCTGTGGTCGAACTTGCACCTTTCTGCACTACAGAAGATAGGGGATTGACATCCTGTTACAACTAAAAAGTTGCAAGGAATTGGTGGTTGTCAATTGAGAGTTCTCAACTTCACGGCGGTGAGGGGATCATCCGTTTCTAGGATAGTCAAACACTGACGCGGCCGTCTGGCGGTCTCTATCTCAATTCATCTGAGCTATGATCGTTGATGAACATCGAAATGCCGGCTTCTGTCCGATTCTTCCGAAGCCTTATCGAAGACCGGCAAATAAATGCTTTTAAGTGTTGATGTTGGACCTGGTCGTCCATCTTTCAGGGCGAACATTAGACCGGGCTTGTGGTGTCAGGGTCTTTCTTGCAGATGCCTTGTCATCAGATGTCACCGTTACATCTTACCTTCACCCAGAAATGGGGCTCTAAATCTTTTACTCAGGGTCAATGACATCCGGGCACCCTCAACAGGCACGCTATCTTACATTGTAAACAGTGGTAGAATAAACATGTTACATCGGACATTGGGAACCTGTCGTGCAGGAGAATATGGATATTTGTTCAAAATTAAAGAATAAAGATAAATACATCACCTCAAGTTTGCTACAACAAATCAGCTTCTAGGTGCATCATGCTGTGTTCTATTACATACACATGAATCCATGGCTCCACACGAGGACCAGCACAGAACAAAGTCTTCCGCTTCTCGGATATTATACAACCTCGGTGAAACATCTAAGCTTTTTGATGTTTTCTATTAAACTTTTGCGCTGTCCTTGTTTAAAAAAAACTAGTGGTTTTTCTTGCATCCAACACATAGACAGTAAAAATATACTTCATTCTTCACTGAAATTGAACCTGCAGCCCGCTCTCTATTATGCTTAGATCTGCCTTCATTGCCAGTGCAGAGCAAAGGAGTGAAAGCATCGGGACCATAAAATCAAAGAATTTTGGTACCGTGTTCCAAGCTCCCATCCAGAAAGTTGGATGCGCGGACAAAATACCAAACAATCGGTTAAATATTTCCACCGTGATGGCGCAAGGAGCTGGTCGCCATCGCAATTGCTGTAATTTTCCGCTGCCACAAGCTTAGACCGACATCCAATAGCTCTACAAATTCAACTGAGACACCTTCATGAGTGTACTATTCAAGACAATGTTCTTGCCTAATAACGGTTTAATGGAATTATCTGTAAAATATGCAAAACCATTCGATCTCTTGTGATTGGCCACGTCTTGTCCAATTAGAGGACAAGCCACTATGTTTCAAAAAAATAAAATAAGTGAAGGATAGACATGGAACTGTCTCTAGCTTATTTGACAACGTCATACTTTAAAGATGACCGTAACGCATAGTAAGCCACCGTAGTCATCACAAGTCCGGAGATAGCCGCAAAAGCCGCAAACGTGGGGAGCAGCACGCAATCAGAAACACATGCAGCGCCAAGGAAACGCAAGTAATTTTTAACTCGTCAATTCGCTTAAAATCCAATGGCGCCATAGCATGCGGCGGTACGTGAAAAGCGAAAAAAAGGTTGGGGGCCGTGCATGCGAAAGCCTGGTTCTCCCATTCGCCAGATCCCTGCGATCATGCAATCCGTCTAGCCCCGCACGACACCCCCTCCGCTCCCACTCGATTCGATAAAACAAGGTTCAGCCGCGCCGCGCTCCCTCAACTCCCGTCCATCACCGGACACTCGATCTCCTCCCCCCATTGCGCTTCCGCCTCGGCCTGTTCTCCCACAATGACCCCGGACAAAGTACAATGAGATACGAGAATGAGCGGTAAATGAACAAAGGAAAGGAAAACGAAGGGATGGGGGTATATACATAATGAAAGGGGGGTATCATGAACAACAAAAGAAAGAGAAGGGCGCATGTCAACACGAAAGAAAGAGCAAGGAACTACTCCAACCCCCTCATCGCATCCGGATAATCCTTCTCGTCGCCATACCGCCCGTACCAAGTATCGACCTCCACATTCGCCTCCTCCGGCGACCGGCGGTGCACCTCCTGGACGTGCTGCTTCAGCGACGCGCGCCGGCTGAACGGCTGGTCCGTGTTGGCGCAGATGTAGCACACGAAACGGCGGCCGCCGCTGCCGTGCGGACACGTCCGGCTCTCGCGCCGGTGCCGCGTGAAGGTGTACTTGGAGCCGTACGACCGGCCGCAGCAGACGTAAGGAAGGCTTGCGTGGCGCGGTTGCTCAGGAGAAGGGTGGCCGGCGGAGGAAGGTGGGGAGGGGAGGCCGATGTGGTGGTTCACCGTGGCGGTGGAGGTGGAGGTGGAGGTCGACTTGCGGTGGTGGCTGGTGGTTTGCGGGACCGCAGGGTAGGCGTTGTATGTGGACGCATCGGGGTTGATGACGGTGGAGTGGGGATGGTGGTGGTCGCGGTGGGCGACGACGACAGGTCGGGCCGAGCGATGGTGAGAAGCGGCACCGGGATCATGAACCGGGTACGAGCTTTGGTGCGGCGGCAGGACAGCGGCATGGCCGTGGTTCCTTTGGCGCGGCAGCTGGTGTTGTGGGGCTAATCTGGGGTCAACACTATATCACGATAATGGCCAACGACGGGAAGCCCATACCATAATGGTCGAAAGCGTTGGCATGGGCCTCCAAAATGCCACCCTGAAAGTTCGTCGCATACTGCTCGAGACTGCCGTCGTTGGCATAGTGCTGGTGGTAAGGAGACATGATGTTCTTGGAAACTGGCTAATAAATCGCTGCAAAAGTGTCGAAATCGCAAGATGCTTTCCTGAGCAGTGGCAGTAAAGCTTCTGATGCGAAATACATCTTCGCCGGCCGCATTTTCGCCTTAAAAGCATCTTGTTGACGCCCGACAACATTGTACGAAAGGGCGAAGTGCGCAGCTACGATACAGAATAAACCAGCAGTAGTGTAAGTGTTGTCGTGGGAAAACCATCGCCCCAGCGCCAAGCCCGGGGAGCAAAGGTGAGTTCTGGGGGGTTATTGGACGGACAGGGCGGGACTGGCGACATGAGGGGCGCAGGAAAGGGCGTGGGCCGGGGTCCGTCATCAGGTGGCCGCGCGCGGAGTCCCTTATTGCGCAGCGGCGGATGAATCCTAAGGGGCAAAAAGGTGGTAAGGCACTTTTTGCGCGCAAAACGGATGTTGAGCGAGGCGGAAAAACGCGCGAGCGCGCGTGCGCTGGTTTTTGGCGTTTCGGGAGGACGGAGGGAGCAGTCGTGTTGATTCGTGCCGGGCGGTGATGCGTGTGTTGTATGAATCACGCACAGGCTTGGGTGGCAGTGCTGAGAAGGACGACCCATGGCTCTGGGAGAAAAACCACCCTCAAGCGAGCCACTGAGACTCTACCCTGCGAATCCTCCGAAAGCTTGCACGGCGCAGCATTTTTCCTGCTTCAGGACTTCGGTCGATTGCGATGCGCGGTTATCGGCGGCTCCGAATGGTGGAGAAAGTGCGTGGAAGGGCGGGTGTTAGGGCCGGCGGTGCAGCGCTAAATAGTATCTATGCGACGGTACTTCGGTGAGTTGGCGATATATAGCTCGGAAAGCAGCATTTCCGCTAGAAAGACCATCGGCGGTGAAGGCTTTTCGATTCCTTTATACTATGTATGCAAGGCCAGAAACGCGGCTCTTCAGCCCGTTCCACATTCTCTACTGAGTTTTCACTGTGCATTGAAAACCCGAAGAGCCGCGCGATGGAGCCGCACACTGGCTTCTTCCAACGGTCAGGAAAGGCAAAAAAGCGGACACGGGTCGGCGTGGGATCACGGCGGAACACGGCGAGGCTGCCGTCTTCATCCCTCACCTTGCGTTGGGAGGCCGCAACTCCCAGCCAGCGCCGTTGCGCAACAACCCAACTGGGCCGTAACTCTCGTGTACGACTCAGCTCTCCGTACAGAAAAGTCCAACCACGAAAGCCGACCGGTGAAGTGAGCTCGACCATTACTACTTGCAAAAAGAGTAGCTGCCGAAAGAGGAGGTGACGTTGGTTGCCCCTTGACCAATCACAACCCCGGGTTGACCGAGAAAACCATACTAGAGTTAAGCGAGCGAATCAGACCTCCGACGCGCCCCAAGAGCCGCAAACCGCCCAGCCGCTCCGCCTTTTCCACCCCCGCCATTCCGCGCGTCACGGTGCTGATGAAAACCCACGTTCGATAGTGTATGCGTGTCATACTTAGCACTGGATCTCGGCGGCTACCGAACCGGATCCACCCGATCCCTGACTCACTCATGCACGAAAACCATATACTAGGCTGCATTTGCCAGCAAAGCCACCTCCCTTGACGCCTAACCCAGCCAGCCTTGTCCTTGCTGATGCATGACATACTTCGCCAGAAAGCCTCATGCGATGTCGATGCCCCAGAAGTCGGGCAACGAAGCTGACGTGATGTAGGGCTTTACCGCCCGCCAAAAAGAAAAAACCAAGCCAGCGTCACAATCGCAGTCAACAAGGCATTTTTTTTCCCTGGTCACACACATCTTAATCAATCAAACCCATGTTGGCAAATTCTAACTCTCTAGCAAAAAACACACGCGCACACACACCTCACAAACACACACCACCAGAGAGGCACATCGTTGCATACTGTTCCATCTTTTTCATTGATTCCTCCTTTCCTCTCTCTCTATCATCATCCACTACCGGCTCAAGCCCCATTTCCCCTCCCCTTACCACGCCCCTAGATCTGTAGCCAGAAGAAGAAGAAAAGTAGTAGTAGTAGAAGAAGAAGGAAGGAAGAAAGAAAGAAGAAAAAAGAACCCTATCCACAGATATGCGCCCATCAATGCAATAGTGTGTTGTGCTCAGCCGTCTGATCCTTGAGTAAAGAAGCAAAAGAAATGAAAAAAAGAAACAGAAAGAGAAGAAAGAGAAGAGGAGAGAGAAGGCCCCAGCAACGGCCGCACAAGCTAGGAAGAAGATCCCCTAAAAAGAGAAAAGAGGAGGAAAAAAAAAGGAAATCCACCACGTTCTTCAGAACGCGCATCGCTCATCGCAAGAATGCCATGCCAATGCCATGCCATGCCATCTCCCCATGCCCACTCATCATGCTTTTCGACCTTGCAGAAAAAAAGAAATCAAACCAGCTCACCCCCTCAACCCCTCTCCCCCCTCCCACCCCCATCACGCTCCTCACCGCCCCTCCCCCTCCTCGGCCTCTTCCCGCCACCACTACCACCTCCACCACCACCACCGCTACCATCCAAACCACCACCACCACCCGCATGCCCACCACCACCACCACCACCATCAACATCTCCACCACCCCTATTCCTCTTCCGATCCCTCGACTCCCTCGGCTCCCTCTCCGAGCCACCACCACCACCACCACCACGACTCTCCCTCGGCTCCCGCATCTCACGCGGCTCCCTGCTCCTACCGCTGCCGCCACCACCACTACCATCGCCCGGTCCGTTGTTGCGCATGCTGCGTCCACTGCCGCCGCCGCCGCCTTCGCCATTCGGCGGTCCTCCGCCGTACGGTCCAGAACCGGCACCAGGCATACCGCCGACATCGTGCTCGGCACCACCCCATCCACCACCACCGCCATCACCACCACGCATACTCCGCCTGCTATCGCGATGATGGCCACTGCTGCTGCCGCCGCCACCCTCCCTGTCATCGCCGCCGCCGCTAGGGCCACCACCACCTCTTCCGCTACGCCTGCTTTCCCGCGATGATGACGGCGGCTGGTGCGGCAGTGGGGGTCCAACGAGATCCGCCATGGACGACGACGACGGGCCGCCTCCACGCTTGTTGGAATCATCTCCTCCGCCACGACGCGACGACGACTCGCGCGGACTGGTCGACCTGTGGCGGCCGGAGCGACGCTCGCTGCGTTCGCCGCGACGACTGCTACCGCCTCGGTGGTCGCGCTCGTCGCCGCCGCCAGGGAGTTGCATGTCTGCACCACCGCCAGGTCCTCTAGGCAGTAGGTCCGGTCGTCCGTCACCACCACCACCGCGAGGCGGCGCGTCCAGGTGCGGCGGGATGGGCGTGCTAGGTTGCGAGGCAGCAGGTGAATTTGTGCTGCCGGGACGCCCACCAGCGCGGCCGCGGATAGAGGCGCCACGGTCCGAGGATGACGAGGGTCCGCCGGTGTTGTCGTTGCGGTAGCCACCACCGCCGCCGCCACCACCACTACCACCACCGCCGGGCGAGCTGTTGCTCTGCTGGAGCATGTTGTTGATGCCGGCAAAGCGCTTGTCTTCGTGGCGACGCTCCGAAGAGGATGCCGGGCCGGTGGGCGGGTTGCGGGCGTTTGGCGATTGGAAGTCGGAGCCGCTGAGCGAAGGTTGTTGACGGTGAGACCCGCGGGGGCCGGATGGAGGGGGGAATGCGGAGGACGGTGCAGGCATGTCGTTGCGTGCGGCCGGAATCTGCCTCAGGCGATCTGGGTGGATGCCTGACGTGTCCTGGCCGTGTTCATTCGATGGCGTTTGGGGGCCGTGGTCGAACGAATCTCGGTGTTCCCTTCTATCGGCGTTGGGTCCCAGAGGTGGGCCACGCTCGCTGATGGGAGACGGAGGCACTGAGCTGGGCTGGTTCCTGCCACGACCTGCACCGCCTCTGCCGCGAGGGCCAGAGGGAGCATCCGGGGCATTGAGACGGCCGTAGCTAGGGTCAGAAGAGCGCGACGGCATGAAGTCCTGGTTAAGACGACCGTGATTCGGGTCCGCTGGAGGTGGCCGCGGGGCCGAGGGCTCGAAAAGCTCACGCCCACCACGAGATGCCCCGGGCCCAGGGTAATCGCCCCTACTCGAACGATCGCTACGCGGTCCAGTTGGTGGGATCGAGTTAGGGTCGTCACGACGATCGCGGCTGGACGGGTAACTGGGAGGTAGACGATCTTGGCTGGGCGGCCCACGCTCGTCACGGTAGTCATCACGGGGAGGGAAGTTTGGCGGGCGCTCGTCTCCACGTCGAGGAGAATGAGGCCTTGAGCCTCTATCGCGACGGCTGTCCCTTTCAGAACCAAATCTCTCGGGGCGGCGTGGTCCAACGTCGGAATCGAGTAGGGCCGCACGCTCTGGGTTCATGCCACTGCGATCACCGGGGCCAGAGGGTCTATCGGGAAGTTGACCGGGGGGTCCGCGTTCGCCAAACCTGCCCGCACGCTCGGGATGTTGGTACGGTCCTGTAGAAGGCGGAGGCATCGGTCCAGACTGCCAGTTGCGTCCATCTCCAGGCTGGCTCTGCTGATCGTACGGAGGTCGGCCGCGCTGACTATCGTTGGGGGAGTCAAAAGGCCTGCCGCGAGAGGGAGGTTCATTCCACTGCGGAGGGCCCCTGGCACCTTGACGAGTGTCTCTCGGAAGTGGTCGTCCTCTGTCATCTTCCCATACTTCCCTGGGGCCCTGCCATTGAGGATCACGGCGGTCCCGGTCCATATGAGCGGGAGCTGGGCTCCTGCTGCGAGGCCGACGGCTCGACGACGCATCCCTAGTCCGATCGGGGAAGTCTCGAGGCATGTCTCCCGGACGTTCAAGACGACCGTAGTCATGATTAGGCGGGCCGCGTCCATCGTGTCTTGGGGGACGGTCTTGTCTGTCGCCCATACGGTTCCTTGGGGGCTGCGGTTCAGGTCGGTTCGGAAGGGCATGGGGTTGACGTCCACCAGCTGTATTAGGCGGCGGGCCCCTACCTGTATCTGGGCGAGACGGCGGACCCTGGCCATGCGATGGAATTGGAGTCGAAGGTTTGGAATCCGAGTGGGGACCTCTGCCCGAGAGCTGCGCCGGTGTCGGTCCAGGCGTACTGGCCTTCGAATCCGAAGCCCTATCCCTCTCTCCTCCTGCCACCGACATCGTTATCTGATCGGGTTTGTCTTTTCCGTCACCTATTTCACCATCTTCGGCGTCCTTATCCTTCATGCCGTTTGTCGTGACGCCGTTGCTACCATGTGTTGTTAGGGTCTGTCGAGATTCGATTCGGCTGAAGCTGAAACGTGGGCGAAGAATACTTACGACTGCTGAGAAGGTTTGAATTCCGCGGCGGATGCGTTGAGCCTGGCCTGGCCAGGTTGCGGCGTGCTCGCGCCCTCGGTAGTGGCGCGGCTATTGGGCTTCTGCGGTGCGTTGGGGTCGGCCTGCTTTTCGTTAATCATAACGTAACGATCCAGTGACGGGTCGTAAGTTGGACCAACCAGTTTAAAAGCCTGGGGAAGCATCCAGTGGGGCTCCGTCTTTTTGAGGTCACCAATGAGGGATGCTGCCGCCAGCTTCAAGTCACCTCTAGAATCCTCCTTCGACAGTTTCATGATACACTCGAGCTGCTGCTTGCCCATGAAGTTGATACGAGGGAAGCTGGGAGTGATGACCTTGAGGAGGATGATAGCGTTACGAATATGCATGTACTCTCCGCTGGAAAGGCATGCCTTGAGCGCATTGTTGAGGCTGACATGCCACTTGTAGAGCAGTCGTCGGAAATCTTCGTAGGTGAGGAAGACCTCCGGTACCCTCTCTTCATTGAACTTGCGACCGAAGCCAGGAAGGTCCTTCTTCGCGCCGTAAGCCGTTCTCTCGTACACTGCCGAGTCGGCATGCCATTTTCCAAGCTCTAGAAGAAGCAGGTTCAAGAAGCGACCAAGGTTGTCGATTTCCGAAGGAGTGCAAATGAAAATGAGCGACGTAAGCTGCTTCTCCCTCAGGATCCGATCGATCAGGAACATCGTGCGGAATCCCGGGGTGCCGGCGCTGTGGAGGTAGATGAGCATCCGATAGACGTACTGCGCATCAAATGGAGAGAGGAGCAGACGCGGAAGGAAACACTCCTGGATGATGTAGTCGTGAAGGGCGGGGCTCATGGCGAGCTTGTGAGTAGCGAACCAATGGAGCTTCTCTTTCTGAAGGCGAGCGCGGACCATCGAGTACGTCTGTACCTGGACCTTCATCTCAGCTCTCAGGCGATCCTGCAGATCACTCAGTTCCTTCTTCTTCGCATCCTTCTTCTTGATTCCTGCCACAGACACGTCGGACCGGTCTGAAATCACAGCAGTGATCTTCTTTTGCAGTGCCTTGATCTCATCCTCGTATTGTTGGGTCGGAACGGCCATGTCGTTGTGGGAGAGCTGCCAAAAGGTCGTGTAGAAAGAGAGGCTCATCTTGTCCTCGAAGTCGTCAGGTAGAGCTGTCTTCAGCCTATCCATGAGGTCCTTGATGATAGGATGCCAGGGCTCGTCTGCAGTTGGAGCTGCTGGCGTGGCTACAGGCGTCGGAGCGCTGACAGCGGCTTCCTCCTTCTCACCTGCTTCCTCCTTGATGGGTGCCTCCTCTTTGACTTCCTCTTTCTTCTCAGCGTCCATCTCCTCCTGACCATCTTCAGGAGCATCGTCCATATCAACATCTCCGTTTGTTGCCGGCTTCCCTTGTTCTTCAGTCTTTGCCTCCTCTTTCTGCTTCTTGTCCTCTTCCGCGGCGATCATATCAACATCCAAGACAGCTTGCGAAAGGCTATGCCTGCAAACCGCGAACGCGATATTCGTGTCGATGCCAAACTCTGACATAAGAGAGACCACGTCAGGAATGGCAGCATCGAACTCTTTGACAGAGAGGTTAGACCTGAGAGCCTCGAGGTACTGGAAGAAGATCCGAGTGAGTCTGTCCATGTTCACTCCGAGAACCTTCAAAGGCGCATCGGCAAGCAGTTCGGAATGAGGGAACAGCTGGCGTTCCTGCGCAATGGCGATGAGTAGTTGTCCGGCCAGGCCAGGCTCGACCAAAGCTCTCAACAGTCGCTTGGCCGGTCCCTTGAAGCCGGGCTGGTTGCGGAAGTCCTGGATTTGCTCCAGAATCTGGGCTTGAATAAGATCGCCACCTGCCATGCCTTGCAGCTGGTTTTCCGTAAACGTAGGCTCCATTGGAATACCGGTCATCTGCGTCATGATCTGCTCCAGAACATCCAAGTCGGTAGTGTTGCCGTTTCGTAGCTGATACGTCACGTACTGGAGGATTGGCGTGGCATTCATGACAGTGTAGCGCTTGAAGACGCTTCCAGCAAAGAAGGAGAGCGACTGCAACCAGCGACTGGTTAGCATACCATCATCTTGTTGACGAGGGCGGCCCTTTCCACCAAGGGAGCTCATGAGAGACCAGGTCAAGACATCGTAGCCGAGGTAGGTAAAGTAGCGAGCGCACTCCACGATGACGTGGACAAGGTTATCGTAAGACTCAATCTGGTTCAGAGCGACTTTGAAGACGATACCAGGAGATGAGTAAGCAACCTTCGCCAGTGCCCTGGCCATCTGCTTCGTGTTGGTCTTGCTGATACGCTTCAAGACGTCCTTCGTTTCGGCAGTCGACTGGTCAAAGGCCGCCTTGATGTCGGGTAACCTCGAGGTCTGGCCGGTGTACCATTCTGCATAGATGGAGTAGCGAGTGGACGTAGGGAAGAGCTTCAGCAGGTCGAAGACTTCGTTAACGACGCCAGGGTTGGACTTTGTCAAGCTGAGAGCGGGAACCAAAAGTCTCTTCGAGAGGTCAATCCAGCGAGTGAAGTTTGCCTCCGAATCGTCCTTAGCCAAGCTCCATTTACCGATGCGCGCCAGCTTTGTCAGAAGAGCAGGGTCCTGGCCGATCTTAACGCCAGAGAAGTTGAGGAAAGAGCTGCAGAGAGAGAAGACATCATCAACTGTCTGGCAGACTGGGACGTTGTTCGCCCAGTCTTCCCAGTAGAAACGATAGTCGACAATCTGCGAGTCGTTGTGGGAACCCTGCTTCTCGACCGATGCCCAGCGCAACGTCCTGCGAGGCGGAGGGTCTGTGCTCTTCAGTTCTCCCTTCTCAGCTCCGCCCTTCTCGACTTCCGCCTTCTTTACAAGCCTGACTTGGTCATGGCCTTGCATAGGGCGTAGAGCGTTGTAGACTTTGTGGAGACTGTGGTGTAATATCCGGTGAAGGTACTCAGGGAGGTCAGGGTGAACGTCGGTCAACCAAGGGAACTTTCCAAGCATATAGAGAGATTCCGGAATGGCGCCAATGCAAAGCAAGCTCTTGAGCAGAGCAATCTTCTGGTCCGTAGGCTCGCTCAGTGATTCTTCCTTCATAGCCTCGTCAGGCTTGTCGGATTTCGGTGTTCCGGCCTTGTCTTCTGGTTTTGCTGAAGAAGCTCTGCTGCTTTCAGCTTCGCGCAGCCTCGTGGCTGCCGTGGGTGCTGGTATCGTGTCGTCTACCAATGCTCCTGCCATCGCAAGGGCATTCATCTGGCCACCACCGGGCCTGTTCTTCCTCTCACGTTCCTCTTTCTCCTTCATCAACTTCTCCTTCACAACAGCCATGTCTTTGTCGGCGGGATAGAGGTGGGGGTATAGGTCGCGCAGGGAGATGAAGCCGATCTTGATCAACAGCGCCGCAAGGAACACCAGGTTTTCTGGGAATCTATCCTCGGGATCCCTTGCAGAGGAGGCGTAGAAACGGAGCTTGAAACCGAGCAATTGTGCAGCCACACGGTTTCCCGGCGGCGGGAGAGTCTTCGTTACCGCCATCCACTCCTTGTTGAACACGGCTTCCGTCATGTCCTCAGGCTTGGACCCATCCCTCATTCCTCTCTCCTTCTCAATCTTTTCAAGCCTCTCTGCGACGGACTCGCCGGACTCCAGGGTTATCTCACCCTTTGTGATACGGCGTCCTCCAAGCTCGAAGAAAGCTTCCAACCCCACTTCTCGTACACGCTGCCAGAACTTCCTGTCTCTTTCTTCACACAGCTCTGCTATTTCGACGACATCTTTCTCGGTGTGCTGATATCCGGAGGCTCCAGGTTGTGCCCATCTCGGTAGAGATTCAATTCCGAGGGTCTCCCATTCCAGACTTTCATACGACTTTTCCTCCGGCCACCACGAACTTGCACGCATGAACTTGACAAAGAAGCGGTAATGCCTGATCATGAGATTGGCAAAAACATCCAGGGTCACATCCAAAGCACGTCCGACGTCCAGGTCAAAAGCACCAATCAGGGCCTTTACGCGTTGGAAAGCGGCGGCGGCGGCATTCCAGGTCGGTTCCTCGTTGTTTGAAGTGGTGAAATACTCGGTCATGAGCTTGGCGTATCCCTCGGATTCCTCGCGGAGCAAGTTATAATTCGACTGGCGATAGAGCTGATTCGTGGCCATGCGGGTGCCCATCCTCTCGAACGTCTTCCGGACCATGCCCAACTCCTGCAGCTGCGGTATGTCCAGTTCCTCCTTCATCTGCATAGGCGAGATTCCTGTAGCGACGAGAAGGTCCCAAAGGCCGCGGGTAACGGGGTCCATGCTGGTCGAAACCGCAACCGTGTCGAGGAACATGGAGGCATTTTCCGTAGCGGCTTCACCAGCCTCGGCCAACACTTCCTTGACGACGCGGCCTGCATCGGCTGGGTCTATCCTGTCGTCCAATCCAGCCCTGATCACCTCCTGGAAGATTATGCTCAGCGTTAGAAAATCCTCCTTCTCTTGCGCCTGCAGCGCTGCGTCCAAGACGGCCTTCCTCCCAGACGTCCTCCACGCCGCCTTCTGCTCATCCGTTATGTACTGGTACACGAACTTGATCGGCGGCTTCGGGGCGGGGGCCTGCTGCTGCGGCACCGGGGGCGGCGCAGGCGGCGCAGGACGCGAGTGCTCCTGGGGCGTGGCAGGCCGCGGCGCCGCTGGTGGTGGTGGTGGTGCTGCGTGCGCCGACGGCGGGCGCGTCAAGGTCGGCGAAGACGGGTTGTTGTTGGTCTCCGACCTGGAAAACGAGGCAGGGCTGGCCCTCGAGACTGGAGACTGCGCGTTAGATTCACCGCCAGTAGTGGTGGTCATGGCCGGGCTGCCGGCGTCTCGCTCACCGCGGCCACCGCGCGCACCACCGCCGCTGCTGTTGCCTCCTCCTGGTCCTCCTGGTCCACTGCTGCTGCCTCCACGGCTCTCGCGGCGTGCCCCTCCGCCCCGTCCGCCCCGGCCTCCGCCATTGCCGGCGTACTGGTTCTGCTGCGCGAGGTTGAGGCTCTGCGGCCGGTGAGGTGACGGCCGCGGTCCGCTGCCGTCGCCGACGTCCTGCGAGTTGTAGGGGCCGCGTTCGGACCGCTTGCGCTTGATGGGCGGCGGCATTGTTGAAGGCGGGTGCGCAAGTTAGCTAGCCTTGCGGCGGGCTGATGGTGAGTGCGGCCGCGGTGCGCATGCAAGGTTGTTTGTCGGTGCGTGGGTGAGGCTCGAAAGCTCGAACAAACCGGAGCTGCGATAATGCGTTCGGCTGTGGCGCTGCGCACGCGGGCAGCGATGGTGGGACCCTCGGGCGAAGTCGAATTACAGGAGAAAAGGGTGTAGGGAAGAAAGAAACAAAGGTTGCAGCCGCGAGGGTCGGCGGGGGTTTGTTGCGGGCGATGCTGAAGTTGTCGCGTTGGTGAAAGCCGGCGCGACGTTTCTTGCCAAGACTTGCCGCGCTCTGACCAGGGTGCTCCTCGACTGTGTCGTCACCTCGACTCCGCGCCCTCCACCTTTCTGATGCCTCCTGCTTCGCCGCTTTCCATTCGCCCTTCAATTGACCGTGAACTCACGTCCTTGGGAAGTCGCATTCGCGCATAATCCGCCCAATATCAATTGCACGAGTCCGCGCGTCAAACATACGGCGAGAAGAGCGGCACAAATTTGCGGGGCAAGCTTACATGATCACTTTGGCCGTCACGCGGATGCATTTAGTTCACCATACAATCATACATGTGGATATAGAGTTGCAAGAAAAGCGTACGAGGAGCAAGGCTCAACTCTAAACGCTATCATAAATTGCAAAAAATCTTTCAAAGCTATTCAAGACCCCAATTGAAAGGAGCGGCCGGGTCCGATCGTACCAAAGGTATCCCACCAGCTGCTTAAGCAGCCGCGGCGACCGCACCGGCCGTCTGCTTCCTCTCATGCTCGAGGATGGCCTCGAGGACGCCGGTAGCGCCCTGACCGGCCTTCAGCTCCGCGATGACGCCGTCGATACCGAGCTGGGCATCGGTCCAGAGGGGCGTCTCCGGGGCCTTGTCCGCCTCACCAACGCCGATGAAACCACCTTCGGCAGCCCACTCACTGGTGCGCTTGATGCCGAGCTGGGTCCAGACGCTGTCCAATGCCTTCACCAACTGGTCGCGGAACTCACGCGTGTGGCCGGGAGTAGGGGTAACGCGCAGACGCTCCTGACCGACCGGGACAGTCGGGTAGTTGATGGCCTGGACATAGATGTTCCACTCTTCGAGAAGCATGTCGCTGGCCTTCTTAGCCAATTCAGCGTTACCAACAAGCACAGGGACGATGTGGCTAGGGTTAGGGATGACGGGAATGTCCTTGGCAGCCAGCGCGTCCTTGGTGGCGCGAGTGTGCAGCTGCTGGAGACGGCGGTCACCCTGGTAGTTCATCTGGTACTCGATCGCAGTTTGAGCACCAGCCATAGTTGCCGGGGGAAGGGAGGTGGTGAAGATGAAGCCGGGAGCCAGGGAGCGAATAGTGTCGACAAACTTGGCAGATCCCGCAATGTAGCCACCAACGCATCCGTAGGCCTTGCCGAGAGTACCGGTAATGATGTCGACGCGGTCCATGATGGTGCCCCTCGGCTTGCCCTGAACGTGGGCCTCGTAGTCCAGGTGCTCGGCAACACCAGCGCCGTGCGGGCCGTACATGCCGACGGCATGGACTTCGTCCAAGAAGGTAATGGCTCCGTACTTATCCGCGAGATCGCAGATCTCCTCGATGGGTCCGATGGATCCACACATGCTGTAAACACTCTCGAACGCGATGATCTTCGGGGTGTCCGGAGGGAGCGAAGCGAGCTTCGCCTCCAGATCGGCCAGATCGTTGTGCTTGAACACCATCTTCTTCGCTCCCGAGTGACGGATACCCTGAATCATCGAGGCGTGGTTGAGGCTGTCGGAGAGAATGACGCAGTCGGGGAGCTTGCTACCGAGCGTTGCGAGAGTAGCATCGTTCGCGACGTAGCAGGAAGAGAAAACCAACGCAGCCTCCTTCGCGTGCAGCTTCGCGATTGTGCCCTCCAGCTCAACGGCATGCTGGTTGTGACCAGAAATGTTCCTGGTGCCGCCAGCTCCGGCACCGTACTTGTCCATCGTCTCGTGCATCCGCTTCAGGACGTGCGGGTTGCGGCCCATGCCCAAGTAATCGTTCGCACACCAGACGGTGACCTCCTCCTGTTCCGTCGCCATGTGGGCACGCGGGAAGTTCTTGGCGAGACGGTTGATGTTGTTGAAGTAGCGGTACGACTTGTCCTTGTGCTTCTTGTCGAGCTCATTCTGGTAGAAGCCCTCGTAGTCGAACTTGGCCGGCTGCGGGGTTGGCGGCTTGCCAGTGAGCTTCTGGGGTGCGACATCGCTCGTGGCGGCCTTGGTGGGGTGGGCGTTCTGCGGGAATGGGACTATTTTTGCCGCACGTTAGCATTACAACGTCATTAAACGCCGATCGCGAACGCAATTGAGACGTACCTCGCTCGCGGCGGACGGAAGCGACATCGACAGCCTGGGCCTCCTTGGAGGAAGAGGTGTGCAGCCTGGCCCTGTGGCCGACCTTGGCGTGGTAAGCACGAGTACCGCCAAAGGCGCCGGCGAGAACGGTGTTGCCGGTGCGGGCACTCTGCACAGCGAGGGCCTTGCCCATGACGGGGCAGCGGCGGGCGATGAGCTGCAGGTTGGACATGCTACCGCCACCGGTCGAAACGCTGTGGGCGGCGGTCGAGGTGGAAAGGGACCTCAGGGTCGCGGGCGAGGTCTTGTGCAGAAACGGACACATGGCCCTCGATTGGTGAAGAAGCGCCTCCATTGCGGGCAAGAAGGCAGTCGAAATGGGTGCGATCCGGATCAGGGCAGTATGGCGGTGGTGGGAGGGCAAGAGAAGGAGATTTGGGGGACTGAAACAGAAGGGTGGGCAGCGGGCGACTTTTGAGAACGAGGCCCTGGAATGCCATGCGGAGCCGAAAGTGTCAGCAAGCCCTTCTAGTGGCCGCTAATTGGCTGTGCCACTGTGACTACCAAGGGCCAGATTAGAACGCCTCGGAGACAGCTCGCTGATCCTCGCGCCCGGCACCTGTATCGCCTGAGATTCCGCTCAGCTTGGCCTTAGCGGCCTGAATTTGCTCCATAAAGGCCTCCCTTTCCGCCCCAGCGACCTCGGCGTAACCCGTGCGCCGTCGCTTTGTTCTGCGAAGCGAACAATGGCTGCCGAACATGCCGCCCCTCAATCGGAGTTTGGGGCGCCGCGCCACAACAGGGCCCTTTTTACTTTTTTTTCCTCCGGCCCGCGATGATGGCCGCTGCGTTCGGCGTCGCACCTGCACACTTCACGCCGCAGGAGAACATGGCACACTCCGCGTCTCTATTTACAGACCAGCCACCGCAGCCTCGGCCGCCACAGCCCGCACGCGCGAGCTGAAATCCGGGGTAATGCGAGGCGTGGCATCTTTCGGCTACCACGGCTCCCGGGAACCGCTTCCACTGGCTGCTCGCGCCAGGCACTGGATGGACCTGATTGCCAGATCTAGATGGGTCTTGGCTCGCAGCGGTAACTCTCTCCGCGCCCCTCCGTCGTCCAATGGTTCTCTGCGCATTACGCACCGGGAGCTGACGGGAGCCCGCGCACTCCCAACCAATTATGCACCCCTCTACGGCTACTCAGCCCACTTGCGTAACGTCGCTCTACTCAGCTTTGTATGATCGTGCATATGCTTACTGCATTTGAAAGAAGCAACATGCTCCGATAATGCAGACTGACATAGTCCAACCCCGCTTTGCTCATCTCAACACGAAACCCGAGACCTTCGCTTTCTCACGTGCACGTACATTGGTCCCCTCGCACTCCTTTCCGAACTATGTTCAGCTCTGTATTGATACAAATAACCACCAAGTAAAGTGCCCGAGTCGTCTCGCAATCCAGCGACTATTATGTACGGCATGGTAGATAATGATTGAGACTATTAGACTCAAGTCATGTGGGTATCTGGATCCAGAGCGCCTCCCGAAAGCAAAGCGGCCCGCCCTGTCAAAAACATCCTAATTAAAACCACCCTACCTGCTACTCCCTGGAATGCCCTTATGTACCCGGTCCGTGTTTTATGTGCATATCAATAAAGCAGAAGAAAAAGGACCCTACTGTTGATGTCGTAAACGACATGCTCAAGCAATTGCACTAAAAGGCAAAGTGAAGCTGCACTCATATGAGACCCATCATCTCAATCGTCGTCCGAGAGGTCAATGTAGTTCTCTCGCGCCCTGCTTTTGCTTGACGTTGGCGTAGGCCGCTGGGAGCCACGACGGTCGTCCCTGGACCTGGCGGCTGGAGTTTGAAGCCTTCTCTCCATCTGGCTTGCAAACACGTTTCTTTGTTTCGTCTGTCGATTGTGACTGGTTAGCATTGCTGGTCGGTGTGTTGCCGATGAAGCTGTTCGAGGGGATGGAGTTGTGTACCTCTGGTTTCGGAGGGGACGCCATGGATCTGTTGCTTTCCGAGACGGTGGTGTGCAGATTGCCATCTTGATGAGATGTGGACGTAAGACTGTCACGTCCCGTAGCCTCTACGCGAGAGCGAGGAAGATTCAGAATTTTTTGCAGAGTTGCCTGGAGAATCGGTTCGTCGTGGCCCTTGGGTGGATTGGAGGGACTATCTTGACTTCCACTGTGAGGAAGCGGAAGAGGTACTATCGAGACTGGCGACAAAGGTTTCGGCCGAGAGGAGGATGGCCCGCTGTGATTAACACCGGGAACTTCTGGCAGATCTTCACCGAGTTCTGGGCTGACCGCACGATTATCGCTGCGTAGATGCATAGGAATTGGAGCCTTTGGTGGTCCAGGTGGATTATTTGGAGTAGATGCCGAATCCCTTGGGGCAAGGATCTCCCGCGGATTCCTTGGGGTTTGGCTTAGCGGTACCTGACGTCTCATGCTAGCGGGTGAAGGGCCTGCATTATTGATACCAGCATCTGAAGAAGGCAATCCATCGGAACGAATGGTGTCACGCGTAGAGGTTGGTGCGGTCGATAACATCTGATTGCCGCCAGTAAAACTGGGTGCGCCAAACTCGAGGAACGGCCGTTCCATCGGGGGAGGACGAGCCGCTGGGAAATTCGGGATTGGGGCTGGACCATTCCGGATAGCCGCCCCGGCAAAAAGAGCCCTCTGCATTGCTCCGTACGGGTTGTTTCTGCTGTCGTCAATTGCTGGATTATCTCTCAAGTACTGCTCCCAAGCTTGTGGGTTTTCCTTCCGCAGCCTCTCTGCTTGGATCATCTTCTTGACTTCTTCGTTCTCTTCTTCGTTCAGGACGGCATCCAGGTCTTCGGTCATCAGGGTCTCTGTGGTCGTGATAGAACGGAGCCCAGCGTCTTTGCCTTCTCTCTGTTGGGCGAGGATTTTATCAAGGACCTTCTTGTCCTTTCCCTGATCTCCGGTAAGATCCCCTTGCTCCACAGGTGTAGGCTCAAAGAAGTACTCTCTCATCTTCGCGGCTTGCCTCTCTGGATTCTTGGCATCGACAGTTCTTAATGCAAGCTGAGTCTTGAAGAGGGCCGAATTCCAAACCTTTGGTTCAAAGGTACCGCCGACAATCATGCGATACACGAAGACTTCTTTCTCCTGACCAATCCGATAGGCTCTGCCTATCGCCTGTTCTTCATTCTGGGGATTGAAGCCACAATCCAGAATGATAACCCTGTTGGCACCTTGAAGGTTGAAGCCTGTACCTCCGGCCTTGGTAGAGATGAGGAAAACGTCAAATTTGCCTCGGTTGAAGTCTTCCATGAGAGCGGGTCGGTTGGACATTTTGGTTTTACCATCCAAGCGAATATATCTGTAGTTCTGGCTGGCTAGCACGCTTTCCAGATAAGTCAGAGAATTTAGTTGCTGTGAGAAAACAAGTACTCGATCACCAGCTGCCTTCGAAAGCCTGATGATCTGCATCAGGATTCTTGTCTTGAATGAATGACGCGGAGAGGTATTGTCATGCGCTTGATCGAGAATCGAAACGGCCTGCTCGATGAATGAGTTGGTAAAAGATCCTCTCATCTCATCATCCAGATTCTGGTCCTCTGGCAATACATCTTGCTGCTCGTTTGCATCGCTCTCCTCAACGACTGCACGTTGCGCATTGGCACGTGGTTTGTCTCCTGCGTTGTCTCGTCGTGCCTGCTGGTCCTTCAGCTTGTTCACGAACACAGCTGGGTGGCAGCAGAGCAAATTGAGGAGATGAATCCACACCCACATCCTGGTTGTGGTGATCTTTTTCCTGTCTCCCACTAGAAGTTGCCGGATACAGAGATTGTAGAGCTCCTCCTGTAGAGCAGTGAGGGGCACAGTGATGACAAACTCAACCTTGGATTTAAGGTCATCCTTGAGCACCGTAATGTTCGCCCTACTGATCTTCGGCCCTATCTCGCTTTTAAGGACACGAAGTTTTTTCAACGCTTTTCGGTGTTCGTATGGAGTACTGTCTTTGTAAAGGCCTTCCTCAATGGGTTCTACGAAGTGAGCTTTGAATTCCTTTTGGCTGCCCAGGTATCCCGGCGAGACCCAGTCGATCATGGACCAGTACTCCGTAAGGTTGTTGGCCAAGGGCGATCCGGTCAAGGCCAATCTCGCTTTAGATTTGAATTTGTCGACAACCTCCCGAATGGTGCTTTTGACAGACTTCATCTTGTGGGCTTCATCAGCAACGATGATGGATGGTCCCTCAAGCAGTGCCCCCTGAAGGTCACGAAGTTCTTCTTTAGACGTCCTGACGGAGTTCTTTTCACTGAGAAAATTGCGGAACATCTCGTAAGACATTACCAAAATGCCGCCATGCTCGTCCCAGTTGAAGATCTTCTTCAGGCGTGCAACAGGCGGGTCGTCGGCGTTTACGTAGCTGATGGTTCTAAACTTTTTGGCTGCGGACTTTGGGATCCAATCGTAGAGTTCGTCTAGCCAGTTGTTTATCAGAGAGGCGGGACAAAGGATAAGAGCTTGCATACGACGCAGCCCCAGAGGAATCTGCTCCTGAATTCGCTCGTGAGGAGAAGTCGCGGCTTCGATGATCGTGACAAGAAGAGTAATTCTATGCAAATCAGCGATGCTTTTCGTCAGAGGAACAGCCGTACTTACACTTGCATGGTTTTGCCGAGACCCATGGTATGAGCAAGGAGGCAGCCTTGAGCGTCAGTATGCCCGGCCTCAACCAGCTCGCGCCACATGAACTTGACGCCTTCGATCTGGTGGGCCTTGATCCTCGAACCGATGGATGGGTTGATATGAATGGCTCCGTCCGTGCCAAATTGACCAGGATTGATGATGAGGCGATCGGTCTGTGACTGGGACGAGCCGGCACGTTCCTGGAATGCCCTTTCTATCTCAACCTGGACTTCAGCACGCTTTTGCGCGCTTTTTCGCAGCTTGATCGCCGAATCGCTTTGTTTGACAATGTTCTTCCGCCTCTTGTGAGGAGTATTGACTGGTGCTGGTTCGTCTTCCTCGCCTGAGGTAGCGTCTGAATTTTGTCAGTAACTCTTAGCAGATAAACAGAGGTGGGTGAATGAAGAAGACTTACGAGCTGAAACAACGTCGGAAGAGGGAGACGGATATCGTTTCAAAATGCCAATGACGAAGTCGAAGAAAGACGAGAAATCATGCTTGTTCTGAGGCGTGTCCAGTTTCTCAACGATCTTTCGAATGTACCCAGCAAGTTTGTCAGGTGGACTCGACCAGGGTGTGTGGAGGACTTTGTTCCAACAAGTGTAGAGCCTGGCAAACTTTACGAGGCCAACCCATTCCTGGTCAGTGATATTGCGCACCCTGTTATTGCGGCAGAGGCATGTCATGGTCTGCCAGACTTGATCATGCAAAGTTTTGCGCGTCACGGTCGTGGCGTATTCGCGCATTTGTTTGTATTCCTCTTCTCCAACACTCGTGCGAAGGATCTTTAGTACCAGCCTCTTCTTGTCGTTGCGTTCTTCAAGATCGTAGAACTTCCATTTCTCGATCTCAGCAATTGTCGAATATTCTGGTTGAATTTGGCTCGCAGAGATTAGAGAACCAGGAATGACCGAGGGTCTTGAGAAAGAAGGACCAGGAATCGGCGACGAGTCACTCGTGGTTACGCCATCCGAGAGAGCGGTCAGGTCGATGACTGAATGTGTAGATCGGGGAGCAGACTCCGGTGGAGGTAGCTGCAAACGTTTTGGTGTGGTAGGCAATGAGCTGGCATATGGGGCGTCAACGAGATCGACATCACTGTCTTCGGCGGTTATTGGTCCGACACTGCCAACTTCATCTGAAACGTCTGCCATGCTAGCTGTGTCCAGTTCAGGAGACATCTCGTCCTGTCGTCTTCTTTTTGCCGTCGCCGATTGCTTAGGCGAGATTTGCATGACATCCTCGTCCTGCTCAATGAAATCTTCCAAGCCGCCAGAGTCCAGCTCAGACTCGCTATCCAGCGATTCGCCACTTTCCTCTCCAAAGTCGCGGTCTCGGGGCTTGGGAGGCCTCTTTGTGGTGCGTCTCGGGACTGTCTTGATAGCCGGTGGCTCAGCCTTGAGGTCCCATACAGACAGCAGCCACAATTGTTCCTCTCTCTGTGATACGCTCTCTTCCAAAGTGGCGCATTGTTGAATAACGTCTTCCCTCCTGTGCCACACCAAGTCCACAATTGCTTCTTTCAATTTGTTCAGGCGACGATCAATCGTCTTGACTTCATTTTCTGCGGCCGTACGAAGGACACGTTTCGCATTAGGACGCCGCGCTTTTCGCCAGATCGTCCTTGCCGTGCGCTGACGTAGAGGGAGCTTCCTTTGCTTCCAGATCTCACCCAGCTCGTGGATCCTTTGCTGAACAATTGTTGAGACCTCCTCCTTACTCAGTTGCGGTTGCTTCCATTGTTGCAGGGTCCGCTCTCTCTCTTCTGCATCCAGTTCCGCTTCATACGAGGAGCTTTCTTCTTCATCGGACTCTCCTAACGGTGGGAGAATTTCGTCATCACCATGCTTCCATTTTTCGGCAAAGCCGTACCATCCGCTGTTCTGCTGATCACTGTCATCGTCATACGGGAGATTACTATCGAACAAGATGTTGCTCTGCACTCGCAAAGCATCTTGCTTCGTAGCTCTGATGCCTTTGTCAGTGTGCTCAAATACTGTAACAGCTCGAGGTCGGTTTTCCGGAAGGAGGGCCGACCGATAAGGCTGAATGGTAGTGATCTTCTTGCCGTTTTCCTGCAGAAATTCTCTACGGTCAGGATTGCGGATAAAATGAAGAAACTGGCGGTATATGTATGGGCTAAGGATATGGTGAGCTTTGCCATGGTGTTGGAAATCCATATCGTCATCCTCTTCAAGCGTCTGACCAAAGGAGGCATCGCCGTAGAATACCATGTCCACAGGAAAACTCTTCCTAGAAGATGGAGAAAAGGGAAGCTGGGTTTGCACAGTATTTGCGGATGTGGTAGGCGTTGCAGCTAAGGCAAGTCTGCGTTTCTTCCTCCCACTGGCATCCTGGATGATTGTTTCTCCAGGGCGTTTGGTGGTCATTGTTGCCTGGTCCACGGGTCCAGCTGGTTGCGGATTCATCTCCTCTTCAGTTTCAAGTACAGTGGGCAACATGCCCTCATGTGTCGGGGTTGCCAAACCTGTTCGAAATTGCTCAGAGGGCGGAGGCAAGCTGCCAAGCCAGCCACCAACAGGACGACCATATGTCGATGATCCAGCCACACTCTGCACCATTGATGGAGCAGAAATAGCCGTCTGGGTTGCTAGATGGTCCGCATATTTTGGAGACTGTTCGCGAAGCTTGTCGATGGCCCAAGAAACAGCTGAAACCCTACCGATAGTCTTGATGCCAAGTCCATCTTTCAATTTCTGCTCAGAGGTGAAGTAGGTGAGTAAGGCGAAGCCATTTACTTCTTCTTCTCGTAGATGCTCCTCGAGTGAGGCAGGGTCCGGCATGGGTGCATTTGGTCTCCCTTGAATCCACCAGTCTCTGGACTTACAGAGAGCGTCGACAACATCTTCGACGCTCCAGTCCAGAGGATCTGAGGCCGTGGCCATTCTGAAAAGCACCCGCAATCAAGCGTGGTTGTTCGAGGGCATGTCAGGTCAGTATCTGGGCGGTGTAGGTGTGAAGGCGAGATCTTGTTGAAGCAAGGTCGTATGAAGCTGCAGCATGAAAGCCTCGGACAATGTGAAGCGCGCCACGTGCAGCTGCTGAGGAATGACCGCTCCAGCGAAGTTGGTACGTGGGTCTGAGCCAGAAGACGCAATTGGAATCAAGACGGGTAATGAATAAAAGCTGCGCTGGAAGCAGTCATACGACGTGCTGCGATCGCGCACCTGGGTCAGTCGAGTCCAGTGACCCAAGTCGAGCTTGCCCTGGGGCTCAGCGAGACAAAGTGCTGTATTTGGACGGACGAAGGCGGTCGGCGAAAAGAGATGCAACGACGCGACGCGGAAGGCATCCGCCCGTGGCGCTAAAGCTAGAACCTACGAGACGGGTGTGCGACAAAACTACCGTGCACGGGCCATTGATTCTGCCTCCTTGGCCGTTTTTTACTTTGTGATCCCCCTTTAGACTTTATCGCAGTGCTCGATAAAGTCTAAACCAGATCTTTTCTACTATAACCCGCGAGAAGAAGTTAAGTATCTCTGCTAGAACCGTATCTAGATGTATCGACTTTTACAATTTCTTTTTTTTTAAGTCTAAAAATCTGTGGTAGTTAATTTTCTAAGATGTTATTGCTTCTACAGAATGCCTTTAACATTTCTAGGGGTTGTCGTATTAGAAGCCCTAGAAGGCAAAAATACGTGGAAGCTGGCGATTGGCGCAAGGGGGCATCAAGGCTAAAGCTGTCGTGCTCGCTTAGCGCGCCTGTTAAGGCAAGCGCGGGGTCTTTCACATAGCGGCATCACGCGGCTGCTTTGTCAGAAGTCGCCGTGAATGCCACCGCGACAGCATCAGCCACGCCTTCCTTCTCTCCTCCTCCTCCTCTTCTTGATCATTTATAGACTTCTCTTTCGCTAGACCGGTCAAAGACGCTGAGCCGCAACCGGAGGACCTCGCCATCTTCACCATGACGAAGTCAAGATACCCCGCCTACCCGCCTGATATCACCGAGGAACAGGCCCAATTCTTGCTGACCAATCTCAATGACTGGTCTATAGCCCACGGTCTTGCTGTGAGGCCACCGCCGTCTTTCGTCTCGGCGGCCCAAGATCCCTCTGGAGTACTCGCGTCGACTGCGCCGGTGACGCTGTTTCCTAGCTTGTTCCCTCGTCAATGCTTCGACGAGGGCTTTACCATTCAGAAGGCCTATAATGAGCTCTATTCGGCCATCGCCAGGGATGAGGAGTGGCTGAAATCGATAGTGGAAGAGTGAGTTTATTCATGCCCCAGTGCGCAGCATTGAAGTATCTATTTGTACGAGTCAGAATGTGTGCATCCTTTTCTATGTAACATCACCCCACACCAGTTTCATTTCGAATGACAAGACCCGCTCATTTCTCAAATCGAGACTTCTGCACAACCCGGTCGAAGGCTGCCAAGATTCTCACGTTTCATTTGGATGCAAAATATGAAAAGTGGGGGTGAACTGACATAATGCTTTCACAGACTGCTGGAGGTTGACGATTTTGTCGCAAAGCTTTGGCAGGTGCATCTTGATGTGAAGAAGGATGGATACGTTCAGGTATACGAAATCGCTCGATTTGTCTGATGAGGTTCTGATATCCTTGCAGGACATGACTCTGGGCCTCTTTCGCTCCGACTACATGGTCCACTTGGATCCTTCAAGCGGTAATGCAAAGCCGCAGATCAAGCAGGTCGAATTCAACACGATTGCTTCTTCGTTCGGTGGCCTTTCTTCTCAGGTTTCAGCCTTGCATAAATATCTTAACTCGATCGATGCATACCCGGCCGAGGCTGGCTCAGTCATCAAGCAGGACTCCCTGCCCCAAAGCCAATCTGTGCCGTCCTTGGCTGCGGGGCTGGCGGCAGCGCACAAAGCTTACGGAACTTCGAAATCGTCGAACCCGCTGTGCGTGCTGTTCGTGGTCCAGGATCCGGAGAGGAACGTCTTTGACCAGAGACACCTTGAGTACTCCTTGTTCGTGGAGAATGGCGTGCGAACGTTCCGCGTGCCGTTCAACAAAGTCCTCTCCTACACGAAGCTGGACTCTGAGCGTAATCTGATATACCATCCTCCTCACACGCCTGACAAGGCATTCGAGGTCACCACAGTCTACTACCGCGCTGGCTACTCACCGGATGACTTCCCTACGGATGCAGAGTGGACCGCACGCTTGCATTTGGAACGCAGCCGGGCCATCAAGTGTCCGAGCATTTTGCTCCAGCTCGCGGGCTGCAAGAAGGTTCAGCAGGTGCTTGCCACCCCTCACTCGCCTCACCTGGCTCGGTTCCTGCCCAATGAGAGCACCGCGGCACGTGTGCTGCAAACATTCGCCCCTATCTACCCCATGGACAAGAGCGAGGCGGGGCTGGAAGCGCGTCGGCTTGCCACGGATCCGGCGACGGCGCAGCGCTACGTGTTGAAGCCGCAGCGCGAAGGTGGCGGCAACAACATCTACCGGGGCGCGATACCTCCCTTCCTGGCTCAGCTGCCGGAATCGCACTGGCCGGCGTACATCTTGATGGAGATGATCGAGCCGCCGGCGCAGAGCAATGTCATCATCCGCAACGGGGAAGTTCAGAAGGGCGGGGTAATCTGCGAACTGGGCATCTATGGCGTTTGCCTTTGGAAAAAAGACGAAATCCTGGAAAACCGGGAGGCTGGATATCTGCTTAGGACCAAAGGAGACCAGAGTGAAGAAGGCGGGGTCGCCGCGGGATTTGGGGCCGTCGACAGCTGCTGTCTGGTAGAGATGTAATCCTGCGATCCTCCCGGCTATCGTTCAGCCTCTAGCTACGGCAAAGGGCGGGACCGGGCGGCGGAGGCGATGTAGTGCGCGCGCATCGTGCTCCCTTGCTTGGAAGCATAGATACTTTGAGAGAATCCAAGGGTACTTGTGTCGGTGAACCGGGGCTCAAGAATAGTGTTTAGAGAGGGCCAATGGCGCGGCCGCGAGGCCTACACAGGCCGGGACAGGGGCGGCAATTGGTCGCACGCATCCGCGCTTCTCCGCTCTTGCGTCCAAGACATCTGGGCCCGGTGCGGGCGGGCAGCGATCCCGCATTGCCGTCAGCCCCCAGCGAACGCCCCATTCTCGGGAGCTGACCGACGGCGCGCGTTTTCGTGACCCGTGAAGAGTTGCGGGTCCCGAGCACAAGGCAATTAATCAATGCTACCCTGCATGCGCGGCCACGATAATCAATCTGCAGCGGAAGCAATGCGTTTGCAAAGACTGGCCCGGGATCGCTCAGGGTCCTGGATGGCGTACAGCGCATCGAGCTGAGGGGGCGGCGCTGCTCGTGCGGCGGCAGGCTGGCATTTGACGTTTGGGCCTGACGGACTCTGGCGCGCCGCTGGACGCGGGCTGACAGGGCGACACGCCGGGCTGAAACAGGCTTCCAGCCACTGCCGGCGAGGCTCGACCAAAGTCCGCGTCATCCAGGCCGCAGTGAGCAGCATCAGCGGCGGCGGGAGTGAGGGCGGAAGAGACGACACGAGTGCGACGGGTCTTGGCCGGCGCTGGCGTGATGCGCCGGCAGCATCTCGCCTCGCGACCCGACGCCACGCACAGACGGTGATTCACAGCTGAGACGCGCAGAAAGAAGCTCAGCGAGGCACGAGGAGGCCCACCTTGACAGACCACCGCCTGCAGCCTCAGCCGCGTCCGCTCACGACCACTCCCCGCCCGGGCCCCAGCTCTGCTTGCACGACGCGCAACGCTACGTGACGGCTCGAGATGCCGCGACCAGCCCCTCGAAACGTGTGCTCCACGCCATCGACGATATGCCTGCCTCAACCAGTCGCATGCCTCTCGCGCTCTCCTGCGGACCGTTGGCCTTAGCGCCGACATCCATGGCGGCGACGGCCTGGAGAATGCAATTTCCCTGACGCTTGGATGCGAGCGCTCTGCTTCCCCATCCAGTATCGCCATTGGCGCCGCCCGGCCTCTTTTGGCCACCAATGCTCGCGGGAGCCGCAAATCTCTCATCTAGGCGGAGATCATCCGGCCTCCCCATGCTGTCCCAAGCTTTTGTAGTGTGGTGCATTGCTGGCGGCCGTGCTTCATCTACCCATGCTGTCTGGCATGCCCGCATTATGATCTAACTTGCCTTTACCCTCGGCGCACCTGCTCCCACCGCTGCTGTCCTTCTTTTCTCCCCTTGCTTGCTGCTTCGAAGAACATCTCTTATCATTTCAGCCTTAATCGCCGCTCCCCGCGCTCGACAAGACCCGTCAGGCCTGCCACGCGCTCAGAACGCGTCCCCCGGAGCTTGAGGAAATCCACAGCCCTCAATTCCCCCCTGCAACAAAAATTCGCTCTACCATGGGAGCGCAGAATTGTTGTCATTTTCGGCCGTGAGAATCCCCCATACCGAGGCCGCCATGCAGCTTTCGAGAAGCATCGTTGCCCTGCTGCTTGTCCTTTTCTACGCTCACTCCACATCTGCTGCCCTGCTCCATGCTCGGCAAGATGGCGACACAAAGACGGCCACCGCCCGCAGTTCCAGGGAGGTCTCCAGCGAGGCTGCTACGACAGCGACGATCGACAGGACTTCGCATGCAGCCACAGAAACCAGTTTTCGGGACTCCGCATTGCCTTCAGCCACTGCATCGGTCAGCACTACTGCCCTAACCGATGTCCCGTCCGCGGCAGCTCCCAGTGACGCGCCAGCTGCGTCCAGCACGGGTGAGTTGTCCTGCACCTCCAATTGGACCTGGACCCGGCTAATAAAAGCCCAGCCGCCGTATATTCCGGCCATGGCCTTCCGCTCCCTCCCAAAGTGACTCCAGCCATTGGCATCACCGGTGCTGTCCTCATGGTCACTGGTGCCATTTACACTTTCATAGGCATCAAAAACCTCTGGTCGGTCCCCCGCCGCCTCTCACATGACCCCAACTGACAGCATGTAGGGTAAACATCGGGGGCTCAGTCGGCTTCCTCGTCGCACTCTCCATAACCGTACGACAAGCTTCACGACGACGCGCGTCTTTATGCTAACAGCCCTACAGGTCCTTATTGAATATGTTATGAACCCTCCTGTCACCGATGCTGTGCAAGGAGCTTTCTTCGTTGCTGCATTCATCCCTGCATTGCTAGCCGGCGGTGTCGCCTACATCTTCAAAGACATTACTGAAGGGTTGGGGTGCATGCTTGGCGGCTTTTGCCTGTCTATGTGGTTTCTCGTCCTGAAGCCAGGCGGTCTGATTACATCTTCGGCTGGTAGAGCCATCTTCATCGGTGTTTTGTCTGTCGTCGGCTGGGGCTTGTCTTTCAGTCGCTATACCCGTACCTACGGGTTGATTGGTTGCACCTCTTTCGCTGGTGCCACCGCCACCGTGATTGGAATCGACTGTTTTTCACGAGCAGGCTTGAAGGAGTTTTGGTTGTACCTCTGGGGTAAGCAAGGCTGCGCACCCAAGACATCCCACCCGACTAACCGCCAAGCAGATCTGAACGACAACACTTTTCCGCTGTTTACCAACACATACCCGCACACGCGCGGCATTCGAGTCGAGATTGCCTGCATAATCATAATCACTTTGCTTGGAATTGCGTCGCAAATGAAGCTCTGGAAGGTGGTCAAGGCTCGCCGCGAGCAAAGAGATGCTGCTCGTCGGCTGAAAGAGGAGGAACAGCGCCGCATGGATGAAGAGACCGGCAGAAAAATTATGGAAGAAACCGACCGCGAGAAGGCGCAGTGGGAAGCCATGTATGGCAATAAGAACTACGGCGAAAGGAACGCCGACGTGGACCATCTCGATTCCGGCGTTGGTTCTGAGAATGCCGGTAAGGCGTCAGTCAGCGTGCGAGAAATTTCGCAGGGCACACCATCCGAAGAGAGCATTGAGATGTGCGAGCTCGAGGCCGGCACAAGACAAGGAAGCCAGGCTCAGCTCGTTGATCAACATGCCACTCCGGCTGAAGGCCCCGACGAAATACAGCCGATTGACAGCCAAGGACGGCCTCTTCCACCATCGCCTGGCTACTTCAGCATGAGCCACCAAGATCCAGTGATGAAGCGCCAGGACTCGATGCAAAACAGTGCTGGAATGGACCAGGTAGCGTACAGCGACTATTCGCCGCGGCTTTCCATGCAAGCACCCGGAGGTCCTCAAGCGGTTCGGCTTCCTTTCGTGGTACCCACGGGAAATGACTCCGAATCCGAGCTCCCGGAGCAGGAGTCTGTCGCCTCCATGCCAGAGAATCTAATGACCAGGGAAAACAGCGCCCAACGGTTGCCGGTGAAACCGGACTCGAAGAGGAGCTCCCATGCCAGGAACTCGCATGCAACGTCGGAAGAACATCTTATAGAACCGCCATCCCTCGACGATGATAGGGCATCTTCAATTGCAGCTACTCTCGACGACATGAACGAAGAGGTCATTTCCCTCCCCGCACTTTCAAGAGTCGGGACACCATTCAGCTGGATGGAGCGACCCGGGAACAACCAAGGACATGCAGAAAGCGCGGCTACCGAGACGGATGGCGTCGATGACGAAACCCGGGACGATTCATCGACGACTATCGATTCGGGTGACGGCAATCGTGAGGCGTCAACGCCGACTGCGCGCCGCTCATTGACATCTAGCACCAACCCCAAAGCAGTTTACACGAAGTCCGCTGCTGGCAAGGATCGCCGCAAATCTGTCGTTTCAACGGATCGCGATGAAGTGGGATCGGCAAGCGACAGACAGGCACGGTCGAAGAAGTCAACCACGCAGTCGGAAATTACCCATTCCGTCGTTGGTAGCTTGAGCGACCACCTGCCCGACAACAAGCTGTCCAAGGTCATGCTAACATACCGCACCAATGAATGGGCCAAGCATGTCAGTATGGCCGATCAGCCTGAGCTCGAGAGCATTCCAGAACCCTCGTCTCCCGGCGTCATGGTGGATCTCGGCTTCAAGAAAGCAGCTGAAACGTCGCGGAAGCCGATAGAAGCCCCAGCTCCTGAGGCTGAGGCGGAACCGGAGGTCGACCCAAGGGATGAAGCTCCAACTCCCGTCCAGACACCTCCGATTCCAGTCCAGACACCTCAGATACCTGCCCAGACCAACCCGTACCGGCAGTCGCTGCACCGCCGGTCATCGAGCCAGTCGAAGAGCATTCCGCCAAACGAGACACCTGCTCCGCTGTCGAGGAACTCATCGAGCGCCACGCTACCAATGGCAAATGCGAACACGCCTCCGATCAACCTTCAGCGCAATTCGAGCTCGTCATCGGTGGCGACCGTGCCGCGCCCTGGCTCGGCGGTGACGGTCAATGGCACGCGAGGGTTGAGGATCTCATCCAGCCCGGTCAACGCGCCCATTGCTGAGCAGCCATCAGAGGAAATGAAGGCCGAGAGACGCAACTCTTCCAGACTTGTGCAGACGCCACTGCCGACAAACACGCTCATGAGCGAGAGGGACAGCCGGATGCGCAGCAGGCCGACGAAGATGTCATTCATCACGGCGCCAGGCCAGTCGCCCGTCACCATGGCGCAAACGCCGCAGTCTCATCGCGTCAGCAGAGCGCCGAGCATAGCAAACTCGGTGCAAAGCTCGCAGATGGCAGCAGAGGATGCGGATCCGGACAACATGCCGCTCAGCCAGCGGCGGGCGATGATCCAGAAGAACCGGCTGTCGGCGTCCAACCGCAACTCGTCGTACCCGGCGCTGTCGGCGCAGAACTTCAACTCGCACCAGCCGCAGCGCGAGCCGGCGATGCCGCAGGACAAGCGCGAGCAGATGTTCGCGTCGTGGCGCGGGTCGCTGCAGCAGGACCAGCAGTCGCGGATGCAGCCGGCGCAGCGCGAGCTGACCGAGGGCCGGCGGTCGGCCATGATCAGCGAGCAGCGGCGCAACAAGGAGTGGGCGCAGCAGCAGCAGGAGATCAACCGGCAGAACATCGACATGATGATCCACGAGAAGATGCGGTCGGGCCAGATGCAGCAGCTGCACCGTGAGAGGCTGCGACGGCTGCAGTCGGGCGCCAAGACCGAATAGGGAGCATGATCCACGAAACTCGTTTCTAAATTCAGCACGCCAGCATGAGACCGGCGTCATATCCCCTTGCGCCGGGTCCCTTTCTTTTCTGAAGCATTTTCTTGTAACACGCCGAACGCGTGTCTCTTTTATTCTTTGCCTTCACCGCTAGTACATTGACGGGATTAATGCTGGCAGGCATGACTGCATCATAAGTAATGGTGGGAGGCTATAGACGTATTTTTTTCTCTGGTTTCTAGTTTTGGTAATAATGGCGGTGGCTTATACCCTCAATGGAAGTGGAAGCGGGAGGAGATCTGACCGTATCACAAATCCTTCGGCTCGCTCGGAAGTGCACGGGAAAAGGGAAGCAAGGTTGGCGGGTGTTTGTGCTTTTTGGCGTGACAGTGGGAAGATAGCTGTGCGTGTGGTGTGGGAAGGGAGATCCCAAACGGAAAGCAAAAGAAAAAGAAAACAATAAAGCACGCTTACCTCTTGAGTATATTATTACGAGTCTCTTCTCTCTTAAACTTTGGTGTTAAGCTCACCAGGCCGTTCCGCGGCCGGCCACTGCGGCTTACGGGGGCGTGTGCTTCTCAGGGGTGGCGAGCGGCGGCGGCGGCGACGAGACAGGGCTTTTTTTTTCGTGGTGGTGGTGGTGGTTCGGGGAGGTTGGGGCGTGAGTTACGAGCCCTCCCCCTCGGCGGGCGGCGAATGGGCTGTAGGGCAGCGGTGGCACGGATGATGTTTGCAATTTCGACGCATTGCAAACCGGCCTGAAGCTGCAAGTGCTTTGCCAACGACGTCACACTGGCTACGTACAAACAGGGGCCTGCGAGTCGACCGGATTGCGTGGGAGGCGCCATCATGGGGCGGAAGCGAGCGCGCGGCCGTGCGAGGCTTGAGGCTGGCGGCGTACCGGCAACAAGATGCCTTAAACGCGCGAAGCCTGCTCCAGGGCACGCGAGTAGCTAGGCCGCTCTTTACTACTCCCTCCAGCCCGTAGCTGCTTCACGATCCTGCAGCCAGTCGCTCATTTTTCGCCGGTACCAGAGAGAAAGGCTGGCGCCCATGCCGCGTCCTTCGGCAACACAGGCGCTTCAACTCGACTGCGTTAGGTCCCGTGCCGCCCGTCTCCCTTTTCAATCACCACTACCAATCTTCTTCCATCCCCAAACTATACAGCAGCGTCGGGCACGATTGTCCATCCCGACCCGGCGGCCGCGCAGCACGTGCTCACCGCCACGACGGCCTCCCACTCGGGCTTTCCACAAACATCACCGCACGCGCATACGTTGCCGCCCGCCCGTTGGAGTCTCACGCAACGGCTCTTTAACTTCTCGCCTTTCTCGCCTGCTCGCGTCCCGCAACCGCCGCTCCAACAAGCCCCCTCTGCCGCCCCGCTCGCTGCTGCCGCCCGTCGCGGCGCGCCCGCCTCCCGTCTTTTAAACCCGCTCAATTCGTCGCCGCGAACCCCCGTCTCCGCGCCATCGACAGCCCAAGGACGCAACAACTCGTTACCGCCAGGACCTAATATCCCCATAGCGACCGATCTGCCCCCGCCGCCCACCGCTGAGGAAGGCCGCGACGTATACCCGCTGCTGCCTCTACCCGACCCGCACCGCCAGAGCAGGGCTCACAGCAGTCTCGCCGTCGAACCTGGAGATAGCGCACGAGCCAGCGTCGGTCTGCCGAGCGGACGCCGCAGCCTGCTCCTCGAGCGACAGAAGCCGGACGACGAACGGCCCATATCCCCGGGCGTGACGAGCAAGAAATTCGGAAAGAGTCCGGCCTTCGCCATGGATGCCCCTACCGCCGCGAAGATAGCGGGCCTCGACCCGTCGCCGCGTGACGATAGGCCTACGAGCATCATCCTGAACCCAGACGACCCGGAGGCCGGCCATCGCCTGCACCACACGGCCTCGCGCGTCACCATGCCACACGACACGTTCCGCTCGCGCCAGCCGTCGGCCGTGTCGTTCCCAGAGGCGCCGTCCGAGGCCGGTGGCATGGACGAGGACGAGTACGCGTGGGGCCCGTCGCACCCGTGTTTCCCGCACCTCAATCCGCACGTCCCCGTCAACTCGCCGCTGTACAGCACTACGCGCATCATCCGCATCAAGCGCGACTGGATGATCGCGGGCGATCTGGCGCCGACCTTTGCAAACCTGTACCCTGAGGTGCTCGACCCGTTCATCACCGAGGATCAGTTCCGAAAGATCATCAAGAGGATCAACACGCAGTTGCAGGCGGCCTTCGACCCGTACACGACGCGCGCATGGGTTGATGCCATTATGGGTGCGGCGACGCTGTGGCTGTGGGAGGATTTGGGTCTCACGGGGGTAAAGAAGGCGCTGAAGGAGTTGGAGGACTGGATTGATGAGTGGAACCGGAACGAGGGAGCGAAGGAGGGCGTCAAGATCATTCCGCTGAGGAGAACAGGTTATTTGACGGTGCGTACTACCACACGCTTGTCATTTTTTTTTCTTTGTTTGCTAATGATATCACAGCTCGACATCCAGATTCCAGACCCCCACATCGGCCTCGAGCAGTCCACTGCCTCAATACGATCCAGGCCTACTACCGGCGCAATCAACTCGAGCGGCGCACCTCAATTGCCTCATATCACGGCATAGCGCCGCCGTCGTCAATCGTTCGAACCTCATTTCCTTAACTCAACTTTTTTCTTTTCCCGAATTGAAGCATGGCATTGGCGTTCCAAATACGAACGGTCTGGGAGGGAGGGTTTCGGGCTTTTAAACATATATCACCACCACGGATTGTTATAATCGACGGGGCTGAAGGAGAGCTTGAAACGACAGAGTTTGTTTTAGAGCGGATCTGGTGGTCTTTACGAGTCAAAGAACATGTCGTACTGTGGGGGAGGCGCGTGAGAGGGAAGGAGTTGTCGTTTCTTTACTGTAAAAAGTTTCGTGTTCTTTTCTTCTTCTTCTGTTAATACTTTTTTTTTTCTCTTTCACTCCTTTTGATCAATTTTGCTTTTTCGTTAGCCCTTGCGGCTTGCTTTCTTGCTTTGTTTTGAAAGGAGGGACTAAACTGGTAGTCATGATACCCTGAGGGAAATTCTCTTATCTTCCCTTTTTCTTCCCTTTTTCCAGTTTTTACGCCTTGATCGACTTTAAACCGGACTCGTTCAGGCCTCTGCAACACTTTATTTCCTTTTAATCGTGTCCATCCGCTGCGTCTTCCTTGGTACATTCGCGCCGCTTGTAGTAGCGCGTAGGGTCCCCGCTCGCAGCTGATGGCTTGCGTGGATTTGTTTTTTTGCTCATGTCATGGGTAGCCGAAGCTATCGTGCGGACGAGAATGTGGAATTCATACACGTCCGAACGAGAGCTTCAACTACCCACATATGTCATTTTTTCTAAGAAAGAGCTGAGGTATACTTACGTCTGGGGCCTTACTATTCTTCACGCTAGCCTTCGGCTGCGATGCCCCCCTGTATTTGCCGAGGGTACCAAGTTCTAGAATAGGAGAGAGAGAGAAAGAGAGAGTGTGATGTGCACAACCTGCTTTGTCTTGTAATTGCTTTTCATCATGTCTTGCATGCCACACACACTTTTTTTTCCCATGTTCGCGTCAGGGGACCCTGCATACGATGCTTTTGCATGCACCTCATGCATGCATAAGCTTCCCGCGCCCTGGGTTCATCATCACCGTATGTGGAAGTTGCAGTGTTCAGCCTCATTTCTCTGTAGGGAAAGCTTCCCGCGCAGCAGAAAAAGGAATTATTCATTCATCCCCTTACCCTGCAGTGTCTTTTTCGTCCTTTTCATCTAGAGAAATTATGAGGCGTGGCCACACACTATCGATAGACCGAGGTAGTGGGAGTCATGTCTCTCGGGGAAGTAGCGCTCCGGTGCTTGGATGAATCTATTATGATTGTTTCTCTTTCAATGATGGTGTCAGCAAGCGAGGTGCCAACCGAGCTGAAGTGAAACCGACGTGAGCTGAGAGCCAATGACGCCGGCTCCTCCCTCTGTCAGATTTACATTATCGGGTGTCAGTGCGTTCTAGAACCTTTTTTTTAGTACTGCGTAGGGCGTTCGCTTGTGGCGTATGTACATGGCCGCGGGAGGGTCTGTGGGTGGAAAGAGGTTATTTGAGCACGCGGCTGATGAGAGAGACGACGGCGGTAGCCATTGGGGCGGCAGATGACGACTCACGATCGATCGAGCAGGGTGGGTGTTTATAAGCCAGGTTTCTTTGGATCTCGTCGCCATGAAACACAGAGGCTTTCGTATCGAAGCACTTCACGACTCCCATACGAGCACACTGTCTCCCAGAGTAAATACACGGATTACTCCGTCTCCCTCCCTTTTCCTCCCTCGCCACCATAATTTCCTATCTCAAATCACGTTCGCACCTGCTTGGCGCGCCATTGTTGTCTAGCCGACTCGAACACCCTCACCGTGCGTAGATGATGAACATCAACATCATTTCTTGGTGGTGACGGGTTGTTCTTGGTGTCTTGCGCTAAAGTTTGGTCGTTGATGAGGATCAGCGGCAATCATTCATCGGGTGCGCGACAGTGGGGCCGACTCGGTGATCGGCGCCATCATCGTGTGGGGATGCTGGGGGAGGGGGGCTCGTAAGGCTGTGTGCTTTGGAGATCGGGTCGTTGGGAATGGTGGGTGAGCGGAGGAAGAGGAGAGCGAGGAGTGTACTCTGGTGTGTATCAAGAGGCAGTGGCCTTTGGAAGCTTTTGCTTCAGCTAGAACCCGGGAAATGCTTTTTGATGTGGAGATTGAAGAAGTAACTTTAGGTGTGCTTTTAACTGTTTGGACATACGTCGTTGCTATGCCGTGGGGAGGAAAGCGGCCTCGTGCAGCTGTCAGTGTGCTGGGGAGTTTTGTGACACTTTCGGCAGGCAGAGGAACTGCGCGCAGCAGGCAAACAGCTACCAAAAAGATATCCTCGTGCTTGGTCATGTCAGTTGCAGTAAGATAAACTAAGTATTATCTGCTGAAGGAACTTATTTAAGGGTTCAAATGAGAGAAATACTCGGAAAATGTTCTTCTGCATGCTCACTGAACTTTCTGTGGGGTCTTGTCACAGAACCATTGGGCCACTTCGGTTTGCAACTCCCTCACAGCCCACTTCCGACGAGCGTACTCTCAAGGCATACTGCTGCCAGATCTTCTGACGAATCAATTTCTTTTTTTTAGCCATTTATAATCAGAGGTTCCTACCGATTTCTACAAATTTTGATCGTGAGTATTATCTTCTAATACTGCTGTCAGGCTTCAGCATAAGCTCAGTTCAAGAAAAGAGGATCGTCACATGCGCAGCACACCAATAGTGTGAACTAGCAGAAAGCCAGCCAAAGGCGGAGTGCATCTATCAGCTCATTCTCTGGACTTGCGGTTGGTAACCGCATCGTTGATGGTGGTGACCTGCACGGAATGTGGAAGAGTCGAGATTTATATCAAAGTGTTACAGGACCCTATGAGTCTTGTGATGGTGTGGGGGCTGTCCACCGGGGCTTAACCATAAATACTATCCTTAATGTTCAGGCTGAACGGTCAAATATTTCACACTAATGAGCAGTACACAAGGAATGAAATCGGCTGAGGACTGAGTCGCGTCACTCGCTGGGTGCGTCTACAGGAATCGTGTGAAGTAGTAGGCCCTCCGCTTCTTGACTGTAGAAGCAAGCACTTAATTACTGTAAAATACTGTTCATCGTAATCATATAATGCTGATTTTTTTTTTTTTGCTCATGGTGAGATTAGAGACACAATAACAAACGTCAAAGCTGAACAGCCTCCGTACAGTAAGAACTCAGATTCTCAGGCTAACCAATTTCAAACTCAAGCCTAAACCTCAACTAATCTCTGCACATCCTTATTACCAACACAAACCTCACCGTCTCATTCCATCATGTCGACGCTCTCCTGCACCTTTCCCCAGGAAGCCCGCTCATCCTGCTCAACACCCACACCTTCCCCTTCTCCTCTTCATTTACTTCAGCAGTAATATCCAGAATTTAAATCGAGGAGTCTGACATAAAGGTCGGGATCTTCTGCCACTTGGCGAGGAACTCTTTGCGGCTGGCGGTCGGTGGGTCCTCGGCGTGCGTGGCGGCGAAAGCTGGAGAGAGATGGTTGGTGACAAGAGGGCCGTCGAAGTCTCGTGTATAGCAGAGATCTATGAGCACGTCCTTAGACAGCTGCTTGAGTGTCGTGGCGTAGGTCGTTTTGTCGTCTTCTGGAGCCTGTCTCCAGTTTGTTGAGGAGGTCGCGAAAAAAAAAAGCGAAAGGGGTTGGATGAAGAATGAAGCTGATTAAAGAGGCGAATCGATTCTGGCAAGCTGTAGGTGAGTGCTTCCTGCTTTGGGGCCAATCGAGGTTGGATGGTGGGTGAGCTCTCTTAAGATAGCTGTTTTGCTCTTAAATATCCCACCGTCCCCCGCTCTTCGCTACTTCTGTTGCCGCGAGCTCTGCATGTGATCCTCGCACTACGGATAAGGAGCTGGTAGAAGCTAACCCAAGGAAATTGTTTCTTGCTATGATAAGTGTAGATTGGATGAGTTCGAGTTAATTGCTCGGCGTTCGCGGTTTCCATAGACCGGGTTGCCTTCTTGACGTTAGCGGAATGCACCCACGGAATTAACAGCTTTAGGCCGGAGTTATCGCAGCGAATGGACCCGAAAAATACTATGTCGGAGGATTGCTGTCATTGAAGTTGCTGTTGTTAGCCGGGCTGGAATGACTCGGAGACGAGGAGTACAGATCTGGCTGGCGGTTGCCTCATTCCGGACTGGCAGAAGCGGAAGCCGAGCGGCGGCCAACACTGCGTTGGACGTTGTGTTTGGTAAAACGTAGCAGATTTTGGACAGGCGATCCTCATTCAAAGCCGTACTGGTCCTGAGGAAGGTGCCTCGAGGTGTGAAAGCATGGAGCCTTTCTGAATTAGCTCGCCATAACCGGGAAGAGCCTACTGTCACGAAAGATATTGTAGCTAATCTACGCAGTCTTGAATGTCATTGTGTGTTTTTGAAGCTTACATTTCTGGATATCTAATTTTGACCGCCAGCGAGGAAGAATGAGTGCAGTATCTTCCGTAAAACACAGGAAGGATGCGTGTGTAGCCCACTATCAAGCTCTGAAAATATTATGATATTGGGTATCGTACTGACTAGTCCACCTTCAGGTAGATGACTGCACATCCACTGAGAGGACTGATATTTGGTAGGAAAATGCCTCCCATGGTGTATTCGCTGTCTTCTAAGCAGTGCTGTGGGGCGATTGCCCGGATTGGTGAGGTTTGCCCAATGGAAATTTCCTGCTCCTGGAACTCCGTGATTCGTACGCCATAGGAAACCATATTCTTTTCCCTCTTTTCCAACATTCGCCTCTCTTTTCACAACCCTGTGATCTGCAGACCACAACTAGCAATAAAGAGGGACATGTTGACCATCATGGTAGATGGTGTTATGTCTCATCGCATGCGAGGCATCCGGTGCATTTCCCTCCCTTGCCTTTCACTCTTCCCAAGTTTTCGTTCAGAACCGTCCAAGCAGAGGAAAAGAGCCCGGACATCTCCACCATATTTCAATTTTCGCCCCTCTCTCCCATCCCCATTTCTTTCCTTTTTCTCGTTCCTTTTCTTTTCTTCCCTTCCCTCTCAATCACAGCTTGCGCATCCAGCGCAGCCGCAGCTGACGCACTGGATGACATGATCCTCCTTGAGCTGGTCGCGGGGAACACGGCAGATGCAGGTGCTGTTGAAGTTGGTCTCCTTGGTCTGGATGCAGCGCAGGCAGCACAGGTGTTCGTAGCCCTGCTTCTTCCACTTGGCGATCAAGTTTGCGTCCGCTTTGCCGTTCTTCAGGCACCAGTCGTACAGCGCCTTGCTGATCTTCTCGTCGTTGTAGAGGTCCCAGATGTAGCGCGAGCCTAGAGTCGTTGATGTGTTAGCGGGTGACTGGTGGCCTGAGGGGGGAAGGGATTCTGGGGGGTTGAGTTTGGGGAGGAAACGTACGTTTGTGGGTGATTTCGAAGATGGGCCACTGCATTTCTTGCCGCTTCTTGCCTTCGTGCGAGGCGTTCATTGCGTCCTTCATGGCGTTGTCGTACTCGAGAAGCGTGTCTTCGATGTCCTCGTAGCCCTCCGGCGGCGCCTTCTTGCGGCCGTAGCCCTTGCTTGTGCGGACGACGGGCATGGTTGGTTGTTGCGGTGGTGGATGCGCGAGCGGAGGAGAAGAAGTTGGTAGAAGGCGGCGGTGGCGTCGTTCGACTGTGGTTCGAGGGCGAGGCGAAAGTCGCAGGAAGGCGAAGGTGTGAGAGGAAGCACGCGCGCAGGGATTAGTCGGTGGCTTTTTGCGAGTCTGTTAGCGGCTGCGACGGTCGAGCTGGTGGTCGTGGTCGTTGCGACGGTACTTACGTGGGGAAGCAAGAACAGTGCACGCGCGGGCGCGGAGCAAGTCGTCGCTGATATATTCTTGCTGACAACATCGGAGGGGCGCGTGCACGTGATCTGCACCCGTACCTTGCCCTTCCGGAATCCGACCCAAACGTCAGTCTTGAGAGACGAATAGGCGGGCTACCTCACTCTCAAACCATCCCCGCAACCTCGCCCGAATCTCCGCTCCACCGCACCACCCACCGGCCCGCCATGATTAACCCCACCTTCCTCGCCCAGAAGTCGCGGTCCTGTACGGATGCTTTTCCCCCGGACACCCTGTGAGAGGTGACTTATCGCTGACCTGCGACGACGCATTGCGAGAACAGCCGCCAACTGGGCCGATGCCAAGCGCCGGGTGCTGAAGGCCTACCGCGACTGGCTGCGCGCCGTACGTGTCCCAATCCCTCGTCAATCGTTCCACGGACATCACGATGCCAGGATATACGCGTGTGTTGGGGCTGGTGAACTATGAAGGGCTGATTCGAGTCGCGAGGAACACAACAGGCTCCGGAAATCCAGAAGATGTACCAGCTCAACATCGAGGTCTCCCAGATCCGCACCAAGGCGCGCCAGGAGTTCGAGCGCCACAGATACGTCCAGCAGCTCCAGACCGTCGACGTTCTGCTGCAGCAGTCGAATGCCGAGTACCAGGTATGATTGATATCTGGCTGTAAACACTGGGAGTCTGGAGATAAGGCTTTGGATGGACCGGGTTAAAAAGAGATTGGAGGCTGATATTGCCATTGCGCATTGTAGGAGACGCTCAACTACTGGAAGCAGCTGTCGCACGTCCTGAAGTACTTCAAGGTCGAGGAGGACCCGAAGCAGAAGCTGCCCAACAACTTCATTACGGGATTCCTTGAGGTTAGTTTGATTACAATGCTGCTACATTGGGAAGATGTGGAGAACTAATGCTCTATTTACCACAGGGTCGCAACTAGATTTCCCAATTCCCCGCATCGAAGCTTGTACAAATGCAAATACCAAGTTTTCTCTTTTCCCTCCGCTGCTCTGAGTGCCGTGGCACTTGCGCAGCCCTTCTACCTTCGCGCCAGAACGCCGTGCAATGCTCAAAGACTTTTTCTGGGCCGATTCAAACGGCCTCACTTGCGCGCGTTGAACTCATCACGCGCGACGGTAAACTTGTCTATGACAACGTCGCAAAGCTCCGCCAAGTCATCCAGGCCCTGTTCCAGCACATCGTAGACGCTGACGTCGTCTGCCATGCGCGTCAGCCTGCAATTGCTTCTTGTAGTGTTGCGTGCTTCTACTGACCATATGTTTGGATGCGGAGATTCATCTTGTTCTCGGAGGGGTGGGGAATAGAGTAACCGCAGAACTCAACGGCGGGGCTGCAGGTAGACGTCAACGGACTGCTCAAAAAAGACTTGTGCCTAACATGCTTCGTACTTCTTCATGATGATGTAGCGCAGGGCGTTGCCCAGGGTGTGATCCTCATTCTCGAACTCGAAAGACGCAGCGGTGTTCTCGGACCCGGGCAGCTGCATTGCGCATTAGCTCCTCTGTATCTCTACGGACAATGTTTTTACGGCATACCACGCGGATGCGCTGCTTCTCGTCGACTTCCTCCTCGACGCCGTTCTCCTGGACGTGGCCGTTGACAGGAGCGTCCTGCATTTCCTCATCGTGCGACGACATGGCGGGCGGCGTAGTGCTTCGTAAAGGTGTGGGTTCGCGAGAGATGGTAGCTGGGGAAGGAAGTCGAGGCGGCGGGCAAAACTTGCGGCGAAGAACGGAGATTTAAGGTTATCTTATCGGGCGATCAGCGAAAAACATCCCCGCCGCCCAATCGCAACGCCGCTGACTCTTCCGTCGCCCGCCTTTCCATCGTTCGCTTTCTTTCACTACAACTCTCTCCGCAAGCCTCCAGACGAACCAATTGCCTTCCGGATTCCCCGAGCGAAAACCTCTTCACAATGGCCGACAGGATACGCAGCGCCGCCATCAAGCGCGACACGAATGAGACAAAGATCCTACTGAGCATCAACCTCGACGGCGGTGCTCTCGAGCCCGTTGGCGACGAGGCCAACGGCGACGATGTTCAGGGCCACGCCGCCCAGGCATCCAAGAGCCAGCACATCGACATCGACTCGGGCATTGGCTTCCTCGACCACATGCTTCACGCCCTGGCCAAGCACGCCGGCTGGTCGCTGAAGCTGCGCTGCCGCGGAGACCTGCACAGTACGTCATACCCGTTGTTTTCCCAGGGAACAATTTGCGCCACACAATGCAACGTCGGCTGGACTCCAGAATGACCCACAAAGAAAGAGAGACATGGAATAGAACAAGCATGAAAGGCTGACTCCGCGGGTTGTTTCCACAGTCGACGACCACCACACGGCCGAAGACACGTGCATCGCGCTGGGCCAGGCGTTCAAGCAGGCGCTGGGCGGCACGACGGGCCTGGCGCGCTTCGGCAGCGCCTACTGCCCGCTCGACGAGGCGCTGTCGCGCGCCGTCATCGACCTGTCCAACCGGCCCTACTCGGTCATCGACCTCGGCCTGCGCCGCGAGAAGATTGGTGACCTGTCGTGCGAGATGATTCCCCACTGCCTGCAGAGCTTCGCCCAGGGTGCCGCCGTCACCCTGCACGTCCATTGCCTGCACGGCGAGAACGACCACCACAGGGCCGAGAGCGCGTTCAAGGCGCTGGCTGTCGCGACCAGGCAGGCGACGACTAGGGTGAAGGGTAGGGAGGGTGAGGAGCCGAGTACGAAGGGTGTGTTGTACTAGAAGAAGTAAGAGGGATGAGAGGTGAGATGGGAGAAAAAGTGAAGCAGGGTGCATGTTTGTTAAGTGCTTGAAAAAAAGAAAAAAAGCACCGCGTGAAGAGATGGGCAATAGATTACGCAGAAAGACGTAGGCAACAAGTTGGATGCTGTTGTTACGGCATCTACAAAACGCCACACGAAGAGGTTAGCAGGTGGGAATATACCAGCATTTTCGAAGAGATGTAAATAGACTGAGTAAGTCTGATCAATTCTTTTATTCTAACTGTTCTGTCCCTACTACGAAGTGAGACGTCTTTCAAGAATGATATATGCATGTATTACAAAACACAGGGTCTTTACTCCACCCTTCTTCACACAAAGAGAATATCTTACACGCGAGGTTTTATCAAACACAAAATCCACCCACTCCCAACCCCTCCCAAACTCAAACATCAACCTTCCTCCTCTTCCTCGCTCCATCCTCCTCCTCCCGCCGCTCACCCCCCCTCTTCCTTACCCTCTCCTTCAACCTCTCCCTCTTCCTCTCTCCCATCCGCCCCATAACCAACAAACACTTCACCTCCCTCCAACACCTCCCACGCCTTTCCCCCACCACCACCACCCTCTCCACCGCCCTCGCCCCCTCCCTCTCCCTTACAAACCTCCCCATCGCCCCCACCACCTCCCCCACCAGTTCTTCTTCCCAATCCCCCTCCCGCCACGCGTCCCCCCGCCGACACCTTCCGCCGTCATCCACGCACCCCGTGCCGTCGCTCGCAGCGATGAGCTCCCGCACCACCTCCACCCCCCACCCCTCGACAAACCCGCCCACCGCCTCCGCCTTTGGCCCTTCGGCGCGGACGAACCGTGCGCCGGGGGCGAGGGAGGCGGTGGTGGAGGTATGGGCGCGGCCGCGGCCGAGGCAGGTGAGGCATTGGGCGGGGCGGGGGCGGCGAGACCGGCGGTTGTGGAGGACGGTGCCGCGGCCGTGGCAGCGGGGGCAGGGGGGGAGGGGAGTGTAGCGGCGGGTTAGGACGAGGGTGCGGTGGGGGCAGATGGTGTGGGTGAGGGTGTGGGTTTCGGTTTGCGGTTGTGGTGGTGGTTTGGTGGTGGTGGTGGAAGGATAAGGAGGAGGAGGAGGTGGGCGGCGCGGGAGGTTGCCGAGGAAGGCGTGGCGGAGGAGGAGGGGGGCGGAGAGGGTGTGGGTCCAGGCTTCGAGCGATGCTGCTGCTGCTGTTTCTGGTGCGGTGGTGGCGGTGGTGGTGGGGAGACCGGGGCGGTAGGAGTCGAGGAGGTGGGAAGGGTGGGGGTGGTTGCGTTCAGGGTGGCGGGGATGCCAGTCTAGGACTGGGGGTCTGGTGTGCGGGTATGATGAGAGCTCTGGTTGTTGTTGTGGGGCGGCTGGTGGGGGAGGTAGAGGTGGGAGTGGTAGTTTTGCGAGGAATTCCAATGTCTCCGGAGACAGGGTAAACGGGGCTGGTAGGGATTCGGTAGGCTCCATCGTGAGCTCTGGAAGTTCCTGCAGAGAGCCTAATGATTCTGCAGGTTCCTGCTGTATGTCCAGCGGTTGCGTGGCTTCCTGCTGTGTGTCCGGCGGTTGCGTGAGTTCCTGCTGTGTGGCCGGTGGTTCCATATGTTCCTGTTGGATGTCCAATTGTCCTGGTGTCGACCCACCTACTGGCTTTGATGGGTCATTGGCGTCAGTTTCAAACTCCTCCTTTGCGGTTTGCGGCAACTGAGGCTCCAAGGGTGGCGGCGTGTCGACAAAAGGAGGCACTGTTTGTGACGGCGACGGTGGGCATGATGGCGATCCTGGATCAGGCGTGATGGCGGACTGTTCGGCTGATTCAAGAGGATTGAGATGCTTTTGGTCGGAAGGATCGAGGGGAGCATCATTTCCACCATCCTTTGCTGCTTTGGGAGACACTGGTGCAGAAGGTTGTAATTCAGGTGAGTAGACAGCTACCGCAGGGAGGGAAGCTTTTCGATACGGCGAAAGAGAATTGCGAACCGATGATCGTCTTCTTTCAGAAGAATTTGCAAGCTCCAGTGGCGATATTGGGGATAAGAGAGTGGGTACATTCTGGGTAGCTTCCTCTGGAGGCGAAGTGTGGACGCTACTTAAACCCTCTTTGACCATGGATTGGTGTGATAGCGAAGAAGATCTTGATGATGAATCGGTGACTCCAGGCTGCGTGCAGTTGCTCGGAGATTCTTGAGGTGACATCTCTTTGGTCCTCTGATCACTTGAATTCTGAGTCTCTGGAACTTCCTCCGGAATAACGTGCTCTTGTACGCCGATTTTGTCCGAGGCAGGTAGAGATTCTTCAATGCTGCTTTCGTTGGTAATTTGGTCTTCGGGTCCATCAGATTGCGTCCCCTCAGGAACTTCCTTTTCTACTGCTGGCAATTCTTCTGTCTCTACGCCAGGTGAACTCTGGCGCTGTGTTGCATCTAGCCTTTCGTCTATATCCATTTCCACTGTGGTCACCTCTTCCGGCTCCCGAGCATTATCTGCGTCATCGTGTCTTGTCTCCATGAAGACGGCATCTCCATCGATGGTACGAGCCTCTGCAATATCATTGATTTGGTGATCCTGCTGGAGCGATGTTCTTCGTCTCTCCGGTGTAGGCGTCTCGCTGACTTCTTCGATTGTGCTCAGACTTGGCACTGCAGCGTATTTCGCTGTAGCTCTTGACGTTGCTATGGATGTGTCAAGTTCTGCCAGAAGATCTGCGATAATATGATGTGTACTGCTGTTGTCGTCGTCCCCATCTTCTTTCTTTTCCATTGCTTTTTTAATTTCGTTTTCCAATTCCTTTTCCATATCAAATCCCATTTCCTCTTCTCTTTCTTCTTCCTCATTCTTCTCTCCATCTTCAAATTCACCATTCTCATATTCCACATAGTCCTCCAATTCCTCATCTTCCTCCATTTGTCCCTCCTCTCCTACCGTGGCTTCGATGGGTAGTCCTGCGGTGGAAAACTCCAGTTCGCTTGGTTTAAAAAATTGTTCTGTGCTATCCAGAGCAGGCTCAATCAGATTCTCCCCAATGTGTCCTGTGGTAGGTTCATTTGAGTTGTTGAGAAACCCTGACATCTTCCATAGCTGTTCGGTATCATCCTCGCCTGCATTGTGACCGGCTGACGGCGGAGATTTAGGGACATCTTGCGCTGGGAGAATCTGATGTGGTGCTTGAGAAGCGTAGTTCTCAGTTATTTCGCCATGACCTTCGGAGCTGCTTTCGTCGTGCTCAGGATCCGTCAAGGGCTGACTGCGTTCGGAGCTACGTTCGGAGCTGCTCTTCGTGTCCCCATCATCCGGCAGGCTTTGCAGTTCGTCGGAGGACGCATGCTCCGGTGTTTCACCCAAAAAGTCATCGCGCTCCTCGTTATCGCTCATGATGGGGGTTTGCGGAAAAGCTTGGAAGTCTCTGAGTCCGCATTGTAGGAGAAAGCACACGAGGTTTTGCTGTGGGGTTTCGGTTTCTTAAACAAAGGATGCAAAGACAAGGGCACCGCCTGCCCGTCCATCTCGCGTGGCTTGGAGGAACAAGGGAGTATGCTCCTGATGATCGCGTACCGAGGCCTTGCCAAGAAGTAGACAAAGAGGACCTTTGATTGAAATCTCAGATCCGCACCGACCCCAACGACGTGCTACGAATTCACTCTACCAAAGAAGAGCTTATCTTTTATGGCAGATACGGGATAGCAAAACAGACGTTATGTTTTCCAGCAGCAGCCGAACGCACTTGGAACAAGAGGAGAGCTTGGTATGGGATCTTTCCCTTGTTAAGTTGGAGGCTTCTTGCTGACATGATTCTCAAAAGCTTCCTGGAGGCCTGTTATTTACACTTCTTCAAGGATGGAGAGACCTCTTGTACACATTATGGAGCAGAACATCGCAGGAATTTGCGGAAACAAGAATGGGAGGCGAGAAGCTGGGAGAGCTTAGGCAACCCGGTCAAACATGTGTGGATTGACAAGAGAGACCAGAATGGTTACGGAAGATCTCATGTCCCTTATTTGGTGGTGGAAAAAACAGCAATAGAGAGTATTCCTACAAGAATTGGAGCAAATTACGCCGGCTTTTTCTAAACTTACGAGATATGGGGTAGGTAGTTGGACCAAAATGGTACGTCATACACGCCGAAAGGAGAATGTGTCAAAGAGATGAAACACTCAACGATCAAGTAGAGCCTCGCGAGGAAATATGCAGCTAGATCAGTGTATACAATGACCTTGAGAGAAAACAGAGCAATACTCAACCATATGCCGGTACAGCTTCGGCGATGCTCTTCTGATTCGCGGTCTCTCCGGGAAATGATATAAGAGATTAGACGCAGGCTGCCATCGATGACTAGCGCCGAAGTGACGATGATTAATGATGAAAGCCGCCATACTACCTTTTCAACAAACGAATGGAAGCTCGCGTTCCAGGCAAGCGCATGAAGGCCTCCATAAATGAATCCAGAAGTATACCAACAGAGTCGTAGGTCGTGGGTCCACCGGTTGAGGTTGTCAGATATTGATCCGTCCAGTAGAAATCCCCCCTTGGGGAAGTCTGGGACTCGATCTAGGATTTCGCGTTTCCCGAGCTTGTTTTTCTTGTAGTACTTATGATGTCGCGCCAGAGCGTCTGTGGCAAGCCGAACAATATTTTCCGGGGCATCGGGTGATCGAACTTTTCTCAGAATAGTAAATTCGATGTAACGGTGCCGGTGTCCAGACTCGGTGGATTTGATTCGAATAGCTGTGCGATTCCCTCCAGGATGGCTGCGGGGGTAGCTTTTACGATGGTCCTTGAGTTTGACATCCATGGACACCAACCACAGGTAGGCGGCGAGTGTCTCCATCTTGCGGCCGGTCAACAGTGTTGGCCGTTCTATATCCAATGGTTTGGACCACCAGAATATATAGATCAAAAGCGCACAAAGGGAGTGCCCAAAAGTGTTTAGCTAACTGACAAGTGAGTTGTGCGGTTCTCAGAGAACACAAACGTACAACAAACCTCTAATAGAGTTATCGGGAATGTCAGCACCATACGGGACAAGCATTGCAGTGCAAACCAGCTAGCTTGTACGCAAGCGATGGACTTGGCTACTCCACTCGCTTTGCTTTTGTCCCGTATCTCATGTTCCGGCGTGAGTTGAAGAAGCTCTGGATAGAAGTGTGCAACTTCTATGATCGTCTCGTCTTGAAGTAAGAAGCGAGTTCGTCCGTCAGGGAAAGGACAGAAGTCGTCTGCTTCAAAAACGCTGATGACATAGCCGCCCATGATTGCGTAGAATGCTTCTGTAAGGGATATAACGCGATTGGGTCCATTTGGCTTTGGCTTCGATAGTTTTCTTCGCTTGACAGACTATGAGAATTTGCCCCCCGTACAGGAAGTATCACTTACCAGCCGTTGGGCGAGATTATATTGACAAAAGGCGGTATAAGCAACCAGCTCAGGGGCCAGCAACGTAAAGAAGAGCCATGAAAATTTACGCCAAAGCTGCCTCTTTATGATCCAAGGCCGTTTCTCGTCCTTTACCTCTGGAATGTTAAGATGAACTGCCGTCCAGACGCACAGGAGAATGGTGATCAGACAGGATGAGAGAATAGTAAAAGTTCCTCGAGTGGTCGGTTCGGGAACCCAGGAGACGGTCTCGCTCGAATTTCCGAAGATCCTCAGCATTTTCTGACGAGTGAGGAGGCTCAGATACGATGGTCACATGACAAGGCTGGAGGAAAAGAGGCCGTCGAGGGTATCTGGCTGGTGGAAAAGGAGCCAGGACGCTTTATGTCTGTGCTCGTTTAGATTGGTAGTCAAGACTCCGCGTTGCACATTGATAGGTGAGGCTGCCTACGACAGGCAAAGAAACCAGGAATCTGATAGGCGAGTAGTGCAACACAGGACGGTGTTGCGCAGCTGGCGGAGCTGTAAGCAGTATGCATTGTTGCCCGGAAAAGGTGATGCTGCACCAATCCAACGTGAGCATTCTACGCCACTAGTTCGGATTACGGGTTTTTGACCTAACTAGGAAAACGACGTAGAGCGCAAAAGCGCGATAGCGCAAACGGAGCGCCTTACCTTCACTGGCCTCCTATTAGCTGGACCGAAGACAATATCCTGTGAGTTCACGTCTGCGCGTCGATTATGCACTACCTACGGGCGATGTCTGTAGGTAGGAGCAACACTACAAGCAGCGATATCATAAATAGAAACACTACGACTAGCGAAAACACGAGCGGTAGCAAAATCACAGGTAACGAACGCAGAGACGCTTCATCGCCTCTTACCAATCAAGGCTGCAGTGAAGCCAGGCTACCAGAGCCCTCCTCAGCCTCAGCCACATCAGTCTCAGCCCCTCCTCTTCACGCACCATCAGGACGCATCTCAGCCACCATAGTCGACGAACCTCCCGAACCCTCGTGCTGCTCACCTGCCACCACCTGCTCCCGCGTCTCAGCCCGGCTGTCGCCCCTTCCATCCTCCCCCTTTCCCTCTTCCTCGCCGCCCCCAACACTAGCCACGACGACAATGCACTCATCCTCCAGATCCCTCGGCGGCGCCTTCAATCGCGGATGCGTCCAATCTTCTAGATCGAGCACGCCGAGCCTCTCGCCCTTGCGCGTGGTGACAGGCACGGCACTGTCGCACGCCTCCCACGGGCCGACGCCTAGCTCTTCGTGCGCTAGGCGTTGTAGCTGGAGAGTCTCGTTGGCGCTCCATTCGAGGCGCGCGTAGGCGTTGGTGGAGAAGCTTGTTGATGGGCGCTGGTGAGATTTGCGGCAGCAGAAGCAGCAGCGACAGGAGCAGAACCAGGCCCAGCCGCCTCGTTTCTGGATGTAAGCGACACAGGGCTCGAGGAACCAGGAGAGGAGGATGAGTATGGTGCCGGTCACGAAGACGAAGGCTAGGCCGAAGACGGAGAAGTTGGTGTGTGTTGCTGAGGGTTTTCTGTCGGTAAGAACTGTCAGCGCGCGCAAGGAGCAGATGGGGTTTGTGTGTTGACGGACTCTGAGGATGGATGGTTGGCTTAAAGGCTGTAGCTTTCTTATTGTATGGGGGCTTGAGGGCGGCTCTGGTTTGTGCAAACGTACCGTGTTATGGCAGACTTTGTGCTCCTCGGCGTTTTGAGGGCTTTGCCAGACTTCAAGAATACTAGGATCAGATGGCCCAGTGGCAGCATTGACGACACCGCTCTGGAGGGAGGCCATTGAAATGTCGTGCCAGTGTTCCACATCCAGCTGCCACTGGTTGTCGGGAAGCTTTGCCTGGATTCCTTGGTTCAACGTGTACCTGGACGTCAGAGACCATTCCCCCAACCGGAATGCTATGGATTCAGGTGTATTAAACTGGTATAGTGTAGTTCCCAGATAGTACCCGAAAAGGTTTTCCTCCTTTCTACTTTCTGCAATTTTGCGAACATTGTACAGCAAATCGTTATATCCACTGGGCGGAATGCAACCCCTGTCTTGAGGTAATTTTGAGTTGCAGGCCTGATATTGGGTTACACAACCAAGGACAGTTGCTGTTTCATCCCGAACATACAAAGTAATTGTTTCGTTGCCTGTGCCTGGAGTTCTCATCCCAGGTAATGGTTGATGAGCAGAGTACAGGGGATCGTTCACTTCTCCAGTAAACATGATTGCATTAGCCGAGAGAAAAATCAAGCTGACGTCCGCATCTATCCGTCTGAGGCCATCCACAGGATCAAAGTCGGAAGCGTCCAGGTCAATGCTTCCATTTTTGGGAATCGTCTGTCTGTGGCTATATGTAAAGTGATTAGCACCAGATTTCAAGTTTCATGAAGTGCCTTACCCAATACTGTAGTGCTCTATAGCTGTAAAAGTACTCCCCCCCAGATAATGCCTCTGGGTTTCATACTCATAAGTGGCCTTATGAGCCTCCCCCTGTGCTACCATGAACCGCCCATAGTAAAAACTCGTGGTTTGTAGGTCAAAGTAGAGATTGCCAGGGTCGGACTGGTTTTTGAAAGGAGTTTCAATGTCTTTTTTGTAGCCTTCCATCACAATTGGTGCGCAATCGGTTGTGATTCTGATTTGCATTCGTTGGCTTCGGGGGAAGTTCAATCCGAGGTCTTCATGCGTATCAAGAAAACCAGTATCGATATGGATATTTCCGGTCTGCGAACGGCACATGTCGGGGTGAAATGGACAGGTTGCGTTTTGATTGACTTGAGAAACCAGCCTTTTTTTGACAAATGTTTGGCAGCTCGCTAGATTCGTGTCCTTTTCGTAGCACTGCTGTGCATATGTGGACTGGGATAGCAACTGTTTGTTCAAAAAAGATGCTAGCTTCGTCTCAATAAATTCAATGCTGGGTGGTTCTCCGCCATCGCGTAAAACTCCACAATTGGAGCTCGAGATAAGAACTTCGTTCCCGATTCCTGTCGAAATTCTGGACGAGAGGCCACTCGCAGTTGCCCATGCACAGAGGCAGATAATGGTAAAGGCGATGATAGGTAAAATGCGCTTGAACGGGTTCTTCGATTTCCGTCGCCATGCCCAGGGAGATTGAGCAAGGCTCACAAGTCCGCTGCTGCCGTTTGCTGAGTTCCGCAAGATTGCCTGTCGTTGATGGTATAAGCCATCACGTGGCGCCTCGGAAGAGTAAAGGTTGTGGATGAAGAAACATGCAATCCTCCAGAAACTGGTGCCAACAATTGTGACAAAGAGGGCAAGGAATGCGATTAATAGATCCCCATTGCGACGTGTGAGCGTGAGGGTCAGCCCGAAAATGGGTCCACGCGACCAGTTGGTCCAGATTCCTCGGTAGATGTCGTAGTATTTTGGTGTATCTTCTTGGTCCCAGGAGTCCATGGTGGTGGGGTGTATTGTTGCGGCATCTCTACTCCCGGGCGGAATCATTAAATATACCCACCAAGGGTGCATTGCACAGGCAAGTCGTGCAAATTGAGGGCCAACAAACTGGTCATTTGGTTGCAGGCATCGAACGATGCGCTCAAAAGTAACGAAAGCTAATATGGGGGCGGAAAGGTATGATCGCCATATGATAGGTTCCCTAGGTGGCTGCCTTGTCTCTGTTACATATGTGCACCATCGTCTGCCATTAGCTGCACCACATTGTGTACTGTATCCGCGGTGAGGGGATTGATGATCAGCAGTCGGGCGGGCGCCTTGCAACAGGCGCAACGCGATTGCCTCTTGTACGACATATCAGCTGTTGCCGGAGTTCAAATCTAGAAGTACGCTAAATGGTGATACCGCCCCCAAACCCCCTTCCTCTCCTATCCGCCACTGCTGTCGCATCGCAACAATATCTGTGCTGCAAATGACGTCCTCCAACTCCTAGTAAGCCCCGAATCAATGATCAATAAACCTGCTCAGCTTCTCCTCAGTCGTGCTCGTGCTCGCAGCCCTTGCTTGAGCTTCCTCCCCTTCCACTACCACTACCACCGTCCTCTTCGACTCATCCATCGGCATCACTCCCGTCGTTTTCGCCACCTCTGCACCACCTCCGCCCCCATTGTCACCGTGTCCCCGAGCATTCTGCGCCATTAGTTCGGATCACAGGTATTAATCCAGCTGGGGAAATGACGTAGGGCACAAAATGTTGAAGTACGAAGAGGCGCACATAGTATTCGCTGAGAATAGAAGACCTTAACGTTACTGCCTAGTTTTCTAGTAGAGCAGAATCAACGCACCACATCTCGTCGCTCTCGTTTCGGAGCTTCGGCTCTGCGCTTACTAGCTCGAGTAGTGTCGTACCTGCCGATGCGTAGTTAGGGCACAAAGTTCTACAATTTCGCTTCCCAAGCCTCTTATTATTACCACCACCGCCGTACTCAATGGCACCATCCTTGTTTAATCACATGAATTACGAAATGTAGAAGAATGGTCTTGATCTACTGGAAACTCCACGATACGAATCATACATACATTTGGTATAAGTAAGCAAATCAATCAAAAACGTCAAACAGACAGCCAAAACCAAACACAAGCCATCTACCGCAGTAAAAACCAACAACCAACCCCCTCACGCCGCCCTCCCACTCCCACTCTCACTCCCCCTTAACACCCACCACCACCACCCCCATCACCACCGCCACCTCCACTGCTCCCACCACCCGAGTCGCCTCCACCACTGTATCCACCACCCCCGCTATCCCCACCACCACTATACCCACCACCACCACCGTGATGCCCACCACTATATCCACCTCCACTGCTGTACCCACTGTACCCTCCCCCACAATCATTATGCCCCCCGCCGCCGTGGTGTCCGTGATGGTGACCGCCGCCACCACCGCCGCCGCTGTATCCGCCCCATGCGGCCGTCATGCCCGGGTCGATGGTGCTGGTGGCAGGGGGGTTGCTGCGGAGGGGCGCGATGGAGGAGTTGCCACCGCCGTAACCACCGCCGCCGTGTTTCTTCTTTGCGGGGCGGGGAGGGGGTGGTGCGGGGGCCCGGGAGGGGCGGGAGGAGTGGCAGCCCATTTTCTTTTTGTGTTTCGATTAAGGTTGGTTGAGGAGGATGGTGGAGGTGAGGTCGAGGTTTGTTGGGTAAAAATGGTTTGTTTGAGTTGAGTGGTTGTTCTTGTTGTGAAGTGGCGATATGAGTGAGGAGGACAGCGGCGTAGAATATATACTTTTTGGGAGGATGGGTTGGTGATGCGGTCATTGGACCCCCCAGCGGGCTGACTAGCTAGCTAGCTAGAGCGGCGGCGACTAACTGGTGTCACACACACTTCGCTTGCAGAAGAATCCTACGACAGGTCGAACTCAGCCTCATCAGCCAGCCTCGGCGCCACGAAGGCGTCAACGGTTGCCTAAAACGTTTAGCGCTGGGAGGGGGACCCGAAAAGCCGAGCTGCCTCGCCAAACATAGTAACTCTCTGCATACGTCGTCGTCGGCTCTTCTTTTTTCGAGCAGAACGCTTTGCGCGCTTTTTTCGTGTCGAGTCGAAGGTGGGTTGCATTTCTCTCGATCGCAAGGCCCTGGTTGAACGTGGCGAGGGACATAGAGCCATGAGGAACAGGGCGGCCGTAATCGCCTTCTCGAATACGCGTAAACGTGGTAAGAGCGTCCTATGGCTTGCCTTTCGCCACCAATATCGATGAAGACACCCGTTGTTCTTTTTTTCTTCTGTCTGGCGCCTGTCAGTCAGTCCTCCATTAACTGACCTCTAGCAAACCCTCCCCTCCCTCCAACAGCAAACGGACTTCGCCATGCTGCTCCGATCTTCAGCCGAGGCTAACGCATACACAGTACTTGCTTGCGCGCAGGATCTCATGCAGGTACCTTACGGCCGCTCCCTATCCTCTCACCGCGGCTATCGCTCACACCATCCTTCTCCTTTCGGCACATAGTGCCGTTGCTGCCTGGTGTGTGCGCGGCGAGCGAAGCCGGCTGTGTGTATGATGTAAGGCAAGCGCGTGGCTATGCTTGCGTCAGATCAGCTCCCCAGGGCTTAGCGCTACACCCGATCCAGGAGCAGCACGCGGAGGGGGCTGTGTGGAGAGATCTGGGTTTTTGGGGGCGGATAAAAAAAAGGAGGGTCTAAGCACGTGGAGAAAGAATGGGGGGGGGGGGATGGCGTCATATGCCGATTATCCTTCCGGCGGCATCCAGGCACACAGGGCAGATTTGCGGGTTTTTGGTGTGTTTGTTGGTTTTGGGGGCCGGGTTGCCTAATTGGGATAGGTGGTTCTGGTGGTTTTGGGAAAGGGTCGCGCCGGCGCCCGCGGGGACTCCACTAGGTTATGCTTGTTTGAGCTTGACTTCGTTTGCGACGTGGTCGCTCCAAGAGTCCCATGTGATTGATTTATTGGAGAAGAACGGAATCTGCCTCGCCCCCGTGGGTCGCCGGCAGTGTGTGCGGTACCTGGGGGAGTGGAATACGTCTCTTTGTTCTGTGACACGGCATCCTGCAAGGCACATCTCTGGCGGTACGTTCCACAAAGTGAGGCTGTCTTCTCTCGGTGAGCCGCATCCGGTAGTCGACTCCATGTTGTTCCCTAGAAACTTGATTTAACAACTCATCTCCAACAACAACAGCACCACGGTCAAGCGGAAGGTCGTCCCCGCGATCCACGTTCCGGTCTAAAATCGATCTATTCGTCTATTTTCGTAACTCATGCTGCCCCCAGCGCCCTATTTCTTTGGTACAAAAAGCTTTGATCCGCTGGCCCGAACATTTCTTTTCTCTCCTTCTCTTTCTTCACAGCTCCCCGGTCAAGAACTGGGCCCTTCCCAGACCGAAGCTCCAGTCCTCGCGCGTGTTGGCGGCGACGCTGACGATCAGGTCGGAGCCGGGCACGCCGCACTCCTTGTCGAGGCGCTCGGCCAGGGCGGCGTAGACGGCCTGCTTCTTGGCGGCGTCGCGGCCCTGCTGGAAGATCTGGATGAAGACGAGCTTGTCGGTGCGCGTGAGGCCGAGGTTGGTGTCCTCGCAGATCATCTCGTAGGGCTCGTGCTGGGTGATGATCTGGGAGAAGGGGATATTAGATTACGGTATGATGGAGAGAGCAATTGGGGAGTGGGTGTAGGTACCTGGTAGCGGTCACGCGGAGGAGCGGCGAATTTCTCCAGCATGATCTCCTGGACAATGTCGGCTAGCTTCTTGATTTCCTCGGGCGAGCGGACGCCCTTGATCATGTCGATTTTGACGAGAGGCATGGTGGGGGATTGCTGAGTGTGGAATTGGAGGTGATACGGAAGCAGAAGAAAGTCAAAGGGAAGACAGGTAGTAGGAGGTGGAGAGCAAGGTGGATGATTGGGGAGATCAACGACCCTTATAGTAGTCCTTTAGACCGCAATCTCGGCGGGGTGGACCGGCTATCGTGAGAACGGAGCAGGGTTACTAAGGTAAGTGTGTAAAGCGATAGGCCTGGTGAAGATGCCAGACTTAAATATGAAGCAGGAGAAACACTGGAGCTCTCATCTTTCGTCAACAACACATGGCGTCATCCGTCTTCTCACCTCCAGATACGCGACGGAAACGTCCAATGTCGGCCCACAATGTCCGGTAAGACCGACACTGTTCCTCCATCCGACTCCGTGGAAAATATCTCCTCGCACGACCGGACGAGGGAAAAAAAAGAGAGCGAGAGTTGTTGGAAAGCGGGTAAGCTGGCCGACGGGGCGTCATCGGCGGGACCCGGTCTGCCGCAATCGCAGCGGGCAGCAGTTCTCGCCGACGGCCAGGTCCCTGGCTTGACTCGGCAGCTGCGGCGCTGACTAATCGCCCGTTGCCCACGCGCGCGTCGCGTCGTCGCGCCAAGCAAAATTTGGCGTGTTTGCACCTGCTGCTGCAGCAAGCTTTACCTAGCTCTGCTCCCCTCGCGTTAGGGCTCAACACCACCTGCCAGCCAGCGCGCGTTTCGCGACAAACCCTCGCTTCCCTTCCATCGCCAGAGCTTCTCGCACCCAACCACCAACTTTTCCCCCCAATCTCCAGGCTCCGTCGCCCACCCCATTCCTCCCGCCCAAATCCGGCTTCAAGCTCAAAAAACTTTACACGATGAACGCCTTCCGCACCACCACCGCTTTCCGCAGCGCGTCGCTCGCCGCGAGCGCCGGTCGCCGCGCCTTCAGCAGCACGCCGCGCTCCCCGTACGCCAAGATGACCATCATCGGCCGCCTGGGCTCCGAGCCCGAGCTGGCGACGACGAACAGCGGCCTCGAGTACGTGAGATATAGCCTGGGCACCAGCACCGGCCGCCGCGAGGCCAACGAGACGAGCTGGTTCAACGTCGCCTGCTTCGACGAGGGCGCGCGCAGGGACTTCTTGCTGAACCTGCCGAAGGGGTGAGTTTTTTTATTTTACCCAGTTGCGGATGTGGGGAGGAGGTTTTTTTTTTTTATGCGCGATGGGGTGGGGAGGATGGAATGTGTGTGCGATTGGAACGGATGATGGCATGATTTGGGGGGAGAGACAGGAAATTTTTCAGTTGGACTGACTGGAGAACCGCACAGCACTCTCCTGCACCTCGAGGCCGACGCGAAGATGAGAAGCTACGAGACGGCCGAGGGCCAGAGGGCTTCGCGCCTGAGCCTCACTCAGAGTACGTCCTTTTCTTTCTCACATTTGGGGAGATGTCCGCTTGCTAACAATACGCAGGGAACATTGAGATCCTGAGCAGGCCCCGGCCCCAGCAGAACGACTCCGACGTCGCCATGGGTGCTGCTGAGTCCGGTTAGATTCCCACTCTTTCGACCAGGTTTCACTTGTCGGTGATGTTACTCTTCGATGGTGGGAAAAGAGCTTGCGGACAATGCTTTTTATGGTGAACACGAGACAGGATGGGAGCACTATTACGTGTGCAGGAAATCATGTTTTTCTCTTCATTTCTTGGTTCGTCAATTGAAAGACAATATTGAACGGGAGGGATAATGCTTTGAACTCTTGTTACTCTTTTCTTCTTCCCCTTCTCTTTCGTATCAATGATTCCCTGTATTAATACAAGAAAGAAATCTCTCCTCTCATCGCGCGCGCGCGCCAATTATCTCTTTTTCTTTTTCTCAACCACATATCGTACACCACCTTCCTTCCCATCCGCACCTCACGCCTCCGACAGCGTAAACTTGACATCCCCACTCGTCGCGCCACCGATGCAAGTGCTCTCAAACGTCCCCGTCGGACACGTCAGCCTCGCCGCTTTCACGCAGCGCTCCCACCGCCCCTTGGAGATGTTGATCGTCGCCCCCGCGTCGGTCGTCGACAGGTCGAAGCGCGCCGTCCCGCTCTCGCCCGTCGTGCTCGACGGGCTGCCGCCGCACTTTTGGATCGACCCGGCTATCCCGCCGCAGATGGACAGGATGGCGACGTTGGTGTCGTGGGTGTCGAGGGTGCTGAGGACTGGGGTTAGCTGGGTGGGGGAGGGGGGATGGGGGAAGAGGGGGCATGGGGAAGAGGAGGAGGATAAGACGTACGCTGATGGGTCGGTGCAGGTCGTGTCGGTTACTTCGGCGCCCGAGACTTGCTGGTTGGCGCGCGGGAAGAGCGGGGTGGCGAGGGCGGCGGTGGTGGCCATGAGGATGGAGAGGAGGGGGGTGAGTTGCATGGTGGGCGAGTTGTTGCGGGAAGGGTTTTGTCGTTCGGTTGGGTTCTGGGCCGGTTGGGAAGGGCAAGAGCAGGAGTTAGAGTAGGGGGAGGTAGGTGGTTCGTGGGCTGTTGATGAGATTCCGGATCTCTTGTTGGTGAGTGAAGGTTTGTTGTTGCGAATGACCAAGGCCGTCAAGCTTCTCTTATGAAGCCGCCGCGAAAGGCTTGAGCGAGCGATCCCTCCCGCTTTACCCGCACGCATTTCTCTTGGCGCTCGTTTCTGGCTTGCACGCGAAGGGGCGGCATGAAGTGTGCTCCACTGCTAAATCTGTTCTATGGTTTTGAAGCACTTGAGAAACCCGCGCGTCGGCAACTGGCGCCGGCGCGAACAATATTTGGGGGACCGACCGGCAATGCAAGTAATGCCAAGGTGTGTCAGAGAAGGAGAAGGGGTGGAAAATGCATTTTGCTTGCCGTTTGGAGGAAAGGGCGTTGGTGTTTTGGTTGGTGGTGCGGCTGAGGCGCGCTGGGTTTGAGCAGGGGTGTTGGCGAGACGTCGCGTCCGTGAGTTGGCGACGTGCTGCGTCTCGGCAACACCACCACGGCGACGGCTGCGGTGAGAAAAGTGTATATGTGCGAGGGACTGAGTTGTATTAATGGCGATGAGCTGGAATTATTGCGGTTTGTTAATCGCTTCGTTTGCTGGTGGATGTCTCTAATTGGTGTCAATAGGTAGCGCTGTTGCCGGAGCCCGAGGAGGAGACCTTCGATGCTGGGCTTTTTCGGGAGGTATGCATTTCTCCTTCGGCTAAGGTAATGGTCACGTTTTTGGAAGATGTGCATTTCTCCTCCGACTAAGTTAATGGTCACGATTGCAGGTGTCATTTGAGATTCAGGGATAGGGGGGGGGGTTTCATTCGCAAGGATAAGTTAGGTCTATGAAAACAACTACTAATTTCCAAAGCGAGGAGGCTATGGCAAACAAATCAGATCTAACAGAATATCAGGGCCCTTAGCCAGCACTCAAGCCAGTGCGGCGTCGTACTTTTTCTGGCCCACCAAAAGAACATGCCGCTCTCTCTATCAGCTTTTTTTTCCCCCCAACCACTATCGCCAATCTCGGATCATGTCAGAGAACATGGAAAGCCACTTGCCTTCCATCAAGGCACTCTTGCCATCCACTTACTCCATGCCCGCGGCATAGCCCTCGTCATAGTACTTGTAGTCCTCCTCGTCGTCATCCTCGTCATCGCACATCTCTTCATCCTCATCATAGTAATCCTCCTCATCATCATCATCCACAATCGCCTCCTCATCATAATCCGCCATCACATCATAATACTCCGAAAAGCTCTGCCTCATGCCAGAAGTATCCTCCCACTCCCCCGCCCACTTCCCCGGCACATAACCCCTCGACTCGCGCTTAAACGCGCCAGCCGCCCTGCCCCTCGACACGAGCGGCGTCCCCGCCTCAAAGAACACAGCCCTCTGCGCTCCCCTATGGCGGCGCGCCGCCGCCTCCCGCAGCGCCTCCTCCGCACGACCACCATCCTCCAATTCGTCTTGGTAGTTCTGCTCGTCCGCCCTGGCGCGGAAGTACGCACGGCACGCGGCGCTGCGCTCGGCGTGCGACGTGTCCGGGTCGAGTCGAGCCAGGTCCCACTCCATCTTCATCTGCAGCGTGTAGGCGCGGTGCATGACGGTCGTGCACGGCGGGCAGCGCGGCGGGATCGGCAGACCGGAGGCCGCCGCCGGGAGGGGGACGGCGTGGTGGCAGATGAGCGCGGGGACGGTGGCCGTGGCGGTGGTGGCGGTGGGGTCCAGCGGGACGCCGCCGTCGACGGAGTCGGGGGACTCGGAGGTGGTGGAGGTGGAGGTCCGGTCGTGGACGGCTTGGCGCGGGGGCGAGTGCGCGGAAGAGTAGGTTGTGACGGGCGGAAGGGGGGGAGAAGGGGGCGAGGAGGAGGAGATGCGGGCGAGCACGCGGCGGAGGCGGGGCCTGGCCGGCCTGGGCTGCTGCGGAACCGGCTGCGGCTGCGAGGAGGCGGTGGGAGAGAAGAAGGTCTGGGGGTCGGTGGCGGTCAGCGTGGAGGGGTCGCGGTCGATACCGCCGCCGCCGCCGCCGCTCGTGGACTCCTCGTAGGAGGGCGGGGCGGCGTCGGGGAGCTCGTAGGAGTCGTAGTCGGGCTCCCAGGCAGGATCGTGGGTAGTGTCGGGGAGGAGGTCGCCGTGAGGCAGGCCGGAAAGGTCCATGTTGTCGTCGAAGAGATGCTCGTCCGGCTCGTGGGTCTGGTCCATCGGGTTGTTGATGGGTGTGAAAGTGTTCGAGTACGGGCGTTGCATGCCAGATGCAAGCAAGTGTGTGTGGTGCGAGTTAAGGAGAAAGAAGCAAATCTGCTGGGGATTAAGTAGACGTTGCTGTCTGTCCTTACTTCTCTAACAATGCATGGTTTAGTGAATGGTTCTTGGACAGCGTGGGAGTGGAGAAGTGTTATTGCTTCAGTGAAGTAGATAGGTCAGACCGCATCGCGCATTGTTGATGAACGAAGACACGACGTTCAAGATGATGTGCAGAAAATGATGGATAGTGCTGTAGTCTTGTATTGATATCTACCAAGAAGTGTCTTTCCGCTACGTCTGCTATTCTTTGCCTACAGTTCATTGCGTGAAGCTTTAGCTTAAAGGGCTTGTATGTTAATGAATTTCCTATTCGGGAAACTAGGGCTTATGCTCGGGCTTTTGTGATCAGTGTCTAGCTATATATGAATCTAAGCCACTGTAATATGAGTATATGATGTGGAGTCTTCTCAAGGTTTCCAAGTGGTAGCTGTCCGGCTGCTCCGCCAGGTGTCTCTGATGCTTCCATAACACATTGCACTGGAATTCCCAGATGAGGTCTGATCTGACGTTACCTTGGCTGTGAATTCCAAGCTTTGTGGGAATAAGATACATGAAGGTTAAGTCTCGGCTCAAATCCGATAGGGTCAGATTGCTGTCTGACGGAGCTAGCGTCAAGACCCCTGCGGAGATCACCCTGGACCCCTCATTCGCAACACCATCACAATCCTCGACGTCATTATCAACTGAAATCAGTCCAATCGCTTGAGAACTTCTCCATCTCATCCTACCATCAACAACCCAATTGGTGCCACGAAAACTACCTCACGGTCAGTTTGATTTCTAATACCCCGTCAGCGCTACCCCGCATAAATACTGAAGCAAACCAGACCTCACACCCCACAATCAGCCCAACAATCCATCAATCATTCTCTCAAAAAAGCACCACCCGCAAAAATGGCCACCACCACAACCAAAACCCAACGCGCCATCGTCGTCCTCTCCCGCTCCCACGCCGCCCTCATCTCCGACCGGCCCCTCCCCCACCACCTCCGCCCCTCCCACCTCGCCATCGCCGTCTCGCACGTCGCCCTCAACCCCACCGACTGGAAATCCATCGACCTACGCGGCGAGCCGGGCCTCCTCTCCGGCTGCGATTACAGCGGCGTCGTCGAGGCCGTCGGCGCGAATGTGACCGAGTTTGCGGTCGGCGACCGCGTCGCCGGCGTCGCCCACGGCTGCAACGCGAGCAACCCCGAGGACGGCGCCTTTGCTGAGCACATCGTGGCGCGCGCGGCGCTCGCGATGAAGGTGCCGGCGGGGGTGATGGGGATGGCGGAGGCGGCGACGGTGCCGGTGGGCGTTACGACGGTGGCGCAGGGGTTGTATCAGAGTTTGGGGTTGCCGTGGCCCGCGACGACGACGGAGGGGGAGAAGGGGGAGGGAAAGCAGAAGGAGGGGGGTTTTCCGGTGTTGGTGTATGGCGGGAGTACGGCGACGGGGACGCTGGCGATACAGTTTGCGAAGCTGAGCGGCTGCACGGTGCTGACGACGTGCTCGCCGCGGAACTTTGAGCTGGTGAAAGGCCTCGGTGCGGATCAGGTGTTTGATTATCGGGAGCCGGGGGTCGGGAAGCGCATCCGCGAGGCGGCGGGGGATAGGCTGGCGCATGTGTTTGATTGTATCTCGTTGCCGGCTAGCGTGGCGATTTGCGCGGAGGCGTTTGGGAGGGAGGGGGGCAAGTACAGTGCGTTGTTGTACATTGACGGCTTTCCGCGGGAGGATGTTGAGGTGGAGGTGACGATGGCGTATACGGCGTTCGGGCAGGAGTATCGGCAGAATGATAAGGTCACGCCGGCGAAGCCGCAGGACTTGGAGTACGCGGCTAGGTTTTGGAAGGTCGCGGGCGAGCTGTTGGCGCAGGGGAAGATCAAGCCGCACCCGGCTGAGGTGCGGGAGGGTGGGCTGGAGGGGATCTTGGATGGGTTGGAGGATATGAAGCAGGATAAGGTTAGTGGGGTCAAGCTGGTGTATAAGGTCCAGGACGTCTAGAGGAGCGTCGTCGGGTAGGGAATTCGAGTTCCGTAGTCGGCCAAAATTCGATTAACAAACTAATACGTTGTCCATATTAAGAAGAAATCCCTTTGGAACATGATTGTGTTTTGCCTAATGAAAGAGAACAGTCATTCCAAATGTCCATAATTGCACCTATCAAGAGTCGCGATAATACGATACCCCGCCGGTAAGCTTTGCCAATGAGCGTAAACCGGCCAGCCTCGCATTGCTTCATCTGACTCCGCGCATGTGAACAGCATTGGAAATTGCATTGGTCCACAAAATGGAGCTAGTTCATTGGATGAGAGGTATGCACGCAACTCCAAAAAGAGATGTTTAGCGGAGAAGTGCGTCTTGGATGCAGCAACCAGTATGTCTGCCGCGCGTCAGCCTCGTCTGTTTCTCGTTATTTCAAATATCCAGAAGCCTACTTGAAAGCGGAATATTGGGGTTTTTCTGTTGCCTTTCCTTGCTTCGCTTTTACACCAAGCCAGTGTCCGACCAATAGACGATATGACGGATCGACTCTGCTGCGGGAAATGTCATGCACAACGTTTCAATGGAAATCACGTCATCCATCTGGGGAATTTGCACAGATTTGAAGAGCGCAGGGACTGTCGACTTTGCAGTTTTGTTCTTGACCAGCTTGTGAAAACACAAGCGCCCCAAAACAGCCTTGTCTTCCTCAGGCCAGTCCCCGAATCTCCACCAACCTACGCTATCATCCTAGATGACGTTGAATCGAAGATTGTTGAGGGCTGGATTAGCTTTCTATCTAAGCCGACTGAGGCTGTTGGATGGATTGAGCCACACAATGGTAGCAGCAATAAACTCGATCGAAAACAGGTTCAGACGTGGTTACACGAATGCCAAACCATGCATCACCACTCCAGCAAGAGTGATATAATCAGCCAAGATCTTGTCGACTTGGTACTGATTGATGTGCAGAATGGTATGCTCGTGGATGCTGAGCCACAGTGGGAATTCGTAGCTCTCAGCTACGTCAATGGTGGTTGGGGAGGCTCACACTTCAACTTGGATGATTTTACCAAGAACGATCTGAAAGCTCCGGGAATACTGTTTTCCTCCATGTTTCCGCTTCCAGCGGTTGTCAGGGATGCGATCGACCTTGTTCGCGACCTCGGTAAACGGTATCTTTGGTGCGACTTCATCTGCATCTTCCAGGACGATCACACGCAGAAACAAACTCAGATCCGACAAATGGATTCAATATACGGGAAAGCTCTTTTCACGATTATTGCTCTCTCTGCAAAACACGGAAATATTGGGCTGCCAGGCGTGAGAGACAATTCGAGAGACAGCTTCTGCCCGGTTGTTGATTTGGACGATGGGAAGAGAGCAGTAGCAAGAGCCCCAGAGCTTGAAACCATCAAATTACGCTCTGTATACAGCCAACGAGGCTGGACCTTTCAGGAAGAGGTCCTTTCGCAAAGGTGTCTCTACCTAGCAGACTCCCAAGCATACTTCACTTGCCCTGAAGGCTACAAAAGGGAAGACGAACACAAGGCGACGGACTCTACTCGTCTGGGTCATTCGAATTTATTCACTTGCTTCGAACAAGATGTATCATCCACGAGGCCTCATACCGAACAGCTCTTCTCGCTTTGTACAACCTTGCTACGCGAATACAACGGAAGACAGTTGACCTACGATACCGACATTCTGGATGCTTTTGATGGAATTAGAAAGGTTCTCTCACGAAAGTTCTTCACTGAGTTCATCTGCGGTCTCCCCCAAAGTCAGTTACATCATGCTTTACTTTGGATACCAAGCATGCATCTGGAGCGGAGGTTTGAACTTGCCCCGGAGGTTCCTGAGGGAACATCTCCGATATATGTCTCGAGAGACGAAGAGATGAGCTGGTTCATGAGACCTCCCACGTGGTCTTGGGCTGCTTGGCGGGGAAAGGTCGGTTTCTTATCACCCATTGAGATGCCATTCTCGAAAGTTTCGTGGATACAACATTTCGGAATCCTGAGCCAAAGGGGTATTCTCCCGGTAGAAACCTCAACAACAAAATTAGTTGAGAGGAAGGAGCAAAGAAAGCCGTTCTTTCGCCTGCGTTCAAGTCTTCGAAAAGCTCTCTCATCACTTTGGCCGGGAGTCTCACATCGTGAGCAGCCGCCCTGTGTAAGCAACCCTTCGAAATTGGCTGCGGCAACACATTTCCAGTCTTTGGAGCCAGAGATTCCTTTTGAAGACCTGCAGCTGTTTGTCCTGGATTTATTTCGCCCGGGGATATGCTTGATCTGCGAAATGGTCTCTGATCTTCTTCCGAGTACAAGAGGACCAGCAGCTGAGGAAACTTTCGCTTTCCGGTGTCTTGGAGAAGAAGAGATCGCAGAAGCTTTTAGTCGACGGCAGTCAATTTCCCAGAGCTCACTTGTGGAACTGGACTCCTGCACACCAACGTCTAATGAGCTTATGGAATCATGGACTGCAATTACAAATGACTTCACACTGGCCTATGATGGTCGACCACTATGGCCATTCAAATCTTGGTTCCAAAAACACTCCACCGATGCATATTCGTATGTGTTAGAACGCCTGTTGGAGTTTCTGGGGACTGAACTTCGCCCAAATATGCCAAATGTCTGGCTCAGAGAGGCGATGCAACGCGAGTGCGTGGTATTAGGAAGATTTCCTCTGAGTCGCCCAAATGCTCTTTGCTTCTTCACGTATTCTACGTCAGTCGGGAATCTCTCCACTTACCTCGGCCAGCTCTATAAATCATCGTTGAAATCCACTGGATTCATGACTACATCAAGTGGCCTGGCGTGCGATTTGGGTACGTTGCAATTTTCGAGGTATGATGGCATTAAAGGTGATGTCGAGCAGCCTGTAACTGCCTTTTTTGTCACAACAGATGAGGAGGGAAAGTATGAAAAAGCGGATACGAAGGACTATGCAGGTGTGCTATTTGACTATGAAGAAAAAGTACGACTCGAAACTGGTACTCAGCTCCTGTTACTCTCGTCAAGCCCGTCTTACAGTGGTTCAGGCACGTTGAGACACGCAACATGGAATATGATGTTGGTGAGATCAGTCGAAAACGGCTTTTATGAGAGAGTTGCCGTTGGGAGGTTGAGAGAAGATGCGATGGTTCGCGGTAAATTTACTTGGGACTGCAAGTACATCAGGCTTGCTTGATCAAGGTCAGAGGGCAGGTCGGCTGCGAACGAGTAATGTTCTTTCTACTTCATTTTTTTTTTGGCCTATGCAGGCCTCTCACTCTCGCTATTGCATTCTATTATTTTATGTTATGACAGCTGCATATTTGGCAAAAATATTTCCCAATGACATTGTGTAAGCAACTCATCCGGTGGTACTGTTTTGCAATTTGTTCAACAACAATGCATTGTGCAGAGTTGCCTGAACCCACGCTTCTGCATCTCCATTGTCCAGCGTCTGTCAACAATGTCCATTGTTATATACAACAACAAGACGCATCCCCATACAAATTCAAGCGGAATCCGAGTACTATAACGGATATCCGCAGCAGCGTGTATCACACACCCCCGCCAAACACACACACAACCCTTCATCCCCAATCTTCACACCATGTCGGACCCCACCCACCACCACCCAGCCTTGAGAATCACCATCCCCCACGCAAACTCGAGCCGCAGGCGCGCTCCTCGTTCCGCTCATCCTCATCCTCATCCTCCTCGTTCTCCTCGTTCTTATCCTCATCCTCGTCCTCCCCACCCCTTCCTCTCCGCCCGTCCCCCCCGCCCCGCTCACTCCCCCCGCTCCCCCACCACCCGCCTCTCCCTCCTCACCCTCCAAGCCCACATCTCCACCGCCCTCGCCATCGCTGCTCCCCCGGCCACCCCTCCGCCGTCTGTGACGGTCACCTTCACCACCCACGCCACTCTCTGCCACCACTCGGTAACCATCACCTGCCCCGCCGACGCCGCGTCGACGACGCCCATCCCCGACCACTGCGCGCAGTGCACCCTGCACCGCGCCACGCGCGCCGCTAAGCGCACTTGGATAGCTGCGCAGGACTTGTTCGGCGCGCTGCACTGGCGCACTGCGGCTGCGAGGAGGGAGTATTGTAAGGCGAGGGCGAGGGAGGCGGAGGGGGTGGATGGGGGGGATGATGAGCCGGCTGATCAGGGGAGGAGCGGTGGGGCGAGGAAGACGGGCAAGACGGTGGCGTTTGCGGATGATGTGGTCGAGGGGTCGGGAAGGCCGACGGGGGCGTTTGCGCGCGGGAGGAGGGCGTCGTATGTCCCCGGTAGGTATGCGGGGGATTGGGTTGATACGTCGGGGAAGGGGGTGACGTTTACTGTGTTTTATAGGGGGAATGAGACGGAGGAGTAAGGGGAAGCGGTGCGTAGATCGTTGGAGTAAGTGGCGTTGAACAACGCCGCGAGTGTGTGTTTATTCTTGCGGTGAGTTTTTGCTTTTTCCCCCGCTGGTCGGGGAAGTAGCTGTGGTGATACGGAGTGGCACTTTGAGTTCTGCTCGGCGGTCCGCGTCAGCTTTAGGAGGTTAGTAAAATAAATGTTTGATTGGGAATTTTTTTCGTTTGCTTGCATGTTGTGATGTGAACTCACCTCTTTTTCTGAAAATGGGCTTTTATTCTAGTGGTATAAAGGTGCAATACAAATTAAAGATTCGTTTATATTACGAAACGTAGTAAATAAGAATTCGACTAGATTCTATGTAGGAAAAGAAGCTACTAAAGAAAAGAGAGTTCTAAAAAAAGAAGTTTAAGTAGTAAAAGAAATACACCGAGTAAAGACGAATAAGTATACGAGAATTACGGAAGCTAAGCCGTAATAGTCCAATCTATCTAGATCATAACAGTGCGCGAGCTGATGGCACTGTTCTCAAGTTCACCCTGAGCCTCTTGAACACACCCGGGTTCTGCGGATGTTCTAAGTCTTTGACTGACATGATAGCCAAGGTTTTGGATGACGGCAAATAAACCTGGGACCACAGTTCTTCTGACCGCCTGTAGATATTCTTTGTGCGACCGTGATACCTTTGGTAGTAGCTCTCGGCTTTCTTCGGGTGGTGGTGTGCGGGAGCGCCTGCGACTTCGAGATGCAACCATGCCCCCAATTTGTCTAATTTTCTGTGAATCAGAAGCATCTCCCTCGTTTTTTTGTTCCAGAATTGGAGTGTAAATTGCTGTCCGTTGCTGACGGAAAGAACAAATGGGAACTGCATTGTTGAGGCTGTTTGGGGATAGTGACCAAGTAAAACAAAATCTTGAAGCGCATGAAAATGTAATTCAAGATGTTCATAAGGCCTGAAAGGCCCTGAATATTGGTAATGGACTGCAGACCAATCAGCGGGCCCTGTGATGTAGAGTTCCTCAAATTTAAGGGGCCCGGTAGATTCAGCGTCGGTGCTCAAGTCCGGCAGTTCGCCTGTTCGAACACAGCGAATGAATGTGGAGTTTTTATATGTAAGGATGAGGGTTATAAAAATAGGGTATCGAGGCGATCCAGAGCTTGTATCAGTGCAATCTAGTGCAGCCCGGATGAGCGGAGCCCTGGAACCTCTGAAGACGTGCTGCGCTGGTAACCAGACATGCAATCCAAAGTTCGTCAATTCGTAGTGAAACCTAAGGGAAGGTGGCCTGTGACTTGAAAGATTGCCATATGATATTAGCTCCTGCGGTTCGAGCTGCTCAATCGCGGAGCTATGTTGGAATCGGCACACGTCATCAGCTAGCATTCCGCAACGCTTGATTCCGGAGTCATCCCATGCGAAAATGGTTTGGTCGTTTGATGTTTTCAGTATCTCAAGTTGTAGTCTTGTGAAAGCTTTGCGTCCTTCGCCATAAATTGCAGGCATATTGACTCCAAAGAGCCCCATCAAAGAGTAGGCCCGATCTTCGATTCTTGTAGTTGTTCGTCCAGCAGCCCATGACATCCGTTTAGCAATGTTTGCGTCCGATACCGCGTGTCCAGTCAGGAATTTCCTCTCGATACCGGTAATTTCTTCTACAATTTCAGCCAAAGTGGCTCTCGTCCCCAGTTCGATCCAGTTGTGGGAAAGGAAAACGACCGCCTTGGGCGCGATGAGTTCCTGCAATGTCCATCCACGGCGGAACCATTCGCTGCTTCTGAAGGCCGATATTATGGAGCGGGGTTCTTCTTTGTGGCGGACGTCTTCCAGGTAGGCGTAACAAACAGCGGCATGTGCGTAGTAACAATACATTGAGTTGATTGCTTCCGAAAGCTCTGCGCTACTACTCTTATCGATGCAACATGAGTCAATCCAGGTGTAGCGGAAGCCATCCTCAAGTGCCTGAGTGCAGCAGCCCTGGACCTTGTCGTATCCTTTCTTCGACTTTGCTAATCCAGAATTGATGTCATTGAATGAGACTTCGTCCCTGGTTGGACCCCAGCGGTGGGAAAGGATAGCGTATGGGGGTATAAAGTCTCCATCGTACTCCTCAAGCGATAAAGTAATGTGTCCGTCCTGTGAGGTTTGCTTGCAGTGCAACAGGCGTAAGCGCATTTCGACCTTTTACAATGGAAGAGTTGAATGGGATGGCCGGAAGCCAGAGAGACGGCAGAGGTAGGTCGTAAAAAAGAAGGTTTATGAATGATTGCATGGCAAGGCTGAAGTCGAAGTGCGGGGCGCGAGGCTGATGGCCAGAGCCTTACTATGCAGCTTGGTAATGTTATTGAAAGCTAAGCGATGGACTGCCTTCATGCAAGGTCCAACGCAAAAAGGCACTCCAAAGGCCCTCCAAAGGCATCAAGGCCTCCCTCTTTTATTTCTTTGGCCGACGGCTTCCCAGCGTCCACCCAGGCGTAGTACACAGCTTCGGCGCGGATGGTTAGCGTAGCGGCGATAACGGTAGGGAGATTTAGGAGTGGAGAGGCATGTGTTCTGCCCTGGCCAATCAAGGTACGGGCCATCCACGCCCTCCTCCTTCTGTCTTTGGCCACCATGACCAACCAGTCCCGAACCACCTCCCAAAATGTCAAGTCCAACGACCACCTCTCGAACTTAAACGGCGAGCCTGGCACCCTCCTCTTCTCGACCTTCCCGGCGACATCCAAAACCGACACACCAAGATTCTGCCTTACCACGACGCTGTACTCGCGCAGCTCCGACTGGACCGGCGGAACCCACGCCAGCAAGCCAGAGATCTCAGGGCGCCGTTTCAGCATGTCCGCCGCCCGCGGTCGCTTCGTCACCGACAGCTCCAGCTCATATTTGTCGTGGTCGTAGCCGTCGTCATACTCCTCCTCTTCCTCTTCTTCCTCTTCTTCCTCCTCTTCCTCCTCCTCCTCCTCATCATCATCATCATCGCTCTCGCTCCCATCCACAACCTCCAAATCCATCGCCCACAACCCGCTCACCCACGCTCCCCCCGCGCTCGCGTAAACCGTGCCATCCTCCATAACATCCACATTCTGCCCCAACGCGAACCACTGCACCCCATCATCCCCCTCGACCGCCACGGCCAACCGCCTCACCCGCGGACACACGCACATAACCACATGCTCCATCTTCCGCTGCCAATAGTCGACGTCCTTGACCAGCGTCGGCCCCACACCACCACCAGCAGCATTCAGCTCCAGCCTCGCGACATACAGCCCCAGCACCGTCCGCGGCAGCGTGTACGAGACGGCCTGCAGCCGCGCGTCGTGCCGCGCCTGCTGCTGTTCTTCCTTCTGCTGCTGCCGCTGCCGCTGCCACTCCCACTGCCACAGGTGGTGCTGGCGGCGGCGGCGGTCGCTGCGTATCGTGTCGCCCGCCCACGGGCACACCGCCACGGCCATGCCGACCGGCGCGCTGTAGATGGCCGAAATCGTCTCGCGTCGGAGTTGGCGGTTCGCGAGGAGCAGCCCGCTCAGCCAGCGCGAGCTGATGAGCGAGGGCAGCGTCGGGATCGCGGTGATGTCGGAGGTGCGGTACGGGTTGGTCGGCCCCAGCAGCCCGGCTGTTTCGTAGTAGTGGCCTGCGGCGATGGCGAGGTGGGTGTAGATGCGGTTGCGGAGTTCGGGGGGAAGGAGGAGGAAGGGGAAGTGGGAGGACATGGCTGAGGAGGAGGAGGAGGAGTCATCGTCGTCGTCGCCGGCGTAGGGGACGAAGTTGGTGAAGTCGGTGAGGCGGCGCGAGGCTTGGTCTTGGTGTTGTTGGTTCGGGGCGGTGGTGGTGAACACCCAGTGGGCAGACATGGTGGAGGAGATGAGAGGTCCTCCGGTAAGAGAGTCGTAGATGAGAGGAGCGGACTGGAAGTAGGTGGTGGCTCCTGAATATAAAGGAAAAGGTTTCTTTTCCCTGGCTCGAAGACCTTTTTGGACCAAACTTGATGACTAGAGGCTTGCCTAAGAAAAGGGCAATTTTCGATTTTAATTGCTCTGTGTGTGGCTTCGACGAACATTCACTTGGAAACGAGAGGAAATGACGGGCAGGATTTTATAGTCTATAGTCGAAAGTGAGCTGCATGTTTGGGATGGTGATGCAATGCCGGGGCACGTGCTTTGGAGTTTTAGCCAGGGTTGTGTGTTTTGAGGGTTCATCCAGGGTCTCGTGTTACCACAGTTGAGCTATGGTGAATGTGCCATGGACTTTTGCCTGCCGCTTTAGTACTTGAAGTGGCTTTTCAGCCGCAGCGTCTTTGGAACTATCTCACACACTACTACGACATCACTTAACACCAATTGCACCAACATCAATCACGAACAATTTTTGACATCAACTACCGCAACTTCTCGACATCTACTACAATAATGTCTACATCTATCGCGACTTCTCTCATGCACCTCTCGGAAGAAAACCAAAGTCAAATGACGCCCCCATCGAAGTTCCTGCTCCTCCCGAGAGAAGTTAGGGACCTCATCTACGAGGAGTTCATCTTCTCTCATCACGAGACCAAAGTCTCCCCACCATCTGCAACCGAGCGCCCAAGCATCGTGCACCTGCACTTGCGCAAGAACTGCCGCAACACCTCCCTGATGTTCGTCAACCGTCAGATCCACGATGAATACGAAGAACAGGTCTACCGCAACTCGACCTATCAGATCCGCATCATCTGCAACAGCTTCCCCCTGGACCTGCTTCCCGCCAAGTCCATCTCGGGCCACTGCAAGCGCCACCTCCGCCACCTCGAGGTGCGTCTGGAATTTTGGACCCTGCCGCTCTGGGGCAGCATGCTGAACGGCACCGCGCCGCCGGATGTGCGCCGCTATCTGAATGCCGTCGTCGCGACGTGCATGGCCCAGCTGCCGGCGTTGGAGACGCTGTCCGTGCGCTTCGACTACCCGACCACCTTCCTGGTCCGCGAGGCCGATGTCAAGACAGCGAAGGCTTACGCTGGGCGTTTGCTTGAGTTCAGGCCGCCGGCTGTTGCTCACAGCCGCCACTTGAAGCGCTACAAGGTTGCCGTTTTCGTCCGGGGCTCGCAGCGTCTTGGTTTCGCTCTGCATGAGGTTTCGAAGAGAAGGTAGATTTACGGGAGAAGCAGAACCGGGGAAATGTGGAGAGACAGATATTGGGTATTAGAGCGGCAGGCGCGAATAGGGTTCACACTTACTGGAAATACTCTTTCAAATGATACCACTGTCTTTGCGTTTTATCTTATGCACGTTTCCGATCATTGTGTAACTTGCATGGTGTGACGATTTGACTACGTAGGCAGTTAAAGCAGTTGCCGTGATATTAACGTAAAATCCAAATCCAAACGATCGCTTTAACGAGTGATAATCTCCTCTAGGCTACCGCAGTGCTTAAGCTTCGGGTCAGGGTTGTTGGGCCAAGTGCGTGGCCTCAGCGCACCTGCCAAATCAGGGTCGCACCCAGCACATAAAAAAGCTCGCTGCCTCCCTCGTCACCTCGACCCTCCACCAACTCCTCGCAGCAATGTTCAGGAACATCTTGGCAACAACGAGCCCAGTCGAACTGGCCGCGGCCGAGCCCTACGAGGCCGAGCTCTACGAGGCCTTATGCCTGGAAATGCCAGCTCCTCCCCCTCCCCGCCTCTACATGCGCCGCAGCAGCATGCTCCTCAAGCTGCCGCGCGAGCTGCGCGACAACATCTTCCGCCAGCTCATCTACGCCATCTACGAAGACCGCACCACGCCCGAAGAGCGCCACCTCTGCCCCAAGCCGCTCCTGCGCCACCTCGTCGGCCCCACGCTCGCAACCTCGCCCGTCCGCGGCATCATGCAGACCAACGCCCAGCTCCGCTCCGAATTCGGCCAGGAACTGTACCGCCACGCGCACGAGGAGAGCACCATCACCGCCTCGGCGCCCGCCGACCATGGACCTCCCGCGAACGCCAACAACAACATCAGCCACCTTCCCGGAACCATCCAGCTGCTGCTGCCGCCGCACCCCATCGCCCCCAACATCGCCGCCCTCCTCGCAGCAGCGCAGCAGGCTCGCCGCAACCACCACCTCCTCCGCGCCGCGTGGAACCCGGCCACCATGCCCCAAATCCCGCACTACCTCGCCCAGCACCTGCGCAGCTTCAGCTTCACGCTGGCCGTGCCCGCGGCGCCGACGCGCCGCGACCCCTTCGTCTTCACTGGCACGCACAGCAACAACGTCTACGCGACCATCACTTTCGCTGGCATCGCCGACGGCTACCACCGCGACTGGAACGTGCTGCATGACGATTTCGATGTCGCTGTTCACTCTGTCCTCGCGACGCTGCCCGTCCTTGAGGAGTTGGATGTTACCATGTCGCTCGCGCCGGGCAGTTACAGATACAGTGTGCGCGGCGGTCGCGGGGGGGAGGGAAGTAAGGATGAAGATGCCTTTTGTGTGAAGACGACGCGGGTTACTGGCATTGAGGTGCCGGGTATGACGGGGAGCCGGGAGGGAGCGAGCAAGAAGAATGACAAGAAGAACAAGAAAGAGGACAAGGAGGAGAAGCAAGAGCCGACAAACGAATCGAATGATGGTCTGATGAGGCCGAGGAAGAAGAGGAAGACTAGTCATTCCAAGGCTGTGAACGGTCACCATGAGTGTACGTGTGCGGATGCGGGTACTGCTGGTGGTGGTGGTGGTGGTGGTGGTGGACATAACGAGGCGGCCCAGCCGGTGGTCGTGCAGCCTGGAGCACGGCTGAAGCGGTTCAAGAAGAGCATGGTCATCCGCTTCGCCGGTCTGGACGACATCCAGTTCACGTACTCCAGCCAGGAAGACAAGTTTAAGAATGGACGTCGCATCGGTGTCACCAAGGTTCAGCGTTCGATCGAGTTCTTGTAAGTGCTACTGCCCTGTCCCCTCTTTTTTTCTTTCTCCACAAGATGGATGCCGTCTCGGATGACGACATCGGTGGGTAGTTGAAGCTATCGTCTGGACGTGTTTGTACAGTTTTTCAAAACTTCTCGCTAACATTCGTGCTTGTAGTTCCGAATGGAGCGCGGCTTCGCGCGCCGAGCTTGCGGCCTTCTTCGACGTCACGTCTCGCACCATGCTCTGCATCACAGGGCACTACCGCATGCCGATGCAGGACGTCCTACCGGAAATGTACGAGCGGTGGAAGCGCTCCGACGGAACGTTGTCGCGCGATCGCGTGAGGGTGCTGATGGAAGAGTGGTTGGAGAAGATGGCGAAGCAAGAGGCGGCGCTGAGGGAGGCCTTGATGCGGCAGGGAATCGCTCTCGCCGCCGCTCAGGCTTGAATGGCCGTGGGTGTTGGTGTTGGCGGCTTCGACGGATCACTGCCCTCCCTCCCCCCGTCTTGACGTTTCCGTGGCGTCGTTCTGAAGGGTTTGACGCTTAGAAAGGATCGTGCGATGGGTTTCGAATTTGCTTTTGGGTGGTCGGTTGTTTGTGGGTTGATTTTATTCTGCAGACCTGGGTCAGCGGCTTTACTGGAGACGGGAAATGCTTTCTCAGCGAGGGAAAGTTTCACCGAACGAGCGATCCTTAGGGTAATTCAATTTGATATGGGCGGCTTTCTTGTTCACTGGGTTTAGAGATGAGGTTAGATACCCCGGCTTTTTGCCTTTTTAGCTTCATAGATTGCAATGGCAATTTCTGTGAGTTGAACTTCTGCTCCGTGTTTGCTTGCGTGATTGTGGTGGGTTTAGAGTCTCGCGACTGGCTTTGTCTTTTAGGGTCTTATTATGACGTCAGATATGTTGGAGACGTTTCTGGTTCATCGTACGTCAGTGGCTCGAAGGGTCTGGAGGAGTGATGCCAAGACTTTACATCAGCGTAATGTATATTCGGCAGGGACGCTCTGGGGTTCTGACAGCTTCCGAGTCTAGGTAACAGGTCAGATCGCCTGCATACTGCCTCTGTCCTTATGCGAACGACCGCACGCGCTTTAGGACGCCCCATGCCGCTGGAGACACAGTGGTGACGCGTCCCACAGCAGCGACCGTCACCTCACCTTAGAACACGAAACCACGCGCCGACCGACAACATCAACCACCAGCTTACCGGGCACACACACGGCAAGTAGATCGGCCCCGCTACCGCCGCCGCCGCCAATTACTATATAAAGCATCCAACCCCTCTTCCCCTCCGTTCCCACTAGCTCAGTTGGTAGAGCGACTCCTGACGACGAGAAGAATTCCAAGATCCTCCTTTGCGGGCGGGTCCAGCTGGTTCGAGTGCGGTTGGGTGGAGGTCCGAGGTTCAATTCCTTGGTGGGGGCATTTTCTTTTTTTTTTTGTTTTGGGTGGTATTTTTGTGGGGGTCTCTCACTTCGCTCACATGCTTGTAGTTTTGGAGGTTGGCTGTCAGGGACGGGAGAGATGGGCGGGCTCGGGATGTCAGGCAGGCGCTTGTTTGGCCGTGTGACTCGAGGCTGGCTGCCTTGCGTGCTGGTTGCTCGGAGCATGCGCGTGTGAGGAGTTGGTCTTCTGGGATGATGGGCGGCGGGTGATCGGGGCGGGTTTGCTGTGATGCGTCACCGGCGCGTCTTGTCAGCAGGATGTTGGACTTGTGTCCTGCGTTGTGAGTCTTTTTAAAGAGCATCCGGTGTTGACCGATTGCTCTCGCTACAGGATAGCCCTGCAATTATCAGGCGATCTGCTGGTGTGAAACACACATGCACTGCTTGTCTACTGCGTCCTTGTCTTGTCTAAGACTTCCTCCAGTACTTTTCGGCGTTGGATATTCTATCAACAAGGTAGGTATCCCATGATGATTTCTTGACGCTGGAGAGCGCTTCGATTATTCACTCCTCAAACACATCATTATCCAGTGATCATCTTCGCCATCAGTTGCACCAATGACTACACCAGATTGGCAGCACATAGATTGGCATAGCCCAACGTCGAAGAACGAAAGTGAATCGGGGGCAAACACCAAGCCGCAAGTGGAGGCGGCCCGGCGGAAGCTGATCAAAGTGTAAATCAGAACCATGTCTGGTCACCGAAAGCACACTTAGGCCTCTTTTATGGACCAGCAGTGACGCTCCACCAAACCTATCACGAGCCAGCCCTCCCCCGCCACATCCCTCCATCTGCACGCCACAACGTCAAGCGCCGCGTGCCTGCGCCCGTGCTCAGTCTCTTGCAAAGGCAAGTACGCATGAGATCGGTTGAGCCCTCTGGGCGCGAATCACCTGCTTTGGCCCGCCGGCGGGCATGTGCCTGGCCACCCGCGCGGGCTGACCCCCTTGCTCGTGCTGGAGAATATGCGTGCACACGTGCGACCTGTGGAACTTGCGTGGTTGGGGCGGGTATAAAGGCGAGCGCTCGTCGAGCTTTGGGTTTCTTTTGCTCGGACATCGATTTCTCGAATCGAGATAACAAAGGCCTACGACCTTGCAAACTCGGGTGTCTTTGTACTCGAACCCCCACATGGGGTCAATTACTCCCTCGCGGGGGATTGGAATAATGTGTCCACCTTTAGAATTTCCAACCAGGTAGGCGGAAAATTTTCGGTGATAGACTGCATCATCTTGGTTTGATGATGGAGAAGGGCACCATGTCCTGCTGTGGAGCTGCTGCATTTTTCGAACGTTGATGCTATGCTGAAAACGTGGCTTGGCGGAACATGTTCGTGCCGGCGAGCAAAGCGAGTCGCAAGGGTACCGCCGCAGCAGCGGAACAGTAGTCTGGGTCAGCATATTCTTCTCAAATAACCAGTGGAAATTGACCGGTGAGAGGCGGATGACAGAGTTCTGGAGTTCGATAGAACATGTTTTATACTCGATTTATTCTCAGACCAGTTTGGAAAGATTTGGATGAGTGGAGAGCGTCTTCTCGATAGTTCCAATCTACATTAGTATTCCCGTCCATTCGAGACCCGGCACGCTGTGACCAGGGGAGCGATTCCTTCTTATCCTATCCCAAAACTTAAAATATAGATTCAAATAGAATAACGGCTGGAGGAAAATGAGTAGAATACAAGAAAGAAATAAATAAATAAATGGGAGTAGAGATGTCCTTCATAAACCATCGTGAGTCCCCCTTCGAGGTCACTTCTCCAGTGCTGTGGCCGCGGCATGAGACCGGAAGAACTCAGCGACCCGGTGGAACGACTCTTTAGGCGCCCATGGAGGCATAGCTTTCGACCTCGGATCATGGTCTGGGAACGTCTTGACCAACGAAAAGGACATCATGTCCAAATCATTTGCCCCCTCACCCGCCCGCATGCACGGAAACGAAAAGACATAGACAAAGACCGCGTGAACGTCCGCATTGGCGAGCAGGCCCAGCTGCGTCCCAATATAGTCCGCCTGCTCTCTCTCACTGCGAGTCGGCACGACGCCGTCTTGGAAGATGCCGCTGCCGTCAGGATTCGTTCCCTTGAGAAGAACGAAGCCACCGTCACCGCGCGCAGCCGCTCCCTCGTACGCGCAGCACCCGACCTCCATGACGACGAGGGGCTTGCCACCGAACCTGTGCCGCTGGAGCCCCTCGACGTACTTTTCCTCCGTTTCCCCGCGGCGATAGTAGTCGATGCCGACGATGTCGAACATATCCCAATCGACAAGCTCCCACGTCCCGCTCGAATACGTCAGCGGTCCGCCAAACCTAGCGCGCACGACCTCGACGAACGACCGCAACACTTCATTCAGCTTCGGCGCCTTCTCCCGTACGGCCTCGGGAAGGTCTTCCGCCGCCATGCTCCCGCCGGAGAGCTGCGACCCGAACCACGCCACGCGCTCGTTGAACGACTCGCCGGGAAAGACGCCCTTGCTGAAAATGGTGTACTCGCAGCCGGCGACAAAAACAATATCATCATCGACGCCACCACCACCACCTTCTTCGGTCCTGAGCGTCTCGGCCACCTGCGCCGCTTCAGCGAGATACGCGCGGGTCTCGTCGACGCCCGCGTTCATCTTCCACGGGTTGAAGAAGACGGTCAGGCCGGCTGCGCGGGCGGCGCGCGCGGCGGTGGCGAGGCGCGAGATGTCCTCGCCTTCGATGCGCACGGCGTTGGCGTGCAGGTCGGTGGCTATCGCGCGCATGTCGTGCGAGACGAGCTGCGGGGAGAAAGGCTCGACGGAGAGCGAGGCTTCTTGGAAGCGTAGGCCGACGTCGTAGACGACTCCGCGGTACTTCATGGTCGATCGACTAGTCCCTTCGGTTGAAGTTAGAAAGAGTTCGGGCTCCGCGAGGACCGTCACGAGGGATCAGGTACTTGCAATTTGATATATCGTCTCAATTTCACTTCTCGGGTCCTTCCCTCGTGGCCACTTCTGTCTCCTATCACGGACGCTTTTATAATCGATCAACTATCGCCGAGAACCATATAATCGCAAGGCTCCGTACTTCTCCCACCGGCTATCTCTGATTTCTAATACGAGCCAAAGCTCCACATAAAGGAACAAAATGTGAGGTCGCAAGCACTCCCGATTTGGGACGATGTTGCGGGGATGGTGGTCGGTGCGGGATGTGCGTATTTCACAAGTTCTGATTGGTCGCACTCGTATTCGTTTGGTGTTTTTACTCCTTCCAAAGATGTTTTCGGCTCGGATATGAAAACAACCCGATCATTTGTTGCGCCAATCCCCTATTGGCGAGGTCAATTTTCATAAGTGCATTGCACATCACAAAAGCGGCCGCAAAGATCTGAGCTCAGAAAAAGGCGTCATAGCCTTGTGAAGGATGCATTACCAATTAAAAGCGCTATCTATTAATCCGCTGGAACGAAAAGCCCCAAGAAAGGCTAGGAAAAGGCCAAGCCGACAACTCCTTCCCACTCTCTCACAACCGCTCTATACCCTGCGCGGTGTGTGGTATATCATAAGTCAATTCATCAAGCATAAGCCATTGCCGGTCCCACTCGACCCCCCTTTACTTAGCCGAGAACCTGCTCCTGGCCCTCAGCTTCTCGCCATAGAAGTACAGCAACCACACACCAGCACAGCACACGACCGTAAAGGCAGCCAAAATGCTCACACCCACACCGACGCCCAAGTTGCCGAACAGCGGGCGAGCAAAGTGCACAGCGCCAGCAGCCAGGGTGCTGCGCAAGAAGTCGTTGCCAGCGAACAGACTAGCCGCGTACTGCGGATACACGAGCGGCAGGTAGAGGAAGATGCACTGCAAGACAAGAAAGATGCCGACAGTAAAAATGCCCACACCCACAACGCTCACGATCCAGTGTATGCGCGGGTCGCTCGTCCAGCCGAAGATGAACAGGCCGATGGGGCAAAATATAGATACCACGAGCGCGGGGATGAGGCGACGCTCGGGCGACCCCAGGCCGTGGGCGCGGATGGACGGCTCGACGGACCAGCGGATGTAGACCCAGTAGCTGACGATGGCGAGCAGTACGCCGGCCGTGATGGACAGGAACGTCAGGCCCATCTGGCCCAGGTTCATGCCGTACATGCCCATGTAGACCTGCGGGAACGCCTCGAAGAAGGAGTAGAAGATGCCGTAGATGAGGGCCGTGTAGACGGCCGTGAAGGCGATGGCTGGGTCGAGCAGGATGAGCTGGATGGGCCGCCAGAGCGACTCGATGGCCACGTCGCGGATGCTGAGGTTGGCCTGGTCGAGCTCGGATTGCGCTTTGAAGGTGGGTTTGCCGGTGAGGCGGCGCAAGCGCTCGGCGCGGCGGAGGAGGATGGTCGAGGTCGAGGTCTCCGGCAGGAAGAGGAAGAGGACGAGCCAGACGGGGCCCGCCAGCCAGAGCAGCTCCCATTGCGACCACCGCCAGTTCTCGGCTGCGACGCTGAAGCCCGAGATGATGGGGCCGAGGGCCGGGCCGCAGGTGGCTGCGAGAGCCCACAGGCTGAGGACATAGGGGAGCTTGATGAGGCTGTACATGTCCCCGAGAGATGCGCCGCCGGTTGCCAGGCAGGGGCTGCCGAAGAAGCCCAGCAGGAAACGGAGAACGACGAGGCCAGCAAAGTTCTCGACCAGAGCGGTAGGCACGAGGAGGATGACGAAGATGGCAAAGGTGATCATGTAAGGCGGGTTGCGCCCAATGAAGGGAATCTCACTGAGCGGCGACCAGATGAGGGGGCCGATGCCGTAGGCGAGGACGTACATGGACAGTCCCAGTGCGGCAGCGTTGATTGAGACGCCAAACTCGTGCATCACACCCTCTTCACTGGGAGCGTAGATGGCAGAGCCCATGTAGACGGCAAGAGTGTAGGCGTAGATCTGGGTGGCGACGAAAGCCTTCTTCTTGAATGACCAGTTCTGTGGGTTCTCGGGATCGTCGGTAGTGTACCAGTCAACAAGGGTTGTCCCATCATCCAGGCGGGTTGGAACTATTTGCATAGTCGGGCCACGCTCCAGAGTGGCATTCGTGAATTGTTGCTCAAGATCGGCCCTGGTGACAGATCTCTGGAGGGCAGTGCGGGTGCCTACACGCTCGAGGCCGGAGCGGATAGTGTTTGCAGTTGCTGATGGATAGAGCGATGTTCGTCCAGTTCGGGCAGTCTCGATCTTCTCGAGGTCGGTGGTGTTTCCGGTTCGTGAAGTATCGACGGTTCTGCTCTTCTCGAGGTCCAGAGTCTCTTCCTCTGATTCCCTCTCTTCACGTGGTTCGACCTCTTCCTGGACTGGTTCTATGTCTGGAACGTAGGGCTCTTCTACAGGAACTTCCAGAGGGAGTGTGTTGGGGTGGGTGTATTCATTGGGTAGCTTGTAGTCAGGCTTCTCTTCAGGGTACTGAAGGAGGCGGTTTCGCGTGACAAAACGGATAATTTGCCCGATTGGGGCATCCCTGATTAGGTCCGTCATGGCGGTTCGCTGGACCGTCGACTCGAGATAGGAGCGTCAATGAATAGAGACACGGCTGTGAGGATGTTTAAGTGTTCAAGCGCAAGGCTGCGGGAAGCAGTGGTCGGGAGGGCTGGTGGTTGATGATGTGGAAGGTGAGCTGCACTGGAGATGTTTAAGTATTCCATCATCAACTGCATTCTGAGATTAGCATGCCGCAAACGCCGACAAAGACTACCAAAGCTAAGATTGTCAGCCTGCATTTCGAATGCGCTGAGCGGACAGAATAATGGGCCGAATGCAAAACCCGTGGCCATGCATGATTAGAAGACAGCGGAATCAAGGGGACAGCGATGGACTACCGGGCGCCATGGCGACAAAGTTGAACGCTGATAGGCTCGTTCGATGGAGTTAGTCGATGTTGAGCGGACAAAAGACGGTATCTCAGCGGGATTAGCAAGCTGGTGGGCTTGGCGCATGGCTGACAAACAAGTCGACTTCATAAGCAAATCCTGCACTCCCATTGGTTGTCTGCGCATTTGGTTCCTACGACGTCAGCGGCGCTCGCGCTTTCGCAAAGTAAAGTCTCGATGGTGACAGCGGGCTGAAACAGCGAAATGCAGGGCGAGTTTGTCATCCTCGCGTCGGCTCGCGATAGTTCAAAACGGTCGGCAGCCCGCACAGCTTCCAGTAGCTACTTTGGGAACAGTCAGACCTGATTACCACGATGGATTCTCTCCGAATCCGAAAGATACATGTTCGAGCGGACAAAAACACCGGTCGGTGCAAGAAGTCACTTTCGGAGAGACAGCTGTTGGCAGATGGTTGATCGGAGAAAAGCACTCTGATCTGAAAGAGAGTAAATCCGAATGGATGGTGAAAATGTCGGTAAAGCCGAGCGGAGAGGGCTGCGTTGCGACGGAGAATGGAAGTTGGGTGGAGAGGCCGGAGAAAAGTAAGCGGACTTTAGGACGCTCGGGCCACATCGCCGACGTCAGTTTGGCAGCTCCGGTGTTGACTTCTGAACGCCTATTCCACCACCTGCAACTCCAACATGGCCGACGAAGAGGTGCAGATCGATGATTTCGGCGTCGACCAGGATGCGCTGAAGGACTTTCTCGGCGGCACCGGCTTTGGCAAGCAGAAGCTCACCGCCGACGTCCAGGCGCAAATCGACAAATCCAAGCGCAAGCCCGCCAAAGACGACTCCGACTCGGACAAGGACAGCGACGACGACAGCGACGACGACGATGACGAGGACGAATTCCCCACCTCGCATGAGATGGTCATCAAGACCCACGACCGAGCCATCACCACCATAGCCCTCGACAAGTCCGGCAACCGCCTGGTCTCAGGCTCCACCGACTGCAACATGAAGTTTCATGACTTCTCCAACATGACTCCCACAACCATTCGCGCATTCAAGTCGGTAGACCCCACTGCCACCAAGCAGACTACCAACGTCGAGGCCCACCCAATCCACCACATTGCCTTCAATCCCAACTACGCGAACCAGATGCTCGTCGTCACTGCGACTCCCCAACCCAAGATATTCAGCAGGGACGGCGAGGTTATCACCGAGTTTGTGAAGGGTGATATGTACCTGCGCGACATGCACAACACCAAGGGCCATGTGTCGGAGGTGACGACTGGCTGTTGGCACCCTACCAATGCCGACTGGTGCGTCACTGCCGGCACCGACAGCACGCTGCGCATATGGGACGTGAACAACAAGCGCTCCCAGAAGGAGGTCATTGTACACAAATCGAAGCTAGCTGGCTCTGGCGGTCGCACCCGCATGACGGCTGTGGCTTGGTCCACGCCCGTTCAAGGAGGCCCTAACCTGCTAGTCGCGGCTGCGTTCGACGGAAGTCTGGTCATGTGGAGTGGCGATGGTCCGTTTTCCCGTCCAGCGGGAGAAGTTAGAGACGCCCATACCCCTGACACTTGGACCGGCGGGCTGGACATCAGTCCGGACGGAAGGACGGTCGTTACTCGGGGCGGAGATGATACCATCAAGCTATGGGATACGCGCAAATTCAAGCAGCCCATCTCGACTGTCGCCCACCCCTCAACATCGTCGCAATTCCCCAGCACCAACATCCGCTTCTCCCCCACCGGCGCGAACATCATTACCGGCTCGGAATCGGGCCACCTCCACATCCTGAACCCGGCAACCCTGCGGCCGGAACTCGTCACTCCTGTGACGCCAGGGTCGCCGCTGATCGTTGTGCAATGGCACGAGCGGCTAAATCAGATCGTCACCGGCTCAGCCAACGCTGAGACGCACGTGCTGTACAACCCGGAAATGTCGCATCAAGGAGCCAAGATGGTGATGAGCAAGGCGCCGAAGAAGCGGCACATCGACGACGACCCGGCTCTCACAATGGACCTGTCGCAGGGCGTGTCGGCCGACAGCATCGTCACGCCGGGTACGCAGTCGGCGACCAGCTTCGCGGCACGGCATCCGACGGTCGGGCTCACGGCATCGGGCAAGCCGCGCGATCCGCGCAGGCCCCACATTCCGCAGACCACGCCCTTTGCCAAGAGCCAGCCAGATTCGGAGCACATTCGCAAGAACATCCCGCTTAGCTCGATGCGCGAGGAGGATCCGCGGGAGGCGCTGCTCAAATACGCGGAGAAGGCCGAGAAGGACCCCCTTTTCACCAACGCCTGGAAGGAAACCCAGCCCAAGACCATATATGCCGATCTTAGCGACGAGGAAGAAGACGGGCCTGACAAGAAAAAGGTCAAACGGTAGGCGTGTAAAAGTAGTTTGCAAAACGACGTTGGCAACAATTCAGGGACTCAGGCGCTCGGACAGGAAAATGTATATAAATACAAAGCTTGCTTCATAAATAGCAAGCACACTGATGATACCCGCGACAAATAGATGAACATGTGGAGCAAATCTCGTTGACACGAAGGCGTGTGATTTGCTGGAAAGGGCGTGGCGCGATGATTGGCTGCACGATGATGGTGGGAGAGGGTGATCATCTCGCGTGCATGTGAGACGCTTTGCCTTGGCACCGCCGAATCTCTGTCGCTCTCTGCATGGAGCATGGCCTGCACCACCATCCGCGATTCCTGCGCATAGGCCGATGAGTCTGCTACGACGCTCCCGAACTTTCGCACCGAACTCCGTCCAGCGCCCGCCGCGCGACCCCCACGCCCGACCTCACTCCTCCGCCGCCGACACCCCAGACGGGCAACCTCCGTAGCCAGCGCGAACACCCTAAACCACCCCAGCAGCACCGAGCTGCCATGATTCTCCCCAGCGCAGCGCAAGCGCCGCTGCACCAAGCCGTCGCCCACGCTGCCGTCGCCGCCGCGACCCACGCCGCCGCCGCCATTTCTTCTTCTGCCGCTTCCACGCCAACGCCGTCACCATATCCCTACCCGCCCACCAACAACACCCTAGCAGGCCATGAGGGAGACAACTCGGAGCAGGGCGACTGGTCGTCCATCATCGGCATCACCACCGCCATCATCGGCAACATTCTCATCTCCTTTGCGCTCAACACGCAAAAGTATGCACATCTGCGCCTCGCTCGCGAGGCCGAGGAGCGGCGGCAGCTGCGGCGCAAGCGCAACCAAGCCGGCATGCAGATGAACCCGGATGAGATGGTCAAGGCGAACGCGAAGGCGCGCAAGATCCTGGGCTTCAAGCTGGGTAGCGACGGCGTCGAGGACGAGATTGACGACGACGACGAGCCGCGCGAGACGGACGCATTGCTCGGGGATGGGCGACACAGCCACGACGTGGATCGGGCGGCGGCAGGCAGCGACGAAGAGGACATGGCGAACCTGGAGGCGCAGGCGAAGCGGCTGCGCAATCCGCGGAAGGGGGGCCAGCAGACCAGCTACCTGGAGAGTCCGTACTGGTGGATCGGCATCGTGCTCATGATCGTGGGCGAGGCGGGCAACTTCCTGGCCTACGGCTTCGCGCCCGCGTCCATCGTGTCGCCGCTCGGCGTCGTCGCCCTCATCTCCAACTGCATCATCGCCCCCATCATGCTGAAGGAGCCCTTCCGCAAGAGGGATGCGCTTGGCGTGCTGATCTCCATTGGTGGCGCCGTCACGGTCGTGCTGAGCGCGCAGGATAACAATCCGAAGCTGGGCCCGCATGAGATTTGGGAGCTCATTAAGACGTGGGAATTTGAGACGTATTTCGGCGTGACGCTGATTACCATATGCGGGTTGATGTGGGCGAGCACGAGATATGGCAAAAAGAGCATTTTCATCGATCTGGGTCTGGTTGGCTTATTTGGTAGGGCTTTGTGATGCTTCGTCTATCGTGATTGTGCTGACCGTCGTGCAGGTGGATATACCGCTCTCTCCACCAAGGGCGTGGCCTCGATGCTTTCCTACACCCTGCTTCACGCCCTGACGTTCCCCGTGACTTACCTTCTGGTCGCCATCCTGGTCTTCACTGCTGTCATGCAGATCAAATATCTCAATCGTGCATTGCAACGCTTTGATGCCACTCAGGTCATTCCTACGCAGTTCGTCCTCTTCACGCTTTCCGTGATTCTTGGATCAGCCGTTTTGTACCGCGATTTCGAGCGCACGAATGGCAAAGGCGCCGGCGAATTCGTCGGCGGTTGCCTCATGACTTTCCTGGGTGTGTGGGTCATCACGACGGGACGACCAAAAGACGATGACGACGAGGAAGAAGAGGACGAGGAGGAAGAGGAGCATGAGGAAGTCGAGCACGAGCACGCGATCAACCTCGGAGCCGAGGAATACGGCGACGACGAGGTCCACTACGGTCCCACGGGCGGCTACTCCAACGACATCTCATCCATGTCAGCCCTCACGCCCTACGCATCCGCCGGCTCGCACCACCGCCGGCCTTCGGTGCACCGCCTCAGCACGCCGCACATCACCTTCACATCCGAACCGCCCTCGCAGGCCGTCACCGTGGCCACGACGCCCGCCGGCGGCCTCGACATGGGCGACGACGACTACTCGCTCACGGCCAACCCCTGGGCCGACGAGTCGCTCATCTCCAGCCTCACGGCCAACAGCAACAACCGCGGCGGCAACGCGCCGCCGCTCCGCCACGCCACCATGTCCTCGCCCATCCTCCCCTCGGAAGCCGAGGCCCTCGAACAGCGCCCTTCGTCACGCCGCCGCGACACTTCGCCCGGCGCCTCGACCTCCGCCGCCCAGGGGCAGCACCGCTCGTCGTCGCAAGAACAGCCTCAACGCCCGGCAACGCCCCCTGGACCTGGCCACCTCCGCCGCAAATCCCTCACGACGCCCTCGCCCAGCAAGAAGCCGTCATCCGACCACCTCGCCCAGCCCAGCCCGCGTGTCCGTCCTGCGCAAACCGAACCAGCAACTCCGTCATCTCTTGCCACCCCCTCTGCCGCCGCCAGGACACCGTCTTCCTCCTCACACGCCCACCTCAAACGCGGCTCCATCTCCCTCGTCCCCGGGCCCCTGACCAGCCCCCTCAGCTCATCCCTGTCCGCCGTCGTCGCGGATAGCTTGCGCAAGGGCGTCGAGATGCGCAGCCTGGCCGCGAGTACCGGCAGTCATGGCGGTGGTCAGTATCACACTATCCACGGCCGGCCGAGGCGGAATACGAAGGATGCTGTGGACGGCGCAGGTGTTGGAGGCGGAGGTATTGGTGGGTTCGGTGGTTGGTTGACGCATGGGTCTAGCGTGGCGGGGCCGAGGGATGGGGCGAGCGATGCGAGTGCGGCGGTGGCGAGGAGGAGGAGTAGGGGGGTTAGTCAGAGTGAGGGGGTTAGTGGTGTTGTTGGTGCGGGAGAAGGTGGTGGGGAGCAGCAAGGTGGTGGGAGGGCGAGGAGTTTGAGTAATCCGTTTGGTGCGTTGTTGAGGAAGGTTAGGAGTAGGGGGGATGGAGTGGCGGAGGAGGAGGAGCAGAGTGGGAGTGGGAGTGGGAGTGGCGCGGGAACGGAGGTGACGAGTGAGGAGGGGTCGGGGGCTGTGACGCCGGTTCCTGCTCCTGCTCCTGTTGTTAGGGAGACGGCGGCGGTGGTGGAGGAGGAGGAGAGGAGCGCGGGTGATGAGGAGCAGAGGAGGAGTGCTGAGTGAGAGGCGGCGGAGGAGGAGATGGAGCTGGATTGTGATACCTTTTTTCTTGGTTCTATAAGTCCTTGTTGAGGAGGGGAATAATCGCGTTGGATGGTAGAAAGCGGTTTTTTTTCATATCTGTGTGCGATGGGAAAGGGATGGATGGGATGTGTGTTTTGATAAGTGTGTTTTTTCTCTGTTTATCATTGGGAGGGCTGAAAGGGCGGATATCTGCTGGTTTTATCTGGTTTATTGGTTTTTTTTCTGTCTATCTTCTGTCTACATTTGACTGACCACCGCTCAAACCCCCCCTCATCATCATCATTATCAGCGCGGCGCTCTCTCCCCTGCCCCGTGTTTTTTTGAGTGTGTTTTTGTTTATCTTATGAGCCGCTTTGGTCTCCTTTCAGCATTTGCACCATTAGTGTGCGAGCGTCTGGGCTTCTTCTCTCCTCCCTATTGGGGTTCATTTCACCATCTCTCCGTGTTAGTACTTGCATATCTGGCGTTGGGAATAGGGGCTTTTTTTTTTTTGCGCTTTGTCTTGAGAGAAAGGGAGAGAAAGGAGAAATCGTCGTCTGGCTGTATATTTGTCGTCTTTGCTTTGTCCCTTGTCATGCGCCTTGTGCTTCTTGCTGCCTTACACCCCCTTTGAGCGTGCGAAAAGTGGTGTGGTCTTCTGTCTAAACTTTTTCGAGAAAATGCGCTCGTAGATACATGTCAACTTTTTCTTCTCTCGTCTTGGTCAACGTGCGCTGTTAGTGCGGTTTGACATCCTTGCGGTGCCTGAAAAGGGGTTGTAGGCAGATCGAGGAGAGTCGTGGGACGCAGTGACCATGGCTTCAGCTGCTTGCTCTTGCATGCTCCGCAACTTCACGTGCGAAAGTGATGCGGGGCAAGTGGAAGTTGACTTTTTTGCCCTCTGGTCATTGGATCCGCTGACTCCGCGGCCCGCGCTGTTGCCGGCCACGCCCTTCTTGCAGCTGTCACGAGAGTGGGGGGTTTGGCTCGGCGTGACCTGAGGACAGTATGGCTGGCACGGGATCGGTTTGAGTGCACTTCGGCAGTTCGTATATATTTAAGAGGGTGAAGGAGGCAGCTGGAGACGGCGGCGTGCTTTCGATTTTCACTTTCTTCCAAAAAAGAGAATGGGTCGGCACTTGCTGGCTGGCTTTGTTAGCCACCTCCCAGTTCGACTCGTCTCGAATGTACTCTATGCTCAAGAATGGGCCTAGAGTTTAGTGTGGTTTTCGATGGTGTTGTTGAGGGTATATCATTATTTCATGATGGTGCATTTGGGCAGCGAATAGTGAAGTCACTCCGTAACATCAATAAAAAAAAGTGATCAACTTTGTCTATAGGGTAGCGAATCTCTGCACATCAGCGAGGAAATTCCAGGACAGAGCGCAAGCAACGAGTCGGCTTCGGCGTCGTGTCAGCATCGACGACGACTGTATTTTGTGTCGATGACATGATGCCTGTATAGTCATGTCACGACGAGATTAAGTCCATCAGAAATGAAGATTGCGCTTTCCCGTCCGCTCGTCATTTGATCTATTTACTTTACGGACCGTGCTGCTGCCAGCCACGAGCTTTGAGTAGCTGTCACGAGAGTGGGTCTGCACTTCGGGGTGACCTCAAGGTGGCATGGCTGACTCGTGATTATTTCAAGTGCACTCTAGTAACTCGTACATGTAATAGGATGAAGAACGTTCGTATAGCGGTATGCTCTTAGATTCCACTTTCTGGGACAAAATCCAGAGGTCTGAAACCATCGGCCAGCCTGTATATGGTGCTTCACTCGTCTTCGGGTGTACTCTATACTGATAGATGAGCCCGAAATTCAGTGTTGCTAGTGAGGGTGTATCATTATTGCATGATGATGGTGCGTTTGAGCAGTGAATGACCAAAGCACTCTACAGTATCAGGAGATGATAAACCTTGTCTGTAGGATGATGGCGACTCTCGGTAAGTGATCGAATTAAGTGTAAAGCAAGTAGGCAGGCAGTGTTCGGTTGTCTTAATGGCTGATGGCGTGATGTCTGTATAGTCATGTCGTGACGGGATCAGGTACGTCTACAAAGCCTTTTTATAAGCGTTGAAATGGGTAGCTGACACATGGTCTCATGCAAGAAAACCAGAAACCCACGTGCGCCAGAAGAGGGTATCGGTTTCTCGATGTTTTGGGAAGGAACTTGTGGCCCAACCCTTTCACCACCGCCACATGATGGAACCACAGGGTTGGGAGTGTGTGAATGTTGTGTGTTTCCGCCCTGCTGATCAGTGTTTCCTGCCGGTTTCAGCCATTGGACTTTGGAACCAGTGCTGCTGCTGTGGCTGTCAGTCGTGGCCTCGGCCTCGTGCAAGCGGTACGGAGTGTCCGGGGAATGGCGGCTGACGTGGACCTCGCATTCCCGTGCAGCGGTGATCTGCAGCTTGTTATGCATTGTGAAGCAAGTAACCGGCCCGCGGCGCTGCGCGTTTCGGATGCACAGGTGACGGTGAGAGGAGTATCTTAGAAACGTACGGTACGGGTTCATCTATAAAAGAAGGCGAAGGGGATGTTCGGAAACGGCAGCATGGGTTGGCTTTCAAACCTCCCTTAATCGATCTTCAGACGACTTCTGCTGCTGGCGATGGAACTGAAAATGACTCCTTTCGCTCCCGGGTGTGTGTTCGTGCCGACGGGTGTGCTTTAAGTTTGGTTCTGTCCTTCGATAATAGCCGTGACAATGTTTGTTTCCAGATGGTGATGTATCCGAGCGGTGAATGACCCAAGTGATCTGCAGCATCAAAGGTTCATGGTGAGTTGGAAGAGGGTGTTGGTATCTTGAATTCTCGGAAGGATGGTTCCGGGCGTGTCGGGCGAACGGAGGGAGACGGTCGGGTATTTAGCATTTGTCGTAATCCACGGAAACGTGGGGGAATATCAACCCTGAGCTCGAGACGTTTGCCGGAAATACCCAGAACTATATCACAGTCCCCTTCGCCGAAGCACAGCCTCCACAAATCTTTAGTTGCCTCGACAGCCGAACCAAAACAGGGAAGACGACCGAACGACCTACCCCAACTAAGTAAAAGGATGTACGCCTTCGAACCACCTTGGGGCGGAACAATCATCTTCACTCCCCTCCTCCTGCAACACTTACCGTCCTCGGAAAACAATATCCCCGTCGTGTACGTGGGATGCTTTACCTCGTGAAATCTTCCAACCGGCAAAAACAAGGCCGCAGATGGGACCGATATTCGAGCCCAGTTATTGTTGGTGGCGTATGACGGCGTGAAAGTATGAGCCTCTTCGTCCTGAGAGTTGGCGGGCAGAGTTGGGCACAGCTGCATTGTTACAAATCCGGATCCGTCTAGACATCTGCGCCGGCGCCGGTTGAGAAGAGGCCATTGGTCGCCTCGGAATATCCGAGTCGCGAGAAGATGCAGTAGCTTTTGGGATACTCAAAGAAAAAGGAAGTTGAACGAGCAAAAAAACGAGCAAGATTGATGACCAGGGCCGGTTGCCCAAGGTGCTGCTGCGTCGACGGTGTGCAGCAATTCGGGGTCGGCGACAGCTCCGCTCATGTTCCCAGCCACGGCCAAAAAAAACTAAGAACCACCGAACCGCGGTTCCCAGCAGGTCTTATTTACTTTTCCTTGCTATCGCCCGAGCATGATAGCAAGAACAGCGATTGATCATCTCCCTGACATCGATATCGTGATATCCATAGTGGCCCAACTCGGAAAGATATGACCCCCACAAAGATACAAAATGAAAGAGTGAAATGGTGTGGTGAAATAAGCTCAAGCGACGCCGCGCCGCTGCATCAAAAAACATCCGGCCCGCCAACAAACACCCAGCGATCGACCGCCAATCACACCCATTCGTATACAGTTCACTAATCACTCCCAACCCCCCACGAAATTTCCGCGACGCCGTGATGAAAGAAACCAGCTGATAGCCAACCAGCAGGCGCCATCCACCACGCCGCAATTTGCGAACCCACGCATTGTAAGTTCAACCCACCGGGGGCCCAGCAAGAAGTCTAAAAAAGTTGCGAGAGGGGTGGACGAAGCTAAGGGATAACAAAGACCGACGTGATGTTGGATTTAAAGCAAAATTAAAGCCACGCGGTCGGACGACGGCCCGGTTGCGGTCAAGCGCCTGACGCCGGGACGGATTACGTCCTGTATTTGGCAGTAGGTAGGTGAGAGTGAGTAGGGCCGGCAGGGCCAAAAAAAGGAAACAGTTGGTCGGCAAAATATCTCACGCCACCCAGCCAAAAGGGAAAAACTTTAAAAATCTACAAACCCATTCCTTCCCCCCATTTCCCCCACTCCTCTGCTACCTGTCTACCAGACGGAAGGAGGGTGATCTCGAGATCTTACCAAATTGGATCGTAATCCGCCCCATTGAAGCGGCCGGAGGATCGTAGATCTCGCCCCCCAATTTGCTGATGCTGTCGCCACCAACGAGGCGGAATTGCCGACCAAAAAAAGCTTGAGCTTGGAAGAAATGGGGGAACTATGCGTTAGACTGTGAGTTGTTGGTGTGGCGTAGTGCAAAGTGGGGGCACATGTGAGAAACCAGTTCCGTATAAAACTGCAGCGCCTGCTTGGTCGGAGTCACCTGCTCCCAAGCACCTTCCGTTGCGGGCCCTCCCTCTTAGTCAGCACTTCACGATGGTCAGGTATGTTGTTGACCTTTTCATTGCCTTTTCCTTTTTTTAGAGGCAGGTCCAGTCCTGCCTCGGTTGTCTGCAGTTATATTTACATTTCTTCTAGACGCCTTTTTGATCGTCCACAGTCATGGCTAAAACCATCTGGGACGACATGATCATTGTGCCTGATCGTTCCTTTCTTCGTTGAGTTGCTGCGCCCTGACAGCCCACCAAGCGGCACCGAGACATACCAATCCAAAACTTGCCCCGATGATCGCCCTCCCTCTTGCGCCTTGCCGCTTTTTCAGCGCCTCGTTGGATCCTAAAATAGTCACCGCATTTTTGAGGACGGCATAACTGAAACCACTCCACACCGTGGTAACACCGACAAGAATCTGCAAGGCGGTCACGGCGGAGGAGAGTGTTCCTGCGTCCGTGGCTTTGTAGATGGCTGAGGGGAGGATTGGTTTTCTGGATTCACCTTGAGTCGGGTCGGCTGTGGTTGAGGTTGCGGTGGGTCCAGTGGTGGTGGAAGGGGGAGTTGGGGTGAAGGGAGATCCAGAGGCGTCAGCGGAACCGGATCGACTTCCTTCTGTGGCAAAAGAATTTGAGGAGGCGGGGTCGGCGAGCGCATCACGGGTAGAGGAGGACGCAAGGACAGGGAAGAGAAGAGTCAATCCGATCAGGGCAAGCTGGAGGAAGGTGTTGAACTTGGATACCGTCGTCGGGTGGACCTCAGCGGACGGCAACGAGAAATCCCAGTAACGAGCGAACGTCTTGGGCGAGGGCAGCGAGGCGTAGCGGAAGTAGATGGCAGCAATGGCGAGGGCGGCGTCGCGACCGAAGATCAAGATGGCGAGGGAACCTGGCAACAACAAACGTATCAGCAAGCCGGCCAAGTGTCTCCGACAGATGACATCTCGGCCCAACGCGACACCCAAATGGATAGGGTTGGAAGGTGGACCGGAGAGCGGGGCGGGGGATTGACAGCGGTGCGGGCGGATGATCACGGATGTGGGGAAAAGGGGCGGTGGGCATGTGCGCAGCAGGACTGGAGCCGGGGCATACCGGGCAAAGCTCCCTTGGCTGCAAGGCAACCAACGGTGATGGCCATCAAGAGCTTGTCGGCCATGGGATCGACGACGCTGCCGACGACCGTCTGCAACTTCCATCGACGAGCGATCCATCCATCGAGGAGGTCGGTGATGCCGGCGTAGGCGAAGAGGCCCAGAGCCCAGGCATGGTGGTCGTGCAGAATAAGATAGCCCACGGCAGGGGCTGCTATGAGTCGCGAGAAGGTGAGGACGTTGGGTACGTTCCAGACCTCCTCGTGTGTCGTCAGCGACTTCAGCTGGTTCCGGATTTCCTTGGTCTTCTCAATCAGAGGCTTTTTTGGTTGGGGCTGGTAAACATGACTCGTTAGCAGATGTGCGCAGGGGTGGAATGGAGGAGCATGGTATCCTTGCGGAAATGCTGCCATGAGGACTCGGCGGGGGTGGGAAGGGGCAGAGCATCCGGACGAGTGGTAAATGAGGATTTGAAAACAACAAGGACGAAGGGGAGAATAAAGATAGGCAGCCAATCAGGAGGATCAGACTGCCGATGGGATAGAGCCCATGCAGACCTCGGCACTCAACTGCCGCACATCCTCGTTACCGAAAAGCAGCGAGTCATTACGGCGGAGGATCGTACGATTGGTCGAGGGTGGTAAAGGGAGGAGCAGATAGATGAGAATTGATGCTGCAATGTGAAGCACTAAAGGCCGACGTGGAAACCCGCGTCAGGTCCAGAATAGCACGGAGTTGAGCAAATGCCAAAAGCGGACGCATGATTCAGAAGCGAACACAGACCAGCAGAAGGAGAGCATGAGATAGAGGAAAAAGAAGACTCACCGTCTGGCTGCGGTTGCGGTTTCCCTGCGAGCCCCCGGGCTGGCCGTGTGCTGCCCTCCAAGGCCGCGAGGTCGAGAACAAGCTGCCCTTCGCGCATGAGTAAGGCCTGTTTGGGGCCGTGACGACAGAGGGCGGCGGACTCACCTACGCGCGATAGCACATCCAGGCTGGAGACCCTGCTGCGGAGGACAGCTCCCCGGGGCGGCGATCCTGGGCGCGTGATTGCAGCCCAACAGGGCCTGCGGGCTCCGCGCGAGCTCAGAGGCGGACCTGGCCCACGTGCGGGTTTGGAGCAGCCTTCGCTGCCCAATGGGTGCGAGGGCCGGAGCGGCGCACGACAGCTGCGATGGGCGCGCAACCAGCCGCGCGAGGAGGGCGGTGGGTTGCTGCGGAATGGCGGCCATGGCGCTATCGCATGATGCTGGGCAACGGCACGGCAGGGCTGGTGGCGATGGAGGTCGAGATGGAGGTTGGGTGTGAGGTCAGAGGAGCGTCCTGGCGCAGAGGAATTGTAATTGCTGGCCGGCCGTTGCTTGCCCTGGCCTGTGCACCGCAAGCGAGACGCAGCCTCTCTGCACTCTGCTGCGCCCTGTCTTCCACGGCTTCCGGCGGTCTACAAAATTTGCGCAGTGACGCTGCTGCTCGACTCGCATGCTGCTTACTCGTCGCGCACATGCCACCTCCCGAAACGGCACGCTCGCCGGCGTCCCTGACTAAGCTGCTTGTCCACGCCATCGCCCCCCCCCGGCGGGTCGGCGCGATCTTTCGTGACAGGTCGTGGGCCGCCCAAAGTATATGCAGCCACTCCACCGCAACGGCTCTGCTATAGGACCCTCGAGCCAGGGGCTGCGCGAGGCTCATCCAAGCTCACAACGGTGCCAGACTGCTCGATTTGAGACATCAGTGCATTTGATTTATCATCCCGCGACTATTTTCCAGTGCCAGGCTCAAGTAACAGGTCGGCCGATTCTAAAGATATCTGAGTGACAATATTTTCGACGAGCAAGTAGAGCAAACGCCTAATTTCCCCGCCTTACACCGTGGAGCGCCACGCTCCTTTTGGCCCATCCAAACACACTGACAACTAGACGTATTTAATTGGTGATATCAAAGCAATATACGAGCAAAGAAATGAGATGATGCGGAAGTAGCCGGATGGGTATCGAGAGGGCCACACAGCCGTGGAAACATCAGTTGATGCCCAGCTTTCCACGACTCGGGGTCCCGCATGAATCCGGAGGGAAATGTGGTATCGAGAGCGAATGAAGCCCATGTGGCCTGGCGCCACCCAGTGCAGGAAATGATGTAGACAGAAGAAAGCCACCAACACCGAGACTCGCGGTACATCGTACAATAAACATAAGAAATAGTAGGTTCGTGGGGATCGGAGGTTTCGATGTCGTAAGCGGTTCGCTCAGCTGAAGTTGTTCGAAAAGTGTGGCGCCTTGTCGTCAAAGGCGCTCAACGTGTCGTGCCGCGAGTGCTGCGTCTCGGAGCTGGAGTAGCACGGGTACCCTCCACCCGATTGGACTGGGCCCTCCCCGAACATGTGGTCCGGGGAGACTTGCGAGTCCTCGCTCATCTCGCTGATGCTGCCGTGATACTGAGGCTGGCTCGACATACCATGGTTTGGCTGTTCAAAGCCAAAGTTCTGGTTGAAAGTTGAGCCCGCTGCCGTAGTGTATGAGGTCTCATGTGGGTACGGCTGGTAGTCGAGGGAGACTGACCCTTGCATATCCGAGGGGACATTTTCAAATCCAGACCGAGGCTGATGCCCGGGCGCCTGTCCCAAGTGCAGACTGCTCAACGGGCTGACCAGGCCTTGGGAATGCCTGTTTCCGGGCAGCATGCCCCCAAACACACCCGAGGGACTCGATGAGCTGGCGGGGAGTGCAGAGTAGCCCGGACCGCTGCTTGCTGATGCGTGCAGGCTGGCCATCGACTGGGAAGAGGTGTGGTACCCCGGGTGCATGCCTCCCGACATGCCGTGCATGACGGGCTGATACGGCTGGTGAGGGTGGTACTGCGAGGCGTACGAACCAATGGGGCCGGTCATTCCCTGCATCGAGAGGTAGGATGGGTACGGGAGGACATCGTCAGGGTCCTGAATGGGGCCTAAGGATGCTGTTAGTGGGGATGCGAAAAATGCACAGGCCGGGGGGTTGTTGCTCACTTCGGAACTTTTGATCAGTGATCAGCTCCTTGCGAGGATGGCAGTTCGCTAGGCGATGGTCGTGACCCGGCCTGAACAGAGTGGACTGGTCCTTGGCATCCTCGATGGTGTAGTATGCGATCAAGTGATGCGTGCAGCCGTTCACAGTGACGCTGAGCGTCCTCTTGAGAAGACCGCCGCGCTTGAAGTCATACGAGTCGACGAGCGAACCGGTGATCTTGCGGTCCTTGGAATCGGGGATTTCGTACGGAGGCTCGTCGCCATAGTGGCCAGGGCCGCCGGAGCGAGCATAAGGCTCGGTGCGAGCGCTCTTGTTACGCTGGCGGTTCGCCCGCTTCTTCTCGCCAGGCGGGAAGGGGCGCTCAAGCTCGCGATATACGAGGAAGTTGCCCATGATACGGCTCGGGCTCCAAGACAGACCATCAGTCCATCGCTTGATGCCCGAAGTCGACTCCTCGTAGACAAAGACGGAACCGCTCCGGATGAGAGAAGCCCTCTCCCTGTCGTGCGGGCGGCGCGGGCAGTGAACGAGAGTGCCATTGAGACACGCCTCGATGATGGTTAAAGCGTCCTGGGTGGTGTGGACGAAGCCGTGCCATGTCGGCTGCATGTTGGCATTAAGATTAGACGGAACGGGGGGAATAGAGTTGACGTTGGGCGCGACGGGCGAAGCGCTGGTCGCCCTTGTTAGGCTGACACGGTCGCTGTCGCTGGTCTGAGATTCGGGGTAGCTCCCGCTGGTATAGCGGTGGGCGACGGCATGGCTCGGGAGGGCGCCTGGCAGCTTGACCATGCCCAGACTCTTGGGAGTCTGATGGCTCGGGGGAAAGTAAGAAGAATTAGAATGCACTGGTGAGTCGCTGTAGGGCGAGGGAAACGAGCTGTCGTGGCGCATCGAAGGGGCGAGAGAGTAGGAGCCATTGCTGGAGCTGGTCTGGCTCTGGGGCGACATGTAGGAAGTGGAGCGGATAGGCATCAGGGTCCTGGAGTTGCTGGCTCTGTGATCGTCGTGGAAGTCCATAGCGTCGGGCTGCAGACTCGATTAGGCAAAGCAGCTCGGTTCAGCGGCCGGAAGGGGAAGGGTAGAAGCTTATTGATGGGAGGAGCTTATGCGAGTGTTGCGGAGGGCAGGGAGCGCGACTTACAGCAGCTGGAGGCGAAGAGCTAACGATGGAGGGCTTTTGAGCGTCTGAGAAGGCCAATGGCTCGGGGGTGGTGAAGGGCTTAAGACCGTAGTCGAGCAGCGGGGTGAAGAGGTCCTTTCCCACCACGGATTCGCGGTAGTGGTCCCCACCAAAGCGGGACTCGGGGTGCAGAACGCGAAGCATTCAGCCTATGGGGCGCGGCGACCTCGGAGGGCAGGCGGCGCGCGGTGCGGCGGCGGCGAGAAGCAGCGGTGGTGGTGGAGGAGGAGGTGGTGGTGTCGGGCGAGCTCACGTGCGAGAGTGCGGTGAGCGGGCGCTGGCTGTGGGCGGCGGTGGTGGTGGTGTAAGAGCGATGGAGCTGTGTGTCTCGATGAGCAGAGGGCTGAGGAGCGATGACGCCCTTCAAACCGGCCGGCGAGGTCCCTTAAAGCTGGAGGACGTTAGGACGCGCGGTAAGGATTATCCTCCCGGGCAGGATGATCAAAACGTCGCTGCTCACAGAGGCGATGCCGCTTCTGGGATGGGGTGGTTTGCCGGTAACGGCGTGGGAGGCTGCGCAGGACGTGCGCGAGGAATTGGACCGCTTTAGGGCGCGCGGTGCTTGCGGTGCGATACGGAGAGTGAGCTGGGACGTTGGAGCCCTTGCTTGGCCAGCGGCTCGGCGACGATCTGCCAGCACGCACAGGCACAGGCACACGGCGGGCGGCGAGGGCGAGACAACTAAGGTTGACCCCGCGCAAACCACGGGTTCCTGAGTCGCTCGACGGCCACAAACGGTCCGACCGCACCGTCATTCCAGGCCTGTGAGATGAAATGAGCGCGCGCGCCAGCTGGCGGATGCGGTGCGCGGGCTGGCACGGTCGAAATGAGCGTGCGGCGGGGGGTCCTGGCGTCCAGATGCGGGCGTCGGGATCTACCTGCTAGCAGATCCTGGCCTTGATCCTCGTTGTCTTCCCGACGGGGCCGGTGCTGGGGGCGCGCTCTCAATGGGAGCCGTCGTTGCAGATTGCTTGGCGGGAACCCATGCTGACAGGGGGCGTGGTCCCTGCTCGCCCCCAGTCGCTCCTGCCGCACGCTTGGCGTAACGTTTTGGCGGCTGAGCGCGTAAGTCCGGCAGGGAGGCTGTTCTGGGAGCTGTCAGCGCATCGCCATGTACCAGCCCGGCAGCAGGAAAAGGCAGCGGCTGTGTCATCGCAGTCTAGGCTCGTGTCTACGAATCTTATCACGCCTTATCGATGCTCGCTGATCTGCCACGCTTCATCTTGCACCACCAACTCACAACTGACAGCAGCGAGAAGCTAAAGGCCCTGTTCGTATCCAACCCTTCCGGCACTTCAGCCTTGCTGCACGGCGGAGAATCTCGAAAATCATTAAATTCCCGGTACTAAGATGCTAACAGATCTCGAGATGTTCTGGCTGCGTCGATCACGGCGAAATTAGAAGTCTAGGTAAAGATAAAATCAGGTGTTGAGGCTGTCGGAGTGGAGCCTGTCAAAAATCAAGACTTTGGGAGCTGGCGGGGATGCCAGGGCTGTCATGGTGGTTGGGCCAGCGAGCAGTCGAAGATGCCGTTGATGGACTGGGGTCGGGGGAAGTTACAATACAGCTACCCCAACTGCTGTGTTTTGCGGCCCACCCTGGTCCGTAATCTAAGCGATCGCCCGGCTCGTAAACTCCTCGCACGGCTACCGTGCGCTTTCCTGCCCTCGTTCTGCCAGCTCCAAAATCCCCGAGTGCAGCGAAACATCTTTGCCTTTCCGCCCAGGGCCCATTTTGCAAGGGTTCTCCAGCCCAGTCAACATTGCTGACTACCCATGCTCTCTGATTTCCACCGCCTTCCGACTCCACGATGCACCACCACCAGCAGCGCGCGCGACAGGACGCGATGAGCCACCGAGTCCAGCGCTATCGAGGCAGCCTAGCGACACGGCTGCCAGCTCCCGGCGGCGAAGTGGCCCCTGGGCCGGCTTCCGAACGCTGCCCGTTGCGGTGTAGCGGGCTTGCGGCCAATAGTCGCGGGCCGGGATCGCTGCGCAGAGAAGAGACAGACTCCAGGAACCGCATCTACGCCACCTTGCTCGATGCATCGCGACAACGAGACTGCTCTGGCCGGTGCGTGCGGCAGGGAATGCTCAACAAGTCACCGAAGCATCGCCCTGACCAGCAAAGCCAGCGCTCACAGTCGCATGTGTGCAGGCCCGCGCTACCGCCCATCCGTCGCCGCGCTCGGCCGCTCGCCGCATCCCGGGCTTCCGCTCATCAGCCAGCCAGCCAATGCCACCATGCGCTATGCGAGTAGCGCGCTCTTGCGCTTGGCGAACCGTTTCATCAGGCTGCGCAAGGCATGGCTGCGTACTTGTCACGGCAGCCTGTCGAAACCGACTATTGTCAGAGACCGCGCGCAAGTGGCTGGCGCCCACGAATCACGCCGCCAGATTGCATTCTTCTGCCTAGCTCGCCGCCCGGCCAGGGTTCTCAGGCCGATCACGTCCGTGTCGGGACGCCATTTCATTACAGGCGGTCGCTGCTGCGCTAGCCCGCTCGAGCACCGCCGTACGCAGCCTGAGCCCACTGTCGGGCCCTGAGCGCAATCGAACGACTTCTCACACCAGGCGCAGTGTCCAGCAATCCCGTGCTGCGGAGGCCCGCGCCGCCCCCTCGCTGAGACGTGGCCCACGGGTCCTGTCGCCATGTATATTGCGCCGCTGGCTCCCGTCGCCCAAGCAATTTGCCCGGACGCTGCCCACCCAGCAGCCTGACTGCTCTAGGCAAGGTCGATCTATATTTGCATACGCACCGCGCTTCCGCATACTGCCCCTCCGCCCTATGCACTCCACACGTGCCACCGCCCATGCTGGCCCTGTTTCACGATGGCCGTCCCGTCGACAACCTAAAGTCTAACGGCTGCTGACCTCAGGGCCAAAGCCTCGACCGCCGACCCCCCCCAGGAACCACTTTCGCCCACGTGATGTCCTCCCAAACGGAATGACGTCCGCGTTGCGCGATCTGACCCCGAGTCCGCGCTGCTGCTAGAGTCGCTTGGGGCGTGCGAGCACCGCGGTGGACGTGTGCACGCCTGCGTGGCGCTTGGTCTGGAAGCGTGCTGCGCGGCGGCACTGACATCATGAGTGTGACGAGGCAGGTGGGCTACTGCCAGACCAACCAATATCACGCCGCAGCGCGCGATCGAGAACCGCAAAGGATCGCTCGGATCTTGGGCGTATTCCTTCTTCAGGCCATCCTGCAACCTTGGGGGGAAGGCGGCTGGGATGTTGGCTGCCCTACCCGCCAAGCGCTCGCTCAACCACCAGCTCTCTATCTCGCTCTCCACGCATGCTCAGAGGGGCGAGGCCGAGCTCCTCAGTCCCGCACATATCCGGAACATGGTCTTACGCACGATATGAGAAAGGATCGCACAGCTCCACCATCTTAGGTATGGTGATTCCAAATGCCTGGATGCGCGTGGCTCTTTCTGCTACAGCTACGGAGGCGCGTCGCAACGGCTCATGCAGATCACGGAAACATTTTGGCCTTCCGCGCAGCCTTCTATCGCACATCATCCAGCCTGATCGCCCCATATGTGCATGGTTGCATCCGCCACTCCAACATGCACAGCATCCCCATGAAAACATGCATCCAGAGTAAAGTTCAGGCCAGTGGCGACCTCAAACTCCATTTGCCATCTCCACGCTCGTCACTCGCTTTCTGAAACTTAGCAATCAAGCGTGAGCGAACCCTAAGTGGATCTGCAACCTCTAGTTCTTGAGCGATGGGGCCTGCTTTATTGCCGCCTTTGAGCCATGTGACCATGAAAGTTGGTTGCTGATGTGCGGGTCCCAAAGCGTTCGCGCCGTCGCCGCTCGGCCTTGGAACGGCAAACGTCCTACTTTGATGAGACGGTGCTTCGTGTTGGCCTAGAGACAACTGCGGGCCCCGTTCAGCCACGCCACATGCGCTCTTGCGACGCCTCTTCAGCATGTGGTCGCCACGCAATTTGCGAAATCCCGATATCGCGGTTGCGATGCATATTGTGCCGCTCTTCCTACGTGCGTTAGCATTGCAGAGAAGCCGAAATTGTTGCGAAAGAATCCACAACTTCGAACTCTTCTCCTGGCGTTAGCATTTCAAGAATTGCTCGTCTACTCGTGCCTGTTCATTTCTATGACTGCTCAGCCGATATTGTTCGCCTGCTATAAGTGTCGAGAAGCAAACCCCCCAGAACCAGCTGGCGGGAATCGTCGCCTGCTGAAGAACTGCCGAATGTTTCTTGTGGCGATGAACACAAACCAGACTTAGGTTGGAGTTCCCTCACCGTTTCCAATACGGATAACTGATTGCGTGAGGACTGTCAGGTCCACATTCTCTTCATCGATTTCTGTGCATCTTGAACAGCCAGCCACACCCGCGTCCACTACCACGATTTGAGCTTGCTTGTCCCAATCCTCTTGCGCCACGATATATCTCTTAATTTGGTTTCTCGGTATTACAATGCGACTGGGTGAGATAAAGCTCGTTGAGGTGAACTTGTGGACAAGGTTGTCGTGAACGTACGTCTCGACCAACGCCGCTGTTGTTCCTCAACGGTTATGGTGCTAAACTAACCGTCCTTGTGCACTTCCAGCAGAATCACGATGAGACGCTGCCACAAATGAAATTACAGCGCACCAAGGACCCACCTGAGTATTTGATTTCTTGAATCCTTGGTTCTTCGACTGCGGACACATCCGCGTATGCAGGGAGCTAACCTGACATCTGTGGGCCTGATGTGCGCGGAACATCTATCCGCTGTTCCCCGTAGCAGGGAGGGAAGAAACTCCTATGTGAGGTCCCAGATCGCTGATCAATAATGCTTTCTAGGTAAGGAAACATTCCGCGGGAACCAGATGACACCCGAGATTCTTCACACCAGCATCGAAACTCGTATCTGGCACCTTCCCAACTTCGACAATAGCCGACGCACAGTGCTTACAGAAATCTAGGCCTTGGAGCGTCGAATGGAATAACATGCATGGGTCTATGCAGACTCCCATCGGCCAGCGTATACAAGATCTAGATCCACCCCCCACCATCGCCCAAGAAACGCCCCGGGAAATTTGGGCGCGTAGAAGGGCAAGCGAATCGTCCAGGATATGCGTGGCCTTCAGAATTGCCGCTGTCTGAGTTGTCTGATGATTTTGCCTGCC